TGGTTTCTGGAAGCCCGGATCTGGAATTATTCATCAAATTATCTTGGAAAATTATGCTTTCCCTGGCTTACTTATGATCGGTACTGACAGTCACACTCCGAACGGCGGAGGTCTTGGAGGTTTATGTATTGGAGTTGGAGGAGCAGACGCTGTAGATGTTATGGCTGATATACCATGGGAGTTAAAATGTCCCAAAGTTATTGGGGTTAATTTGACTGGCAAACTTAGTGGTTGGACGTCTCCTAAAGATGTTATTTTGAAGGTTGCAGATATTCTTACTGTGAAGGGAGGAACTGGGGCTATTGTTGAGTACTTTGGACCTGGGGTAGAATCAATTTCTTGCACTGGAATGGCAACTATTTGTAATATGGGCGCAGAAATAGGTGCAACCACTTCAGTGTTCCCTTATAATAGGCGTATGAAAGATTATTTAACTTCTACTACAAGAGGAAAAATTGGGGAAGAGGCTGATAAATATATGCATTTACTTAATGCTGACCAAGGGTGTGAATATGATGAAGTGATTAATATTGATCTGAACACTCTTGAGCCACATATCAACGGTCCTTTTACGCCTGATCTTGCTCATCCAATTTCTAAGATGGGAGAAAATGCTAAGAAAAACAATTATCCCATGGAAATTAAAGTTGGTTTGATTGGATCTTGCACCAATTCTTCATACGAAGATATGTCTCGATCCGCTAGTATTGCTAGACAAGCAACAAAAAGAGGAATAAAGGCTAAAGCTAAATTTACTATTACACCTGGTAGTGAGCAAATTAGAGCTACTATTGAAAGAGACGGTCAAGCTAAAGATTTGGAAGAAATTGGCGGTCTTGTTTTGGCGAATGCTTGTGGACCTTGCATTGGTCAATGGAAGAGAGAAGACGTGAAGAAAGGCGAACCAAACACTATTGTTACTTCATACAACAGAAATTTCACAGGCAGAAATGATGCTAATCCTGCAACACACGGATTTGTAACCTCACCAGAGCTTGTAACTGCTATGGTGCTGGGAGGACGTTTAGATTTCAATCCATTAACCGATTTTCTTACTGACGCTAATGGAGAGAAATTCAAATTGGACAGTCCATATGGTGATGAGTTACCAAATAAGGGATTTGATCCTGGTGAAGATACCTTCCAACCGCCTCCAGCTGACGGTAGCAGCGTATCAGTTGACGTAAGCCCATCTTCACAAAGACTTCAACTTCTTGAACCCTTTGATAGATGGGATGGAAAAGATTTAACCGAAATGACAATTCTTATCAAAACCCTAGGAAAATGCACCACCGATCACATTTCTATGGCTGGTCCGTGGTTAAAATTTAGAGGTCATTTAGATAATATCTCAAACAACTTGCTTATTGGAGCAACAAATGCTGAAAACCAAGAAATGAATAAAGTGAAAAATCAAACTTCTGGAGAATATGGAAGCGTTCCTGACACTGCCAGAGATTATAAAGCAAAGGGAATTAAATGGGTGGTTATTGGAGATGAAAACTACGGAGAAGGATCCAGCAGAGAGCATGCTGCATTGGAGCCACGTCATCTTGGCGGAAGAGCTATTATTGTTAAGAGCTTCGCTAGAATTCATGAAACTAATTTGAAGAAGCAAGGAATGCTACCGTTAACTTTCGCCAAATCATCAGACTATGATAAAATTAAACCAGATGACAAAATTTCTATTGTAGGACTAGATTCTTTCGCTCCTGGAAAGGTAAATAAAAATTTATAACTGTAAAAGATACCGTAATAATTGATATAAAACTGTTTACAGCCATTGACTTGCGAGATTAAGCATAATGATGGATCTACCGAAAGCATCACTCTCAACCATTCATTCAACGAATTGCAGATTAATTGGTTCAAATCAGGTTCTGCTCTCAACTACATGGCTGATTCCAAGCAATAAACAGTCTTAAAAATCCGTTGAAAAGTATTGTTAATTGGCAACTCAAAATCTAAAATATTTTATGTTGATGTGTCATATAGAGTTTATCGTAGAGGAAATATGAGCCGTGCCAATTCTGTGTCTGGTCAAATGGATGAAAAAACAAAAAAAACAAAAAAAAAACAAAACAAAAGAAAGAAAAAGTTGTGTTGACTTGTTTAATAAGTTATTTAATATCTTTAATTCATTCAAAATTTCTGTTATCACGAAATCAGAGAATAGCTACAACCATTTAATTCACATGTAAATGTAATACTTAAAGTTTCTCTTGATTGTGTGTAAAGTTACTAAAATAAAAATGACTGATTAATATATTAACAATATAAAAGTAATAATTAAAATCTAATCTTTGATTAGATCTAACAGTGTGAAGTGTGACTCTAAAAGAATTAAAAAAACACTTACATTATATCCTTTGGAAACAAAAATTTTCAAATGTAAAAAAAAAATCAGGCTTTGTTTTTCTCTAAAATAAACACATCTCGTAAAAACAGAAAACAATAAATTAAATATCACAAAGCCGAAGGATCCTAAAGACAGCTTTCAAACTGTTGTTTTGTTCGATTTATTACATAGTCCATTATAGGTATAACATACATAATAATAATTATAATCTTTTTGCTGACAATTATTAGATAAGAGTGTTACTAAGCTATTCTAGACTTTGTATCCTGTTTTGGCCAATAGTAAAACTATTCTCGATGAAAATTAACCTCCAGTGTAAATGCGAGAGAACAGTTGTTTATAGGAAAAAAAATTATCGGTACAAAATACTTGTTTAGTAGAAAGATGTCTTCGAATTCTGGCCAAATCGAAAATTTCAAGTTGGTACGCGCTGATATTCAGGACCGATTCATAAGCGTAAGTATCTTATTGAGATTTAATTAATATTTGAACGTTTATGTAATTGGAAAATGCGCCAATTTACAATATAGGTTACTTGGTCGAGTGGCTCTAAAAGTCTATTTCCATGCGTTTGGCTGAGAGATAATTGCCAATCTCAAGATTGTTTCCATCCATCAACAAAATCCAGGTTGCTAACTTTGGACAATATTGATACGGATGAAATACCTACTAATGTCAAAGTTATATCTTGTTTCTATAGATATTTGATTAATTTTTAATCTCTATCTTTTTTCCATCAATTAGATAAACTGTAACAACGAGTTAGAAATTGTATGGAAAAATAATCACGTTAGTTTATATAAAGCGGAATGGTTGGATAAAAGAAGATTTGAGGAAGACGCCAGAAAGAAACGTCTTACTTGGTTGGGAACTGATATGGAATTATGGGGATCGGAAATGAAAAACAAAGTTCCTGTTCAACAATTCCAGAAGGTCTTTAGTACTTTAGAAAAAAACCCCGCAATTTATTATTTATGTAGTCATTCCTAAATTTAGATTCTTGACGACGATAACGAACTTTATCTTTGGTTAAGACATCTGGAAAAGTATGGTTTAGTGTTGATTAAAGACGCTCCGAGGGAAGTTGGTCAATTAAATAAATTGGGTCAGCGAGTATTTTTCTTAAGAAAAACTCATTACGGGTAGGCATATCCATCCGATAAAAGACTTGAGCATAAATATTTAAAAATACTACTTTTACTTACTTTACAGAGAAACTTTTCAAGTAAAGGTGAAGGCCGATCCTAATAATGCGGCTTATACAACAGGCATTTTAAATCTACATATAGATCAATGTTATTATGATTACACACCGGGGGTATGATTATTTTAATAATTTAATAATTAATTTCATTGCTAAAACCGAAAAGGTGCAAATGCTTCATTGTATCGAAAATGAGGCAGAAGGTGGGGAAAGTGAATTTTGTGATGGTTTTCACGTTGTTAATCAGCTAAAGGAAAGATTCGCTGAATATTTTAATATCCTTAAATCAGTAGATTTAGATTTTATGGATATTGGAACAGAGAATAATCGAAAATTTCACAAGATTCATAGATGTCCAACAATATGGTAGGAACAGATTTTTCGAATGTATAATTAATATATTGAATATTCATTAAATCAAATTCCATTTTCTAATTCAAATATTAAATTTATAGCACAAATCATAAAGGAGAAATATTGAAAATAATGTTTAACAATGCAATAAGAGACTCTCACATTGACTGTGATGCTGAAACTGCCTTAAAGATTTACGAGTCTCTTAAAGTATTTCATAAGCTCCTTAACGACGAACGCAATAAAATTTCCTTTAAGTTAAAGCCCGGTAATAGTGTTTTAATAAAATTGACTTTTTTTATCTCTATTAAATTCTTTTTGTTTAGGTGAAATTGTTTGTTTCCACAATTTCCGCGTACTTCACGGCAGAAAAGCTTTTAAAAGTAATAGAAATCGACATTTGGAGGGTGCCTACATCGATTGGGATGAAATACATGATAAAATGAGAGTTCTACGTTCCGAATTAAATAATTAAATTCCTTATTATTACTTCTCTTCCATTAATAAACGAAAATCTTTTATTAGCTTTTTGCTGGTCCTTTAGTTTTAAAACAACAGATGGCGTTCGAATAGGCTATTCTCAGTGTAACAGATGCTTTTCTGTGGATATTATATGAATTTTAGTTAAACATATCTTCTGATTGAACAAACATTTTAATTGAACTATATATATATTTTTAAAATTTCCGATTCAATGTTGAACAAGCTTAATATATAAATCTCCTTTATAGTTTATTATTCGTTTTCGTTGGGGTTTTAATTTTCGTTTTTATTCTAAATTTTTGCAAGTTGCTAACTATGTCAGTTTCAGATCCATTAATAAAGCTTTTTAAAAGTAAGTATTTGATGTGCAAAAACAAGAAATTTTTCATTCATTTCTAATATTAAACAGATCACGTAAAAAACTTAAAATGCAGTGAAAATCAAGTTATAACAGATGGACACGATTGTTTACAGCCATTATGCGAATCTCTAGAGGCTATATTTCGTCAAGGAATAATTCGTTTAGTACTCATTTTCTAGTTTAAAATATTAAATAATTAGAACAAATTTTCAACAGAGAACACGAAGCCATTCTTTTTAGGAAGAAGGGATTATTGGTCTTGGATTGATAACATTAATGATTCGTCAAGTAATCCTTATCGCTATGCAAGGTATATTATGAAATCCGATTGATCTAATTACAACTACACAACTTGCATTAATTGCAAAAACAGAATAGAGCCTCTATTATCTCTTATTTTAACTGAAGTTAGAGCGAATAAGAAAGTAAGTAGGTGATGGATATCCTACTCTCTTGTAGCATATTAAACGTTTCAGGTAACATCATTACAAGGGCGAGGTCGTCTTTTCATTAGAATAGCTTTACAAAAAAGAGTCCTACCATTAGTCATAAAACAATTAGAAGAGAATTGGTCTCATTTACAGGTACTTTAAATTTACATTATTTCCAATAGAATTATACTTTCTCTCTTGTTATTTTTCATAGTCATGCTACCACCCAAATTCTATAATTGCTGATGAAATACTAAGAGGTAAGCCTAATTTATCAACCTAATTAATTCTATTGATAAGAAAAAAAGACAAATATTATACGTAAATGTTGATTAATCATTTACTTTCAGAAATATTTTTATCTGCTTTATGCCAATTAAATACTGTTGATTTTAAGCTAAATATTAAGGTAGATTAGTTACAATTTATGATAAACTAAACTCTCTTAAGACAAAGTGATTCTATTTATAGAATTCGTCTTTTCTCGATGATACGTGGATAATACCCAAGTATAGACAATACGAATTCGTACCAAGTAAAGACTTGGGTGTTCGAGTAATGTAAGATTCATTTAAAATAGATATATTTATACATAAAGGAAATTAAAATGCGGAAATCTGACTTACAGTCTAGCAGAAGGGCATTGTCTAGTAACATCTGTGGAAGAGAATAGTGTTGCTGGAGAGAACAACCGCATAGAAATAGGAGATGCAATAGATGAGTTATTGGGACAAAGTTTCAGAACAATGTCCATTTCGAAAGCCCAGTCACTTTTAAAAGAAAACAAAGGTTATCCGATATTTCTAGGTGTTGTTAAAGCGAAAATGACAAACGGTTATGTTTTTCCTCCTATTTCCGAGTAAGTATGGAGAAAACTCTTTACTTTTATCTTTATTAATCTTTCTTCTATAAACAGTCTAATAAAACTTACTGATATTGATCTTGGAAGCATTGAAAAGCAAGCCAAAGATGGTAAAATATACTGTATTTATATCAAAAAAATAATAATAGCCTATATATTTAAATAAAAAAAGGAAAAACAATTAGTTCTAACAAAGTAACAGAATATATAGTTTATAGTAATAGTATATATCTTATTCAACAGAATATAAAAAAAGATCAAATAAAGAAACACCTGCTCATACTATTTTACCTGAAGATGAATATGATAAAATACCTGTATCAAATTCCACAGATTCGTGAGTTCAGTTCAAATACCTTAACTTTTGTAAAAGTAGAAAAGTATTTTCATAAAATCAATAAAACACTTATTTTAATATTTGAAACTAAAAGTTTTCTTTACAACAACACATAAAAGCTATAAGTATAATAAAACAAGCCAATGTAGGTCAAAAGCTATTACTCAAATCTTGCTCTCTATATGTGTTTATCTTAATCAACGACTAGCTGTCTTTAATCACGAGACGTTTTTATCGTTGTATTTTTTTTTAAATTGATATATATATATACAGTATATTATTATATATGAGCTTTAATGACTTTCTCCTTAAATTCTTTTCTTTTTCTGACTCAGGGCCGATTATTATGTGAAATATGTTGGTGCAATTTCAGTTGGATCGGTATGCATGTTGTTAAAATATCTAACACATATATAAAAGTTAAGCCTATTATCAAAAACTATCTTTATGCCTTTTTTAATAAAGGATGGAGGAGTTCATCAAATCGAAAAGGCCATTGGAAATATAATTAAACAAGATCAAGAAAAGAGCCTAGACGAATATCAAGTACTTTTTTCAGATATTCTTTAATTAAATATAATTTATCTTTCATTAATTAAGATAAAATAATACTTTGTTTATTTAATAATAGAATGTTGGCTTAGCTTTAGGAGAAAAAGATGTAATTGTCACCGATTCATTATCAAATAAGATTTTATTCAAGCATTCTTATACGGAAATTGCGTCATGCGGACGAAGATTGGATAATATGCTATTGGTGGCTTACATTGCAGGGTACGTATATTCTGTATTATTTGAATCGTCTTCTATAAATACTGTATATATATTTATATGTTTAGAGAAACTACATGTAGCTTTGCTAAGGATTTCAAAGCCTATGTATTTAGAGCATCTGATAGATCGGAAGTAAGTAACGAATTCAATCTTTAAACTCTACTTGCTTCACATCAATCTCTCTTTATATGCTTAACGTTTGTTCCTTTAGGCTAAAGATATCTTATGCAGTATAGGTAAGTTATAAAGAAAAGTTAATAATAAAAATATTTCAAGTTAAACTCTTCATTATTCCTGTTAGCTCAAGGTTTTGATCGAACTCACTTTTTCGTTTAACCATAAGAAAAGGAGAAGAAGAATTAGAACAAGAACAAGAACAAGAATAATATATTTTATTAATTTTAAGAAAATATGACCAGTAGTTTTTATTTTTAATATTCCATTTTTTATATTAATTTGACCTATTTTAAAATAATTGAAAAATAATATAAAAAAACATCCTTATCAATAAACAAAATTATCATTTTTATACTTCCAAAAAGCTTTTCACGCTATCAAATTGTTTTCTTTAAGAATACACCAAAATTTCATAATATACAACTAGAAGGAGAAATTTTCAATCTTAATTTGAATATCTACATCTATTTCCGGTTGATATATAAAAAAAAGGGCGAGGCCAATTTCTTGCTAATTAATAATGTTTCAAACTAGTCTTATACGTGTATAGCAATTCTTATTATGTATTTTACAACTTTTACCTTCTCGTTTGGTGTGATTTTATTTACTCTTCTTGTCTATTTAAAAGTAAAATAACGTTAAATATGAAATTATGGAGGAAGTTCAATATTTCTATCGTTCAATATCTACCTGATAAAATGAGTCACTCATTTAAAATATATTTTTTATCTTGTTTATCTATTTCTGTTATCGGAATGATAAATAGCAATTGTATTTGCCTGTGCGTTTAGTTATTCGCGGAGTGGTCAACGATGAAGATATTAATTTTCTCTTTTCTGGCTCTGTCTACTTTTCTAATTGTTCGATGTAGTAATATTACGGATGGAAGTGAACTAGAATCAAGGAGTAGAGTTAAAAATGGTTTAGAACCTCTGGTCAAATTTGTCCATTTCTTTCTCCATAAGGTTGTTCAACCAAAGACAATTGACGTATTCCTTAACAAGGCTGAAATAACAGACTATACATCATGGCAGAATTACTGGCGAAATACCAATTGGAAAACAATTGTTAATCATATGAGTAAAGTTTATTTGGGCTTTACAATTATAACTCTTATAGGTGTATTCGTCATTGTTGGATTATTAATATCCGGTTTAGTAGTTTGCTGCTGCCGATGTTGCTGTTCAAAAAAGCCAAAGATAGACGAAGGAGGTAAAGATACCTGCAAAAGAACTTGCTGTGGCTTTATACTGTTTATTATATCACTCTTCTGCGTTGGCCTATGTGTTGTTGGAGCTGTTGCTGGAACTCATTTGGCTAGAGAAATTAAGGCTGAAAATTTTCCAAAAGATTTTGAAGATATAAGCTTAGTCATTAACAGTTATATATCTTCTACCAAGTCCAATATGACAAAGACAATTACAAATACAATAAGTGAAACTCGGGATCAGGTTAACGATAAATTAACAGTATTCCCACAATCTGTATTTACTAATTTCAATCGTGAAATCAAAGACGTAAATTCTACATTTAATAGTATAATAAGAACATCTAATAGAAACCAATTGGCGTCTTCTTATACTGATATGAAGTTCAGTAGCGGAAATTATAGTGCGAGTAGAGGACAGTTGACTACTTCTCTTACTACGTTAAAGTCTGATATAAGTACAAAATTACAAACTTGTTCGTCAGATGAGTGTACACGTGCAAAAGAATTGCTGAAAATTATGCGACCAGAAGCTGATTTTTCTAACTTGAGTAAATATGATTTAAATTTTACAATTATTGAATTTAGTTTACTAAACTGATCGTTTTTCTCTAGAGTCAGTAGATGATGCTATTCTGGCTGCTTTTTTAGTTGTTCAGACTGGAGAATCCCTCAAACAAGCACTGACAAGATATTCTAATATTGAAAACACGATAACAACTGCGGCCAATAGCGCTATAGTAAGGGCAAAAAAAGAAGTTTCTGATATTGCTTCAAGTGGACTGCAAGCTGCAAAAGATTTAGAGAAGAAATTAGATTTTCAAGTCAGCATGAAATTTAACTCCAAGACAAAAAATAACTTGAATAAAGCCTCGAAAATAGTTTTCAGTAGTTTAATCGGAATTGCTGGATTGTTGGCTTTAATTGGTATTTTTTTTATAATCGGTCTATTTTGTGGTGGAGTGTTACCTCAACCAAAAAAGCTTGGTCAATGCTGTTCTTCAAACCAAGGGTCTAATATTATATGGGTTGGAGCCATAATATTTTTTATTTTTGGTTGGCTTTTACTTCTATTGACAACTTCTCTCTTCCTAGCTGGTGGAATAGCTGAAGATAATGTTTGTAGACACCTAAGGAAAATAGATGAACCTCTAAATAAGATAGGAGAAATAGTGAAGAAAAGTGTAAAAATCGATATTATTCAAAACTCTACAGTAACTTTTACTGGTCTTTTAAACAGTATGAAAAACAACGAAGCAATCTATCAAACTTTGAAACTATCAGATTTTCCAAATCTTAATCTTACGAAATTGTTAAATTTACAAAAAATCCAAGATGCCTTATTAAAAGAATTGGCTGAAATTAAAATAGATTTAACAACTGTAAATATCTTGCCAGACACTTTTCCAATTTTAAATCAAACAGGCAACACTTTTGATGAAGTGAATATTACTGAATGGATAGCACAAACAAATAAGCAAGTAATGAAGGGTGATCTACTAGAATTGGTAAAAGTAATGAGAGAAATCCAAGGCATAGACCTTGTTTCCGAAATTAACAGGGCTAACAGCATTCATGGTGATACAGTTGTTCCCATGGAAACACTTAAAACTAGCATCAGTTAGTATAATTAATTGCATATATAAAAAGTTGTTTTGTAATGTTGATAATTTTTCTTATCAGGAAATTCATCCATGTATGTTAAAGATAGTTTCGAAGATAGGGGCTTTTCCGCTGTTTTGGCAGATTTAGAAGAAAGTAGTACTACAATTACACAAAGTGGTAGGGGCATTTTGTCATATAAATACGATTTATAGTGTTTACTATTTTTAATGTTTCTTTTTTCATATAAAGGTAACAATATTACGAGTAAGATAATAAAGGATGAAGCCACTGTTATCTTTGATATTGTTAAATTTCAAATAAATGGCATTATTAGTGTGGCAACAAATGAAATAGGCAGAACAAAACCGATGTGGAATGTATATAATTCGCTAACAAGAATATCTTGTGACCAAGTTATGAATTCATTAAACAATTATTGGTTTTGTTTGGGATGGACAAGTTTCTTTTACCTACTAGCAATGGGTTTTGCAACTGGCATGGCGGATATGTTTAGAAAGCCGAAGGAGGAAGAAGATTTTCCCATGACCAATTCAGAGTTAAACGGTATTCCAATGAACTCAAGAAGCTATGTTTATTCAACAAGTGACAATGACAATGACCCAGGAGACCGGAAGTTCTACCCAAGACCTAGACAGAGACGAGATATGCACGATCGAACGGGCAGAGTTGACAGGATACAAGAACAATATATCTAAGATGAAAATTTCTACAAATTCTCAGTTTTATTCCTTGTTATGAGCTTTAGTTTCTATTAACATTTTTTGTTATTACACGAATATCCTATTATATTTATAAATAGTATGTTAAAAGATGTTTGGAATACCTTTGCAGGCAAAGAGAAAAACATTATTTTAAATGATATTATTAATTAACAGTGTCGACATCTTTATTAAAAAAACTCAATTACATGCATTTAGTTTGTTAATTTGTTAATAGAAAAACCTTAAGCTTTCATTAAATACTCAATATAAAGATGGCAGCCGTAGGGGGTCGAATAATTTCGAATTTTACGCAGGTGCTTTTGATTACCTGTGCAAAAAGTCGTTTGAAAGACCCTAGAGAATTTCGTTCTCTTTAACAGGCTACGAACTGTTAACTAAATTGGTTTCCAATTAAATAGTAATTGGTAAAAGTTTAACTCAAAGATTGCATCTGAAAGATGAAACCTTCATTGAAAAAACTACACTATAAATAGACTGAAGATTCAAAATAAACAAAGAAATTGACAAGGCTGAAAGATTGAGCGACAGATGGCGCACAACGAGCGACATCTGCTAATCGCCAAGCGCATTGAGCGGACACGTAATATTATGTAATAAGTGTAGAAAGCTGTATGACCGAAAGCATTTGAAACAGGAGGCAGGCGACATCAGCCACTGATTTCTACACTACAGATAAACACCTCTATAGAAGGAGTTTAATCGCTTTTTCCTTCTTTTTTGATTTATAACTAAAGAGAAAAACCTTTTCATCTCACCCGACTCCGGCGGCTATTGGTTGAAACTTTTGAATACTTTCGATTTTCTTCCGGTACAATTAAAGTTTTTACTCTCTCTTTAGACGGAGTTCGACTTTCTATTAGTACTTCTCCTTTTATATCGGATGTATAACTACTAGTCTCAAATAGAAATGATATAATAGGGACTACAGTGATGGATATAGGTAGGCCTATTGTATACTGTACACGAATTAAGTAAATATTATTCCAATTAATATTGGACGATATAGTCAATTTTTGTAAGCATTTTTACGTATAGAAATCGTTGACCCAATTTTAAAACAAGGACAATTGGTAGTCAGTAAGCTATAGGTCACATCGTCTTATATCATTATTAATAGAACGGAATAATTTAAGAATGCATAACAAAGCGAGTACGTTAATGTTTAACGCATGAAAAAAGAATAAATAAACGAATAGAGGAACGTTTTGACCCAGTTCAAATGTTAGCTTGGGGAAAAAACGTTGGAAGGAGAAGTGTTTTTATTCAAAGGAAAAGCTATCAGTGTGATTTTTACGGCGTCGTAAAACGTCATTGCCTGTCCATGCAGGGCTGATAGTTGTATACCTTTGATTTTTGTATACATCTAGATTGTTTGATCCACAGGAGGGCAGCTTGATAGTGAAAAGTTTCTTAAAGGAGAGAGGAAGAAGGGAGTTTGCAAATGGTTTAATGTATTAAAGGGATTCGGTTTCGTGACGCCTGAAGATGGATCTATGGATATCTTTGTTCATCAGGTATAATACTCTTAAACGACAATTAAACTACATCCAATGAATAGCATTCCAATTCGCTTCGTCGATTAAAATCATGTATTTTACAACATTAGTCAGTTGTTCATATGGAAGGATTTCGAAGTTTAGAAGAAGGTGAAGAGGTCGAATTCGTCTCAAAAGAATCTGATAAAGGTCAAGAGGCAGTTTTCATTTGCGGCAGAGGCGGTATTCATTGTCAAGGAAGTAAAAGGAGACCACTACCAAGAAGAAAGAGTAAGAAAATAAAATGCTACAATTGCGGTGAATTTGGTAATCATATAGCCGCTAAATGCCCAAGAGGGCCTCTTCCTAAACGATGCCATCATTGTAAATCCGACCAACATTTAATAGCCGATTGTCCAGATTTCGAAAGAGACAATTGATCTTTCTAATAAATACTGTTACTATTAAATTGATTAATATACTAATACTTTATTTTAAAGTATTCAAAGACTATTGTACTGTACAAAGAAAAAATAACTTAAAGAAACATACCAATTATTTGTTATTATAAAAAAATTGATAAACTTTCAATTAATCAATTATCTTTTTAATTATGACTTCTTTCTCTTAAAAAACCGACTATTTTATTTTATATATTTTCATATACTGTATAAATAGTTCAAACTTTAAAGATCTTTTATGAAAGTATAACTCTATTACTCATTATTTCATTGTAAAATAGTTAATGCAGCATCTCCCTCTCGTATCTCTCTATTAAATAGTCTGTCAATGCAAAAGTCTTTATATCATTTTATCTTCGTTATTAATAATCAAATGAATAATGATTCATGCTATATTAACAACGAGCTTTATCTTATCAATAAAAGTAAAGATTATTTGGCTCTTATCAGTTGCTAATATATATCCTATGAATTGCGTCAAACCAGACAATACAACAGAGAGAGAAGGAAACATGCGCACTTTGATTATTTTTGCAGTTGTGATTTCAAATTTATCTTTCGCCTATTCTTATTCAAATCTTACTGTTGATGTTGATTTGGATCAACAGACCGGTTTAAAACCTTATAATGTTCTTGTTCGTTTTTTTATTGAGAAAGTTGTCCAGCCAAGGGGAATGTCTCGATTTCTCGATCGAGCTGGTATAGAAAATAGAAATGACTTTGACAACTATTGGAAAAATACAAAATGGCAAACAATGGTTAAGGATTTAAGTTACGTTTTTATTGGATTTGGAATTATTGGTTTATTAGGAGTTCTTACAGTTATCTTTATAATGTTTTGTGGTGTAATAACTTGTTGTTGTCGATGTTGCTGTACATCGAAGAAAGACAGAGAACCTGGAAATAAAGATAGTTGTAAAAGAATAGTATGTGGAACTTTTCTTTTCGTTTTGTGCCTTGTTGTTGCAGCAGTTGGATGCATTGGTATCTTCAGTAGCAATTACTTAAGTCAACAAATTCGTTACGACAACATGATGACGGATATAAATAGCGCATTTAAAGTTATTAATCCATTCATAGGAATGGCTCGTAAAGATTTGGAATCTGATTTAAAAGATGTAATCGTAAATGCTGGTGACGAGGTAAATCGGGAATTGTTTACGTTTCCTATCGATACTTTTGAAAGATTTGACAAATCTCTAAAAATCAAGGATAGTTTATCAAAAATTACAAAAGCTTGTCAACAATCAACACAACTAGAGCAAGGATTTAATAATATGGGAACAGGCAAAGGGAGTTATGCGGGAATAAAAACTTCTCTGGATAACAGCCTGACCACTTCGAGAAATAATATAAATGGCCTCCTCACAAACGCACAATGTAATGTTGCAGAATGTGGCCAACTTCTCAGCCAATTGCCTGACTTAAAAACCGAAGCTGACTTTTCTAACCTTCGTAAGTTATGAGCAAATTTCCTTTCTCTTTAACTTTCTACTATATCATAAATAATTATAATAGCTGATACAACTGATGCTGCTACTTCTGCAAATAATCTTGGGAATTATGAAACAGCATTCAATTTAGCTTTACAAAGGTACGAAAGAGTTGAGAATGATATAGAAAGCGTGGGACGAGATCGTTTGGATAGAGCTAGTGACGAAGTAGACAAAATTGTTCAAACAGCTGTGTCAACATATAATGATGTGGACAAAAAAATTGGAAATATTAAACTATCAGATCCTGTTATATCACCAAAAGCCAAGGACGTGACCTCAAAAGTTTCAAAAATTGTTGGAAATGCTTTAATTGGTACATTTAGTATGCTACTTTTAATAACATTCCTATTTGTTATGGGTATTTTTTGTGGTGGAGCTTTGCCTCTTCCAAAGACGCAAGGTGGTGGTTGTTGCAACTCTCGCCATGGTGGCCGGCTCCTTATGGCTGGGGTAGGTCTGTTTTTCATTTTCGGATGGTTGTTCTACCTCATCGCAACAGCTTTTTTCTTATCTGGTGGAGTTGTTCAGGCCAATGTTTGTAGACATTTAAGAAATGAGGACTACGATTTAAATAGAATATGGGATATTGCCAAAGGCAGTATCAATGTGGATATTATTAAAAATTCTTCCCTGAAAATGACAGATTTCTTAGCTTCAACACGAAATGCAGTTCCTCTTTATAGGGCCCTTGAAATAGAAAAAATCAAAGGATTGAATATATCTGATGCACTAAACTTGGATAAATACGATATCAAGAGACTAATGCAGGAAATATCTAGTATTTCAATTGATGTTAATATGGAAGTATTTCCAGTTGCTCTCCAAGGACCATTAGATACAGTGGCAAGGAATTTTGATAATGTACAATTAAAAGAATGGTCAAACGAACTCTTGAAACCAGTTACAAAAACACCTGTAGGCTATTTTGCTTCAAAATTACGCGATATTGCTATAAAGGTGCAAGAGCCACTAAGAACACAATTAAATACTGAAGCAAACACATTAAGTGGAATTGAACAAGGTGATGTATCTTCAGCAGAATCTACAAAAACTTCGATAGACACTGCTACAAATCAAGTAGGAAGTATAATTGGCTTTGATCCGTTTAAACTTATTGTAGATTCTTTGAAACTTGGCAATGATAGGTTAACTACTAACGGTAAGACATTTTGCAGATTAGACATTTTTATATTTGATATATTTGATATATTTTTACTGATTAGCTGATTTTTTTTTGTTTTTATCAGGCGAAAACGAAATTAAGTTTGCTATTGGAAATCAAACTCTATTAATATATCAAAGGGTAGAAGGAAGTGCTCAACAAGTTATCATTAATGTGAATGATAAAATTGCTCCGACAAAACCATTATATTTAATGTATGGGTCACTTCGACACGTTAGCTGTGAGAGAGTATTACTCTCATTTAATTCTATGTGGTTTTCAATGGGCTGGGTGCTTTTCTTCCTGCAAATATCTGTAATTTTAGCTCTAAGTTTATCGACGCTCTACAGAAAAGAAGTACCAACTAATAGCGTTGAACCTCTCAGGGAAGAAAAAATTCCTATTTTTACTTCCTCTGAACGTAAGCAACAACTGATAAAATCTTATCAGAAAATTCATGACTTGCTTTTTTCTTACAGCTCAACCAAGAGTTGGATTCACTTATAAAACTAAGGTGCACCCAGATAGGGATCCTATATAAGAGTTAGAAGAGAAGGAAAGAAAGAAGGAGAAAGAGAGAGAGAGAGAGAGAAAAGAATACTTAAATAAACTGCACTAATAGAGAATGATTACGCATCAGTTAATCTGTCTCATTTTTTTACCCATACTCTTTTTTGTAAGACTAGCTATATATTTCCATAAAATAAATAATTTAATAAAAAAAACAACATTCACAATCACGACGTCAGTACTTTCGAATCGAGAAATCAACATTGTTTATTCCTTATCTAAAACTACTTAGTAACGATTGTAAAGCTCGTTCATATGCTTTACGGTTTTGATAAAATATACAATTATTAGCGCACGTATCAGGATCCGCCTCCCAAAATGTTTCTGCGCATGAGCATAAAGGTGGTAATTTAATTTTTTTCAGTTCCATACTTTCCCGAATTTGAGCTTTTAGAGCAGTTAGATATCTTTCTTCTTCGCATTTTTTTCTAGTTTGTAATCTAAAATTGATAAATTATTAATAATTTAAACCATTAGATAATTTTCAGAGTTTATTTTTATAAGCAGAGCTTACTTTACTTCCTCTTGGTGATATTTATTTATTACATCTGGCTTTGGACGTTCAGCCTGTCTAATCTTTAGAGCGTGTTCTCTTTCAATCTGCCTCCTTTCCATCTCTTTTTGTCGTTTCAATATTTCAATTTCTTTCGCTTGCTGCCTCCTCTTCTCAGTCTCTCGAACATTTTGTCTTTCCAATTCGGCGAAAACCTTACGAACTAGATTTTTCTGGGAAGCTTTAAGTGATTTTTCCTCTTCAGTCGTAACGATAGGCCTCATATCCAATACGGCACGTTTACCTGTATATAAAGTTTACGACTTAGCACCTATTGTTTGCGTTATAAATTCGTTTACTCACAAACTTCGCTAACTTTATTCTTATCAACTCTACAAATTATGACATCATCGTCTTCTACACCTAGATCAGTCACATCCAAAGATAGTTGACTCATGTCGAAACTATGCTTATTCTGATTTTCTTTATTCTTTCGATTTTTTTTCTTTGATTTTCTCATTGGTCTATCTTCGTCAATACAAAATCTCACTGTTTGTGAATCTTTCTTTATTGAATTTCCTTTTAATTCCATTCTATCGTTGGTTTTTATTAAATTTTCATCGTTGTCATCTTGATCATTACCTAAAAAGGTTTCTTGCTCATCTATATCGGCTACTTTTTGGCGGGCTAGAGCGTTCCGAGCGCTCTGTGTTGTGCTAAAAACATGTTGCTTTCTCTCCTCAAACATACGTGGGGCAGATATATCAACGGATAATGCCGTTGGTGTGGTTGATTGAGTTGATAAGATTCCTGCTGTTTGCGGAAATGAACAGTATTTGAGTATTTTTTGTTCACACTGAAGAGCAATTGCTGAGCGTCTGTCCCTTTCTTCCCTTTTAATTTTGTTCAATTTTTGCACCCTACGTTTGACCTCCTCTTGAAAGTTACGTAATTTTGTATGTTTCTCAGCTATAATAGTTCTTATCTTTTCTTCTTCGATGATTGCTTGTTCCTACAATTAAAAATGTTTTATTTATAAACTTGTTGAAACTTGTTATGAGCGATATTACAGGTGGAAAAAATCAGAATTAAATTACCCTCGGATCAGGTATGAATTCAGTCTCATCAATTGCTAATTCAACCCATGCACCAACTGGGCGAATTTCTTTAGTTCTCGCACCAAATATACAAGGCGTACTTTTTTGTTTATTCTTACTTGTTTTCGGTATTGCGAGGGACGCCATGACTTGAGGCAACTGGTAAACGTATATTTCGCCAAAATTTAAATATTTTACAAAATCCCCTTATGTTAATAGACTCTAAATGTAAGAGTGAGTATTAATTAGCAAGCCAAAGTTGACATACTAAGTCTAAACTCAACATGTCATCCTCTTAATCATAAAGAGTTAATTAAATAACATGATTATAATTTGCTTTTAACTGTAGAGTACTGAACTATACATTAATGACACGACTAATTAGGCATAAAATAATTCTTTCTCCTTGTCCTATCCATCGAGGAATCCTGCTATATGTAAATCTATGTTTTTTCCCTCCTAGCTTTGTTCCCTAATTAAGAAATAAAAGAAAATACAAATAAAGTTATGTTATACTAATTTTCGCTTGTTTCCTTTCTCTATATTCATAACTACTAGACGAATTAGCTATTATACAATGTAAACGTTGTCAAACTCTTTAGAGAATGCAACAGCAACTGACTGGACATAGGATTTGCTTGTTAAAAGAAAATTACTTTTAATCAAAATAAAGAAACTTTCCAATTGTTCTGCATAATTCAATTTTAAAAAAAACAAGCATTGTTGAAGAAAAAGAGGAAAACAACTACAGTACTCTACTTTCTAAATAAATAAAAAAGGGTAAATGTTCTTGTTCGCTATTCTTTCACTTTTCAGAGAGAGAGAGAGAGAGAGAGAGAGAGAGAGAGAACAACTGTTGTTGGCGACATCTATATATAAGTTAGACAATCAATTATTAAGTCCAACAGGGGGACTAGAATTTTTTCAAAGAATTCCTAGAAACTATGATTTAAAATGCTAAGGAACTAAGTGCTGATGTATAAAAGAGAGGAATTCTATTCTAAAATTAAATTTAACCATTCTTTTGTTAAATGTATATAAAATAGAGTTAATTTTTGAGTAAGAAAAAATCTACAATATAAATAGTTTCAATTGGAAATAATTTACTAGGACAATCTACAAAGTTTAGGTTCGTTGATTTGTATAAATGTCACGTGGGGTAGTTGGTCTCCGAGCTGAAAACTATTAAGAATGGAGCGGTTTTAGTACAAATAAGAAGCACGTGTTCCCGGGCAAACAATCTTAGTAATGGCTTTTCTTATGTGCCTTCTTCTTTTCTAATAGCTTGCACAGCATTGTATGACAAATGTACAACCTATATATTCTTATAATAATACAGGAATTTTAGCTTCATTTTCCCTTCTCTTCTTTTAAGTTCCATCATAATTTCATTGTTTCGTTTCATCTTTATCATTTTCTTTTGAGCTTTGAAATATTTATAAATGGCACTTTTAATGTTCATAAAATATATGTAATGAAAGTAGAATTTTATGATTATCATTAAATTTTCAATAATTTCGAAGAGGATCAGCTTGTCTACCAGGCCAATTTAAATGTAGAAACCAGGCTTATTATTTCAAAGGCAGGTCTTTTCATTGCAATTAATTCATAATTACCCTTCTTTGGGTTAATAAAAATACATAACAGAGTGATATAACACGTAAACAGTATAATAAATATAAAAATAGCTTAAAGAGTATTGTCTCTGGCAGCAAAACTACTAGGAAATGACACCTTATTTGTTTTTTTTTTGTTTATATTTGTATGAAATTTCTATGTGTACACACTGTAATAAACTGCAAAAAAAATGGCTATAATTAAAAGCTGCAGTATTCAACGAAATCAATACTTTATTCTTTTTATAATTACAATCATTATCAATATAATATTTGCTAAAATGTACTAAAATGGAAATGTTAAACTTAAAAAAAAAGGAAAAAAACGACATCTCCTGGGAGAATTTCTCATAAAAAAGATTAATCTCTCTCTCTCGCTCTTTCTTTCTTTATCTCTGTATCTGCTTTTTGATTTCTGTTCCCTTTCATAACATTCGACATTAAAATATCAAAAGATTGTGTAATGATACTAATTCGTCCGTTCATTTGCATCCCGTATGGTAACTGGTGATGACTTTCATCCCCACTCTTTACTATTTCAAATGGTCGCAAAGTCATCTGGCTATTACCATATGGCATATATTGAATAGATGTATAGCTTAAGTTTTTTTAATACGTCGAAGGTATAATAGATATCGACAAAAAGAGATATTTCCTCGTATGCCTTTCAAATACTTGTAATATTAAGTAAGTTTTATAAAAATTCCAATCATAATGCGAAGAGTATAGTAAACTTGCTAAAATACGCGGCCTATACTACGTAATTTCAACCATCTTTCCATCAAACGTAGAGAAATATTAAACTTCTCACAACACTGATTCGAGAACTTTAGAATTACAAGATTCATTGTTGACTATAATTGTATTCCTTCCATATAAATCAATAAATCAATAAGATTTCCAATTTATCTTTATTATATTGTACAATCGCACTTGGGTAATTCAGTATGATAAATTTAATTGAATATATTAGTACAATCATTGGTAAGCATAATAATAATCGTCTTAATAATAGGTGAAGAGGTTGGGACTTGAAAAGGAGTCTTATAAGATATTATATATACTGTATATTTATATATATATAAAGTATTCTCAGCTAAAAAATGAGGGATGTTTTCAAAACTGCCCCTAACTCCTTTCAAAGAAATAAATAATAACTAAAGAGAAAGAGAATAGGAATAGCTTTCATTGACAGCATATAGTAATTAATAAAAAAAAATTCTCTATGATTAACTCATTATATTTAGGGATATTACTAAACGGAATTATGCGTTAAAGGTATCACTTATCTGTTATACATGTATGTATAGTACTTGTCACAATTCAGTGAATAGTATCAATAAATAATATTCGATACTATAGAATATAAGATCCGTCGGTAGTAAAGTATTTCGGAATTATAAAACCCTCAATATTATTCTTATCTATTTAGGGTGAATAAGAAAAGATCAGTTGTCAGTTTATAGGTTTAGTAATAAAAATAAACAACTTGAGTGTTGGCAAAAACTTTATCGGTCCAAAGAGAAATAGCTGTTACAGCTTTAAACATAAACAAACATTTACTTTCTGGAACATTCGAATTTTACAAGTCATTGCTAAGCTTTAGTTTTTGACCAGTATTAACTATCTACACATTTTGATGAGGGACTACTTGTAGATATACGTATATATATATAAACAGTATATATTGGATAATAACAATGGAAATACAATATATAAAGTTGTTTAAAACATGCATATATGTAGGATATATAAATATTTATATTTATTGAAATAAACACCATAATAGTCTTATATGCTTTAAACTCTTGTTGTGATAAAGGAAAATACTTCTTCGAAAAATTCAATACGTTGAATAACCATAAAATGAATGTATTAATAATATTTTCAATGCTAGTTTTAGGAGAGAGACATAAAGGGTTTATTAATAGAAATATTGTTATCCATTACTTAGGTTAATAAGCTTTTTAACTAATAATTAGTTTATTTCTTTATTAAAACTTCTATTTTTTAGAACTATTAAAATATACAGTATTAGCAATTTTCTTATATATTTTCCGTTTCAATAAGGCAAAAAGGATTCTCTTCTTTCTTCCTCTAATATTTCTGCGATAATTTTGTGCAGACTGTTTTAACCTCCAGATATTCTTCAACGCCATAAGTACCTCTGAAAAGATGAAAACGTCATCGTTAATATGTCTGTTTAATGAAAACTGATTACTTGTCCTTTTTCTAGTTTTTAAATCATTTCATAAACACAAAATTTCATAGAGTATGTTAAGCAATATAAAATAATTTTACAAGTTTTAATTTGTAAAGAATATAGAAGAGAAAGCCTTAATATTTTATTATATACTAACAATTCTCTTCCGATTCCAGATTGTTTATAGCCGCCGAAAGGCTGTTGGGGACTAAAATAATTAACACAATTAACCCAAATTGTTCCTGCTTTGATAGCATGGGCGACGGTTAGACTGGTTTCCAAATCTTTTGTGAAAACGCAAGCGGCTAAGCCGTAATGGGTGTTATTAGCTTTCTCAATAACTTCATCAATTGTTTTGAATTTAAAGATGCTTTGAACGGGTCCGAAAATTTCTTCGCGTCCAATTCTCATATTTTCGTTTACATCGGAGAAAACGGTTGGTTCAACAAAGTAGCCACTTCGATCCATTCTTTTACCTCCACAATGTAATTTAGCACCTTCCTTTTTACCACTCTCGATTAAATCGAGGATCTTTTTCAAACTGTCTTCATCGACTTGAGGTCCACTTTCAGACTTTTTATCAAATCCATCGCCTACAACGCGTTTCTAGGAAGATAAAGCATTATTTAAATATAGTACCAAAAATATACTAAATTTATATGCTATGTACTCTATATACTATATACTTTATATATATATGTAAGCATCGGTGATATTTTTATATTTATAGCACATTTTATCCTATACATTTCGTTTAGGTGATGCTAAAAATAGTAAAGAAAGTGATCTTGATGTAATATTACTTTAGCTCTCTCTACGCTTCGCTTAACGAATTCCTCGTAAATATCTTCGTGTACGTAAGTTCTAGAACCAGCACAACAAATTTGACCAGAGTGGTACATGATTGATTGATGTGCCATCTCGACAGCGTAGTCCACTGTATGATAATTATTGAATTAATTAAGAGAAAGGTAATGTAGGTCAAGGATATGATACTAACAGTCAGCGTCTGCGAAGATAATATTTGGGCTTTTGCCTCCTAATTCTAAGCTGACTTTTTTTAGGTTAGAGTCAGCGGATGCTTTTAAAATTAGTTTCCCAACTTCAGTTGAACCTGTAAAAGATACTTTGGCGATATCCATGTGATTAGAAATTGCCGCTCCCGCAGTTGGTCCATAACCTGGCACCATATTGACAACACCAGCAGGGAATTCGGCTTTCTTAAACAAACTAGCAATAAATAGCGATGCTAATGGGGTCTGCTCGGCTGGCTTAATGACCAAGGTACAACCGGCTGCTAATGCAGGTCCTATTTTCATGCACAAGATGCTTATTGGGAAATTCCATGGAACAATGAGTCCACAAACCCCAATTGGTTCTCGTCTTGTATAACTAAAAACTGGGCCATCTGATCAATAAAAAATTCCTATAGACAAATGTATTATTAGACAAAAATATAGTCAAACTTACCTGATAATAATGTTTGCCCGTTGATCTTATCGGCAAGTCCAGCGTAATAAGTCAAAAGACTAACTCCTTGCAAAACCTCTCCAATAGAGGCAGTTAGAGGTTTTCCACTATCAATTGTGTTCAGCTCCTATAAAATTTTACTATTTTAAACTTGAAAATTATTATTTGTACCTAGTTCTTTACCGTAATTATTGATACGTTATCTTTTATAAGGTGAGCCAGACGTATCAACAGCTCTCCTCTTTGAGAGGCATTCATCTGTGTCCAGGTTGATTTTCTTTCAAAAGCCTTTTTGGCAGCCTGCACTGCTTGGTTAACGTCAGCCTATCGAGAGAAAGAAAATTGGTGCAATTAATAAATTTCCTAAAAGCTTTTGGTTTATCTGGACAGACCCAGTTAAAAAGTCAAAAGTGAACAAAATAAATTTGTCAAACCTCATCAGCTTCTTGAATATCAGCAACACTCTCCCCAGTAGACGGATTTATGACCGGAAAAGTTTTACCGCTTTTAGAATCAACCCATTCGTTGTTTATGAAAAGCTGAAAGAGAGATAGAAAAGATCAGAGGAGAATATACTTTTCCCTACTTATAATTCCATATTTTACCTTTCTGAATTCGATGTTAACGTTGCTTGCCATTGTCTTGTTTTTAAGCTTGCTAGTTGTCTTCGATTGAAAATCAGACTTTCAAATGTCTCTATCTAGAACTATCGATAACAAAAAAATCAAGGCCACTGAGACCAACCAATGTATTGTGGACTATGAACGATGAGCGATAGTTGGGAAATACATTCTCAACTGTTCTAAATTAAACTTAGGAAAAGCCATTCGGTGACTTGAATTGATCAATGCGGTCAAAGGTTATCTCAGATATTAATATACAATATTAATTTTGTAATTAATTAATGCACAACTTACTTAATTGTTATGTCACGAACATTTGTATTATTATGGAGTTGCTAGGGAAGCCCGACGGCTGGTTGGTTCTGAAAGAGAGGTGTAGGAGGAAGGCGACGGATTAAGCATAATAAAAATTTTGTTGATTGGAAAGAAATAGAATGAATAAGAAACTACTCGAGCTAAAGGCGAGTAGACTAAGAGGCTTTTGTAACGTAGGATTCTTAATCAGTCGTTTGGAAGTACCAAGTAAAGAGGAGAACTCTGGAAAGACAGATAGGTAACTACTGATAACAATGCTGCTGAAAGCCTACATTTACCGACTTTCGAAGAACTCTTCCAGTTGATTATTACGTTATATTATTGATTTGAAAAAAGATCTCAATAATGAAACAGGAAAATACAAAAAGATAAAAAACTGCAAACCGTGCAATAAATCTGTAAAAATTAATAGCGATTTTTCAAAACTTATATTCCCCCGCCAGATGGCATTATATCGACTGACTTCTCAGTCAGTTTGAAGTTCGAGTGACACTATGTTCCCGGATCATTTCCTCCTCCTAATCACCATTTTTCATCCTATTTACAGCGAATGTTTTCTTGACGGTAGCCTGTTAAAGTGTGAGACAAAAGGTGATCTAACTTCATTCCCCAACTTGAAGAAAAGTTACGAAAATGTGACAGAGATGTAAGTGTAAACTTAACTATAAATATCATGCATAATAAATGACCTACGGGTGTAAACGGATATATACTCTTGATTACATTCATTAATTTTTTTCTAGACAATATAAAAACGTTGTTGTGACATTTTAACGAGTATAGGGAAAAATTTCAAATAAAACTAATTAGGAAACTTCGTGTTAGGGAATTTTCTGCATTTCAATTTTTCCCTTTTATCTATTTGCCTTTCTGTCTATTTTATCTATCTATTTTCATTATTTTACGAAATACACCCCTTAAACCAAATAACGTAGGAAGTAATGTAAAAAAAACACAATGAGCGATACAGAAGAAAAGGACTAGTAGACGAGAAGAAATAGAAAAGAAGGCGAATGATTGAGTATATAAACACTACGGGAAGAAGAGAAGAGTTTTCCCTTCTTCCCCTATCCTTCTCTTCCCCAACAACGTGAAGTCACGAAAAACACTCGCTTTCTCCTGTGTCAAATGCTACAATTATACGGCAATTTCAGACGACGAATACGTGCTGAAAATGATGCTTAATGAATGTTGTTATATATAAGCTAAGGTGCTGTAAAAAAGAGTAAAGACAAGATCCAAATATATATTTATATATGGTATACAGTATATATATAGACAGATAGATAAATAGATTTATGAATACGCATTCTTGAATGTCTTTATATGAGATTTTCGTGTAGACTAATCATTATATAATTTATTCTATTTTTTTCCATTCTATTTCAAATTACTGCATCTCTCTCTTTTGTCTATTTAAGAGCGCCACCTGCTAACTTAAGTTTATTGTCCAAAGTATCGCACATAATTATGACATCTGTCAAAATAGTTAAAATAGATAACAATTTGTTTTTACTTTAATGATTTAAGTAAATATTTTTAAAAACCAAAGAAAAGACAAAAAGGGAGGATAGAAGAAAAGAGAGAAGAGACGAGAGTGTAATTTTTCTTTTTTTTTCTATGCAATTAACAACTTAAATTAGTAACCATTTATTTCTCTTAGTAAATAATTTTTAACTCCACTCGATAGAAATATTTATCGGTTTTAAAATATTACTATCCCACTCAAGGAGAAAAAGATGATTCAGCAGATAAGAAAATGCTTTTAAGATCTATTTAGAGGTTTTCTTAGTTGCTAGTGACTGTTTTTTTTCTTTTGCGCAGTTGAAATATTGAAAGAAATAAGTAGATCATATTTTTAATGTAATTTCAATCAATCATTAAATATTGATAGGAACATTAAAGATTGGGAAGTTTATTCTATAAAATAGATGAAATTCTACCAAAAAATAGGATTAAAACGATAAAAATGAAAAAATATTTTTATCGTCTAAATTATAATTTTACTAATGAAGTCAATAATTTATTTTAGTTTTATTTCCTTTTTCTTTTATCTCTTTTATGCATTTGTCTTTCTTACCCCCTCCCTATTCTTTCACTCACTCTCTGCCTCCCTCTCTTTCTCTCTCTCTCTCTCTCTCTCTCTCTCTCTCTCTCTCTCTCTCTCTCACTCTTTCTCTCTTTCGTCTAATGAGGCTATTATAACTTTTACTACTTCTAGTAATTCTTGTTATTTATTTATTTTAGTTATTAACCTTTTCAAAGGTATTGAGAGGTATTAAAGCCATTTTTTTTTTACTCTTTCTTTACCGCTTCTTCTCTCTTTTTCTCTTTTCTGACTAGATTATTCTCGTGCACTCATAAAAAAGAATCTGCGTAGAGCTAGGTATACGGTTGTAAAAATATACCTCGAATATAATCTCATCTACGCAGCATAGTCTTTCATTACTTAAACTTTATTCTATCTAACCCTGTCCTATTTCCTTTAAGTATATTCTTTAAAATCTCTTGCGCAGATTAAGTATTTTCCAATAGTCAGTCGTAGCTTTAGTTGCAGCTGTTAACCAAAAAAATTCGGTAGAAAAATATATTTAAGAAATATCGTGTTTAAAAAAATAATACATCTATATTTATAAATTCTTCTCTTTATTATAATATTTACCTTTCTTCTTAATTAACTAGAGTTGCGTTTTTTTCAATAACATTCTATGTAACTCGAAAAATCCAAAATTGTAAGCGTATACTGCAAAATCATATATTGGCTAAATTAGCTGTAATAATTATATAGTTTTTGTATGTCCTTTTGGAAGTGAACAACAGTGGAGCTTAAGAGGAACAAAAAGAAAAAGAGATGAGTAGAGGAGAATCTTACAAAAAAGCGAAAATAGAAAAATTAATTTTGTATTAAAAAATATAATAGATAGATATTTACATAGATGTAGTATATTCTTGTCTATAGACCATTAATACTATCTTCATCACTATTGAGGAGTAACGTAATTGACTTTAAGCCTAACGCTATGGAATCAATCTCTTGATTTAGACGTTTTTTTAAAAAAACGAATAATTAACATATAATATATCGTATTAATTAAAGAAAGTGAATAGAAAGGTTTTAATTAATCTTAACTGTTTACAATTAAAACAGATTTCTTTATTCTTTCTGATGTTTTTGGTATTTTTTTCCTCTTCATTAATTTCAAATGGGCAATCTCAAGGTCAGTTGACTTGAGGTTTCCCAGCCCTTACTCTCTGATGTACTATAAAAACTACTTTTCTATTTAAAATCAGAATATAGAAAATGTTCAAGTTGTTATCAATTTAATAATTATTTCTTATTCGCCTCTTATTTATATAATCAACTTTTGATTATTTAAGACCTAATTAGAAATGGTTTAATTAGGGAATAAGGTTAAAGCGGTATTTATATAAATAGAGATTTATTATAGCACTGCAAAGCCTATTGATAACGTATTATATAAGTTAAAAATAAATACATACACTCGGCATATATATATATATATATATATATATATATATATATGTATACAGTATATATAAGTATATCTCTCTTATCTTTTGGATTTTATTTTGCCTTTCTCCCCACAGATCAATTGTTGATCAAAACATTCCAAGAGTAACAATTGAACAGTTACGAAACTTCACCAAATTGGAAAAACTGTAAGTTTTTTACTATTACTTTTTATAATATTATTACTATATCTTTCTATAAGTTTTGTATAAATTGTCTCTTATCTTGATACTGTTCCATAAAGGTCTACCCTTACTATATTCAATGTCTATCATTTTAGAGTATAAACATTTTATACATCGTAAGTGGCACATATTTATATACGTATAATATGTCAAATGCTCAGGCTTCTGGAAGCCTTATATTGGTTGTTATCCTCTAACGAACGCCGGTCGAACGTAAAAAATCTGATGGTAGGCTAAGTTTAGACAAATTTCTCCGAATTACAAAATTATTCTGTTAAAGGTTATTAGCATTAATTAACGGAACAGGCCACTTTTATAATAAAAGATAGTATAGCCGGAATATTATCTATTAGGAAAAGATTTCCTTTCAACCCCGAAGCCCAGCAAAAAAAAGGGCTTTGATTGACAGAAAATACCTTTAATAATAAAATCATTGATTACTAAACATAGAATAAAAGTACATAAAAAACATAGGGGATGTGATAAAACTTGGTAAAATAATGCAGGCCAACGAAGAATTTCTTGGATAATTACTTATAAATGTGTTTGTATAAAATATTCTCTTTCTGTTCTTTAGAGTCTTTTGCCTACATTCGTCAACTTTTAAAAAGGAAAATGACGCTTGTAAATAATACAATTAACAAAGGTCTTATAGGTAGAGCTGACAGTTAAACTATTTATTTACTTATAATACTCGAAATAAGGGTGAAAAGAATACTTATCCAATAAATAACTTTTATTTTTCTACTGAATTTCCTAAATATAGTTTTAGTAAGCCTACATAAAAGTAGTTGTATTAGAATTTCTCAACACAATAGCAGAAGAGAGAAAAGAGAAAATCAAAGTTATATAGCAATGAACAGTCACGTTCTCTTGTGAAGCTGTAGAAATGGTGTGAGACCTAACGCGTGAAGAGAAAGAGTGAGAAAAGCGAAGGAGAGAAGGAAGTTATACTAAAAATAATTCCCCTAAATTCCCTTCATACCTAACCAATTGATAGTAAATTGTACAGACTGACAAAGCTATGTTTCTGGAAATTAAACTCGGCATATCATTTGTTACAGTAATGCAGCAAATTTGGTTTTCTTTTACACAATTCCTATGATAGCTTTGCTTCATTCCCCCTGTTTGGTATTTGAAGGGATGATACGCTTCCGAATCCAATTTCTTCCTCAGTAACTGTAATAAATAGGACAGTCGTCTTGGCGTGGTATTTTCTAAAAGATTTAACTCCACTTATACTGTCTCTAAAACCGAGAAATTAATTACACTCAGATGTATACAACAAGGTCAAAAGAAACGCTACAAAAATGAACTGCTTACAAAAGCTAGTCACGTTCTGTGCTGAGCGTCACCGGGCGTTTCGATACACCTATTTTCTCGGCTCGACTGTCGCTTAACTCAATCCTCTAGCACGAAACCTCACCGAGATTAAAGGATGTCATTCTCTTTTTATTCTGCAGGAAAATAGTCAACAGCCGTCTAAAAGAATTCGTCTACGGAGAAACTTTCAATTCTGTGCACACTTTAAAACATTTGTTAGTAGATTTTTTCCTTTAGGCCTCTCTACTCCTGTACTAATCGGCTTCATTTCCCTGTTTGCAGAGATTTAAGTAATAATTCGCTAAAGTCCTTAAATTGGAGGTTGTTGAAAGAGTTTAACATAACATATCTGTAAGTATATGAATAACAAGTAAGTCGCGATATTAAGTAATTGTTACAAGGGTAAACATTTCTAAAACTCTAAATGTTTTTATTTACAAATTAGTTTTACAGTCTAGAATGTTTTCTTGAGAAACATCAGGGAAAATTGTAGATATACATTTATATATACATATAGTATATCTAAAGGACTTTATTCAGTCCAGCAAACTTTACAGTTTGGCTGGCGTCCTTTGGGTCATTCCTTGTACCTATCAACCTCCTTATGAGATGGAATTTAGTTTTGCTCTCATCGCAAAAAATTACTTTCTTTCAACTATTAAAACTCCACTTAAGCTTTTGGTTGTAAAACTCTAATCTTTTCTTAATTTGTTTCTAATTTAGAGCTGATTTTTTTAAGCAACTATTCTTTCATTCAGCTTGTATTTGGATAATGAATTTTTTACGCACTGATATCTAAACAGGCACTGAGCAGTTTTGTAAAAACTTCTTGGGCTGTTTACTCTGGATTAAGCTGATGAAATTTACAGTATTGTGGAAAAGAGTGAAATATTTATGATTAAAACATACTTGTATAGTATATATCATCTATCCTACAGAAGAAAATATTCTACATCATAAAGTTAATTTGTAAATTAAAAATAAGGGATTTTTAGAAATGTTTACCCTTGTATCAATTCCTTAATATCGCCACTGTAAAATTAGAACTTATTAATTAAATACTGATGTTTATCTTCCTAAATCTCATCTCATTTGTAAGAAAAAACAAAAAAAGAAAACCTATCAATATATAATATACGTTTTAAGTGGTTATTTATATTCAATTCCCTCGAGTTTACAATGGAAGACAAATGTTTAGTAGCATATTTTAATCATTTTTTATACCTTATTCTCTAAATTTTCAGAAACTTACAAAATAATTCAATATCTTGCGAAGATTGTAGCATATTATATTTAAAGGAATTTCTTAGACTGACAAATGCGTCCTATGAAGGATCAGATAATTGTTCCTTTTCCGAGTGTGGTATGTAGTGATGATACTTTGTACTACAAGCCTATATGTACAATATATATATATATATATACTGTATATAAAAGAGGAGAATCTTTACGTATATCATATCTGTGTGTAATTTGACTGTAGAAGCCAACGTATTTATACGAATGAGTAAAAAGATTGCAAAAGCCGGGGAAACTTTATTGGGAACATGTTATGGTGCTGGAAAGCCTATGCCTGAAATAGAATGGTTGTATAGTGGTCGTATAAAGAAAAGAGTAAAACAGCTAAGTTCAAATCGTGTACGTTTAATGAATGTTTCATTAAACGATAGCGGAGAGGTTAAATGCCTTGTAAAAAGTAGAAAAAATAAAGCGAAACATTCCATTAACGGTTAGTTAATTAGCGTAAAATCTTCGAAAATCATTAATCATTGTTTTCTTTTAATTACTATTCAGCCACGGCGGAATATTGTGTTGAAGGTACTTTTACAGATAATTTGTATAAGTATATTAATAGATAATTATAATTGTGTAATTATTTTTATTGCAATTATTTTATTGATTTTCTTTCACATAGCCAAACCGTCAAATGCTACTATTTCTCACCATGGCTCTTCCAAATATATCAATCTGATTGTTACGATTTTTACTTGTCCAGGAGAAGTTGAAATAAAATACGAGAAACTATCTGGTGCGAATCAATCATTCGAACATTTTGGCAGAAGTATTACTTGGCGTCCCCCTCATATTCAAGTAACTCAAACGTGGAGATCCTATAGTTCTAGTGCGTTGTATAATGGAAAGTATAAAGGAATTGCAAAAAATATCATCGGAGAGTATCCTTTTGAAAAGACTATGAACTTCCATCGGGAAGGTAACAATAAAGACATCGAATGGTTGTTAAATGGAAAACCTGGTATGTTCGTATTGATTGTTATTCAGTTAAACTTTAGTCGATTAAATTCAATATGTCTCAAGTATCTTTCACTCCTTTAATTTTATATAGAAGCCGTTCAGAAAAATGATCCAAAAGTGCTTATTATGTGCAGTATTTTTGGTTCAGTTTTTTTACTAATAGTAATATTAGCTGCCTTATTCTTATCGGCCAAAATCTACGTAAAACGCCATCGCGAAGAGCTGAGAAATCGAGGAAGATGCTTTAAATTCCTTTGTAGAATTGGTTCTGTTAAGGAACCAGTTCCTCGCCACGAAGTTCTACCCCTAAATAAAATTAACATGACTGATAATCCGAATTACACTCCTTGTGGTATTAGTAAGCATACACTGAATACTGCTAGCGGTGAATGTTTACTTATTATATTATCTTACTCTATTAATTTACATTTGCATTTTTTTCTCTAGTCATTAAAGAGATACCCGCTAGTAGTGTAAGTCTCATTAGAGAATTGGGCGAAGGTGCATTTGGAAAAGTATCTTTATGCTCTTGGAAAGTTAAGGACAACGAAAGCGATTTCCTAGTAGCTGTAAAAACACTAAAGGAAACGGGTAACGAATTAAAAAAAGACTTTGAGAGAGAAGCAGAGTTGTTAAGTACCTTTGATCATCCTAATATTGTTTCCTTTTATGGAGTATCAACCGATTCCACTGATTATATGATGGTCTTTGAATATATGAATCTTGGAGACTTAAACAATTTCTTAAGGTTTGTCATCTTATTCACAACTACGAGTCTCTCGTTTAGACTCCTTTTATTAAAATTTGCCAACAAAAGACTAATCAATTATATTTTTTCTCGCGAATGCTTTAATAGGAACAGGGGACCTGATGCTAAATATTTGTCACCCTTTAGAAGTCGAAGAGACTCTGAAACATCTGAAATTGAAGAACTAACGACAACCGACCTCTTGTCGATTGCCGTCCAAATTGCTGCCGGCGTTGAATACTTAACTAGTCAGCATTTCGTCCATAGGGATTTGGCGACTCGAAACTGTTTGGTCGCTGACAAACTTACCGTGAAAATTGGCGACTTTGGAATGTCGCGGGATCTATATAGCACGGATTATTATATGATAGGTGGCAATACCATGCTCCCTGTTAGGTGGTTACCACCTGAAAGTATTATATATAGAAAGTTTACAATATATAGTGACGTTTGGAGTTTCGGTATCGTTTTATGGGAAATATTTACCCATGGCAAACAGCCTTGGTACGAACTATCGAATAAAGAAGTTTTGGATCATATTCAGAAAAATATTGTACTTGAGAAACCAAACGAATGTCCAGATATTGTTTACAAACTGATGCTGGATTGTTGGACTCAAGATCCTCAAGATCGAATTCCAATAGTAGCGTTACGCAATGACTTAAAAACCTTGCATGAAAAATCATTCAATCTGGATTCAACAAATTCAAACTATTTACAAGTTGTTTAGTTTTTTTTTATAAAAAATTTGTTTATATTCGAGGAGAGTATTAAGAAATGAGAAACAGAACAAAAAACATCTGCCTTAATTTGTTATTAAAATGAGAAAATGTGAAAAAAAGAAGACAACACAGACTATTTCAAATTTTTTGTTCAAACAAATTAAAGGAAAAAAGAAAAAAAACTGCTAAAAATTTAATATTTCTTTTATCTTTTTTTTTATTTTTATTAAAAATTCCAATTCAAAAAAGAAACAAAAACAACAAAAAATAAAAAGAAAAATATTGAAGAAACTTTTGATTCTCTACAACAATTTTTTATTATTTTAATCGGATTGAACAAACAAACAAACAAACAGATAAACAAACACGTAACAAGTCATACTTTTATACATAATTTTGTTGATATTCTGTATATACATTTGTATATATATATAAACTTATATAAAGAAGAAAGAATAGAGATAAGGAGGCAACGACTTTTTATAACAAGAGAAAAAAACCACTTAACTATAATAAATCAAAATCAAATCAGAGTTAGACTAGTCTTTCTTTTAAAAGGACAAGAAGAAACGTATTAAGAGCTTAATAATACATAAACAGTATATACCGTATATATTAGTATAATTAGCGAGAAATGCGCAAGACCTTTTGCATCAGCCATTATTTTATAAGAGAATTAGTCAATTCGGACACAACCAGGAATTTGCCTTCGTTTGAAAAATACATTTAAAAACGCTTAAAAAGATCTAATCACAGAGGGAAGGGAAACGAAAGGAAAAGGCTTGACTTTGGATAAATATTTTTATTGGATTTGAAATTTGAAGAGAGTAATTACTATAAATAAAATTTATCATGCAGAAGAGAGAGTGATACAAGGAATAAATTTTCGAATAATAGCTGCGAAATACTGTTGTAGAGATAGATTACAGTCTAATTCTATTATTAGAAAGAAAAGAGGAAAAGTAGGATGAGAGTGAGAGAGAAACAGAAAGAGAGAACGTGAAGAATTGCGTTATAGACAAATGGAAATATCGTAAAAGAGGATTACTTCCAAATATTGCGACTACTCTCCTTCTATCGACATTCTATATTCGGATATTATTGGAATAGAGGAGAACGAAACGAATCGCAAGATGAATAGGGAAGAACGGCGTGTAAATAACGAAACACGACATAACCAATTGGCTATAAGTCATGATAGACTTTTAGCTGGTAATTCACCGCACCATCCACTTGTCCTTTCTGTTGTTTCTTTATACGTTTATCCACGACACTTTCAATCCCCTTAAAGGTGGAAAAAATGGTTGTGTCCGTACTTGAATGAATACTCAAGAATAAATTTAAACACACCTCCAATAGCCGAACCTTTACATTCGATGTTTATCTCCAGCAATTAGCCTTATCATATTATAGATTATACTGTATTTCAAAATATCTAGTCAAATATTGTAAATTTGTATATTTATTCACAAAGGAAACCTTATGCACTTTATATTAAATTATTAACAAAATCTGATAAATTCTTATAAAATGGATCTAAAAGTAAAATTTTATAATTTTATCTCAATGCAAGAATCATCAAAACCAGGATATAGAAAAATATATCTGTTGTACAGTATTGCAATATATATGTCATTGTCGTCTTTTATACATATGATATAAAAAGAATAAGAGCCGTTTTCTCTTCTTTTAAGAATATTTCTCTTATTACATATAAACTAATCAATATTTATTGAAAGTATGTAATATTTTATAATTATTGTCAATATGCAATAAAGGAAGAATGTTTGCTACTCATCATAATGACATTTCTTTCTGATATCATTTTATTTGTTTTCTTTTTCTTCAAATAAATCAAAACTAAAACTGGGTGAAAGAAAACCATAATATACTCTAGAAAACAATTTGCTTTCTTACCCCTATTAAGTGTAAGCCTAATGCAGAATGCGAAGGCGCTCTAATGATACGTTTGTTGTATGATAAATGGGACGGATGCAAAGTTAAGAATGAATTATTTCATAAGGTGTTGCAAGTCTGTATAAGTAGATTCATAGTAAAACTTGTGTTGGACCGATAAAAACTGAAATTATTTAAATCTATTGTATCTTTTGCGCAAAAAGATGATGGAAAGAAAAGGCCGCCATGCATGGAAAAATTCAAAATGATCAACTTGTCAATAAAATCATTTCTTAATTGTATAACATCTCTACGAAGAGCACTTTAGAAAATTTCTATTGAATGTGGTTCGTCTATTTTGATATCGAATTTGAATGTAGTTGTGTATTACAAACGACTTTCCTGTTTTAATTATTTTTCAAATCTTTCTAATCTTTATGGCGTTTCCCCTTCTAGGCAATTTATACTTGGTGTTGCTTGAGAAGAGACACCAAGAACCATCTGCTCATAACGTCCTCATTTGCCAACAGTTCACCTTTAAAATCGCAGAAAAAGACAAAGTAAAACCTTGACTAAACGCGACCTCAGCGGGTTGGCTAGTTTGTTTAAATGAGGCTTTCTTTTGGATAAGAAAAGGAGTAAAACAGCATAGCCAATCTGATTGGTACAGTTTCGAAGTAAGAAGAAGAGTTTGTCTTTAAATTCCTGCCGTATTCAGGTGAAGGTGATCATCCAATAACTCGATTATTATAATATAACGATTCGATTTTATTTTCTTTCCGTCACATAAAGCACAATGCCATTGATAAATTGTCTATTATACAAAAGTACACAAACCCTAAATCAATGTTGTAAAATCTAAATACGAAGATGGATGACCCATTATATATATGTTATATATGTATATTTCCATTCCTCTAAAACAGATTGCTTGGTAAGAAATATAACTATATTAGTAAGAATAACATAACGTAAAATCGTTAAGAAATAAGCACTACTGACTGTTTCCTACCTCAGTTTAAGACTAGATATGACATGTTGCACACATGCATATACAGCATATAGAGCGTATACTGTATATAAATTATTTGCATCAATATATAGAAACATTTGTCACAACTTTCTCGCTTAGAAGCCCTCTTGTTTGCTAGATAAAGGTGTGGACAAGGTTGGAAAAGTTCCTAGTAATTATCTTGTTCTTGTTAAAATGTTTAATAATTTGGATAAAACTCCTACTATGCAACATTGCAAACTCACCATAAATATTGAAACTAGTGAACCGTATCCTATTAATTTCCCTTACAATGTGAAGCATATTAATTAGGAATATAAAAGCTGTCAGATTACGTATCTAACGATCAGCGTTCGAGTTTAAATCATCAGTATAGAATAAACCTTTTAGCCTTTCGTAGAACTTTAATACCTAACCAAAACATTAGATCCAAATTAAGATTACTCGACACTATACTGATGTTTTAGAAGGAATGGAAGCGAAATGTTTACAACATATAAAAATTGATCTATAAATAATATTGTGGAAGAAGCAGAGAATAATTTACAACGACCACTTGCTTTGTCGTCTACAAACAGTATTCAAAGTTATTCAAAGAGAAGACGCTGCAAAGCCGTAATCCTAAAGATTACAATTTCTAAGAATGCTTTGCCGAAAGAGATATTGAGAGGCAAAAGAGGTTTTAATAATGATGGTAAATTTCTAGTTGATAAGGATATGGTAAGATATGGTATTGAATTTAAATGATATTATCTATGAATATAAATATTTAAAATATATTCCATATCTTTCGTAAAGCGTAAGAAAACGAAAGTATGTGTTGTTAAGATAAGAAAAGTATCTTTGAAGTATTCTGACAAGATTAGGAGAAAAGATTTATCTCTTTAAGATACTATTATGAAACGATAGTTAAAGGTGCTAACCTATACAGTATATACATCACTATATGATGCAGTGAATGTACTAAGCATGTTATTAATTACCATATAATATTTAAGTTGCCTCTTATTTTCTCATTATTTGTTCCGCTCTACTTGTCATTCTTATAAATTCACATTTCGAATTTAAAAAAAGGTGCCAATTTAGTTTACTCCGGAAGTAAAGTCTTATTTTCACTACAACGGAAGTATTTTACTTTCCAAATATCGGTAATTAACTAGTAAAAGCTAATTTCCGCCCACCATCTCTCTTCGAAGAATCACTTCAAGGATAACTTTACTATATCCTGATCTACAGATGGCGTCCTTTCTTTCTCTCTTTTTTTATGGAATACAAATTTGTATTGATAATTCGAACTTTGATTTATTAAATTTACAAGTTTTCAAATATATATGACAAGGATTCTAAGAATTTAGCGTGTCTCCTTTATTAAATTTGACTATTTTCAAATGTATCATATTCAATTCACACTCTTCTCTCTTCTATAAAATTGATTTTTATGTAAAAAGAAAAAAAAAATAGTCTAGAGTATCCACCTCCTCCTCCCTCTTCCATCCCACTTTATTCTTTTCTTTCTCAGGTATAGTTTCTCTTCTCTAATTAATTAATCTACTCTTCTTTCTGTAAAATTGTCTAATGTGGAAAAATATTTCTACAATAAACAATAAACTTCATCTAGAGCATACTGGGAAATCTAATAAACACATATAAACAAGAGAGTGTCTACACTTTCACAAAGTACCCTGTCTAAAAGAAGAAATTTTAGCCAATGTTATTCATGAGCTTAAAAGATCATATAGAGGATAAGACTTATCTGGTTTCATTCAGACGTGCACAATCTGTTAGAGAACAAATTGACCGACATAACTTCAAAATAATCAACTTAGCCCTTTTCTTTACATTATGCTTACTACCTGTGTTGCCTATTTGATAAAGGATTTCTTTTCTATTTTGTAAAATCGTATTATATGGAAATGCTAAAAAAAAAATCAAGTAGAAAAAAGGTCATTAAAAAAATAACGAATTTAGTATTAAAACAAAAGAAATGTCTTTTTAGACCACTTACGTATAGAGTATTTACATAGGCAAAACAATACATATTATAACTTTCTGTTGTTTGCTAACAGTCTTCCGGTGAACATAATAACAAGTTCCATTTCCGATAACGGAAAAAAATTGCTGTAAAGTAAGTTTTTCTCAATTTATTCATAACCGTAAAACCATATTCAGCACAATTGTACACTTTATATCGTCTACTCTATGTATTTTTAAATGGTAACTCGAATAAAATTAAACAAAAAAATACACCTGTTAGAATTTTTTAAGTATATGCTGCCATCTATTGCTATGAATTAAAATTAATAAGGTATAAATTTATTATCCTTAGGCTACTGACCTGATTTATTTCTCTCTTATATAAAACAGTCTAAAGTATATAATTCGAGTTAATGTGTATATTAAAATATCAGTTTGTAATAAATTAAAGATTGTTACATTAACTGCAGAGTTGATGGAGAACAAGTGATTATTTATTTTTAGCTTTTAAAATCTTTGATAAAATCTTTGGCTCTACAGCGATATTAAATAATAATTATACAGTAGAATAAATTTCTAAAAGAGAAGAAATGTTTAGCATAAATAGATCAATTGTAAAATTAATTCAGTGTTTATTAGCAATATTACAAATGTCGGCTAGTTACTAAGAAATAATGAATATTGAAACATCTTTTATAAATTATGGCTTTTTCGTAATTGAAAAAGAAATATATAAAAAACAGTCATTATTTTTGACTTTCTCTAAATTATATCTCAATTATTGATATTTAAATTATCAAAAAATCTATTTAAACAATTAATTAAAGCTCCTATTGTCAGAATGATATGAATTTTGCTGCACTCTTTCAATCTTTTATAATTGTAGTATGGCTGGAAACAGTCTGCACAGAAGTAATATCTCTATATCGCTCTATTGTAATCTTAATCATTTTCTCTTCTACCCTCCCGTCCTCCCCCCTCCCCCCTCCTCTCCCTTTCTGTCACTCTCTGTCTATCTCTGCCTTTTCTTTACTCATAATTTTTTTCTTTTTTGGTAGTAAAATCCCTTTTGTACATTCTTCGAAACACATACTAGTTTAAATTTAAATAGGTGGCGCTAACATTACTTGTTTGATTAATGGCTATTACAAAGCGAAGAATATTGGTCAAGAGCAGATCTCTAATTTCCCGAGCATAGGTATACAATTTGACCTAATTATTTAACCTGCTTCATATATACAGTATATATTTTTTAGACTGTACGTAAATTGTAGGCGTATATTCTACAATATATATCACTATTCTGTTTGTATCGAATGAGAAGCTACTAGCTGGGAAAAATCATAACCTATAAAGTGAAGATTTTATGCCGAAGACAGTTTGCTGAATATGCTTTCAATGTTCTATAGCTGTATCTACAGTTTATATGCTTTATATATACTGACTATACTATTTTACGCATAGAGTTAAATTTTACAAGCTGTTGCTTTTCCAATAACGGACTCTTTGTGCTTTGCCTCTAATTTAAGCATATTTAACTCTGGTAAAACAATATTCACTTTCAGAAAGAACTACTAGTATATTAAGAAAAGGATAGCATGGAAGAAGCCCCACCTCCATACAAAAACCCTGAAGGTTATAGCCAACCGAATAATCCAGGATACCCTCCACCTCAACAGAGCTATCCACCTCAACAGGGATATCCACCTCAACAGGGATATCCGCCCCAACAGGGATATCCACCTCAGCAAGGCTATCCACCCCAGCAAGGCTATCCACCTCCAAACTATCCTCAGACTCAGCAAAGTTCGCAAAATACGACTACAACAACTACTGTAATTAGTGCTCAACCTATGCAAACGGTCGTTGTTGGTGGCGGTTGTCCTAGGTGTTTGGTTAGTAGTTTTGTTTAAATAATTAAATTAATTTTATTACCGTTAAAATTGACAAACAAACATAAACATTAACAGAATGGAGTTATGAGACAACAATTTACAGTATGTGGAATAATTTTGGCGATATTATTCTTTCCATTAGGATTACTTTGCTGTTTCTTAATGCAAGAACGAAAATGCTCGAATTGCGGTTTTTAAACCGGAAGACGAATAACAAAATTTTTAAGAACTTATGTATACATTTAAAGGCACAAAAAGAAATATTAAATATTATGCTATGAAAGACGAAAGGGAGATATTAATACATAAAAAACATTATTTATACATACATAAAGTATATACTATTTTTTTAATCTATAAAACTTTCATGTTACACAATTTATAAATTTATTTATTCATTGTTATACTGTTGCTAACAATGACACTCAATACATAACAACACTTGGATACTTTTAAAATATTCTGTCAAATTTGTGCCTAACCGAAAATTTTCCCTTATTCGCATGATTATGAGAATAAAAAGATATTGTTTTTTTTAATACAATAAAATAGAAAACAAGTTCAATTAAATAGCGAAATTTTTACATTTTCAGTTTTTTTTTTATTTCCTTAATAGTTCCATTCGATTCTATAGATATTTCTTTTTATTATTTATTATAAACCTATTTGAATTGTTCTATTTTTCTTGGTTATTAGTTAATAATTGATATCATGGTATAACCTATACTGTTTAGTTCTTTATTAACCTTTATCATTTTTCTATTTAATTAGTTATTCACAGGGTAAATTTTGAATAAATATCGTAAGTAAAAGGGTTGAAATTCATTGTCTTTGTAATTTTGATAAAATTTCCTGTACCTGGTTTTTTTTATTAAAGGTAAACGTTCTTTAAATATATGTATATGGTGGTAACTAAATCGATTACGTTCTGTTTTCTTCAAGAGATTAATCAAAGCAGAATTGTACAACAAATATAATAGGTCATTTTTTCGAACATAAATGTGCACTGAAATAGAGCAAGACCTAGCAGACGAAAAATCATTTGAACATGAATCACGCACTGAAAGGTAAATTATTATTCATTCCCCCCTCCTCCCAACAATGTCCATCTATTAAAAGCTTATATATAAATATACATATATTAATAATATCTACGTCATAGGGAGATTTTCGTACTATTAAAATTTAGACCCTCGCTTTTCAATGATATATATTTTATGTGGTGTTTTTTGCAATTATCTTAACTTTAACCTTCTATATTATGCGGCTGTAGGAGTAGTTGAAATAATAAAAAGCCATAATAACTAATGCAATTTTAATGATTTATCCAATTATAACAGTATACAAAGAGACAGACAGAAAGAGAGGATAAGCAACGATTTACCATTCTATTATCTATAAGGGTAATTTTTTAGCATTTAACAAATTACGAAAGAGTTTTTTTCAGAAAATATTGTATTATTTAAAGATAACTGCTTATGTATACTATATATACTTTACACATGATACAATCGCTTTTAAAATGATGTTTCTACATTGTCGTTAAAACTTTTAAATTTAAATTAATGCATTATTTTTTTAATTATAGCAACTTATTATTGTTTCTATTATATCGTACAATGACCTCAAATTATCAACAGCAACAACAATTTCCTGTAAATCAATCTTTTGACCCTCCACCTCCGTATAATGATACAGTTCATACCCAATTCCAAGGATCTCACTCAGCTACTAATCCTGTTCAACCAATTATACAACGTACTATAATAGTAGGGGAAGGAATTTGCCCGATGTGTGGAGTAAGACTTTTAATTTTAACATTTTATTTTAGCATATATTATAAACATGAATGAAATATGGCATTTTCATCTGTTTTTTCTTTTAAACTTTAATTACCTAGGCGCTTGTTTAAACACTAAATAGCAGAGTATGACGATATTTTTTAAAGACAAAGCAAAACTTTCTACTTAAATGATTCATTAAAAGTGTTTTTTTTTCTTACGTATTTTCAGACAGGCGTATTGGCAAGCTCCTGTTCCGTGTGGGGTTTCTTGTTTGCTATAATTTTCTTTCCTATAGGCCTTCTTTGTCTATTTGTTATTCAGGACTATAAATGTAGATCGTGCGGTTTTGTCGAAACGAGAATTTGTTGAATAAACAATAAGAGACAACGGAATAAAATTTAAACGAGAAGATACAATTAAATGTTACATAATCCTAACTATACAGCAGTGCCTTATAGAACTTAGAAAAAAATGTTCTATGGTATTTTGTGCTTTATTTTGAAAACAATTTAATTAAATTTCCTGTGAAGCTTCCTTAATAGAAATACTTTATTTTTAGATAAAAAATAAGGAAAATGAAATAGTAATACAAACACGATATTACTTTGTCATTTACTAGTACAGTTTTAACAAGTTGTTTTTTTTATGTTTTATTTAAATCGCTAGATGGAGCTAATATCTATCTATATGAGAAAATATAGAACGTTTCCTTGAGAGTCAATTAGAGGAAAGTGGACAATATAAATTATTGTCTTTACATGGTTTAAATATAAACTTTCTCTTTAGTTGTTAATAAACAGTAGAAGGAGAAAGTAAAACATCTTCTAAGAATAAACAATATATCGTGTTAATTGTTCGGCAAATTAAAGAGATAGAAAAGAAGAAAAGAGCAATTATATAAAGAACACAATAGTAACATTTTAATCCGCGAATTAAGAGGAATCTGTTCAAGAATATATTCTATAGTGGTTAATACAAGTAAGTTGATATTATTCAAATTAGTATCGACTAAAGCTAAAACTGAGGTAACATAATGTAAAGCATCTCTTACTGTCCAAGAAAGTTAAATTGAAATTTATGTTAACTTTGGAAGAATGAAAAAGTCTTACTTACCCCCTCCGACAAGGAAAGGCAAGCCCCTCAATGTTATAGTAGTTCTTGGATCATTTATACTTTATCTACTTTATTTGTTGTTGTTGAACACTAAATATACATAGCTATACTATTCCTATACTTGACAGAATGAAAAGAGAAAGTGAACAGGAACGATATGTCCCAGTCGTCAGGAATAATAATTGTCCAAATTGTCAAGTAAAACGGCAATTTTCTCCTTTGTTTTAATTACTTTATCCCGATTAATTAAAAAAGCTTTTTTTTCTTTTTTTTTCTTAAAATTACAGCTTGAAGAGCTGGAAAAACAATTCACCTGCTGTGGGATATGTGTAGCTATAATCTTCTTTCCTTTCGGGTTGATTTATTGTTTAATTACAAGAGAGGTCGAGTGTTCGAGATGTGGATATATCAATTAATTAACTTATCAAAAAAATAATATCCGTAGCTTTTATCACCTAGTTTATATTTAGTTAACGTGGGAAGTATTTGAATATTTGATTCCTGCGATATAAAATTACGCTTTGTATTGAAATTAATATTTTCTTTCTTACATTCTCATGGTCCTTACTTATTAGATAAAAATATTATATTTTATTCCTTAGTAAGCTTAAATGGAATCTTTATAAAATGGACATAAGTACAGTAAGAATACCAGCTAATTAACTTTAATAATTTAAAATAAAAAAAAAAAGATATCTTACAGGTGGCACTAGTATTTCTTTCTTTTTCAGATATTTCTATTCTAAATGTTATGTACCTAATAAAAATTGACTTTTCCCTCAGTTTTAACAATCGATAAAATACTAGACTAAATTGATTCTATTTCGCAGAATTTTTATAAATAGTCTTGAAAAAAGTCATTAAAAAAATAAGTCATATAACATACGCATAGTTTTTTGTGTAGGTTTTTATATATCATACACACTCTTTAAACATCTATATATACAGTATATATATTTTCTCCTAAGAATATTTAGACTTTTTCTTCAAAAGATACGGATACTTTATCATTTCATTTTTTTTGCCACTCCCCTAGATATAGACAAAAATTATATAGCTGATTTAGAATCTATCATTTTATTGACGTTATTACATATGTTACGAAAAATAAAGATTCAATATATGTTAATTAAAGGTTTATCGACCGTGTTAAAAGAGAAAAAAGACGGTCCTGTAAATATTATTTGATTTCTTTAAAGCTATGCACACTTGGATAACTTACGAGCAATTCATTGAGTTATATCTATTTAATAAATTTATTGACAATTACTATATCTATAGATATATTGTTTGAAAAGAAAAAAGGGCTATTGAATAAATTTAAGGAAAATAATAATTCAACAAATATTACAAATTAGAATAAGCATTGTTCTTGTCAAATAGAGACAATGTTGGATTTTATTAAACTCGCCGTATATATTATGTTACATAAATATACACACACATATATATATATATATACAGTATACAGCATATATACATAGAAATAATCCATTAAACATTTTATAGTATATAGGCTTAACAAGTAGGTGCTTTTAATACGAGTGGACTCTCCTTTTACTCAAAAAAGTAGGCTATTATTGATTAATATTTGGCCAATATGATTACCTTATTGATCCGTCACGTTCAAACAAACGGCAGCAACGATTCAACACGAAAAGTATGACATTAGCGACGATTTTTCTCGTTTTTCTACCACATATACAGTTAACTTTTTGTGCAAGTAAGTTGTCTTTTATTGACATTTATTTTACATTTCCATCTGAGAATTAATTAAGTTTGTATTGAAAATTCTAATGTGAGTAATACTAATTCCCCCTATTTCTTTCTTACTTATTAATAAAAGCATTGCGGGTAGTAACAACTGAAAAAAATAACTAGGACCACTAATTTTCAAATAATTTCAATACTTTCGTTTCTATTTATATTTATTTATTTCTCCTTTTATTTTATGAATAAAGAAATAAATGTACAATTTGTAATCACTTAATCTCTTCTATTTTTAATTATACTTATAATAAACGATACATATTTACCAGAAAGAATAATCTTTATCGTTTCTTTTTAATTATTATTAATACTAATTATCTGCCGTATTATTTATAATGAATGAAAATTAATTGGAAGTCGTTAAACTGCAATGAGCTTCTTAAATCAGTCGACAGCAAAGCGCTATGGTAATTTGTAAATAATATAATTTATTGAATTATTCATTTAATGATTTCTTTCTTTGATCTCCTGAAATAAGTTTTAAAAAAAAAGAAAAATAAAATTATTATGTACTTTACTCGTATTAATAGAATATACTTATCATATCCTGTAGATTCAACATCTTCCAACGATGTCATACCTAAATCTGTTATTACTATTGCCGTTCTCGCAGGAGCTATTCTCGTTGGAGTTGTTGTTGCCAAGTTAGTAGATATATGCCATGATAAACGTTCCCTTAGGGATGACGCCAGTGATATGAGCGAAAAAACAAAAGAGTTTTTGAAAGGCGGAAAAGCCCGTTTAGCCCTAATGGCATTTCAAGCTAGTCATAATAAAGAAGAACCGATAAAACCAGATGCGCAGATGGCTGCCAAGAAAATGGCTAAAATCTGGAGTACTAAAACTAGTAAGAGGACTGCAAAAGCTGCCGCAGAAGCGGCCGGAAGTCCCCCAGTGCTAAAGTCTACAACGGTCATTGATCCAGATTCCGGTCAAAAAATTGAAAAGTCAGAGAAAGTGGAGCAACCTCGAACAGAAGTTGAGTTGACAGTTGTTAGAGAAGCTTCCGTATAGATAAAGTTATCTGTTGCTGTTTCAAGTTATTACAAAACCTGCATAAAAAATATTTATGAAAGTGAAGAATCTCTCCAAAAACGAACTCTTTCTTTCTTACTTAAAGAAAGAAATAACATGTCTTTCTAATCTCAAAGAACGATTTACTCATTAATATTAGTAATTTAAAATAAAACATTGCTATTTTCTAGGAACATAGCAAAACGAATTTTTTCTTGAATTTCCTTTTCAGCTGTAAAGAAATATTATAAAAACCCAAATTCTAAAATATAAATAAAATTTTAAGTTTATTGAACAAAAGTTAAAGTGAAACTTTTATTAAAGAAATTTTTAAATATAAAGCATACGGATTTATTTATGTTTTACTATTTTCCACAAAAATAGGTAAATATCTAAGTAAATGCAGATATTTATTAATTTATATATTTCTTGATAGATATAATATTTATATATGGATCAGTCATTGAATGATGTTCTATTTTCCTGAAGTTAAGGATTTCTTTAAATCTTTTATTAACATATTTCCTATAACCATTTTTTCACAGTTTACCTTTACCTTTGCTTTACATTTATCTTTTACAACAACTTGAATAAGAGCATCTACCCCGTTAGCAACTGTTTTGCTAGCAAATCTATAGACATTCTCCTCAGATGTAGGTACCTGTATTACGTTGGCTACTTCAACAACCCCTCGGCATATCGCTTGAGGATTGACTTGATTCATTGGTAGATCAATTGTTGCTTCACTTTCAGTCATACCAGTTAATTTTCCTAAAAATGTTCAGACTAGTTATATCAAAAATTATCGAAAAATAAGCAATTTTCACATACCCATTAGAGATTTGAAATCGTTATCTGTTAGAGTATTGGGTACTAAAAGTTCTCCTACAGGGGCAGTTATGTTAACACTATATTGTTTATCTCCAACTCCAATATTAAATGTGGCAGCTTGTGTTGTGTCATTGAAGTTTATAGACATATATGATGAAATTGTTGAACCTCCACCAACAACGGCTGGAAACAGCTACAATTAATTATCAATCTAAAAACAAAAAGAAAATTGTTCTTACGTATAATGGGAAAATCGTCTATTTCCACACCAGTCGGCAGTTTCTTGTCTTTCAACCTAATGTTCTCCAAAGGTTTCGATAAAGTATTGTTAAAAATTAACTCAACCGAGGTGAACTTTGGCGAAAAAGCAGACAATGTTCTGGTAAATCTGTACTGAATATATAAACCATCACCGGTTATTCGATTAAGTAGCTCTCGTAGAGGTTGTTCTACTTGGACATGAATTGTTGTAGGCTGAAAAACAGGCAATGTAAAATATTTATATTTTCTTCATTTAGAAATTGATTACATTTATAAAATTGGACCCAGCAGACATCGCAGACGTTACTTCACCGCTCATGGGCTGAAGAACACCAGTATTTGAAAATGGAACTGTGACTGTAGGTGCTGGTGCTGCTGGTCCAACTGAAAATTTAAGAAATTTAAATTTAATATAAATAAGGTATCGAAAAATTATTTTTTTTACTTACAATCGTCTAAATCTAATAAGTTCACAACATCTGTTTTCTTCTTTTCTGAAACCTTTTTCTTCGTTTCAATTTTCTTCTTCTTTTCAGGCACTTTTTTGACGGGAACTACCTCTTCTTCTGAACTCTCTTCTTCACTAGACTCTTCTTCGCTGGACTCTTCCTCTGAGCTCTCGGTTGTTTCAGAAATAAGTTTTGGTCTGTGCATTTCTTGTTTGGAAGTTGTACGTTGTGGACTTTCAAAAGATGTATTTACTACGCTTTTAATAGGTGCATGATTGGTCTCATCCTCGCTGGATTCTTCCTCTTCTTCTTCTTCTTCTTCTTCTTCTGAGTCTGTGTCTTCACCCTCACTTTCAGACGATTCCTCTTCTGACACTTCTTCGTTTTCATCGTCATCCTCTTCTTCAGAAGATGCTGTAGAATCGGCACCCTCCGTTGTGGTTGATCCATCACTCTCGCTATAGAAAGATTTCTTTTCTTTAATCTTTTTGCCAATTCTTCCTGACGGCACATGTGCGGGAGTAATTTCAATGTCCCTAACTTTCGGATCAGGTGCTACTTCAGGCCACATGGGCAAATCATGATATCCAACAGCAGCTTGATTAATCATGTGCGATAAAGTACCTAATTGAAATTGATCTCTATCTGTTTTGAATTATGACATTGAAAATTTTGAATACTAAATTACATTATTAACCTTTGAAGCGACTTTGTAAAACTGGTGCTGGTTTAGAACACAAAAATATTTTCTTGGCATATTTCGAGAGCAGAGATGGTTGATCTCCTGGTAGAACTAGAGCTTTCAAATACCTTGCCCTATCCCGTATATCATAACTTTGATCATACTGAAATAGCAAAGAACGTTGTAAGATCGACATATTTATCAATACTATTAATTATAATTACCTTTGCTAAGCTAAAGACATACTGACAGAGGAGCTTAGTTTGTTTCGGATTTGTTATGCACAATTTTGCAGCTAAATTGAGAATTTGGAGCTTGACGATATCTTCCTACAAGTATATTATATTTGCATTACTTATAGAATATACTCTCGTTTCAAATTATTACCTCAGTAATAAAAGTTTTAGCCATAATTCTCAAAACATCAGGTGCAATCTTGGGTACTCGATCGGAATATTCACCAATTAACCATAGAATACTTGCTCTAGCCATTGGAACAGCTATGTTTTCAGTCATTTTGGCCATTTGAACTATAATGTCCTTATGACCAGAGGGCTGTTTTAGACAATAAGGCTGTATTAATTACGAACAAAATAAAAAGAAACAAACTCTAGAAATGGGCAATTAACTAAGCATGCAAAAAATAAAATAAAGGCTTAAACCGCTACTTGGCATATTTTAATATTTTTAAAAATTTGATTTACCTTCTTTTTTGGTTTCTATTTGCATGATTGAATTAGAATCGACAGAGAAAAGCAATTTATACAATTGATAGTGCAAAGATTTAAATTTTAACTAACCTGCATTTGAAGTAATTTCTTTATAACAACAACGCTCTCACCAACTACATTCTCTTTTAAATAAAATATAAATGTATGAAAAGTTATCAATATAGATGAAAAATGCTAATAATTACCATTCCTATTTGATAGTAAATTAACTAATCCATTTAGGCAAGTATCAGTTATTTCGGATATATTACTTGCACAGCGACCAATGGCATGAATGGTAGCAGCAGCAAATTCTTGATCAGAACTGGTTACATACGTCTAAATTGATCAGAATATTATTTTTTAATATGTTAGAAAGTAACAAAGATCACTTTACTTGAAATTCTCTTAAAATAGTTGAGATACTCGTTTCTGTTGCCAAGTTTGTCAAAATTTCCAGCTATATTAATATTTTTCTCAATTAAATTTCTCTATTCATAATGATCATAAGTTATTACTTACTTTTAAGAGTTTAACATGCGTTGGATCATTAGAATGTACATAAAAGCTTTTCAGATATGGTTCAAACATCCCTTTTCTTTGAATAGTCATAGCAGCAATATTAGACAGGACAATATATTGAACCTCCCTAAGAAAATTGCAATTATGATACAAATAATTGAAAATTGAGAAAATTAGCAGTAATCAAACAAACTCACTTATGAGATCTTAATAACCTCACTAAAGATTTAGCAACGAAGTTAACTTCACTTTTTGGAGCACAGTGATAGTACAGTTGAGCCACAGCCATTACAACCTTTACAGTAAAGAAAATGTCAAATCAAATATCATACAAACGCTTATTTTAAATGAGCTTACAGCTGCATTTCTACTATTTAAAAGAGGTTTTGATGCTCTTAGAAGAAGCCTATGATCCATATCCATGGTATAAGTCTTTTTAGGAACTTCTTTCTTGTCAGCTTCGCTATCTGATGAGTCGTAAAATTTTTGGTCAGGTTCACTTTCCCCATTTTCCTAGAAAACAGTTATATAGTAGCAAGAAAAATATAAAAATTGACTTAAATTACCTCTAAGTTAGGATTTAAAAATTGTGTTCTTGCATAACGAGTTAGCATATTGATGATCACGACTTGCCCCCATTCTTCAACATCCGCTAATAAATTGCACAATTTCCTATAATGCTTATGAATAAGATCAATTCTCTCAGGGCAGACTTCTTCGAAGGCCTGGATAGCCGAACCTGCAACAAGCTATCAAAGAGAAAAGATTATTTTCTTTTAATTTTCAAATTGTTCAAAAATTTTACAGTTGTTTTATCTCCCAAAAGTTTCTCAATAACTTCTATTAAAGCATCTTTTTGTTCATCATCTAAGGAATAAAGTTTTGGAATTGCGTGAGCAGCTGTTTTTCTCACATACGGTGACATGTCCATTACGGCTTCTTTAATCGCCAGCATCATTATGGGTACAATCATTGGTACTCTTATGCTGGACAATACACGAAGAGCACTAGCTCTTATTAATTGATTAGGATCTTTCAAAGCTCTTTGAAATGTTGATATTGACAGTAAAGCAAGATCTTGCTGCTCTTCAGCATATCTTGTCAAATATACATAAACTAGTTTCTTAACTTCCACGTTTTTCGACACGACGTTCTTTACAACAGCAGGAAACAAGTCAGATGCATCTTTTCCTTTTGCTATCATCTGTAAACAATTATTATTAAAACCGTATCTATCTTTTTATAAGAATTCTTACGCCAATAATTCGCTTCATAGCTTCCAGCTTGAGACTATCTTTATTACTATCCAGCATGTCTTTTAGATCATCATGCCTAGAAATAAACAAGAGTTAAAGATAAATATTGGTTAAATAACTAAATGACAACTCTCTTTTCATAAACAACCGACTTTAGAGTCTAATAACTATTTCTTATATCCTTATTGTTTACTTCATCTAAGGCTAAAAGGACCATCTTTCGCAATTTGATATTCTATGTCATACCTCTTATAATCATTTGAAAAAAAGCTGCTTGATGCAGGGTCAGTAGCTGTCTCAACATCTCCTCCCGTCGCCATTGATCTTTCATTAGGGAAAGAATTTTGAAATCCATTCCTCGAAAAATTTATATCCATATTTTATATAGAAAATAATGTGAATATGGCAACATTCACTGTTCAATAATCAATATGGCAGCACGTAATAATCCCGTAACCAGTTTTTGATATCCGAATAATATCAGGAAACCTAGCTACGCGTATTAATACAATTTTTCCACTTACAATGTATGACAGTAACATTTCTAATTACCAACAATTATTTATTTATTTATAACACAAAAATAAGTTTTAAAGTAACTTAGGAGAAGCTTTTATTTAAACTTTTCTATATAATTCTTCGTCTAAACAGTATCAAAAGCAATCTAAAAGAGGAACTATTTATGTCATTCTGGCGCCAGTTCGATTTTTAGAATATTCGAACGTCGAACAAAATTTGTTATATTTCACGTTCAAGATTTCTGCTTAAAAGTTTCCCCTGTGAACATATTCAGTATGGAGGATGGTCTAATTCGTTTAATTAATCATCTAAGTAAATTATTCTTTTGCTTGTTTCTATAATTGGGATAAATCCATTTCTTTTCTAGATACTGAGGTATTAATTTGGAAAAAAAAGGTCAAAGATGAGGAGAATCGTAAAAAAGGTAAATTTTTAAATAGTCTTAAAAATTAGTTATAATATCAATTAAAGTAACAATGCATATTACAATCTTTCAATAAATTGCAGACTTAATGAGAGAATTTCAAAATCTGGAAAAAGAAATTAAACATAGCGAAACTAAGGTTCAATCACTGCTTACCCAAAAAAATATCTTAGTGGATGAAAATAAAAGTTTAATAGATAGATTATCAAGTTATAAGCTATCACTTGAACTCTCCAAAAAACAATGGGAACATCTTAAACAGCAAATTGCTTTCAAAGCTGAAAGACAGCGTTCTGATGTGTGAGTATTTAGCACTTTATATTTTTCCTTTATAAAAATATTTTATAAATTAGAGAGGGCTGGTTAGTAAATTTGAACAAGCTAAAAAAAGATCTTGAACTTACAAAAGACAGGAGTCTTCAGATTTTTAGTAAACTCAATTTGAATACTATTCCAGAGCCTTCCAAACTATTGGAAATAATTAAAGAGGAAACGGAAAAGCTAAAAATTTTACGAGATGGTGATATTCGATAATTTCTTATTGAAAAGACAATAATATTTTCTTATATTTTTTCAGCTTCAAGTAGAGATCAAAATGAGTGGATAAAAACTCAAAGGAAATTGTACATTTAACTATAATCTCTTGATATAAGTTTAGTATCGTGGTTTTGTGTTCTTAGGGTCTCTTGCTGGGCAATCTACCGGTTCTCAAAGGTATTCCACAAGTCATATGATGCAGAAAACAAGGTTAGACTCTTTTTAAGTCGATTCTTCTTTAGATTGTTAAAAATATTAGGAAAACCCGCAAACTCGTTTGGAAAATAACAAAATGGATATAGAACTATTGTCCTGCTTTCAAAGTGGTTTGTCCTCCTTTAATTTGATATAACTTTATCATTCATTTAAAAAATAGATCAGAATATTGAAAAGCAAATGTCAGTTGATAGAGGTAAGTTGCAAACACTCTAAAACATTTGACAGCACTCGCTCAACAAAAATGTCATAATTATTAGAAAATAGTGATAAAGAGAAAGAAATACAAACATCTGAAAATCAAGAAACTGTCTTTAAAAAGGGTTATAATTATAAAATATAGTCAAGTTTTTGCATTAACTAATCTCTGAAATTTTATGAATTTAAGATGAGTGGGTAGGAGTCTCGTCTTCAGTGAAACCAGGCCTACAATCAGGTTAGTTATTGTGTCTATCACTTAAATGTTAGATTAAATTAACACAATTCTAACTTTCCTAAAAGCCGAAAATGATGTTATAAAAATTCCCTGCCAGGAAGATAGTAATGCAAAAACTCAAAGTCTTGAAAATTCTGGAACATTATCAAATTTTCTAAAACCCTCATTAAAAATGAGTACGTTAAACTGAATCAAACTATGGTGATCAATAAGTTTGTTTATAGGCACTCCAAGCAGACTTTCATCCAAAAACGCTTCAAGCACATTCAATCAAAAGTCTCCATTTGCTTCATCTAAAAAATACTCATTAAACTCATTAGATGAAAATTACAAAATTCGTGGAAAGTACTCAGAGGCTCAATCTACCATCGATATGTCCACATCAGAATATTCCAAGTCCAATACTCCTGAAGCTAAAAGCGATTTTAGATTCAATTTCACAGAAGATGAAAAGACTGATATTGGCAAAAATTGCTCTGAAAGACAATATTCATACAAAATACCAAAAGGAAAAACCACCCAAGGAAACGTAGGTTAAAAATTGGCAGTTTATTTTTTTAAGATATTTTTTTAGGATACCTGGGACGTACCCACGCTGTCATTTAGCAGCCCAGGAAGGGAAAGCTCACTTACTTCTATACGGCTTCAACCCAACACTCCCAGAAAGCAGTCCCCGTTTAAAAATGTATGTATGACATAGGCTAATAATTCTTTTATTAATTTATAATTATAGCTGAATGGGAGATCTGGTGATAAATATGAGTCGCCAAGATATGAAGAACTTCGAAATAAACAAGCTTTAGAGAGGCAGAGCAGTCCACACTTTTCAGAATCTCCTATGAAAATTGCAAAAAAGCAAAAAGGAGGTAGATTTGACTTCACCAACCTCATAAAAACCTGTTCACCCATGCAAAGAAATGTAGTAGACAATGATATCACTTCAAACCAGCTCAGTACCTCAGATATAGATCTGACGATAAAACTGTGTGAAAAAATCTCATCTCCATTTACACCTAAGAGTTCCCGAACCCCGTTAGAAAGTAAATTAACAAGCCCTACTACAAACCCAACTGAAAAGACGGAAAGTCTTGATTTCAATTCAAAAGCAGAGGTTAAATAAAATTCATTATAAATTATATATAAAAAAACTTAGTTCGGTATTGCTTTCCAGGATATGGACACTGCTTTTAATTTTTTGGATCAACGACTTCCTAAAAATGATATTACTGTGGAGAACAATAAATCTTTGTTTGACTTTAGTGACACTCCCGCTGAGAAAAAGACAAATGATGAATTTCATTTCACTTTTCAAGACTAATAATTCGATTATTATTATTAAATTTTTGGTTAATTTCATTACACCTGCAAGTTGTTAGTTCTAATTAGAGAAAAATCGTTCAATAGAATTTCTTTTTCTTAGTTCTTTTAACATTAGTCGCCAAGTTATGATTAATTCCGTTTGCTCTCCGCTTGTCTTCTTTTAATATTAGTTCTTTCTGTTTGTGAACGTTATTAGCACGGGGTTTTGCTTTTGCTTTTGGTTGAGCAGATTGGTTAGTTATCAAGTCAACAATTCTAATGGTTAGTTTTATGCAAATAAACGTAATTAAAACTAGAAAGGAGAAACTTAATAACAAGATAAAATAATCCACAAAAGTCAATCTGAAGATTACGCTTCCAGCATGTGAAAATTCTTTCCGTAAATGCCGACTCCCAAATTCCATTGCATGGTCTATCCAAAATAGAGCTGCCCTAGAAGGAGAAGGCATAGCATTTATCCTCTCTGAGCAAATTTTACTTGCTTTTTTTGCTTTCTTAAAAGAACCAAGAACACTAAAAGCGTATTCAACTTCGATTAGATTGATATCGTCCAATAAGATTATATTTGATTTTTTATAATAGGAATTGATATGACTGTAAGTTTCAAAATTTTGAGCAACAACTATAGTTGGTATTCCAAATGCAGTAGCCATTTGGTGATAATATAATGAATCAACAGACAAGACTACGGCAATTTCCTGAGAATGAGCAAATAATTCGTGTAGAGGTAAATAATCACTTATTAAAACATTATCAGGTTTTTCATTTATCTGCCCCCGATACTCGACGATTATGCCAAATGACATCATTCTAAATATATTGAACAGAGATGTAATTTGCTCTTTGGTGGGTTTGCGCTTATACAAAACAATGATGGATTTTTTCCACTTCTTTAGGAACATACCAATTTCTGGACGTAAAATTCCTTTTGTTTTTTTTCGCATCAAATTTAAATGAATTATATGTGGAGATAATGGGTAATATTTTGAAGAACAAACAATATCAGTATTAATCATATGTAAGTCAGCCACATCAGTTGAATCCAGCTTGGAATTGTACATAAATTTCAAAAGAATCCGCTGAAGTGATTCAATGATAAAACCGCCATCAATTATGGAATATTGTAAATCAACAGAACTAAAATCAGAGTGTAACATGGAATATCGAATGTTTAAGCTTTTAGCTATGTTTTTCAAGCATATAGCCTCTCTTCGACCGTCGATAATAGCATAATTAAATTTCTTTTCTTTTAGGTTTTCAAGCATGTCCGATTTTAGAAATTCTTCACATATTTTGTTTTGTTTTGCAAACGCTCGTTCGAAAAAAGTCAAATATTGGTAGAAATTTGGAGATGGTACTATAGAATCCAGTCCTCCTTGAATTTTCGCGGGTAATTTATACAAAACATGAGGCATCTGCAAATCTCCTAAGAGAACTGCATGCTTTGATGATGATAAAGTCAATACCTCATGTCCACCGACAGCGAGAGTATCGGAAAGAGGAGCGAAACTTCTTATTCTCTCGCTGTCGTCAGATGGCAGTAAGAGGATCTTTGAAGAAAAGGCGTTGGCAATCAAACTACAAAAGAGAAGAATATGCATAATGATCTCCTTGTGTTCTAAGATGTAAAATCGGCTATATGAAAGCTTTCAGAAAAAGTCGACAAGTAATAAAAACGTTCATTAGATATTCCACCGGCTCTTCGCTTGAAGACCCACACCGGATATGGTTACGGCGGAAGAGTCGAAAGTTAAACCCCAGTCGTGAGTAGCGCCATCTGTATTGAAGTTATTGAACATAATAGTAGAGCACCAGTCCAAGTTAGGCAGTTTTATAATGAACAAACGGTCAAAAATACATGACACAAAAACATGTTTACAATGTCAGACATTTGGATTATTTTATCAGCTTTTCAAATTAAGCATAACATTCCAGATCTCTTGCATTTTGTTTAACGAAGGCAATTGCAGATAATTCCTTGCAAAACTCTTCTAATAAAATAATAGTTAGAGCAAGTTGATTATTCGGTCCGCTGAAAAAAGATGGAAAGAGCTTTTATTAAAAGAATGAAATGATATTAACAAGTTTTTAAGAAAATTAAGAGTGGATAGATTGTTAGCCATCTTCAAAAGAACCGTAACCAAATTAGGAAATAGAAACTGTTGTTTTGATATTAGCAGAACCAAAATTATACTCACGATGATACTAAACGATTTGTGGCCACTCTGCATACATAAAATTTACTTAAAATTATATTTATTAACTATTGACTTTAATGATAATTAGATGTTTTAATTAAAAAGCAGAGACATATTTTGACGGCCTGTAATGGATCTTAATTTATGCTAACAACGTTATTAAAATACTAGTTTTTATAGCTATCCTTTGAATGGAATAAAGCCAGATCACTTTTGGATATATTGTTGTTAGGAAAAATAGAAACATACTTTTTCAAGGGAGTGTTTTGAGTCCCCATTAAGTCCGATCTTGTTTTTTCAAGTGTTTTACAGAAGTCAGGGGGGCAGCGTACTTTCACATCTTCTATTATCTGTCATGTTATTTTAGATAAATTACTCAGAAATAAATTCCTTTTTATCATTCTAAACCTTTTTTAGCACTGTATAATAAGATCTGGCGCCGATTGTCAGATTTGTCAAAGAAGAAATTAGCAGTTCGTCAATCAGAACATGGGGAATAAGACCCAATCTCGATGCAACCAAAGTAACTTGTAAATTAACCGCATAACTCTGAAGAGGAGCATGTGAGAAATAACTGATAATATATGCATATGTAGAAGGAATAAAAACCTGTGTCAAAGTCCTACTTAGTTTATCTAACAAAACTTGTAGGAAATCAGATTCTTTATAACCTCTCTCTATTGAATTAACAATGTCGACATCCTGAGGAGTTTTCGGCCATGGTTTGGCTAAACACTGAGATTTAATCAACGAATACTGAAAATTTATCTTGCTTTTAATGAAACGTTTTAAGAAAAATTATGCTTTAAAAACCTGTGTTTGAGCATCTTGGATATACGCATCAAAAGCACAATCAGAATTAGCAATAGAACTTTGAAGTTCTTCCGGTATTAGATTTAGATAGCTGCGCAGATAGAATCAACAATAAAGATAAGCTATTGTTTTTGATAAGATTACCTGCAAACTGTGTTATGCAGCGAAAATCGATCGTCATCGTCGTCTTCATCTTCAATAACTAAATGAGAAGTTGCCTTCTCTAGTTCTTCACTGCTTTCTTTATCCTCTTCAGCTTCATCGATGCTACTGTATTTTTCAGTTTCTCCATTAATTTTAACAGCTGGCGGAATCACATAAAGTCTTTGTTTGAGGCAGTCAAGTATCAAAATATCAAGCACAGTGTCAGAACACTTCATGATTAAAGTCTCAAAAACTTTAAGAGTTATTATAGTAAGCTGGAATAATAAAGATAAGCTACGTCAACATATTTACTTTACGCAGCAGCCTACCTCGTCGCAAACATGATTACATCTCACCAGCAAAAACTTATATAATGTATTCTCATGATTGGCTCCTTTTGCAGAATTTAGATTAAATATAAATGAAATGAGCGCTGAAAAATATGTCAGTTTTACTGTCTAAATAACAAAAATATTCTAATATAGACTTTGCAAGAGTATAGGAGAAGATATCACTTGTATAAACCTAATCAGCAGACACGTAGCTGTTATAGCTTTCTGTTCACAACTAAAAATATTGTACATAGTCTGATTATTAATTTAAGTTTTAAAATATTGCACTCTTACGCTTGCAAAAATGCTGGAAGAAAAGTTCCCTTGAAAAAAATTGAGCTAATAGCTGAGGCTAAAGCTTGAGCAACAGATGGCTGAGCAGAGGCAATCAGACGGTCAGCGTAATCTAACCAAGAGAGAAAATCTACTAGCACTTGTTTACCCTTGAAGTGATGTTCGTTGGCTTGTGATCCACGCAATCTGATAGGTTATAGAAAGGAGACATAAAAATAAATTTGACCAAATAAAAACCCTACCCCCAAGCTACATAAATATGCTCGACATCAGCAGGATCAAGTATATCTGGTATTTTATTATACTGTGTAACAAGTAGATGAGTCAGAGTTTCACAGAATTTTGTATGCTTTATTAAAGCCTTTGTGCAAGATATGTGTGCTACGCTGGAAATTAAGAATAATCCTTCGCACGCTTTTACAACAACACGAGAATCCTGAAATAGAGATATTAAAACTATAAAGCATAAATCAAGGGAAAAAATGATATTACCGGGCTCTGAAGTAACAGCAGTAGTGAGTCAACAAGTGGAAAGGACACCTGATTTTCAAAATTATCATTAGACGATTCACTTTCAGTTCCATTGACGTTTGAGCAAAGAGTGTAAGATCCCTGAAAAATAAACAGACTATAGCGATATAGCTAATAGAGAAATATCTTCTAACTTGAATAAACAAAGGAGCCAGATTCGGGAATAACATAAACTTTGAGCAAACTGTTGATAGGAAGGCCACTTCGTCAGTCTCAGTAGGTGCCGCTAATGTTTCTCCGCATAATATTATTAACTTCTGCAATTAATATTTATTTGAAATTAGGTAAATTCAGTAAATAATGCAATTAGCCTCACGTTGATAGGATGATAAACATTAACTTGGGGCAGCAATTGATGTTTATGCTTTTGCAAAAGTTTTGTGCAAAACTGTAGCACTGCTTGTTTCATACCAGGGGGAACCTGTTTAAAAATAATGTGAATTCGACAAACACGTTGTTAGCATAATTTACATCAGTTTTCCCAAGAGTAGACAGTGTAAGCAGAACTTTATCTTGCAGTAAATATTCCAAACAAGGCCCTGTTGATGAATCGCCCCCATCCTCTTCTAAAAGAAGAGAAAGCATGCGATCCAAGCATGATGGAATATGAGTTTGTTCTATGGAAACTTTGTGAACTGCGAATTATTTTTAGCTATATTATAAGGCTAAGTTTTATATTATAAATAAAAACCTTGAGTAGATACGTAGTATGAATTTATCTGCCTCATACTTTTGATAAATTCTTGAACAGTTGTGGGTTTTGGAGATGAAGACATCTTTAAAGATCAAAAACTATATACTTTTGGCAGTTACGTAAAAATGAACTTACCGTTTCAACAGCATTATGCAATGCCCTACTAAATCTCTGAAACATCTTTGCAAAAATTAAACACGCATATTAGGAGAAACGCAATAATATGATTGTGTTGGATTATCAATCCGTTTTTATCGATAATCTATAAGAACATCTGGAAAGAAACAAACTCAGAATAGTTCCTCTGCTAACCGTTATTCGCAGCGCTACTGGTAAAACTAAAAGATGAGCGGAGTTGTCCTCTTTTTTATAAATAGGTATATTGTACATCTGTTATGTCCAATCACTTTTCTACCTTTTTTGTATAGTTCCTATATTTCGACTTTATAAGCAACTATAACCAACTTAAAGGTAAAGCAGGCAATATATAAGCTTATATCAACAATCTTTATATAATGTAAAGATGATAATTAAATTTCAAATAAAGCTATAAAAACCATGATTTAATCTTCAAATGTACGATTTGGTTTTGAGCGATAAATAGTTAATAGGCGGTTTTCCTGACAAAAAAGGCTGTAACATCTGACTTCATCTCTTCGAACTTTTTACAATCTCATTTTACATTGATAAAAATAAGTGCCATTTTTTATAATAGTGCTGGGATCTCATAACTATTGTTCATTTTTTAAATATCTATATTAGAAAAATAATTTAAGCTTTTTTCTCTTTTAGGAGGTTTAAGCTGTTTTTCATCAACAAAGAGCTGATAGTCTTTTCAATATGCTCAACAAAGTAAGTAGAAGGTCAGATATGTAAGAAAAAACTTAAGAAATTAAAAAATTTTTTAAATTAATTATTTCTAGTCATCTTATCAAAATGAGCTGGATTCAATTGAAAGACAAGCTCGTGGTAACGCCAAGAAAACGCTTTCTGAGTTACTTCGGCTGCCAGAGAATCTAGAAAAAGTGGAATTTCATAGGGAAACGGTTGCACAGAAAAAGGTATTATCTGAAAATTAACAAATTAAATCTTATAATAGCTGTTGTTCACATCTTATGTACAGAGTTCTGTAGAAGCAATGCTGAAATCTGCTGTTGAGTCAAATTTAGACGGTGTAAAAACTGGTTTGACTCAGCTCTCAAAAGCTCAGAATGATATAATGGCTATAAGAGATAATCTGAAAGAAATTGCGAAAATTTTCGGTGATGTTAAAGAAGCTAGTAGAAAGTTAGAAAAAGTTAAAGAAGAAAATTCTCGACATTCTCTTTTAGCAACAGCAGTTGATAACGTAAAATATATATTTAATGTCCCTGAATGCGTGAAATCATGTCAGAAAGCTATTGATGAAAGTCGATTGCTTCAGGCTCATAAATTGTGAATATAGAAACATCAATTTAATTTAGCATAACTAAATTTCTTTTTGCAGATTATGTGATTTGGAGACGTCACGAAACGATCTTCTTTTAGAATTACATAATCATCAAACAGAATCTTCAACTGAACAATTCAAGGTATAGTTTCTATCTTCAAAGGAAAAGGTTTTTTATCGTTCTGTATTTCTTTCTCAGAGAGTCAGAAATTATTTTGAACAAGTTCAAAATTTAAGAGGATCGTTGGAAAAGCAATTATTTATGATATTGTCGCGAGTTCTAGATGGTGTTAAAAAAGAACCTAAGATGATAGTAAACGTTTTGAGGATTATTGAGAGAGAACAAATGTAAATTATCCTTTTCTATTTTATCAAAGTAGTGCTAAAATATTCCCTTTTAGGGCTGATAATTTATTTATATCACAATACGACACCTATGGCTTCCTACCACCCGGTAGACCTTTAAAATGGCGAAATAGGTGTTTCGAAACCCTTCAGAAAACAGTTTCAGAAAGGTAAAATATGGAATTTGAATTGAATTCCATCCGAATGCTTACTTTTGTATTTGAAATAGAATATCAGCAAATCAAGCAGCCGACAGATCACAAGAGTCGAGATGGATTACTATAAATTTAGAACATATTCGACAGGCCACATTAAATGATTTAAGAACTGTTAATGTAACTATTAAAAGAGTAATATTAATTTTTATAGAGTTTTAATGATGTATTCTTAAACATTTAGATGCACTGCCAGCATACTTTTCCTCCAGTTTATAAAATACAAACTAGATTTCTTCAAATGTACCATGAAGCAATTTCCAAACACGTGAGCTCTATTTTATGGATATATTAAGTTTTTCATATATAATTTATATTTAAATAGTTAGAAGAATTAATTGATAAAGACTTGACCACTAGAGAAGAAATTTTCGAAATTTTATCTTGGGAATCTGAATATTATTCCGAAGGGTTAATGAAACATTCAACTCTAAGTTTTGATCTCACTGGTTTAAAACCTCTAATATCTGAAAAGCTTAAGTTAGACTTAAAGGACAAGTACATTCGTTTAACAAAAACGGAGTTGACAAATTATCTGAATAACACTTTACGCTTGGAGAAAGGGGTATAGTTTTATTAGGTTTAACTCACTGAATATTTCAAGTTAACTTTCTCCTACAAAAGGAATGGATAGATAATTCTAAAGAACCCAGTTCAGACTCTGAAGGACATTTCAAGACAGAGCTACCCTATTTAATATCATCGTATTGTGAGAGAACAGTAAGTGAAATTTCCCACGATATATAGGCGTTTAAGTAACCTCCTCATAGATGAATGAAGCAAAGAGTATTTCGGACGACCTAGCGACAGAAGTTATGAACATTTGGGCGGAAGAAATGGAACATTTCCACCGTTCATATTTAGGTTTATATCTTATATATCAAAAGTTCTATCATATCATATTAATTTTCACAGCCGCCCTGAAAGACTTCAAAGATAATCATACAGGAAATAGGCAAAAATATAGCTTTTATGTGCAACAAATTATAGCCAATGCCAACAGTTGCGAAAGTATAGAACAGGTTTGTTTGTCAATAAATTGCATTAATATTTATAATGTAATCTTTAGTATGCTTATTTTTTCTTGTCTTCAGTGTCTAATAGGACATCGGCGAAGGTTCACTCCATCGAAGACTTACTCTCTAGAAGATAGCAAGTTGGACAAAGCAATGGTTAATTATAAGGCCTTATCTAAAACACTTTGTAAGGACTATCTTATGGAAGAATTAGCTGAAGATATAAAACAATATAAGTCAGTATTATTTACTGCTAAGTGGATTGGATCAAATGAAGTTATGCAAACAATCAATGCCACAATAGAGGATTATAATAATGATTTCAGACACTTAAATGATGATTTACATTTATATTTGATGTCTGAAATTAAACGTGATATTCAAACATTTTACTATAGAAGCATGTTTTCACCGTAAGCTACAATTTTAAATACAAAATACCAAATAAATATTAACACCATTTCTTTTCTCTACAGTAAAATAGCGTTCAAATCTCCAGAGCAAAGAAAGCAAGTCTGTGATCAAATTCAGATTGAGATATCATCAACATTGATTCTGTTTAATAAAATCTGTCCTAGATGTGTCAATGTAAGTATAAAATTTACTAATTACATGCTGTCCTTACCTAAATATTATCTTTTGGATTTTAGGAGAATGATCCTTTCTCAGAAACTATTGTCAAGTACATTTTGGAGCCTATTATAATGACAGACACAGAACTTTTATCTATGGCTTTAGAATTAATAAAAACTCACGTACTAGGTCTAAAACTGGAAAAACTTACTGGTTTCTTAGCAATGAGAGAGGATTTGAATAAGAGTGCTGCCGAGGCAGTAAGTATAATTTTTATTCAACATGCGAAACAAATATCATTGTTTTACTTTTTGCAGAAAATAAAGGAAATTATAGAGGATAGCGCCGGAAAAACTGATGACAAATATCTGAACACAGATAATTTCTTCTCCAAAATCTAAATTTTCCAAACTGTTATCACTCTTTATATTTTTGAAAGGCCATCTATTTATTCTCATTAAATGTTTTAAATTTTATATTTGTAATCATGAATGAGCAAATCTTTAGTTGCTTCGCTTTTTCAATATTAAATTATTGTTAACTTTCAATTAAAATGAATAACGAATGTACAATTAGAACTTTTATTTGTTCAAAAATAAATTTCAATAAAGAATTCTACAAATATAAAAATATAAGAGAATACTGAATAAATCTATTATTTAAAATCAATCGAGTAATATTTAGAAATCATTAGCAATTAGGGGAGAATTTATTAGCTAATTTTCCATAATTTTATAGATCCATCATCACTACAACTCGCTAACAAGTCTTCATTTGGATGCCATGCAACACAATTGACATCTTCGTCATGTGCCCGAATTTGATTGCTTTGCAAATTTAAAACTAATTCGGCGTTTTCATTAGAAAATTCCTGAACTTTGAAAACTTTTACAGAATCGTCTCCGCAAGCAGTTGATATTAGTTGCGATTTATGTTTCCTGATGGGTTAAAACTTGATATTATGACAAAAAAGAAAGAAAATCTGATACAAACCAATCAACACAATAAATTGGTCGACTATGACTTTGAGGTAAGTTGGAAATACATGTCCAGATATCAGGTTCTACTTCTTTCCAAATTTTCAAGCTTCTGTCGTCACTACAGGACACCAAATATTTACCATCGCCTGACCAGGATATGGACCATACAGTTGAAGTGTGTCCTTCCAAAGTACAAAATGGTAGCCAATCATCGGCTCCTTTTCGATAAAGCTTTATACTATTGTCATAGCTGCTAGAGGCAAATATCTCAAACTTTGGATTCCATTTTATACATTTTACATCTTGTGAATGAGAATTCATCACAGAAGCACATTCAAAGTTTTCCTCATCATCAACTGAGAAATAAAGAAATATGTATAAGCTTTTCGAAGAAATGAAGTTTCTTACATTCCCACACCCATACGCTTTTGTCTCTGCTGCATGTTGCAAGGTATTTCCCAGTGGCGGCCCAAGAAACACTTTTAACTTCATTTTCATGTCCTTCTAAGGTACCTATACAATCCCAATCTTTGGCTTCACTCCAAATACAAGTTGTTGCATCAAAACTTGCTGACGCTAAATATTTACCACATGGAGACCAAGCAAGACTTCTAATCGTCCTTATGTGTCCATTTTCTAAAGTTTGTATGCACCGAAATTCATTTTGAGAATCTGAAGGAGAAACTATATTATCGCTCAGCATCTTCATCAATCTTCTTTCAATTAAAATAAAATATAATACTTTTTTCCCATAATCGTATTTTCTTATCAGAACCACAGGAAGCTAATATCGTCCCAGAAGGATTCCAACAGACAAACCAAACTTTAGAATTACAGTTTTCAAATTCTCGAATGCAACTTAATTGAAGCATATTTCTTCACAAGGCAAAAAAATCATGCAGTTAACACTACTCAACAAACGGTATTACTAAATCGTATGTGGCGGTTACTTCAAAATCTTCAACCATACTTTTTATGCATTTTACCACCAAAATTCACACTAAACTTATAAATTTTTTTCGTAAGTATTTCTAAATTAAGTTTGGAAAAATTTTATCCAAAAAAATTTCATATAAATTAGTTTGAAAAAAATTATTGTTGCATTGGTCAAAGAACCACACTTTTCACCATGCTCGTCACTTGGCGCACGGTTTTCACATAGCATTGTGTGAGCTCGACGCTTTCTTTTTTTTTTTAAGGTATAAAAAGTGTTCACCGCAAACTTCTATTAAAGCTCTTTGATATAAGAACATTAAAGGAAGTTGTTGAAGGTGCATTAATAAACTTAATATAGCTTTTAATTATGAACATGACGTTTTATAATAATGAAAACTGATTTCAGAATGACTGATTCGTTGAGACTGCAACAAAAGTTTCAAAAAGGACAGAAGCTGACAGGAATAGTTAGTCATGTTGATAGCTTATCTTCTTTCTACGTTCAGGTATATTATATTGTGAAAATATTGAAGTAGGTCAAACTTAATTTGCCCACCGTAGAATGTTCTGAGAAGTGTCAGATGGAACATTCAGTATAGACTGTCTGTTCCATTGACGGTAAAAAACGATTTTAAGTACAATAATGATAATGAGTTCTTAGACATTCTTTAATTAAAATATCTATTGTATAAGAATGAATAAAAATGCACAATTTGAGACCACGAGACATTTTCTCGTCCATTCATTTTAATGGTTTTTGTTTTCCTTTTTCTAGAGCATTTATGTATAATGCTCTGCCAGACAGACTAACTAATGATAAACAATTTTGTAATAGGTCAGCCCCTACAACGAGTTTGAAGATCTTCAACAGAAAATTCAAGCCTACTGTGAAGGCATAACCAGTAGATGTTTTCTAGCGCCAAAAAAGGGCTCTATAGCTCTGGGGCAGTATGAAGGAAGTTGGTATAGAGCGAAGATTCTAGGTATGTACTATCAAATTTTATTTAATATTTCACTTTTAATTTTTCTTTTTTTTACTTTTAGATGCTTGCTCGAACAAATCCGAAATACTCTTTGTTGACTTTGGTAATAAGAGCATAGTCTCTCAAGACCAGATGATAAGTCTACCACCACAATATAAGGAACTTCCTTTTCAAGCTATTCATTGTAACTTGAATCTATCTCGTGGCTTTGACAAACAGGACGCAAAAGCGATCGATAAACTTGTACATCTTACAGAAAATGACGAAATAACTCTAGAAGTCAGAGAGGTTGGCTCGAAGTCCTCGTTACATCTGATAGATATGTACTTGAAAGGAGAACCAGTGGCTAACCAGCTATTTGAGGGTCTGTGTAATGGAAAACCACCCTGTACTCTAACGTGTGAGGATGAGATCACAGATAGCTCCAAACCAACAAAAGAATCCTTAGAAGTTGTTGATAACGATCAACCGGATAGGAAAATTTCAAAAGGCGAACAAGAAGATGCTGCAACAAGTAACAAATCAGATAAAACTACACATCCTGCATATGCGCTATTGAAACTTCCTACTCCTTGGCTTAATGGACTAACCAAACGCGTTATTGTTACAGCCTATGAAAACCACTTTTTATGGTGTATAGATGAAGGAGATGCTGAAGCTGTTAATAAGCTATCGCAAAATATAAACAAGTACTATAAAGAATCACAGGAGCTACAGAGTCTTTCAGCAAAAATTAAGGTTGGAGATGTATTTTGCGCTAACGATGGCGATAACTGGCTGAGAGTGACAGTACTGGATGAACTACCAGGAGGAAATTATGAAGTACAAGATATAGATTTTGGCAAGCAGTTTATATTAAAAAAAGACCGCTTATATATTTTGGAGGAAAATTTTGTTTGGCAACCTCGGTGCTGTAGAAAAATGATGTTATTCAATCGAGGGCTTGTTCTGAATGAAGATATTGTTCAAAACATAATGAGAAAACTGATTTGTTCCAGAAGCAGGGTTCAAATTAAAATTGAAAAAACAGAGGAAGATATTCACTTTGTGAGCGTAACTATCAAAAGCTTGGACTTACTTAATGACATCTTGGCTTTACCCAAGGCAGTTTGCACTCTGAAAGAGTTGATGGAAAAATTTAAAGATTTTGCCATTGACTGTACACTACCAACCAACCTACCAAGAAAATTAAACGCCTACGTGTCGCACGTTGAATCTATGACTGAGTTTTACATTCAACCGTCTACATGGGAAAAGAAATTGGAAGAAATAACTAACACTTTGAATATTATTTATACGAAACAAGGTCAATGTTTGCAACTGCTTAAAGCAGAAAAAGGGATGTTTTGCGTTGCTCGATATTCTGAAGACGACTGTTATTACAGAGCAAAAATTCTTAGCTGCGAAGAAACAAAAGCAATTGTACATTTTATCGACTTCGGCAACTATGATGAAGTTTCCATTTCACAGCTATTTGTCCTGGTTGATCAACTAACTTCACGCTCGCAATGCATAAAATGCAGCCTAAACAACGTAAAAGAGTCGGTACCAATGAATACTATACTTGAAATGATGAACGAAAAATTATTAAAGTGTGAATATTATATTGGTTCGGATTGTTTTGTTGCCGATATGTGGGAAAATGAAAAGCACCTTAATCACATCTTTTCACCAGATTTAGCAACTGTGAATGAAATTCAAGCTAAAAAATCCTCGATTGACTTATATCCTGTCGAATATAGTCTAGATAGACAGAATGCTAAATTACTGCATGTTGACAACCCATCAATTTTCTTTGTGTCTCCGCCACCTGCAGAAAAGCAAAAAGCTGAAGTAAATAATCTTTTTGAAGATTGTAATATGACGAGAGCTCCTGTTCTAGACAATGCATCACCGGGCCAGATTTGTGCTATAAAAGTCGTTCATCCGGATCTTGAAGGCGTTTGGTTCCGAGGGAAAATTCTTGAAGTTAGAGGAAACAAATCTCGTGTTAGGCTGTTAGATGAAGGAAAGGCGTTTATATGTAATAATGATGAAATCAGAGTATTACCACCATCGCTGTTGGTGAAACCAGCATGTGCAGTTGAATGTCATTTAATTGGTTTGCAAGTACCCGAAAACGGTTGGACCAAAACTGAAAAGAAATCTTTGATATCTGCTTATCCTCCTGTTCATAGCCAAGTTTTTGTGGTCTTCAAAAATAAAGCAGGCGGCCTGTTGCGAACCGATTTATATTCGTCAGATGGTAAAAATACTGCTAGAGTTCTTGAAGAAATTCGCTTAAGTTTGTCTGAGAATAAAAGAGAGAAAATACAAGCAGAATCTACAGGTTCACATAAGAGTTCAAAGTCGGGCCAGAATGGGTTGTCCCAGTCTTTAGTTTCCCAACCACTTAAAAAATTGATGCTTAATGTAAAGTATGAAGCGTTTGTTAGTCACTATGAAAATCCAGCAAACATTTGGATTCATTTGCAAGAAGACGAAGAAAGTATTGCGAGTTTAAATGCAAAGCTTCACACTGCTTGTAGCAAAATTGATTCAAATCAACAATTTAAGGAAGGGGAGCTTTGCTGTGCGTTCTCTGTCGAATTTTCCGCTTGGTACAGATGTGTAATAATACGATTGGAAGACCAAGAGGCTGATGTTAGATATATAGATTTCGGTAACAGAGAAAAGGTGAGCAGTAAACAGCTAGCTCCAATAGATAAATCGTTTCTGGCTATACCCCCGTATGCCACAAAAATTTGCATCGTAAATGAATATACTGAAGATGAATCGAACAAATTGAATGAAACATTGGGTGAAGAATGTTTAATTGTGAAAATTTTAACAACTGACGAGCCTTACAATGTTGAAATAAGCACTGAGAATATATCAAATATTAGAGAAGCTGTGTTTGGTTCTCCAGCCAAATTGGGCCAGGAGAGTTCAGCAGTTACCCAAGAGATATATCCTGAGGAAGAAAACAAAGCAAAAATGGATGACTTGGTAGTTCAAGATCATAAACCATTGTCTTGTGATGTCCAAGTCTACGTTAGTTATGTTGAATCTCCAACAAAGTTTTGGATACAATTAGTTTCAGAAACTGATGAAATAGAAAATATTCTAATTTCTTTGCGTGATGCTGATTCAATGGAGAATCTGAAGGATATTGAAGTTGGAATGTATTGTATAGCAAAATCTAACGCTGACGGCACTTGGTATAGAGCACAAGTTATTAAATTTGAAACATCCGCTTATGAGGTTATTTATATTGATTATGGCAATACGGAAATAGTACAACTTGAAAATTTAAGAGTAATTAATAGTTCTCTGACAGAGACATATAAACTGGCAATATCTGCATCATTATTGTCAGTAGTCGAACCTACAGGAGGTTGGAAACCAGAGAAAATAGCCTTGTTTGAAGAAAAAGTACTAGGTAAAGAGCTGACTTGTAGAGTGTGCAGCACCTCCTCTCCCATTGAAGTAATTCTTGCTGATGGAGATGATTGTCTAAATGCATTGTATTTAAGCTCTTCTGATAGTGAAGAGACTCTTTCAACATATCCCTGTCAAATCATACCATCAACAGAGGAGAAAGGCCGAATTGTTCATGTAAATAAGAAAGGAGATATATTCTTCCAACTGTATAAAGATGATGATGACCTGAATTTGATTTTTGGTTTACTCGAAGATATAACGAAATATCCTGTTGTTGAAACAGTCGTTAATAATAGTCCTGTTCTGGCGCTATTTGAAGGAGAATGGTTTCGCGCTCTAATAACTAGAAGTGAACCAGTCATTGATGTCTTTTTCGTTGATTATGGCAACTCGTCTTCTGTAGAACCAAGAGATCTGCGGATGGTTAATAATGAAATTTTAAGCTATCCTCCTTTAGCTTATTGCTTTAAAGATTATGCATCGGCGCAAGTAACTGATCAAACAATAGAAAATTTATTAGAAATAGAAGATATAGATGTATCGTTTTCGGAGAAACCAAGGATTCGTCTGGATGACATGGAACTTATGGAGGCGATGTGGTTAAAGGACAAAAATATATGTTTGTAACGTTATTATTTTCTTTAATAAATTGTCGTGATAATAGTAATAAAATTGTTTAATAGGTACACTAAGAAACAGCTTAGAACGAGAAAACAGCTTAAGTGGCAGTAAAGGTATTATTTCAATACTGAAATCGCATGTTAGTTATCAATCAAAAATTCCCCCTAACTAGTAGAAGAGAGCGAAGTGAATGAATCTGAGCTAGAGGAAAAGATAAGGATTTTCGAGAATACTTACGAAGGTAATTAATGAAACAATATGGATAGTTACCTATTTATGTCTGTTTTAGATATAAGTGAGACGAGCATCTCACAAAATGCTGTTGTGAATAAAGGACCTGTGTTTTTAAACGAAATTGATCAATATCGACAAGCTAGTGCCATTCCAAATTCACCAAATTATGAAGCTTTCAAAGGTTTAAAACTTGAAGGGAAATAATTCTCATCAATATATTTAATTCTATTCGACTTAGATATGTCATGCATGGAGAGTACCCGGGTTGATGAAGTAAACTCTACTAAGGAAGAATCGTGTGTTACCAATGAAACAGGGAAAACTCTAGACATTTCTGAAAATACCGAATTTGACGTAACAGAAGAATATCTTGTGAAAGAGCTGGTTTCGGAAGCATTAATTAATGTATATAATTGCTTAACTCTTTTCAACGCAGCTCATACATTATCAACCTACAAAAACTTTCCGTTGTCTGTTGGACAGCAATTTGCTGTGGAAGTTATATCCTTACCAGGCGATAATATTCTGATTTTGAAAAGTCTTCAAATTCCTTCACAATTGTTAAATATAGATGGTGAGAATATGGTTAATGTAACGTTTGAAATGTCCATACCAGCCCTAGCACTAACTAAAGATAACAATTGGGTAAGAGTTACAATTCTACAAGCTAAGAACGGTATTTGTCAAGTATGCTCGGTCGACCATGGATATATATTTGAAACTGAAACTAAGGCCTTAAAGGTTATTGAGGACAAAGAAATCTTATCGATTCCAGTTCAAGTATTTGTCTGCAAAACGGACGTAAAAAGTAAAAAATTTCAAGAAGTCATTTGTGCTTTGAATGAAAGAAAGAAATGCTTAATTGATATCAAGGTAGAAGCTGTTGATAACATAGCTACAGTCTCAATCGCATCAGTTGTAGTCAAAGACGAAGTGCAACAATTAAACAACACAATCAAGATCGAATTTTAGAGATTTTCTTTTAATTCTTGTGTACGGGTTTTTCATCTTACTTCAACTCTTCATTTGAAAATTGTGTAAAATTTTATTTCTTAAAGTAGTCATTATAAACTTTTCATTAACCACTTTCTGAAAGAATATATGTACGGAAATTTTATATAGTTATATTCTCTGAATCGCATTCTTTTAACTCAAATTATAAAAACTGAACTTGTGTAATTCAATGTAAGAAAATAAATCATTAGGAATCAATTCAATAACTATAGATTTTATAAAAAATCTACACTGCGAAGCAATGAGAGAATAATGCTAAAACTTGGTTGTTTCCCCATCATGTGGATTTATATGAAGCATTGTTCCTTCAGTCCCTCTAACTTCACTTATTTTATCTATTTCTTCAGAACTTTCATCCAACTTCTCGAATTCTTTTTCTGACAACTTTGCCACTATTCCGGCTCCAACAGAGTCTCCCCAAACGTTTATCATAGTCCGGAAACGATCCCTATGTTTTTTTATAAATCATTCATTATATGCTATTTTTTAGTAAGTTAATGAACCTACAGCATCCAGTCAACAACAATTATTTTTGCAACATCATCAGATGGTAAACCGAGAGCTGTCAGAACAATAACCATAGTTACAATGCCAGCTTGGGGTACTGCTGCAGCTCCTATTGAGGCTGCTGTTGCCGTTATACTTGCAGCTACTATTTTACCGGCACTGAGAGATATTCCTGTTGGTTAGACAGAATTTGTATTTATGAATTCATATTGAAATAAAGCGATTTACCTCTCAGTTGGGCAATGAAGAGAGCAGCAACAGCTTCGTAAAGTGCTGTTCCATCCATATTTATTGTTGCTCCTACTGGAAGTACGAATCGGGTTATTTTTCGGCTTACTCCAAGTTTATCTTCCAAACACTTATAAGTCACCGGCAAAGTAGCAGAACTGCTAGAGGTTCCAAGAGCAGTTGCTAATGCTTGAGCCACACCGGCCATGTATAAATAAGGATTCTTTCGTACGAATAGGTAATAAATAAGAGGTAGAACAATAAAACCGTGAACTCCTAAGCCAGTTAAAACGGTTGCTATGTATAAACCAAGAGCCTTTAATTCTTCAACAGGATCTTTCATTTTTATGATTTCAGCAGCAACTAGGAACATAACACCAATAGGTGAGTACCATATAATTAATGTAACAATTTTCATGGAAGCTTCAGCAAGACATTCCATTAATTTCCTTATAGGTTCACCTTCGTCACCCATGATGCTGACCACCACACCAATTGCAATTGAAAATACTACTAGACCCAAAGCATTTAACCCATTTTCTTTGCGAACTTCGAACGTATACTTAATCTCTGGTGGTGAGATAGTTGTGTTTAAATCTGGCGCTAAGGTTGTTAAATTACTTTGAACAGGTTCATGTTCAATAGGAATTTGTTTAGTTTTAGTTTGTTTGAAGCAGGCTTCGACAATATTGTCCGGGAACATATTCCTGAAATGTTTGAAATTTTGCCAAAATCATGAATTGAAAGGATTTTGTTTTTATCAATTTATTGGTACTTAAAGGAGTATTAACTACACATTTTCAAGCGTATAGGAATGTTTAAATCTATGTGATAAATCCTAAATAAATTCGTCATTGAATAAATCTAAAAAAATTAAACATAAAAAAAAAGACCTGTTTATTTTACACGGTTTCCTCTTTTTGCAATTTAAATTTTTCTCTATTTAAATATAGGATTATAATTAATAGCGCTAACAAAAAAGAGGATAATTTACGTCCTATATAAAATTACATAATATACCTTAAAAGATCGAGAAAAGAATCTGCAGTGTTGGCTGGTTCCGGTTTACTTCCTTCATTTACGGGACTAGCATCCTTACCAGGTTTTATAGCCAATACCAATCCGATACCGATAACAACAGCAATAAATGTTGTTGCCATATAATATATAACCGCTCTACGACCAATTCTTCCACACGTTGCCGCATCGACACTGGAAACTCCCGCAATTAAAGTTGAAACAATTAGGGGAACAATCATCATTTTGAGCATTCTCATTAGCAGTTCGCCTGGAAATCTTTAAAAATAAATATTAATATTTATGTTTTTTATGGGAAAACGAAATAAATTAGAGAAATTTTACAAATTAAATATTTTACCTAAAATACATTTGCTCCCGAGTGGTAAGTGGAGGATCTTTGCTCCGAACTCCTGCTCCTATTCCTATACCAACAACTAAGCCACACAGAAGCAAAATTAACAGAAGGTTGTCTTTTAAAACTTGAGCAACTTTTTTAAGAATTGTTTTCTTCCTTGAGATAGGCTTTTCATTATTATTTGAAACTACAGCGATATTATTAAATCCGTTCTCCTCCATTGTTACAGATCGATTGATAAATAGAATAGTTGATAGGTTGATCGTTCAAAAAATATATATATATATATATATTTTTTTTTTTTTTGCGCATGTCCACGAATGGTCTATTTGCTTTGACCTACTAAAAGCTGTTTGAATTTCAATTTACAATTCCAAACAAACTATGCAACTATATTAGAATGACAATGGATAGAAATATCCTTAAGAAAATGAATTCATATTTTTTTAAGATAGTAAACTTAAAACTTTAAATAAAAAACAGAAAATTGAAATAAAAATCATTTTTTTTTTTAAAAAAAATTAATAAAATTGAAAGTTTTGAAAAGGTTACAATTAAAAAGGAAATGTTTGATATATTCTTGTTTTCTAGCAAGTAAATATTAAGGAGAAAAAGATCAATTATCAACTTTATTTGTTATGTCTACTGTGTAATCGTAAAATTAAACTAGAAATTTGAATGCGTTCTTCTACAAATTTCATTTATAGGCTCAATATTCCAGTGGATAAAGTACTAAGCAAATGACCATGACATCAATTTAGTTTTATTCCACAGTAGTATAAATTTTAAAAGTACAATTATAAAATATCGTTTTTTTTTCTTATCTATTTCGCAAAGCGATCTTTAAGAGGAGTTGATATATCTTTATACATAAAAGAGGTTGTTGGCGGTATGGTTGGTTTAGAATCACTATTACTTGAACCTATAACTCTTGTTTTCCATTCAAGCCATTTATTTAACGCCAATAACGTCTCGTACGTGAAGGACTCAAATCCATCTTTATGACTTTTGCAATTTGCATTGTACTTGTTCATAAAAGAACAGTTTATTGTTTTTTCTTGAACCTTTCCATTATTTAACACGTAAAATCTACAAACAATAAAAGAAAAAGAATGAAAGAGGAAGAGTGAGAGAGAGCTCGAGAAAAAAAGCGACAAGATATTTATATAAATATACAATAGAGAAAAAGATAGGAATAAATTATTAGTAAAAAACAAAACTACAAAGATAAGTTTAATTTACGTTACTTGAAGAATTTATTCAGGTCCTTCGATAAATTCATAACACCGGAAGTAAGATTAGGTAATTTATTTCTTACTAAAAGTGACTGAAAAAAATTTAAAGCAAAATTATTAAAGATATTGAAGAATATTGTTGTAAAAATTTGTAACTTACAGCAACGAGCTCAACATTAACGAATGAAAATGCGTCGAAATAATCCAAATCAGGTTGAAAATTTAATGATAATTCTCTAATTTGTTGACAATCTTTTAACTTTAACCAAGTAAATACTATTGCATCGTGCCGTATTGGATAGCCTTCAGTAGAATTGAATGGATATATCGATTCCCAAATATATAATAATGGTAAATTAACATCATGTAGAAGGTCTTTATTTAATTGGATACCGCAATTATACTTGAAATTTTTCAAAGCACATTCCCATACAGTTTCGTTTGCCTCTAGAGAATCTATATAGTATTTCAAGTGTTTACATTATTAAAAAGTTAACTTTGTCAACATTCAAGTATACATATAAATTTATATACAGTATATATATATATATATAAATTGAGCTTTAACTATGATCTAATAAACCTCCTGGTAAAGTCCATGTTAAAGGATAAATATAATTTGCTAAACTTTTCCTTTGCAGTAAAATTTTATTCTCTGCAGTTTCCATTAACACATTTAATCTTACAGTAACATATTTTCTGTTGTGTATAGTCTTCGCATCAATGTGAGAATGATCCCAAGCGTTACATGGATAATTATGCTACGTATGATAATCGTACAAAAAATAGTTTATAGGCTTAGTAAAACTTTTTTTTTTGTCTTCTCACATGCAATTGAACTTTAGCTGCGTCGTAAAATCTATGTTTGCTCAGTACTAACTTATTACAAGTAATTTTTGCATAAATTTCCATTTCGCAGTGACCTTGTCTCTCTGTCCATCCGAGTTCGGCTAGTAAACACTATAATAGGTTTTTCTTTTAAATTATTCCCTTCTAAAGAGGGCAAATGAAAAATTATTTGCTTTTATTGTTTACTTTTCCAAAAGTTGCTGGTATTTCTGGTGATTTCTTGTTCTTAACGATATAAACTTTAACTGTTCTACTATCCTCCATGCTATATTTTGAAATTTTAAACTTATAAAATGGCGACTACTCTTTGTCTTATAGAATTATTAGAAAAAGATGAATTTAGTTCGTATTTTGTATTCAAACTGTCCGTTGATTTCGTTTCTAACTATATAAGCTAGCGCCATCTATCGTTTATCATATTGTATTGAGGAGTCATGACCGACAGCGACTCAGATGCCAATTTCGATATAGTTAATCCATACATTTTCTACAAAGATAGGGATGAATGGAAAGACGTTCAACCAATTCCTCAAAATGACGGTCCTCACGCCATTGTCAAAATAGCTTATTCGGAGAAATGTAAGTGATAGAGAAGATTTTTGAGAGATTCCTTTATTTCGTAATTTTCAGTTTCCGATATCTTTGACTATTTTCGAGCTGTTTATCAAAAAGAAGAATTTAGTGACAGAGCTCTTAGCCTCACCAAGGATGCTATCAAACAAAATCCGGCGAACTACACAGTCTGGTAGTAAACTATTTGTTTTATTCATTATTTCAAATAAATTGTTCGATTACAGGCAATACAGACGCAAGATTCTGAAAGCAATGAATAAAGATCTAAGGGACGAATTAAAATATTTAAATGATGTTATACTGGATAATCCAAAAAACTATCAAGTGTGGTAAGATGATTAAACGCTAATCAAGTACAATAATATAAAGAGGATAATTTGTAGGTTCCATAGACAGGCAGTCGTGGAATGGCTTAATGATCCAAGCGAAGAAAAAGATTTTATTGATGCAGCTTTAAGAGAAGATTCTAAAAATTATCACGCCTGGCAATACCGGTATAGATTTAATAGCAACTACTTTTACTGTAGTTGATAATTTAGTAATATTCTTGTTAAATGAACTTTATAATTCTCCAATTAGCCATTGGCTTAATAAGAAATTTTCTCTATGGGATGGTGAACTTAAATTTACGGAGAATATGATTAGAAATGACGTTAGAAACAATTCTGCATGGAATCATCGCTATTACGTTATTAATAGTACAACCGGGTTTAATCCTGTTGTTTTAGATAGGGAAGAAAAGTAAGAATAAATTATAACTTGGGAGTTATTACTTTAATTAAATAATTATTAATAGGTTAACCATGTCATTTATTGAAAAAGCACCATCGAATGAAAGTCCTTGGAGTTATCTAAGAGGGTTAGTCGCTTTATTGATCAATGTCTTTTCATGGCTAAAACTATACTTTATTCCAAATCATCGTTTTTAGACTACACTTAGTTGAACCTATTCATAAAAGACCTGGTCTAAAGAACTTTTGTACAAGATTGGCGAAAGAAAATACCAATATGCATATATTGTCCTTTATGGTAGATATTAATTCCAGTTCTCTTGAGGAAACATTCGATACAACTATCTACGACGAAACGTTAAGGGTAAACATTTACTTATCGGCATATACTAACATTAATAATCAAACTATTGTATTATGAAAACAGCTGCTTGATGAACTAGCCAGCTTGGACACCATCAGAAGAAAATATTGGAAATTTATTAAGGACAGTTTAATTAAGAAATTCGAAGATGGAACTATCAATTAGGTCTTAACGGAATGATTTAGCTTTATACAAATTTTCGTTTTATACACTGTAAAGTTTTTTCATCTAAAAATAAATTAAGTTGGTGTTTTTATATGACGAAAGAGTGTTTTCTTTCTAGGCCTCTTTTGAACCTTTTAATATTGAAAGGGATATAAGCTTAATCATGATTCACAAGTGCCAGCTGATAAAAGTATTTCGGTTTGGCCGATAAGAGCGATATGATTTGATAAGAATAAAGAATTATAGATACTTCAATAAAGCTTATTACAGTAGGAAACGAAAAATAATTTTTGAGAAGATAGGACAATTATAATAATATATTAGAAATATTCAAAATTAGAAAGAAATAAAGAAGGTTAGTTGGTGTTTTTTTAGATAAATGATAATAGATAAAATTAACGAATAATTTAATCTTTTTGAATATGTTACTGTAATTAGAAAAACAGCTATACTTGTTATTCAGACTTTGATATAGTTGAGTAGTGACATACCGGCCTATAATCAATACAAAACCAACTATATATGCTTGTTTTTTTTTTTTTTTTTTTTCAACACAAGTTGTTTTTGAAATAAGGAAAGTTAACTAACAGAGATGTCTGACGGTATGTTAGCAAAAATTATAAAGGATATGTATATAGATCCGGAACTTTTGGCTGAATTGGATGATGATCAAAAACAGATTCTATTCCGGTGTATGAGAGAGGTAACTAACCTAATATTTAAAGAGAATTATTTAATATACAGTATACTCGTAATCTTTATAATTTCCATACTAAAAAATATATTTGTTTCCTTTAATAGGAACAAATACGTAGATGGGAATTGAAAGACAAAGAGCACGATGATTATTTAGCGAATCAGGCTAAAGAAGCCAAACAAAGTACTAAAGATAAAAAAGTAGTTAATTTTCTTAAAGGAGATGATGGAAATGATTGGGTATGGGTGATGGGAGAACATAAAAATGATCTTACTATCGAAGAGATCTTGGAAAGAGAAACTCTGACTAAAGCTGAAATAGAGGCCCGAGAGGAAGCGGAAAGATTACTAAAAATAGAAGAAGAAGAAAACGAAAGGAGATTAAAAAGAGAGGAGGAAGAGGCTAGACGTAAAACTGATTTAGAAGCAATGAAAAAATTGAACACCATAAGGGAAAGAACAAGAAAGAAAAGCATCGAGTTATACGAGCAGAGAACTAAGAGGAGATCGAGAGAATTGATGAGTCAAATGAGTGAAAGGCGAAAAAGCTTTAGAGAAGAAGCTTTAAAAGAAGATGAAGTAATCGAAAGAGAATGGAAAGAAAGAGGTATTTAATATTAATTCCTTCATAAGATTAATCATTTCTAAATTAAGACTAAGTTTATCAGTAAGCACAGCGCGTGCAAAGCAATCTCCTAAACAATATACTGCATACTGCTATACATTTATATAAAACAATACTAAAAAAATACCATGGTTTTTTTTTATTTATTCATAACTATTACAATAGCACAGTCTCTATTTAAAGTATTCTATATACACTTTTGTATACGTATACTTGTACATATTGTAAACACAGTATATATACAGTATACAGTATATATGTCATACGTTTTATATATTTACCGATAGGCTAGTTATCACTGAAATTACAAATAATACGATCCCATTTATTCCTTAGCAATATTGGTGAAAAAAAAATAGAGATATTTATATTTATACTAATATATTTAGCAGTGAGAACAACAGAAGAGAGAGAGAGAGAGAGAGAGAGAAAATAATATGCGCTATTTTTTTATTATTATATTATACAGTATATGATGTCCAACATATCGTTCATATTATATTAATGATAATGCCGGCTTCTCTTTTTTTATATACAGAAAATGATAAGTTTAATTGTTAATAATGAATAAGCTGTTAGTTATACAAGTACTTTTATGATATATTAACAATATATACTGTACAGTATATTTACAAGTATACGCTTATTATAATAGAAAATTGAATTAAATACTTACAGTATGATATTTTTTCTTTTTTGAATAATTGTTTGCTAATCTATGAAAAAGTAGCTAGATTATTATTGGCAATATTAGATTACAGGTACTTTATTAATTTCTTATCATATACTTTTCTAGAGGAGAAAGTCAAAGTTGCCGAAAAAGAACGCAGGGAATCATTCATCAGAGCTAGGAGAGAACATCAGGAAAATAAAATTTCATTCAAGAACGAAGCTATTATATTAAAAAATTTTATTAGATTATCAAATGCTTTTTCCAAGACTCCAGATAATCTTAAAAATACAAAACCTAGAAACAAGGATGATGTCTTAGCCTGGTTTCGTAAATGTGAAAAACCTAACGGAACTGGTTATGATCCTTCAACTAATAAGATAGCTACTTGGTTTCACGGTATAATTGGAAGAGAGAAGGCTGAAGATCTATTAAAGAATGAACCACCTTGTTCTTTTCTTATCAGAGTCAGTGAAAAGATCTGGGGATATGTGCTATCATATAAAACAAATAGCAAGACAAAGCACTGTATTATCGATACTACTAACGGAACATATCAGTTCCTGAGCGGAAATAGCAAATATTGTTTTAAAACACTTGCCGAATTAATAGAAAAATATAAAAAAGTCGCTCTTTCTCCAAATACTGGAGAGACATTAAAATTTGCTGTTGGACAAAAAACTGAGGTTCCTGACTATGAGGAATTAACTATTGATGATGGTAGTGAATCATCGCATTTGTAATATATGTTATTATCTCTTAATACAAAACCATAAAACATTTTTTTGACCAAATTTCTAATTCGATACTAGCGTCGCCTAGTGTCGTGTTGTTATTATTACGCGCATGCGCACAAGAACATCAACTAACAGTCGAAATAGAAGTAGAAAACGTTTCAAGGTATTATTTACACAGATTTTATGAATTTAAAATCAAATTATTATAATGTTTTGTTAAAATCACTAATAAAAATTCATGTTTCAATCTTTTTAAGAGACAAGCAATTATTAGAAATGTTAATTTTGATATTTACTAGAAGCTATAGTAGTTGGGTTAAATATTTCAATTTCTCAGTAAACTTAATCCCTATATCAGCTTTTCAGAGGTTTTTTTGTAAATTAACTTTTTATTTTCTTCTTTTTCTAAAACTTTTAGATAAAATACAACAATAATAACATTGTAGGCCTGTAATTACAGTATTATTTACATTGATTAGCGACTTGATTCTTCAAACTACAATTTGCAGGTGACATAGTGTCATGTCAAACTCGTGGTGTGTTCTCGATAACGCTTTGGATTCGAATACTGATAGTTCTTCTTACGAAAAACTTGAAATATCCGATGATAGCAATGGTATGATATATTAGTTTACCCTTTCATAAATACTATATAGAATTTTTCTTCTATTAATAGAAAGTCAATCAGAATTCAACGATAACCAGTTTATAAATCATAGTAAGCGAATACTAATTTGATACTTTATTTGTTATTCTTTACTGTACTTAACGACTTTTCCCACTATTTTATCCGTTTAGATAATGATAGAAATGATCAAGTAGAAAGAGATCAGGCCAGCGATGAAACAGGTAATTCACTTTTAAATAACAATAAGATGGATCAGTGGATTAGCATTCGATATTAATTAATATTCCAACATTTAAAAAATGTAAAATGCAGTGTTTACAATTTAAAAATAATTCTGTCTTAATACACGTCAGTGTGACCTTGAAAGTAAGCCTATTGCAATAGTTATAACATAGGTATGTATGTTGATATAAAAAACATGTAATTATACAGGTCTATAAAGTTGAGTGCCCCTGGTAATAATCTATCCATTTTCTTTTCTTGGAAATGTTGCTCTTTATAAAATTCTCACCTAAATGTATAATATTTCGTATAGATTCGGATATTGTTTGCTTGGATGCTCCTTCTGATTCTTCGAGAGACGTTAATTGTTTCTCTTCATCATCAACGACCTCATCTTTTGCAATGATAAATTTTCGCTTTGACGCTCCACCACCAAGAACTACTTACATGAGGAGAAGAATAGTTAATCCTATCAATAACATCGAATCCGATGATGACCTTCCAAGCGACGTAGATGATCGTTGCGAGAGTGACATATCAGGAGTGGCTACATCGGAAGACGAAGAGGCCAGACCGCACGAAATTGTTTTCGTTGGGGAAAAGAGAAGGATTTATAAGCATTTCCCAAATTCTACGTTGAATACAATTTTAACGCATATTGCGCTTGCCGCCCTCTTTACTGCTATGGGAACAGGCATTGGACACTGGATCGGATCAGCAGCCTGTATCAAACTCAGGTCAGAGAGGTTAGTTCAACTGAAGAATCTGCAAGATGATTTACTCCTTTGCTTTCACGAGCAAAAACGTTTGGACAGTCAGGTATTTCTACCTAGTAAAATTTTACTTACATATAACGGCATGAAATAAATTAACCTTATAACCATCTTATAATTTCATTAGGTTTTAAAATCTAAAGACATTGCTGCATTATGGAGAGACGCCTATGAAGAATTATTAGTGGAACGTTCAAATAAAAGACGAACAAAACAAGACGCGGAGTTAGACGTTCTAAAAAATCGCGTTCAAACCCTTGAAAAGGAAAAGGATAACTTTAAGATAAAAGCTAACGAGCTAGAAATTGATAATTCGGAACTTCGTAACATTGTTGGTAAAATGCGCTATTCACCTCCTTTTATCAAAAATTCCAATGATTCGGATATTGAGGATGTAAAAGCTGAAACAATTCATGATTTTAAACAAGAAGAGACCGGTGAAAGTATTAATCGGCAGCGACACATATGGAGAAACCATAAAGCTCCGATACCATCCTCATCTTCCAAATTTGAAGAAAAATTTGTTAGATATCCAAAACACAGTTCCAGTAAAGATGGAGTAAAACTCCATCAAAACATTGATTTAGAACGAGTTTTAGACGAGTTGACAGATGTCACGGCTCCAGCCGATGTGCGAAGAATTGCTACAAAAGCCAAAAGATTGCTTATTAGAATAGATAAACTGTCAGAACTGGGCGATGAGGACGAAGATGAACTAAATGATATTGCTGATGAGATGGAAAATTTATTCGAGGAGGCTGATGATGGAGATGAAGAGCCTAGAAGAGTCTTAGCTTGGTTATCGTGCCAAAAACGTTGGTGGTTTTCAAGGTTGCGTTATAACGAAAGACGACCTTGGGAATCCTGCTTGGAGAACCTCAATGCGCTTTTAAGAAAAAAGCCAGATCCCAAATCTCGGACAAAGGAAGAGGGATTATTCAACTCGGAGCAGGACGTCACCAATTGGATGCTGAAAAGAGCACAATTTAGAGGTGATGCTAGAATTGGTATAGAATCGCATTGGTCCTTTCTTCGAGCCGTGGGTAGATCCTATCTTCGGGAGCTCAATTAGATTTCGTTCTTCCCTGCACATTGTGTCATTATAGAGAGAATGACTAGTTATATTATAACTTTCTTATATGTATCAGTTGACAAAAACTGTTGTCGAAAGAGAATATATAAATGTTTTTGAAGTTATTGATGTGTTTTCATTTAAAAACGGCGCCCTAACAAAACGGGTAGAATAAATATTTTTTGTACCAGGTAGCCATACTACGCTACGAAAAATGGCGGAACATAGAACAAACAAGTCGGTAAGTAAATTATATATCGATTTTATAAATAATATGTTATGTAATAAGAAACAATACGTCCTTAAAATGAATTAAATTTTCATGATTGTTCATGCAAAGTCATATATACATATTTTCGTTTGTTTATTGAGTAGCAAGCGATCGTTCAGTTGGACGGAAGAAAAATTTCTGATTAAGTCAGTATTCTTTTCATTAAGTCTTCTTCTAAATAGACATTAAGTCATATATTGTAATGAAGTGACTCTTACATAGACAGTCAATTAAATGAGTTTCCGTTGCTAGTTAAATAAGTCATTCTTTACTTCTTCAAGTACAGGTATTATCATAGGTAGTGTTTTTGTGATTCATAAATCGGTAATGACTAAACTTCATAGGCGTAAACATTGACCTACGATGCTAGATAATATGTTGTTTAAGTAAAACTGTTGTCTTGAAGGAATTACTAGTTTCCTGACAATTTTAAAATCGAATAATTATGAAAATATCCCAAGAGGTTATGAAAAGTTCAAAGGGTAAAAATTAATTTTCAATAAATAATTTAGACCTAAGTAATAGTTTTACCATCATCGGCCTTCGTGACATGTACGATAACTTATCTGTTCAGATAATTCTGCTGACTTATCATTTGTGGCTTTGCTTATATATATATATATATATATATATATATATATATATATAATGTATCATCTGTTGATTATAAAAATTACTGTAAAGTCTAGCGGACTGCAACATGTGTTAAAATTTAAGGTCAATATTAAAGCAGGATACGTATGTTTATATTATATACATTTTTATTCACCATAAAGACTTATTAGCCTATGCATGCGTGTCTTTATTTGGCCGTTTTCATTGTTTATATCCAAGATATACAATACTCTTGTTATAACAACCTTTGAAATTTTAATGTATTTTTTATTTAACAGTGACGTTGGACAGTTTGATATGTAGAAAGGAAGGAAAAAGCGGAATTGATGGCACCAAAACAAACAGGTTTGATCCTTTACATTCTTAATTTACTTACGGAGAATCCAACGATCCCTTACCAGATAGATAATCGATTAACAATCTTTAATTGGTAAATTTACAAATTAATTGAATGACAATTGGGATTTATTCGTTTCTCAGAATATTTATATTTGTTATCTGACAGTAGTAGGTTAAATGGATTTCTTCTCCACGTAGATCAATACGTACCCGTGCTATGAATGACCGATATATAATTTAAAAAAACCTCACTCCTTATAATGATTTATTATGACATTCTTTATGAGAAAGTTGAGCAATTTTCGAATACTTTCAGTATTTCTTACATATGCGAATAGCATATTTAAATACATTCGACTCGTTGATATATAGCAGCTACTTTCCTGATTAAAGTGTATACGCTTTCGTCTTATAAGCTTTTTGTGTGTACTGCTCCCATTCAATTTGTTTTTTGAGATTTTCAGATGAATAACTCGTATTTATTGACCTCTTTAAATTCGTTATTAAACTTATAAAGCTAACATTTCTAAATATATTGATTTAACGATAAAACTATAAACGTGAAAAGAGGAAAAAATAGATAAACTTTCAACATTTATTATTTATCACAAATGGAAAGAATATATAGGCAGATATAAAGTTTTTCCTATTCGCAAACTCGAACAAACTATATATACAGTATAGCTATATATTTAGATGTAAATAATACAGAAAAATAAAGAAAAATACTCACCTGGAGTGTTTTTCTAGTAGTGAATCAATACTAATTGTCCTCAATAATATTAATACCTTTTTTTTTTTATTAATTAACTAACTAATTAATTTATTGTAGAATGATAAAGAGATTTTCTTGTTTTGACAAATATGAACCACTTATATCTTGAAGATACAAAAAAAATCATAAAAAAGCAAATATCTGTTAAAAAGATGAGAATTGTTTGTCTCTCTATTTTCATACTCTATTGTATATTACTGTTCAGCGGCACATCTGTCAAGATTGTTTAAATTGGTTGTATTAAATTTAATTAGTTTACTTCCCTTAGCAACGTGGAAAAATTCAATATTTCTAACATGCTTTCTTTTCTGTCTGCCTTGCCCCTACCCTCCCCTCTTTCTCTTGATCTGCCCCAGCTCTCTTATTTTCCACCACCCCTTCTGTCTTGTATTTTTCTTAATTATTTCGTATATAATGAATTATTTAACGATCCAATTCGATTTCCATCTCATTTGCTTGAATAAAGTCGAGCGAACTATGACAAAACAAAAAGAGGACAGAAGCCCGTCCTTATCGAGCGTCACGTCATCGAGCGTCCTGTTGAACAACGATCAGTTAACACCTCGTATTGACGTCGGTTTGGTAACGTCTGATCAAAACGATATTCCTCTTAATCAGTTAGTTCGTTCAAAAGCGAGCTTAGATAAAAATCATTCTCGTCGTCGATCAAAGAAATTAAGAAAAAAGGCTTCAGTCAAACTTGACAGTTACATAGACGATCTAAATTACTCAAAAGTCGTAAAGACACTACCTAAAACTAACAACACAGTGAAAGAAAGAGGAACTCAAACTCTTAACAATACTCCATCCGAGAGGAACATCTTGGACATAAGAGATTATTATAAACAACTCGATGAGGAAAAACGAATAAAAGAGGAAGAAGAAGCCAAGTTAGCAAAAGAAGAAGAGCAAGAGCAAACTGAGAAAAACGAAAAAGATAGCCAATTAAAAGAAATTATTGAAAGTATAGCCAACCACGAAAAAGGAGTATGTAAAATTGAGCTAGTGCACCAACTATTAGGCTTAAAATATGATGATGGATGTCTAAACATAAAAGTTGAATGTGCCTGCGAAACTTGTACTTATAAAATCGACGAAATGCCGTCTAAAATGGATAATAAATGGACTCAAACCCGAATAAAAACGAATAAAATCATTCCAATTTTAACCAGTACACGCAATTAATATCAATATAATATAATATTATTTTGACTTAAGTTTTATCTATTGAATAATAATTAAAATATTTTTTAATCTAAACAGAACAACAAAGACATATTAGAGCTAATGATCCTGTATATAATGCTTCATTTCGATATGCAGTGAGTATACTCTTAGATTATTATCATAAACAGGTACAAAATGATAATCATATCGTCTGTCTTTAAAATTTATTTTTAGGTTTTATTAAACTTGTAAAATATTTATAGTCAATAGAAATAGTGTAGCTTTTTATAATAATATTCATATTCTTCATCTAACACGTTTTAAAAGGTTCAAATAGCGTATACATTTACTTGGCTTTTTATTATGCTATTATAAAAAATACTACATGATTGCGAGGTAGATAAAGCATAGCAGGTTATATAGTTATAATTGTGCTTTATGCTTTATATAGTATATAGTGTATATAGAAAGTAATATATTACGTTATTATACAGAGGTGCTACCACTGGCAATTGAAATCTAACAGATGATTTTATACATCTAAATATTAATTATTTAAATATTAACATAGTGACTCTTGAAAAGAGTAGGGAAGAGGAAAATTTCTTCTTTTTTTTACTTTTCCTAAAATTTTAAAATACTAATATATTAATAATAGAATTTCTTAAAGTATTAACTAATTAATTAAATATTTTATAATTTTTTGTTAAAAACGAAAGTATAAGCTGATTGATTAGCCTAAAATATTTAAATACAATGTATACTGCACATATAAGTAAATATTATATTAAACTAGTATATATACAGTACAATAGGTATGAATAATCTAAATCTAAATTGAAAATTCTTAATTGTATAATTAATTTATTTATATATTCAATTCGTATAGCGCTATACTAATTAAATCATTTAATTAAAATATAGATAATACTTAACTATCTCAATAGAATTAATTTAAAATATTCATAAGAGAAATAAAATTCAATAAGAAAGGGATGTCCGTTAAATAGTGTATTTATTTTAAGTAACGATTTATAGATGCTGTCTTGTTTATATATATATATATATATATATATAAACCTAACCTTCTCACATACACTTTTAACATTTTTCCATTGAAAATCTACATATATATACATTATATATATAAATATATCTATCAGCATGTATATATCTTTTTACATAATGAAATTAACCATACAGAAAAATTAAAATATGTATTTCTATACTTGTTTACTAATTTTATTTAAATATTTTCTTTCTTTTCTAGAATAATCATATATCCACATCAAAGTACAACTTTTTAACTTTTATACCGAAAAATTTATTTGAGCAGTTCCAGAGATTGGCAAATGCCTATTTTCTTGCTCTTCTTATCCTTCAGGTATGTTTCTCTCTTTTTGAAGCTATTAGTATACTTTTATAAAGTTCCCTTTACATTTATACTAATGTATACCACCTATATCTTTAAATAATTAAGAAATGATTCTTTATCAGTAGGTTAAGTATGTTTAGTTAATTATTGCAGCTTATACCACAAATCTCGTCATTAAGTTGGGTGACAACAATCTTACCTCTAGCTATAGTTCTAATTCTGACGGCAACAAAAGATGCTGTTGACGATTTTGTAAGCAAAATCCATACCCACGCATTGTATAATATTTCTATCCTTATGTTGAAAGGAAACTGTTTAGGACGGGTTTATGGGTGTTTTTAATTGTAATGGTCTTATCTTTTTTTAATGGTTATCGGTGTATTATTACAACGTTTTTTAGTACAGTACCCAAGGTATTATTGCATATTAAATACTAATATACTTGTATATGCAGTATATATATTTTCCTATGCAAACATTGGTTTCTTTCTACATCTATAAGTTACTAATAATACAATTAGTTAAGTACAAAATTTTATAGGCTGTTGTTTATTAGTTTTTATGATATTATTTAGTGATATAAATAAATGCCTATTATATATGTCAGTATATTAAAGTAGGAAATGTATGCATATAACATATATGTATGTATGATTTTTTTTATATATAAAATATACTGTAGTAACACAGCAAGAATCTACAAACACGCGGGCATACACACATATATAGTGTACAAACAAATATGCAAATACTGTATATAAATTTATACATTGTATATATTAGTATACGCTGTATATATATATATATAAAATATTATATTAATAAGTATTAATATACAATTATTCTTAAAACATTTATACATTTATTGAAAATAATTTTTTCTATAAATTACAAAAAAAAAAAATAACAATAGCTGATACCCGCTATATCATCGTTAACACCTGCTACCACAATAGTACCCTTATTTGCCGTTATATCTTTGACGGCATTGAAAGATATTATTGATGATATTGTAAGTCTAATAATCAAGATTGTATTAAAAAAAATGAATTAAATGTGTTTTCTTTTGCGCACCCATTTTTGTAACGAAATATCATGTTCATAGTGTAGAATTTTTGTTTTAAATATTCATCATTGCTATATTTGTAAACTCACGTTTATTGAATCTTATATTTCTAATTATTTTCTTCAATGTTGTGTTGATATTATACAGTTAATTCCTCAAATTTCATCTCTCACTCCACTTACGACCATTGTTCCTTTGGTGGCCGTGCTAACCGCAACGGCCATCAAAGATCTCTTAGACGACATTGTAAGTTTATTTCGATAGATTAAAAATAAACTATCAGCTAAAAGAGTATAGCAATATGATTCAACTAATTATCTTGTTGTAACTTTTGTTTCAAAGATATAGTTTTTTTTCCAAAGGTTTACTTATTAAATATCCTCTATCTTTCGTTATTTTATTGTTTGTCCAATATTAATAGGAATGTATACAAGTAAAGGATTTTACAACCAATTTCCTAATATTAGTTCACTTCTAGAAACTTAATCTTGCTTAATGAGAAGTGTGAAAGTGATAACAGATACCAAACAAAGCAGTTGATATTAATAGTATTGAACTTATGGTATTTATACATATTTTGAAAACATTCTATAGGATAAAATAGGAAAACTGGACAAAAAACAAAACGAAGATATCTAGTCGTTTTGTATTCCTTTCATTCTTATGTCTAGTTAATTGATTACTTTATTTTTCTTTCTCTCTGTTTCTGTTTTATTCCTTTCTTTCAATTCCATTCCTCTGTATTTCAAATTTCAATAAACTTTTTTTTTTATCTCCAACATAAATTATGTATAGTACCGTTAGTTAATTGTAATTGTTTAACAGGGCCTGTTTCATTCGCATTTTCATCGACTAGCTAAAAGTTGTCATATATATATAATTAATCAAAATTACCTTTAAGTGGGCATAAACTATTTTATACGTCATATATAATTTTAAATTGAGATTGAATAGTGGCTAAATTAAAAATATTTTAGATAGATTGAAATTAGCATTTACTTCTAATTGAAAAATCCTCTCTAATTAAAAAAATGAAGAATTCCATTTAATACATCTAACATTAAAGTATTACATGAATTTATTATATTTCGAATTCAAACAGGGGAAAAAAAGTAATAACAGCATTTTTCAATTAATAATTAATATTTATTAATGAATATATGGACTTATTAATAACTGATTCTTTCTAAAACAGTTCTAATGCTGTTGGTAATGTAAGAAAAAAAATTTCGTACGAAATAAGCTTGTACTAAGTCATCGTTTTTCTTGTTAAGCAAGTTAGAAAATGTTGTTTATAGACTTTTATTATGATTCTTAGTGTTTTTACAAGTAATTGAAAGGTAAAATTGTATTATTGAATTATCTACTACCTTTTTTCCATATTCAACTTCTATTCTTTCGACAGTTCAATAAAGTAGACACAATAATATTACATTATAAAGTTCACTTTTATTCAAACATTAACGAATAAAGTTCATAGAACTTTTTAATGAATGCTTATTGTTCGATTTTCTATACTAGAAACAACGAAAATGAAATCTATGAATAAGGCCTAGAAAAAAATATTTTTTTATTCAACACCTTTTCCTTCGCTTCCTGTTGAGGTCGAATGATTTCGATCTCTTCCTCGCCACTTTGTTTACTCGTCATTTCCTACAGTAATAGTCTTTTTAAATTATTGATTATCTGATTGTCATTGCTAGACTACAGCTATTCAGAAATATTTCTCGTTAGCGCTTAATTATTTACTCTTTTGAAAGAAAAGTAAAAAGGCTGGTTCAGTATTATAAAATTATAATATCATTTAAAAATAAGGGTTTTTTGGTGAATTTTCTTCGTTTTTCCTAATAAAAACAGTCTATTATTTTGACAACTGGAGTATTTTTGATACCGATTTAGTACTTATAGATAAATTAACAGTTGTTTAATCATCAAATATACTAAAAGTGGATCAATTTAGATAGTTGGCTATCTTTCAATAAATGTATTTCCACATCAGAATATAAGGTAGGTGTAGAATAGGAAAGAAGAGACTCTGAAATCGAAGTATATGAGTAGATTACTACTTTATTTGCGTGTTCTATTTATATTAATATATATATACTTATACGCAATGGTATCTAGTCACACAGTATTTGGACAGAAGGAGGAAACTGTTAAATCTTGATGATAGCTTTCATCTATTATATTAAATAATTCTTGCTATGGATTTACTCTGCAAGCAATTTCTTCTCCCTTTTATTTCTTTTTCTTCCCTTAATATTGTTTATTTATATCTTATTTTATTTCCATTAATTACGTGTTAGTTATATACAAAATTGAACTATAATTCATGGTTGATAACAAGCTTTTATAAATATAAATAGGCGAGACAAACAAACTTCTTATTTCTACAATACTATTTATATCTCCCTTTTATTTAGTGCTTAAATACGAAAACAAAATATTAATACTTAAACCTTTGGAAATATTAACTCTTTAGATAACTATTACTTTTATTCTGGCCATTAATAGTAGAGCAACTGGCTAAAATATAAACAAAATTAGACCAGTTTGTTTTAGCACGTGATATGTTTATTAAAAGAGAATAAATTGGTCATCTTTCACTGGCTTTCTAGTTTTGTTTATATATATATTTGTTATATTGTCCTGTATGCTAGTGATACTAGTTTTAATGCTTTGAAAAATATTGAAATTATAAGGAAAAAATATAAAATCATTAAATATCTTAATCATTCCTCACGCTTGTATAATTACTTTATTGAAATATTTCTTTAGTATTTTGTTGCATGTCTTTTTGAAAACAAAAATAGTACATACATCTTTTAGATACCTATCTACGAGTATGTAATACAGTATATATATATACATATATAAATATATTTGTATATATGTATATAAATATAGATATACATATAATTGCTATTCATTTATAACAATGGCTTATGTAATAGTAATCATCTAATAGATAACTTTAAAAAAAGAAAATGTATTGTATTAATTAATGCTTAGAATGCTTTATAAAAAATTTTTTTTCTATTCTTTTTCAAGCTTCAATTGTTAAGTTTCTTTTATCTTTTTTTCTTATGATTTTGATATGGGCACCAGTCTAATTATCCTTAGTTATGCTTATTTCGTTCAATTTTCTTCACCTCTATTATTATTTGACTTTTCTCTATAAATAACTTTAGTATTATCATTATAAATCATTTTGGAAATTATTACTTTAGAGACGTCATAGAAGTGATAGTCAAGTAAATAATAGGGAATCATATGTACTGAGAAATGGAGAATTTGTTGAAGAAAGATGGCACAAAGTGGTCGTTGGAGATATCATCAAAATGGAAAACAATCAATTTGTCGCTGCCGATTTGTTTCTTCTATCTTCTTCCGAAGAGTCAGAGTTGATTTACATCGAAACTGCCGAATTGGATGGGGAAACCAATTTGAAAGTTCGACAATGCATTCCTGATATATCCTGCTACAAAGATGACCAAACAAAATGGGGGAATTTTAATGGCGAAATAACTTGTGAACCTCCAAATAATAACTTGAATAAGTTTAATGGCTATTTAAGCTACAACAATAGAAAGTTTCCAGTGTCCAATGATCATATGCTTCTAAGAGGGTGCGTCTTACGTAACACATCATGGTGTTACGGTATGGTAGTCTATGCCGGTAAAGATTCAAAGCTGATGATGAATAGCGGTCCGTCAAAATTCAAAAGAACACACATTGATCGTTTAATGAATATCCTAATAGTTGGAATATTTTGCTTTCTTGCGTTGATGTGCCTTATATGTACCGTGGCTTGTGGAGTATGGGAGACAATTATTGGGTATGATTTCCAAAAATATCTTCCTTGGGATAGTTATGTTCCAGGATCTATTGCGAAAAGTGACAAATCTGGGTCAAAGAATGCAGGAGCGGCAGTCATCGCTCTATTAGTCTTTCTCTCTTACGTGATCATTTTAAATACCGTAGTGCCTATATCGTTGTATGTCAGTGTGGAAATTATTCGTTTCGTGCACTCACAATGGATCAATTGGGATATAAAATTATACCATGAAAAAACCAATACTCCTGCATTAGCGAGAACAACAACCCTTAACGAAGAATTGGGGCAAATAGAATACATATTTTCCGATAAGACGGGAACGCTAACTCAGAATATAATGACTTTCAATAAGTGTACCATTAATGGTGTTTCGTACGGACTACCATATGATGATGATGGAAGACCTATGGAAAAACCTAAGCTTGTAGATTTTAAAATCAATAACAAATATGGCGATACAAATCTGGAATTTTATGATCATCGTTTGTTATACAAGATTAAGAGGGGCGACGAGAGTTGCCAACTATTTTTTAAACTGTTATCCCTTTGCCATACTGTTATGGCCGAAGAAGAAGATGGTGAAATTGATTATCAAGCTCAGTCACCTGACGAAGAGGCCTTAGTTAGTGCTGCTAAGAATTTTGGTTTTGTCTTTAAGGTAAGTCAAATATAATTTTGTTTTCTATGTCTACAATTACATTTTAATTGCGTGTGTGTTGAAATTTATAGTCAAGAGAACCTCGACAAATCGAAATAGAAGTTGGGGGAGAAATCGAAGTACATAAGATCCTTGCTATATTAGATTTCAACAATGTTCGTAAAAGAATGTCTGTTATTACGGAAAAGGATGGACAAATTAGATTATACTGTAAAGGAGCGGATACAATGATTTTTCAACGACTTTCCCCGGAGTGCGAAGAACTAAAGACAATCACAATTGAACATCTAGATGTAAGTTTGCTGATCTATTTTAAAAAGAATAGTTTTTTTTTTATAAGTCTATAAATCGAATAACAGGAAATAAATGAGAGGAAATATGCAAATTTATACTTTTATCTTTCTTTTCTCAGGAATTCGCTGGGGAAGGACTGAGAACTCTCTGTTTGGCTTATAAAGACATCGATAAGCCCACTTTCGATGAATGGATGGAAAAGTTTGATGAGGCTGCATCAGCTTTAGAAAATCGAGAAGAACTCCTCGACGAAGTTTACGAGGAAATTGAGCAAAATATGACGCTTATCGGAGCGTCTGCTATTGAGGACAAGCTTCAAGACGGTGTTCCAGAAACGATTGCCAATTTAGCCCTTGCTGATATCAAGATTTGGGTTTTGACAGGTGATAAGCGTGAGACCGCAATCAATATTGGCTACAGTTGTAAACTATTAACGGACGAGATGGCAGATATATTTGTTATTGAAGAAGATGATGAAAATTTAGTGAGAGAGGGTCTCAAATCGGCGTATAACAAAATAAAAAACTTTAATAGTAAAACCAACCAAAAGCCTGGTCAAGAAGGAAATCATTTCACCAATCCCCAAATGAACATTGGCGATTCACAGGCTCATGGAGGTTTCGCACTAGTCATAACAGGAACAAGTTTATATTATGCATTACAAAAAAATATGGAAAAGTTGTTTTATGAAACTGCTTCTTCATGTAAAGCTGTTGTTTGCTGTCGAGTTACACCAGGTCAAAAAGCTTTGGTTGTATCCCTTGTTAAGAATTACAAAAAAACTATTACACTTGCAATAGGAGATGGAGCTAATGACGTTTCAATGATTCGAGGTTAGTGGACGTTTCTTTCTTCTGTATTTAGAAAGATATGTCTTTCACCTATCTTCTTTCTTGTCCGTCTTACTTCCTATATTATTTATATAAAATGGAAATTTTACATTCCTCGAAAGATTTTCATCATTCTGATAGATCATGCGATGGAGCGTGTTATTGTAGCCATTATAGTATCATATGAAATGTCTAGCAATATCTCTAAAGATATTGTTACCTTTATCTATTTGACTTTAATTATTTAATTTATTACTTAATCGTTGAAATAAATTATTAATGCTTTCTTTTTTTTTATTTATATACAGAAGCCCATATCGGAGTGGGTATAAGTGGACAAGAAGGAATGCAAGCCGTCTTAGCATCTGACTTCTCCTTGGCGCAGTTTCGTTTTCTAGAACGTTTGTTATTGGTTCATGGACGATGGTCTTACTTGAGAATGTGCAAATTTATGAAATATTTCTTTTACAAAAATTTCGCATTTACTTTATGCCATTTTTGGTTCGCCTTCTTTTGTGGATTTTCTGCACAGGTATTAAGAATATATAATCTCTTTCTTTCTCGATTTTATTACATAAAAAAACGTATGAAACTATTTTCCTTCTTTTTTTCACTAAGTGAAGTCAAAAAGTTATCACGAGTGATATATTTTTACCGGATTATATAAAGAATTAGGCACAATCAATATTTATTATCATTGTCATCAATTTTAAGTGCATGATTTTTTTTTTAAGATGTAAAATTTTAATTTCCAGACGTTATTCGATCCGTTTTTTATCTCCTTCTACAACGTTCTCTACACATCTTTTCCAGTTTTAGCATTGGGGATTTTTGATCAGGTAAAATAAATGAAAATATCGGAAATTGGAACGTTGTCATGTTTTTTTCTTTTCAATTAATATTGAATTGCTTTGCATATTCCTTCTTTTTAATTTTGGGAATGTGATTGCTCTTTTCTTCCTTCTTCTATTTGATTTTATTCATTTACACTTATTTTTTTTTACTTACTTTCAGTTTCTACTAAATGAGTCTCTTCTCATTTTTAATATTTATTTCCATTGTAGCTTTAACTATCCCTTTTCCAGGCTTTTTATGACGAAGTGTTTATTTCTCTCTACAATGTCTGCTATACTTCTCTTCCTATCCTTGCTCTTGCTGTGTTTGAACAGGTTTCCCTTGTTTGGTTCCCATCCCTCTCTTTATTCCGTACACTTTTATTCTTCTTTTTTTTTATTTTTTTTTTGCAGCATGACAATAATGGCTCCAGATAGCTTACCCCTAAAGAATAACTGTCACTTTCTATTTAACAATGCTTTCTCTTTACTTTTCTTTTTCTTAGAAACTAACTTTTTTATAAGCTTGTCATCTTTTGTATTGTTTCCCTTGCGAAAAAATATAGAGAAAGAAATGATTCTAAAATTTAATTACTGTCACTTCTTTCTTTTCAAGGGAAAAATTATTTGAAAATCTTTAGGAAAGAGAGTCTTTTCACTAGTTTTTCTTTATTTTCTGGTAAAAAATTTGAAATCTCATAAATTTTTTATAGTTTTCGATAGAGTTTGTATAATAAGACGTTCTAATTTATTTAATAATGCAAAAAGAAAGCAAAAATACCGATTATAGACTTTAATAGATTTCTCTTTTCTAAGACATAAAATCAAAAGATAAACAACTAAATTGGATTAATTTTAAGATAAATATCTTGAGCTAACGAAAACGAATAACTTATTTGCAGGATGTAAACGAACGCTACTCTCTGCAATATCCGAAATTGTACAAACCGGGACATTTGGATTTATTATTTAATAAGAAAGTCTTCGCGCAATCAGTTGGTGAAGGAGTACTTTCATCTCTTGTACTTTTCTTTATTCCATACGGAGCTTTTCACGATGCTATTCGACCGAATGGCCACGATCTTGATTCTCATAATGTGTTAGGTGTTGTCGTAGGTCCGTTTACTTTAACGATAATTGAAGGAGGGTAAAATAATTGATTATTTTTCTTTGAAGGCTCAATTTTAATTGTTGCCATGACGATACGATGTGCTTTGGATACTGCGTATTGGACTGGGCTTAATCATTTTGTGATCTGGGGATCGATTCTTTTCTATTTTGGATTTACTTTCCTATTTTATATCGATACCTGGGGATATTCTTACTTGGGAACAGCACGTCAATTGATGAGCACTGGTCTTTTCTGGTTAACTCTATTGCTTACTGTGGTCATTATAATACTGCCAGTAATAGCTGAGCGGTTTTACTACATCGACACCCGTCCGACATTGACAGATAAAATTAGATTGAAGCAGAAGATTAGCAAGAGTAAGTCAGCATCTAAAGAATTGACCCGAAGTCAATTCTTGAGACGTTCTAATAAAACGCTGCGAAGAAGTGGCTATGCATTTGCCCACGAAGAAGGTTTTGGAAAACTTATCACATCCGGTGTAATGAGACCATCAACTGCGGGATCTTTTAGATCAAGAAAAAGCGCGAGACGGAGAACCTCAGTTGCCGTCAATTAAGCGGTTTGTTGTAAGAAGAATATTGTTCTGTTAGAGGAAAAATCTAAGAAAGTAAGCCATGAATATAATTTACTCAATCTCTTTCCTCTCTCGAATTTTTTCTCAATATTTTGGGAGAATTGTACAAATGCTATAAATAATAAACTTATTCATTTGTTAAAAGAAAACAATCTAAAAAAGTAATTTAAGTGGGAGGGGAGGGAGTTTATAATCCAATACGGACAGCTACAAAAAAAATATATTTAGTTAATTTTTTTTTTATAATATTGTTAGTTTTTCATTGGTTAAAGGTCAGTTTTAAGGGCATTTTAGCGGAGGAAAGTCCATTAATAGAGAATTAGCATAAAATAAGTTCGTATGTGAATGTACATATATATTTATATATGGACATACATATACAGTATAATATATATTACATCTAGCAACTAATGTAGTTGGAAAGAAAGAAAAAAAGGGACGAATCTATATAATCTTTCTTCTTTTCTTTTTCTCAAATGGCCATAAAACTTTAGTGTGATTTCTTTTTTAAAACGAATAATTCCTTTTTTTCTAACTGTGATTTATTTCTATTGCTTTGTTTCTTTTTCGTGTTAATCTTTGAATAAAGAAAAACACGGTTTGGCAATTACTTTCAAGCACGTAAGCAACTTTTTGTGATTCACTATGCAAATTTATAAATAAACTTTATAATATAGTTCTTGTTCTAAATATGTATATGTATATATAGTATACTGTATATACAGTATATATATATATATATGTATATATATATTTAAACAATTGCATTTAATTTTTTATAATGAAAGATTTTTTCTGAACGGAATGACTTATGAAATAGTTATTTGAAATATTTAAGAAAAAGTATGTACATATAACAAGCATGTTTGTACGTATTGAATATGTATGAGTTTATAGAAAATCTTATATGTATATGCTTGCAAAGTTTATGAAATGTGAATCTTACGTACTATACATAGTAATGCAGATAATAAACTAAAATATACTATTTTCTCGTCTTTCTTATACATACATAATAGATGTACGTAAACAATTTTATTCAAATATAATTGTAACAAAACTAGTGACCTCTCATGGGGATTTCCCTTTTTCCTCCCAACCGCAAGGTTTTTCATAACGTTTTCTTATAGGCTAAATTGTGCTATTGAGAAAGAAATAACGATCTGATTTTAGAAAATAGATAAAATATTTTATCATTTAGAAAAAGTAAAAACTTGATATTTTATTTAATATAAAAGAAATAAATGATTCATTGAAATAACATTTAATCATGACGTAAGCTTAGGAATTGTCTTAAATAAAATGTCTTTTCTTTTAAATTATTGTAGTGTCTTGCGGTTGAACGATTCGCATGTTTCGTCGTCTTCGACGTCTCCTCGAACCAGTTTGAGACGTAAAAGTCACTTTTCTTTCAACTATTTCAAACGGCCTTAAACAAAACGCCTGTAATGATAAGAGAATTTAAAGGGAAATTGTAAATTTGCAATTCCAAGGTTTTTCGTTTAAGCTCATACTGTATTTGAATTAATAAGTCGAATAATCCCTACATCTATTGAGAATTAAACAAGAGATTGTAACCGAAATTTATACAGAATAACCTTTGTTGAGTATTTTCAATTAAAGAGTCAAGTTAATTAGTTATCTAGTCAATAATTATCCCAAACGTCATCAATTTGCTGCCCCCTTAAAAGGAAAGGCTTCTCTTTTGGGCTTCTCAATTAACCGTAAAACTTGCTTTTTTTTTTTTAATTCAGTATAAGCCTAAAAGTTTCTTTATCTTGATATTTTGCTAAATTGGAATACACTTAGAAAGAAATCCATTCCAATAGGCGGTAGGGGGTGGAAAGGAGAAAATAGACAGGGGTTATAGAAGTACGAAAAAATAGATGAAGAAAGAATGTTTTCAACTTTGAAATTTTCACTAATTGCATTCCGAATTTCGTTGGAACTCTTGGTAGTTTCTAATTGACTAAAATGCCTCATCTTCACTTGAAAACCGTCGTTTTATTAAACAAATAAAATTTGTACGCTATTTATACAAATCGATGGAAAGACTGGAATAGATTAACTCTCCTACTTGGACCTCTATAAACAACTTTTAAAAGCGACCGAGAACAGCTTTAGCAAGTCGTATTTCGTTTCATCATTGGTAAATCGAGATAAAAATACAGAAAATTCTCTTACCCTATCCGATGGAAGGAGTATAAAATTATGCGGTGGATTCGTAATAACATATCTCTTAGTGGTAGATGGCTGTCCAGGATCTCTTAATCTATAAAGCCCAATACATAAAATACTATAAGTCCTTAAGGCGGCAGTAAATAAATCCCCATATCTGCCATTATCCGCAAATTTGACCAAAGGCCCGTCGTAAAGTGACAATTGAGCTACTCTGCACCTGTGTCTATTCGTGAAAGTTGTGAGATCGCATACTCCTCCCCTCATACCCATTCCCTCGGCTAGAATTTGCTCCAATTCAGGCGTTGCTCCCCCAGTTATTAGAGTTCTTATTAAAGTCAATGCATTGTCGTTGAAATAAGTTGTTGACATGAGAGAATCTAAGACAGAAACCGCAAAAGCATTTCCACAAGCAAAAGGCTGAGTGATGTACAATTCCGTATTCGGATCGTCGTCATCGTCCTAAAAATAAAATAATGAAAAAGCATTAAATTTCAAATTGGTTTAACGGAATAAATCAATTACAGACTTTGCAGGACAAATTAACTTCTTTTCTAATATCTAAACAAACATTATTACTATTATATAATGACGTTTCTATTCAAATATCAAATATACCGACAAAAAGAATTTGTAAGAATACTAAAAACTCCTTCTACGATCTAGCCTCAGAACATGGAAAATGAGAATAACGAACAACTACGTTACATAGATTAAATATACCTTCTAGTCATTCGGTTTGCAATTTTAAAACCTTTATTAGTTTATTATGTTCAGTTACATATCTAAGTACATAATATAGATAATCTAGTCGTTTAGATCAAGATCTTCATCGTTATTTTATCTTCTGTTCTCTTTCATATCATAAAATTCGATGCAAAGATTATCCTTACCTGATCTAAGAATTGTACGTTCGCATCATTTCCTAATTCAGTTATCATAGGTATATCGATTCCTTTTTGGTCTTCAAATGTCATTGCTTTAATATTTAAAGAACATAAAATAGCTTCCTTGTCTACAAGACTAGAATCATCAACAGCTCTCCTAGAACTTAGAATAACGCACATATCGCATAGATGTACGTTTACTGCTCTCAAATTCGCCCTATTCAAAGGAGATCCGTCTAAAATCACTATTTTCGGAAAGTTTGATAAAGTTTTCCATTCTTTTCTTATATATTCTCTATCACCAACAAGAATAATTTCCTTTAATTCGTTGAGATGAAAATTCGACGCTCTTAATGGCATAACAAAATTTCTCAGACCTATGAATTTGGAAAGAAAACATACAAATATTATTCAAACGCAAAAATAAACGATTGCCTTCAAGAAACTTATGTTATCTTTTATTGTTTAATTTACGAAAATACTTATATATATATATACTGTATTTATGGAATAACTGCATAGAAACAACTGTAAGCTTCTTACAAGGAATAGGCCTATTACGATTTGCAAATCCTAAAAAGGTAGTTCGTATACTAAGTCTTATTCTATTTCCCTCGGCACTTTATCAAATAACTAGGCCTAACACCAAGAACCGTCAAATCAGCACTACGATTTCATCGTTAAAAAGCTACATTGCCTTTGGTTGCAATGATCACGGCTTCACAGATATTAGAAGAAAGAAGAGAACAATAGAATGAATAAAAAAGACAAAAAAGCTAAAGCTTTGTACTGGGAATACCATTTGGAGATTTATATTTCTCATATAGCCATAATTGAAAGAACTTTAAAGTTTTTTTCCCCTATTCAGTTTATAGAAACTTTTCCATATTTTGACTTTGAAATATAAACCAAATATAAAGAACTAGTCGAATTATCTGTTTTAAGTATTTTAGCATTAAAAAATTATACATATACTAGTAATATAGCAATTATATTATCTATGAAACAAAAGAAAAGAAACAGAAAGAAATAGAGCTGGAAGATTAATAGCTTGAAAAATTAAAAATAGGAATCATAAGGGCAAAAGGTAAAAGTTCAGTGAAAGATAAATGAGAAAAAGGAAAATTATCTATAAATCTTTGAAAATGTTTGTTGTTCTTTCTATTTCTTTTGCGTCTTTGATTCTAAGCTTTATGCGGAAAAATATATAGACATTTCTCTTGATCCGCAAGAGAGTGTAGATAATAGATGTGCGCTATGTAACAGATGCTGTAAATGTACTATTTATTAATGCTATAAGATAGTATATGGCATTTGGGAAAGAAATGATATATAACTTATCTTCTAACCTTAAAAAATGTTTAGCACCGATAGGTAAAAACATCTACTAATTGGTAAAAGAGTATATCAACGTAAACGTAACTTACCGATTAGCGGAGAAGTAGCATCGGCAAATATACAAACGACAACGTGATTCCTAAAAGAAAGATTAGCAGCCTGTTCTCTTTCTATGATGCACGAGTGAATTGCTCGTTCTTGGCACCAATGGAACATTCCGGTTGAATCCAATAGCTTTGTATCAACGGTAATATCTTCGTGCGTAGTTGAGGTTTTCGTTTGTGTCGTGCTATCTATAACTTCGTAATCAAATGCAGGTACAGAGGCTGTCTGACCAGATGGTACACGGCACTTGCATCTCTTTATAGCTCTTTCCTCTTCAACATCAAAATGACATTTGACGCAATAGTAGCAGGCTCTTTTAACCTCGTCTGCGCTTTCGGCGATAAAGAAACCCTGCGTATCAGCCTCAATACGTACATTTACGCCTGGATTGATAGCTATACATGAATCTGTTTGAGTTTTAGATCTGTAATTCCTCGCTTCGATCGCTATTAATAACAATTTTAGTTTAACAAAGCAGAGCTCCGCAGCCTCTGGAAAGTTTAGACCTACAAAAGCTGGACTGAGGTATTCTGTATACATTTCCATGCCAGTGCCTCTTAGGTAATCGTTTTGCCAGTGTGCTCTATCAGACCCAGATTTAAAGGCTCGCATAGTAAATAAATTAGCCATCAGTGTCGAAAAACCGGGAGCTAAGACTGATTGCGCAATAAAACCCAACTTAAGTTCCGCTAAGCAAACAGCGTCGTCACCCCTTTTCCAATCCCAACTAGGAATGTTTAAAAGATATGCTTTGTTATGATACTGCAATAGCTGAATGATAACTTTTATATCCGAATGGTAATTTTTTATTGAAATAACTCTCATTATGTTAGTTGCATCTTCAGAATCGGGATCATCGCAGTATTTATTAGCTAAAACTAGGCAAGCATCAGCAGCCTTAATGGAAACTCTTTCCAAATCGTTCGAATCCATAACTGAACCTTGAAAGAATTCTACTTGAGTGAAATGTCGTTTAAATAGACCTTCCAACTCTAAATCAGGCTCTTTGCGGTGCATAATTACAAGTTGAACATCAACATCTTCACGGTCTTTGTGAAGAAAGTCTGACATAAAGTTGGATACTGATTCATAAGTTATATGACCACATACGATAATATGGCTGAAACACAAAAGAATTGTTAATTAGTACGGCTCTGTGTATGCTTGTGCACAAAGCATAAATCTATTCATCTTCTACAGCTGAATAAACGGTTTTCTAAGAAAAAATTGCGTTTCTACTAATCAATAATTCTCTTGTCCCCTCTTTTCTATCTCTCTATGCGTCCTAAAAAAAATACCGTACAATCTCAAGTTTTTTAAAGTTAATTGTTGAGTTGAGACTATTTGATTTTGTTTTATTATTGTAGCATAAAAGATATCGCTACTTTGCTGTCACTCTTGGTCGATTCCGGATATTAAGAGATTAATTAAATATGCAAAAGAACGGTGTATACATAAACTATAGTGGCAAATTCGTACATAATCCTAGATAGTTGCTTTTTCTTCCTCTTTTCTCCTTTCTAAATTTTTCGACTATTCGATCGCCTGTATTTAATAGAATTGTGCAAAAACAAATTTTCCCCTTTATCTTTCCTCGACTCATCGTCTTATCTACTCTGTTAATAAAAGGTTATATTTATAATATAATATATATATATATATTTATATATTATACATATATACTAATATATGGTATATATTTCTTATACACTTCGTAAATATTAGTCTGTTTGCCTAATGTTTTTTTTCTCAAGTCCTATTCGTATAAAAAAAAATTAAACTAACTGATCTCAATATAAGCTATGTTTTCTATTAATAATACTATATGATAAATCGTCAACATTGTCGTGTTGATAGGCGTAATTCAAAATGGATCACGTGATTCTATTAAATACACTGGATTGAGTGAAAAAGCAAAGGTCGAAGGGTAGATTATGAAAAAAAAAAGCAGGAAGTTTATCTTACCGTTTTCCATGTTCCTTCTTATATGTGCCAGTATATTTACTAAAAGTGAATGATATATTTAGACTAAAATTATTATTGTTGTGTACTTTACCTTCTAGTTCCTAGAATGTTTACGATTTCTGGAATTAAGTTAATTAAAGAATTTTAACAATCTATTCTCTAAAATTAAGCCTACCTGGAACGAACGATGCGAACATAGCCTGCAAATAAAAACGAAATCTGTATAAATTATATATGGCAAACAATGTGGATGCACTTTTTAAACGATTCATGTGCCTGGCAAAAAAAATTTATACACTGTTGTATTTTTTGCAGTAGAAACATTATATATCAGTTTTAAACTTCAAGATCAATTGAATTATAAAAAGAAATTAGGTCGAAGTAGCTAGTTTTCTAAAAAGGGCCTATAAACTGGATAGCAGCTGGCGTGGCCTCCTAAACTTATATTTGTAGATCTATGTATATGTTATGCAGAGGACTAACCAGCATTTTACAAATTTATATATATATTGTATTTAGTTTATTCATGTCATTAGCTACTCTAAAATTGGTGACTAATTAAATTCTGTTTTTTTTTTTAATGGAACATTTCGAGATGGAAATTCTATTTGCAATGTGTTGAATATTAATAATTGTTATTAAACAATTTATTAGGTTTAATCACTTTTAACAGCTTGTTAATCCTTAATAATTGTTTCTTTTGGGAAGCGACTAATTGGTTTCCTTAAATAAACAAAGCTAGAGTAAAATTTTGGCTAATTTTGCAGTAAAACTAAAATCTAATTTCTTTTATTAATTTCGCTCTTTCTCTCTCTCTTTCTGTCGTTTTATAACGTGAATAAAAAGTTAAAACAGAATTATTCCCATTCCAGTTTGTCTTACAAATTAACCTGGTAAACATTTGTTTTGTGTCGTCTTTCGTCTATTTTATATATACGAAACGATAAACGGTTCTTGCAAACTTGAAATAAATAAATAAATAAAATCCTACCAGAGCTCCAAGGATGAAAAATATCATGAAAAATCTTCCCAAGCTTGTAACGCATTGTATATCTCCAAATCCAACAGTTGACATTGTAACTAACATAAAGTAGACACATTCCCAATAGGTTAAGTCTTGACCATTGCTAAAATTCTCAAATGGATCCCCGGAATTTTCTAATAAATGTATAAATCCGGCAGCAGTAAACCAAATTGATATCAAATTAGAAAGTAATTGAGATAATCTTATTGAATTGGATGTTTTCAAAATATTTAAGTATTGCAAAACATCAGGGATTGACATTAGTCTTAGCACTCTTGTGAACCGTAGGCCTAGCCAATTTCGATTCAAGTAGATAGCAACAAAAGATGGTGGAATAGTAAAGTAGTCGACGAAAGAATATAATTCGAATAGGAACCAGAGTTTGTCCGGTGCGGCGACTAATCGAATAAAGAAGTAGACCATGAAAAAGATATTGAACGCCAGATCGACTTGTTGTGTTGTAGACTGCGACCATCTTTCGCAAGATTCCACTTTCTCCCTGTATAATAAATAAGTATATACTTTTAATCTAGGACAAAAACATTAAAGATTGCGGTAATTGTTATTTTTGCTGAAGCTAATCGCTGGAAGGCGCTAGGATTGTAAGAGTTAAAAATCTAGTCTCGTTATCTATGAAGAGTAGATAGACAGGATAAAAAAAAGTAGGAATAGAAAAAATTGAGAAGAAGGTTGTTAGATTGGCCAGCAATTGAAGGGATTTTCTTAGACGTTATTTTTACGTGCTGGCCGAAAAATTTAAATCAGATGTAGGATATCCGAAAGGTTTATATTCTTACGAATGCAACAGTTTTTCATTTATCAACTTTCCCCCTAGAAATTGTATAACTGGCTTTCTAAGGAAACTTTCTTTTTATTTTTCTATCTTTTCCTTACCTCTATCCATACTTTATCCCATCTCTCTCTCTCTCTCTCGCTCTCTCTCTCTCTTTCTCTATCAGACATTCCTAATAAGCTTGGCAGAATGTAAATAAATATAATAGAATAACCTTAGAAAGAAAAATCATCAATTTTCACTCCTTCTTAATATGTTGTAACCTATTATATTTCAAAATTGCATTCTTGATTTCTATCTTAAAAAAATAGCCTCTAGAAATTTTTAAATTTTCTAAGGCTAAAGAATTCTTGCAAGAAAATTATAAACAAAAAATTACTTTATCGACCACCCCTAGGTAAAGGTCAAACGAATGAGTGAAATACTTAAAGTTGATCTATTTTGCAAAACAGAAAAGATAGAATGAACCTGTTAATTACTTTATTAATTAAACAAGTGACATAAATAAACGCTTTTTGTTTCGTAGTTTCAAAGGTTGTATCTGTTATACACCTGTAGACCTATAATTAGGTCAGTACATTTTTTACAATATATGCTAAACGTCTTTTAAAATAAGAAGCGTCTCTTTTTGAAACTGTATCATAAAAATTTCTTTTCTTTGTATACTAAATTCTTCAACCAGAATTATTTTGTTATTTTTTATACAGAAGTAATTTGTCAATATTATGATAAAATTCAAAAGTATGTTAATCCCTTATTGTATTGAGAATAATACTTTCTATAATAGCTAGCCATTTTCTGCTCGAAGTTCTACAGGATTGTTTAAAAAAAATTACACCTGTCTAGTCTGAAGAAAAATAGCATTGAAAATAGAGAAAGATAAATAGAGAAATGTAGGAGTTAAAGGGAGGAGAGCAGAGAGTAGGAGTGAGAGAGATAGAGATAGAGAAAGAAATAGTATAATCTCAGAAGCAGAGAATGAGCAATTAACCATTTATTTATATCGATTTTCGATATTAATCCTCTATAAACGTTTAATTCCTACATTTATGAGTTTTACTATCAACTTTTTAAAAAAATACTAAAAGAATATTTCAAAGTTTCAAGTCAAAATACGGTTATGACCTTTAGAAAGCGGCTGCCTTTGATTTTCCAAACGTCGAGAGAATAAAAATAACGGTGAGTGGAAAGAGAGAGAGAGAAAGTATGAAGGGAGGGGAGAAATAAAAGAACCAATGCCTATCAAAATTTCAAAAGTTTCAAATAGTTCTCTGTTTGAGCAATCGTTCATTTTAACTTATCAACAAAAGATTGAAAGTTTTTGTTGATATACTGTAACTTATTTCAGTTATTTCAACATGTTTCAATAATAATCGATTGCATTTGAAACAATCAACGAGCTGTTGCAGTTGTACTATAAAAAAAATTGACTTGTGTTTTTTATTTTTATTGTAAAAAGTTGATATTTTTTTTCTATATTATTATTATTTTTTTAATTATTTCCATTATTATAAATTTGATGCGAATTATATAAGAAAATAAAAAGTGTTAATGCTAAATCGTAATATAAGAAAAGCTGAATAAATTATTAATATAGGATTACTTAGCAACAGTAGTACAGCCACTTACTAAGGACCTTAGTGAGAGTTGTTGAATCATACTAATTACCATTAAATTGTGAAAACAAGTAATAACTTATAAATTGTGTAAATTTAAGGCCGATAGGATTTGCTTTTTTTGTTTACGAAACTGCCTAATACATTCTTTTTTTGTCTAAATATTCTAGTATACTTCCGAAAAAACTTACGTAGAAGCATCAATAAAGTAAATTATTAAAGATGAAATGCTCAAGAAGAATACTAGGACAACCTGAAAGAACAAAAGGACTATTTATAATAGTATTTGATTAGTTTAACACACAAACCAGTATCCGACCAGTCGTTGTCTGACCCGATATCAATTCTCCAGCCCAATCTTTCGCTTCTGTTAACCAACCTATTTCTGCTTCCGCGGAATGATTTCTTGAAGATATGGAATGCTTCCGTCCAATTTTTGAACTTAATAAGGTTAAACGATGCTGGTATATCCATGATACAATTCGCCAGGATAAAACGAGGACGAGGCCAGCAAAGAAAGTAATGAGGGAAGAAGATAAAAAAGCGTACCAATGTCTATCAGCTAGACAATCAACTGGACTTGGAGATGTGAACGGTACGGACTGGTTGCAGTTTACCGCCATCGGGAATTCTTCATATCCAATGCGTATTAACTATCCTGCTTTATAACTCGTCGCTTTATGAATTGTTGGACGTTTCGTAATCCGCACTAGGTACCGCCATTTAACCAACTAGTCTCCCGTAGCACATTTTCGTTCTCTCATTATGAATACGGAACAATGTACCAGGCTAAGAAAATAAAATGGATAAAACCCAAAGAAAAGAATGAAAAACTTTAACATCTTTTATTTGTATATAGATATAGTTAAATAACAGTATTTCCAAGGTAAATGAAAGGTTTTATGTAATTTCTATAAAATATTTAACACGTTTTTCTTATTAGGTATTATTTATTGTTGATTTTATTATAAAGATATAAAACGACGTTAGTAACATTTACTTTCATAGTAAAAGGACATACATTTATATACTAATACATATATTTGCTAATTATTCAAGGCTATTCACTTTGAACTCGATAAAAATCAAAAGAACCATTAATTGAAGTATCTGTTTATTTATTTAGACAAATCCACGAAAAAATTCTATATTTAATGACGTCATCAGACAATTCAATCTTAATGTGTTTGTACAAATAAATGCACTGTATAAAGATTTTATATATTAAATAATGCGTCTAGTGTACATCATTTTTACGACAATCTTTTACAAAAGTGTACAATTCAGCCTAGTTAATGCTGACAAATGTGCATGCACTCAAAAAGCTGGTATGATTTTGATAAATTGTTATCCTGATCATAGGAAAACTAAATCACAAGTCTGTTTGCATGAAAATGAAAGATTCCTGGAAAAGGTTGAAGCTATAATAATAAGGTGTGATGGTAATAGACGACTAAACAAGCGAAGAATGGATATAAGTGTTAATTTTAAGATTATTCATTCATTATATGTGACAAACTGCGGTCAAACCGAAATTCGGTTGTCTGGAGCCGATAATAGTAGTGTTCTATCTTACAAGGAAGGAAATCCTGTAAGCGTATCTTAAGAAATACGATAAATTCATTAGATGGCGCCACCTGGAAGTGTTAGCCAATTTAAATAATTAGAAATGTATATTATTACAAGGAAATGGCCTAACACCAGTCCAAAATGAGCTATTTTATATAAATAGATAATATATCTTTTCTTCGTTTTCCATTTAAAACAAATAAGTAAATCTCTTTGATAGAAATCGGCAAGGATTCATGTTATTGATACCTACAAACTCCCTTGCATACCGATTGGAGATGTGAATATAGAAATTTATTTTACCTTTACTACGGCTTTTGCGAGGAAAAGAGCAGACTATGATAAAAATAAAGATGAATACGAAATAAATTATGATGTTCTATTTACAACCAATTGCCCATATCTAAAAAATAGCTCAAGAATTAACCTTATCAAAGTACGTTGCAAAAGATTGTAAGCTCGTATAATATAAAAAGTAAAAATAAAAAGATATATTTGAAATAGCCTTACACAACAGTATTCAGTATCTATTCTATTCAATTTATAGTATATAGCATAGATAAATAGCGCTTTTCTTTCTTATAAATTCATTCAAGGCACTTTTTATAATTAAAAATCAGGTGGATGTAAGTAGGACGTATGTCAGATATTTACTTCTCCGTTTGGATAATACTGAAAAAATATCTCATTTTAAAGATATTCGATTTGGTTTTTCTACAATAATTAATTTGAAAATTGATTCAGAAAAGAAGGAAAAAGAATTTAAAAGAATATTTGTTAAGAATGTCAACTCCGTTAGATCATTTTTATTCCATAATTGTAGTTATAGTAAAGTTTATACGATAACTCAAGCCTTGGGAAAGAAATATAGAAATTTGAATAAGCCATCGTTATGGACAGATAAATGTAGTTATGACTTTTCATATTTACGCATTTTGAGAAACTGCAGTACTCATTTTTATCATTATCAACGTAAAATGAATAAATTAAGAGAGAACTTTATTAATCACGAAGTTAACTTCTTACTTCGATTAAGACGAAATAGATACGATTTTGCAAAAACTATTGACCTTGGTAGAAATTTCGATAATCAAGCAAGTCAACTGAGACTTAAAATTCTACAAGATCTTCCTTCCATAAAACGTACATTTGAATATGAATATGCCGTCAAAACGATGGATGATCGTCAAGATATATTTTATTTTTTATCTCCATCATTTTCTGACGAAAGTATAAAATATATTTCGAGATGCTGCCAATCAGGAAAGCGTGCTTGTATTGGAAAGGACAGTTCTCTATGTTGGTCATTAGCAAGTTTCTACTTTAGTATGGATTTTTACTTTCCTGATAGATATTTTTCCACAAATGAAAGCGAATTAAGGCGGCTGAGAATGTTACGTGCAGAGGCATATGATTACGAAATTGCAATGGCGAATAAACCTAATTCAAAATTATTCAAATTGATTAGTACTTTCTTAGTGATTTTACTTAGTCTTTAAATATTAAATTAAGAGTTATATAAATAACTAGTATAAAAGTAAAATAATTAAAACTGTTAGGTAAGTTAATTACTTCTCAACACCATTCAACTTTTAAATTAATCTTTAGTTAAAATAGATGATTAACCTCAAACTCAAATTTATCCACTTTATTGATCTTACAAGAAATATAGGGCGAGGAAATGAATGAGTACATCTTCTAAAGTAATGTATATACCTCCACTAATAAAGTTAATAGTCTATTCGTAATAGTTTTTACTTCTAACACAGACATTCTGTTATCTTTGGGAGTATTATTTTCTTAGTAAAATTATATAAGCATCAGTAGAAAAATCACTTAACATTAAAATTCGTTTATCATATATAAAGATATATGAGAAATATTTGTATTTTTTTTGTATAGTTTTTGTTAAATATAATAAATAAGATTCTATCAAAAATGATATAGAAAAAAGCCTATTTACAACATAAAAACGGATTTGAGCCATCAAAAAGAAATTAGATACAAATTAAGCATCAAAAGATATATTCAAGAATCTTTCTAAATTAGGTAGGAAAATTGATTTCAGAAGAGAAATTAATTAGGATGAAGTATTCTTGGAAAATTAATCAAACGGAAACTTCAATAGATAGTCAAATACGAATGACATTAAATAGTCTTTGGCTTCTTGAAAAGAGAATATTTTTTATGCGTTGTTTATTCTTAGAATATATATAAATCAAGGCAGGATCCTATATATATACTATGCATACCAAAATGAAATACCTTATCTCCAACTGCAGCATCAGGGTATCGCTATATCTCATAGTAATAATCGTAAAAAGGAATTGGAAGAGAAACTGGATAAGTGCCAAATTTATACGTATTTCTATGATTGGAATGGTGAAAAATTTTTTGGATAAGTATCATAAATTCAGCTTAAATGAATAAAACAGAATTAGGTTAATATTACAAGTATTTAGGATACAAAACCCAATTTAAAGTGTATAACATTTTCATATTTAACCTAATGTTTACTGAAACACAACTTTAGTCAATAGCTGTTTCTATCATCGATAAAATCTTTGACAATTACCTAAAATATGTTAGAATAGGTTCAACTATTGGATATATCAATGGTAATATCCTATTCGGTCATTGGTTTAATGACCTCAAATTTCCCCCATTCCTCCCAGCTATTAAGGGAACTATTTGGGGTAAAGCACAAAACAGAAAATCAAAAATACATGTTAATGTAGTCAATTAACATCGGAAAGACTTTAATAATTGATGATTTTAGTAAATGGACCATTGGTGTAGGTATTTTTATTCCTTTTTTTCTATAGCATTTTATAAGCAGTGAAAAGCAGGTAATGTATAAAGAAAGTTTAAAAAAATAATAATCATTTAATAGATTTATAAATAATAAAAGTCTCATTTAGAGGTAATGCCCTTTATACACCTCTGAGTTCATTCGATCTCAATCATGCAATCCGATCACGAATTGATAAAAGCTCTCCAGAATGATAATATACGCAGTGTTGACAATTTTTTCCTATCAATGTCAAAGATAAAAATTACTGGCCCTACTTTGTTAGCTGCAGTAGTTCATAATAATTATGAAAATTCAATTCGTACTTTGAGAAATATGGTTCGCCACAAAGTTGATATAAACTATCAAGATGAACAAGGCAAAAGTGCACTAATGTTTGCCGTCGAAACGGGAAGAATTGAAACTATACGCTTACTAGCTAAATATGAAAATTGCAATCCTAATATTGAATGTAAAGATGGTACCAGAGCAATACATATAGCTGTAAAGAAGGACGATGATAGAATCCTCAGCCTACTTATAAATACTAATTTTTATCCTTACTTATTGGAAGTAAACTGTCCCGATAAGAGAGGAAAAACGCCACTAAATTTGGCATCTGAAAGAGATCATTCGAAATGTGCTGTAATATTATGGAACGAAGGTCTCGCCGATACCTCCGTACTCTGCCGTGAGTTTCCTCGGAAATGTTCAATTCAATCAATTACGTTAGATGGATTGCAAACAGTCGATCCAGAATCTAAAAAATCTACAATTGACAATTGTCTACTATCTCCTAGATCTATTCACCGCAATCCACCAACTGAGAAGAAATCCAAAAAGTTGAATAGAAGTAATACAGAAAATCATACTGTCTATTTAAGTAAAAAAATCTTAAATCGAGTCAAGTCTGTAACACCTAAATTGGAGAAAAAAGAAACTTTATACACTCGAATATCTGTCGACGATTAAGTACTCTACAAACTGTCAGAAGATATCAGTCATTTTATTTATATTATACTGTCATATTTTCGTAGGTAACGAGGAAATTATAGACATAAAAATAAATTAGATTGTATCTTTGAGATTATTAATGAGGCTTTATAGACGAGAAATACAAATGTTTCAAACGGCTTTAAAATGTTTCATTTTTTCATAAAAATGTAATATATTTATTGATTTAATTAAATGTAATATTGTCTATATGTCTAACAACGATAACAATTGATTTATTGATAGAATTCGGAATACGGATGAAAATACGAAAACATCTAGACGACTTGTGTACGTACCTTCGTCTCTATAGCAACAGGCCGCTTTGCTGTGTTCACTAATAACTACATGTTTTTTTTCATATTTTCCAAATAAATCAGTTTAAATTAATAATCATCTTAAAATTAAGGAATGGAAATTTTATCGGCTGATATCATCCAGGAATTTAATGATTTAACTCTCAGGGCATTATACGCCTGGATTGATGGAATTCCAATAAGTAAACCAAAAAGAAATTTTGCAAGGGACTTTTCAGATGGTGTTATGGCGGCAGAGATTATTAAGCACTTCTTCCCACTGCTAGTCGAATTACATAATTATACACCAGCCAACGGTACAAGAACCAAAGAAAGTAATTGGACAGTTTTAAATAGAAAAGTTCTTTCCCGATTAAAGATTCAAGTCGACCCTGATTTAATCCGGCAGATTGCTCAGTGTAAAGCTAGAGCAGCTGAAAGTTTTCTCTTGTGTCTTAAAAGACGTGTGGAAGCAACTATGGCCGAATACGGACCAAATTTTTCAGTATACACAAAACTAAAAGCGGAACCAACAACAAAAGGGAAAAAGGCACATAATAACTATAATGTATCCAACAATACTAACAATCAATTTGAAATGGAGCCAAAAAGCTTTGAAAGAGAGATTCCGAAACAGCAATTAATAGATAAAGAAGAAGAAATTCGACGTAGAGACGAAACTATTAAAGTTTTACAAGCGAAAGTTAATAAACTGGAACAGTTGTTACAGTTAAAAGAATTAAGGATTGAAGACTTAACAACGAGACTGAAAAATACGAAAGGCGTTCAAATTATATAATAAAATAAGTAGAATAGATACATTTATTATGAGAATAAATATATCATTCAAACTATAAGTTAAAGCTTACTTTAGACTAAAATGTTTATTGAATTAAAATGAGTTCCTATAGCACACATTCTTTCATATTACATTAATAACAAGTCCCATACTATAAAGGTCATCGTCATCTAATTCTTCTAGTGTAGAACTTTATCTAGAACTGCCTCGTAGGACAAAGCAGATAAGTCATTTGCCTGTACTTCTTTGAAAGCCAATTGACTAAGCTTATTTTTAATCGCATCTTTAGAAGAAGCGTAAAGCATCTTGTTGCGAACGCTAGCAGAATCCGGACACCTAGAATGCAATATAAAAAAAAATCTATCAAATAAAAGAATATTTCAATCGAAATACCAAAATAAAAAAATCTAAAAATTATCACGTGATATAAATTTACCTGTTCAAAATTTTTCTATACTACAATATGTTATTCAAGTTATTTACTTAATAGCTTTTTAATGCAAACATATAATTGATAACGATATACGATATATATATATATAACTTATAAGTTCCATGTTGTACTGTCTTTTTACGACTATTTTACCAAATAAAAAGAAAAGACAAGAATTTTGTATAATTAAATACAAGCAAAATCTTTTTAATGTGACATATATATATACACAGTATATTTAATATTATAGAAGTATAGAAAAAAATTTCAAATAGGCCTATAGAGGAATTTTGTAGATTTTTTAATATTAATGATTTAATCTTTTAATAATAAAATTTTTTTTAAAGTTCTTTTTTTTTAAAAAAAAAAGTTTTCTTTTTCTTTAGATTCTTATTTATTGTTGTCGATGTTGTTGTTAGCATAAAAAGAAAATAGTTAAGACTAGTTAAATATTGTCTATGGTTTATATATATAGTATATATATATATATATATATATCTCTGTACAATTTTTACTTCGGTATTATATATATTCATATACTGTATATATACAGTATACTCTATCAAATACATTAACTAATTTTGTCCTTTAGTTAAATCTACTTAATAAGCTAGGCCTATAACGCCCACGATGGAAATTGTTTATACAAACCAGACGATAAATAATAATTTATCGGTAGCTTGTCCACTGCCAGGCACATATCCAAAATCGTATAAAATGTAGCAGCAATCCTTGTCTGAGAGAGTATCTGTTAATTCATTTAACAATCTTTTTTGGCCTTCCTCGTCGCCATTTTCAGTTTTATCTCGCTCCTTCTCCTCTTGAATTTCAATAAATGTTCCAACAGAGTTTATAACGAATCGCAGATATCTAAGAAATATATAAAAATTACACCAGAGTTTGTTTGCTTCCGGGTTTTTTAAAAGATTAAATAGAATTATTAATACAATTTACCTTAAGGGTGTACCCTTGTGTAGATTCATTTCAACTGCTCTGGTGACGACATCATCGTTAACTTTAACACCACTAGCCATTTTTATTCAAGAATCAACCGTTGAGAGTTTTCAGCTACGAGAGAAAGAGATGTTGGTCCCGGCCGATTATATGTGCGTTTAAGTACGAATAATTTTTGGCCTGTATTATATTGCTTTATAAGCAGATCTATGAGGTTTATTTTTAACTCAGACTATGTATGGAGTGCTCTTTTTTACTCAATTTTAAATTAGACAGTCTTAAATTTTCTTTTACTTTATATTGATACCTAGGCTAAATTCAAGGACAAATTACAAAACAATTGACAAACTACTCTTTTTAAGATTTAAAAAGGAAACCCTTTGTAAAATGTTTTGTAGAACTAAATTGGCCGATTGTTTGCGATTCTTATCAATGTACAATTCTATTGATGCTTTGTATTATAGCTAATAGCAATAAGTTAACTAAGATACTGATCGTTTCTAAAAGTACTCACCATATATGGTCAGTAACACTGGATATGTAGAAATCTAGATTGTTAAAAATACTATTTCTTGATCACTTTCTTTGAAGCGGCATTTATAAGACTATTTTATAGTAAAAAAATCAATGAATATAGCATATATCCTGTTCATACAATATATACCAAATATACAATATGTACTATATAAGAAACGGTTTTTAGAATAACAAATATTGCTTACCCTTTCTGTTCTTTCAGTAATATTGAATGGTTAAAACTCGAATTTATACAATATATATATAGAATGTTGGCCTCTTGGAAAACTAGGTAAGAAAATTGGAGATTAGAGATAACGGGTAATCTCCATGGGAAAGAGAAACTGTGAAATTGTATTCTATTCAATACTTGAAATATAAATGAGATTATTTAGAAATAGCTTTTTACTTTAAGTATTTAACGGTTCTATATTATCGCTTTGTTTATTTATTGAGAAAATGACGAATTTTATGATATAAGTTAAACATAATGTGTATATACTATATATATATAGATTCATAGATTGGTTTTAATATTCTTATACTATATTTCACCAATAGCAGCTCTTACAGACAATTCCATCAACTTCAAAGCATCTTTTACAGTTATAAGGTGAGTTTGCTTTCCTAAAATCCGTCTCATGGGGATTCCAAAAAGGAATATCAACGTCTGGAATGAAACCATGACAATAGCTTTCACTTAAACAATTAACACATCTCTCTTCGCACTGAGCCTCCAAAGTTCCCTTATGATAAACCAAACATACCGAAATATCGATAATAAGAGTCAAGTTGAGTAGAATAATTAGTAGTTTTCCCATAGTTTTAATTCTATATTTTAGAATTTCATTTTTAATTTAAAATAAAGACTGAATATAATTTAAATAAAATATACTAATTAATTAATTAATGAGCTGAATAAATGAATATTTGACAAACAATTAATTTTATAGTAATAATATATTAAATATAAATTATATTGTAAACATCCTATATAATCTTTATGACTCAGTAAACTTTTACAGATTTTCTTTTTCTTTCTCTAAAAAGAATTATATTATCTCTTTATATATAAATTGTTTCTATTTAATCAATATCCTCTTATTAAAATAATTGAAGATTTTACAATTTGCATCATATATGTACAGTTAAAACTTTGTATTTGTCTAATAAAATACAATACGGATCTTTGTTGCTATCGGGTTTTTTTTCTTTTCTTTGTTTTTTTGTTTTTTACAGATTTGCCAATTTAAGATAAAAACTAAAAAAAAGTGAGAGTTCTATACTTGTTTTTTCTTTCTGGTTTTGTTTAACGCTTATAAGAATACAATTAAAATATGAACACTTTTAAAAATCGAATATGAACATAAAATTTTTCCATCTCTCTTCTTCTTTCCTCCTTCATTTTTCTTTTTCATTCATTCACTCATTACTTTGCTTCTTTTTTTCATTTAAATACATAGTTCACATATTCTTCCTTCTTCGTCTTTAAAACAATTTCTACATCTTTCGTCCTCAAGGAGAGAAGGATCCCATGTGCTCGGCGGCGGGGCGATTATACTTTCACATTCCTTTGAATGGATACATCCGAAACATTTGTTCTGAGGACAGATCTTCCATATTTCTTGTGGAATTATAGCGCTTTGGTACGAAACATTCGCAATAAATATAAGACAGAATAAAACGGCCAACTTTCTCATAGTTCCTCTCTTTATAAGCTTTACTGGCGAACTACTCAAGTACAGAGATAGGACTTAATATATCGCGCCGCACTTGCGGAAATATATAGCAAAGCAGCCTCATTATAGGCCTATAAACCGTGTTTATTTCTACGATAATAGCCCTAAAGGATTTTATATTGACTGAAAATATGTGATTCATAGCCTTGACTGTGACGAAAACGTTGTAGACGTATTACATAAAAAACTTTCAAACAAATGACTGAAACACTTCCGGACGCTGGAGAAATATAGAATGTATTACTAACCTATTTAAAATAACTCTATTTCTTAATATTTTGATGAGTAACAAAGAATTGGAGAAGAACGAGGGTCTCTTACTCAAGATAAATAAGCAAAAATGGAGTTTGTAACATATTTATGTTCCTTTTATATAGAATTATCTGTATCTAATGAAAAAAAGAACAAAAAAGAGAGATGGAAAAACAGAAGAAGATCCTTATCGTAGAAATCTGTTTCACCATCACCCTATACCCACGCACTCCTTTCCATATTCTCTTCTCTGTTTGTCCATTCCTCTCTAACACTCTCATCCCCTCTCCATTCTCTTAGTTTTGCTCTCGCTCTCCCCCTCCCCTCTACTCCCACCCCTACACATAGTCCCTCATACTCCATTATCAATTAAACTGCTAATAGACGTCGTTAAAATCGTTACATATTGTAGATAAGTCTACACATTTATTTCAATTATTTAATGCCATAAATTGGGGAAATTTTTCACTATAATTGTATTAATTTTATTAATCGTTTATATATAGCAGTACTTTATAGTATATTGCACAAGACTTTCATACAAATCATTGTAAGAAAATAAATGATTTTTGAATCAATTTATTACAAATTTCTACTTTTTCTTTTTCATTTTTCTTCTTCTCAAATAGGAAAAATTTGTTCATTTCTAATCTTTTTCTTAGACTATTCTTAACCAACTTGGTTAACTCAAATATTTATTTGAATTAATACCTCTCAATTCATATTAACAGTCCAAAACATTGTATAAATAAAGCCAACAAGCGCGCCAAAAACACTTGTTAACCACAATTTATTCGCATCGGATGTTGTTCTATATACGGTTGCGACGTCGACCTATATATTAACAGTGGGAAAAGAAAATGAAAGAAAAATAAAAGCTTAATTTAATATTGAAATAGAAAAACAAAAAATGATTAGAAAAGGAAATTGAAGAGATGAAAAAAGAAAAAAAGTAATGTTTATCAAAATTTTGGTTTGTTTTTACGTAGAATTTTGATATATAGTTAAGACATGTCAAGTTTGTAATTTACGGTACAAGTTTGTTCAGTTCTTTTTTTATATAACGATAAAAAAAGCTATTGCAATATGTTCCACGAGTAATAAATTATTAGTTGCACAGATTTACTGTCATAAAATAAGAAGGAATGAATATTTGATAACAAACTTGCCCTTTCAATGTGTGAGTTTACTAAACAAATAAGATTTTGAGAAGTTAGAGAGATTTTTTTTTCTTACTTACCCATCCACCTCTTCTCTTTATCCAGTCTAATAGGGAATCTTTAACGAATTCTGTAAAACTATCTATAATCACTGGTACGAATTCACTTCTATTCTGTCTAGAACAATCGCAAGCGAAACTTCCCGACAAACAGAATAATGCTATCACTTTAGCCCATGTAACTGATTTTCGTTCTTTAAAAAGGTTTTCGGCAACATTTCTGAACGTTTCCCTAACTGCACTTTCGGATGTAAATGGAATACCTAATTGCTCACTAACGTCATTAAATAATTGCCCGTAATATTTTTCTAGTTTTCCCGCCAAAAATTCAATTTCTTTAAGGGTATCTGAAGGGATAAACTTTGAAGCTTCGTATTGCTGTTTAGCATTTAGCTGGGATGCTCTAGAGGAAAAATAATAGTAATTAATACAGTACAATTAAACAAATTATCGTTAGTATTTTAAAGAGAATATAATAAGCATATGTTACATAAATGATTGATAGGTTTACCTATTTAGCCTAGTTGTAACGAATTCTGTGCACAATATTCTAGCCTGACTGACAATATCCTCTTCTGCAGGTTTATTTCTTCTGATTAGCCCTAAAATAATTGATTTATCATTAGTGTCAGCATCTTTTCGTTGTCCAACAAAATAGCTAAATCGTCTGTCTTGATTCATTTTATTGATTTAAAAATGGCCTTTTTGTTTTTCAATAAATATTGAAAAGAAATTGATAAAAAAAAAAGAAAAAAAAACCTTTTCTGCAGAATCTCTTTATCCATTTTATATAGTTGTAATATTTCGTGTTGAAAAATTGCGTCCAAGTTGACGGTTGTATTTTACCAGAGATCAATCGTTCTTCGTATTTATTCAAAAATATTTGGCACGCCAATTTATCCTTCTTCCGTCTTATAAGAGCATACGAATTCATCCTGTTACAAGTCTTATCCTGGGGTGAAGAAAATAAGCGCCTGGCTTAGAAAATCATATAGAAATCGAGCTCGATATATACAATTGCCTGGCCTGCAGCGCTATTAAGTGTATATACGGTTTGGGGGGGTTCATGCATGCTCATACAGAAACAATCAATTCTTAACAATACTTTATCAATTGTTCGATGATTTAAGTCTATACGCTTTCTGAGAATGGCTAATCATCCCTATAAAGACCAAATTAGTCTTATTTTAACTAGCTTAATTCACTTTTAAAGAGAATAAGCTTAAAAAGAAATATGCGGGACATTAGGCCAATTATTTAGGAACTATTCTCTAACGATAGTACTCAAAAGCCGCCATCTACCGATTATAGAATAAAAATCAAATATCATTATATATTGGATATTTTCCTTTAAACTCTATTCTATTAGTTTTGTAACGTTCTGAAAGAACTTATTTAATTATTCATAACTTGATCTATTTCGAGTTTAAAAAAGCGTCTATATTTATCCATAATATTAATAATTCTTATAAAATATTTAAAATTAAATAAAGAACATTAGAAAAAAAGAATACCTTCGTTTTTTCAATAAAGTTTCACATGTATTCTTAGGCTCTAAACCACAAAATGTTAGTAAGATTAACGTTATAGTGCCTCTAACATTACAACGTCATCTACGGTACACGGTACCCCCATAGCAATCCTAAAGGGAAAAGAATCCATTTTCCCTTGAATCTAATAATTCCAGGATCAAATAGGGCTGCAAGATTTATAACAGTTCCTTGACAAATTAAATTCTGATCGTAACTGTATAGAGACCTTCTATAGCCTTCTATTTATACTTTTTACATATATACAATATATTAAATACTTAATAGCTAAAGTCTCTCTGTCTACAGATACGAAAAGAACGCTAAAGAGATAAAATCTATAAAGATTCTCCCCAAAATGGAATAATAAATCATTTATTTAGATTATTGCTACCAGGAAAGGATACATTAGATATAGGCATATTGTGTTTAACAATACAAAATATATACATGTTCATTTCTTCTTTATGATCTTCTCTTATTCGAAACAAAAGATACCATAATTTACATCTAATTAGAATATACAAGTCTTTTTATATAATTCAATATTCTTTTCAATATTAAAAAAACAACGAAGAAGGCTACTGGAATAGATATGCTTCATGTAATTTTTATGTGTTTGTCTCCATTTTGTCCTGTATAGTTTGTGCTTTGTAAAATCAGCTAAGAAATTAACTATTTTCCCTAATCTTATATGATAAGAATCACCGTGAACTCTTTGTAAATAACGAGTGAACGCCAACATTACACGATTATAATTACTTTCGAAATGAGGATGATTCGGATCGGGATAAACAAGATTTAACGCTAATATTAAGGTTAACTCTTCAAATGTGAATTTTAAATCGTCAATATAAAGCAATAGCTCTCTTAGCATTGATGAATAAACTTCGTCAGTTAGATCGGAAATACTGTTCTTCTTTAAAATATACTCTTTTTCATTAAACCTTGCCACAAAACCAACGTCTTTCCATGTATGTAGGCCAGAAGTCATAAGGATAATATATATTTCATCAACTCTTAAGCGAACCAGTTGTCTCAGCTCAAAGTCGCTTAATTGAGCTATTCCGGGGAAATTTCTTGCAATTGTTAACCAACGTTTACCAGTCACCTCCATAACTTTCTCTATTAGTTTCCAGAAAGTTTTACGATTGTCCAATTCAATTCCTGTAGCTTCAAACACCTCCATATACATTGACATAGGGAATGTACCTTCGGCCAGAAGCGTCGAAGCTTTCTCGTATTGCTCAAATATATTATCAATTTCTGACGGCCAATAAATATCTTGAATCTTGGACAAGGCGCAACAACATCGAACTAACAAATCATCAGTGTCTGTATGCGCGAACAGACTAGGCAATTGTAATTTCTTCTTTTGGAATACAGTAAATTGATGTTTCACGAGTAAACGCTTTTCTTTTGAATATCGTCCGTGTTTAATGTGCTTTAAAGACATTCCGGCTGAAACGCACCTTATATATCTACATAATCTGCATGGAAAAGCAAAATCTAGCGTTGGACTGCAATTTCTCCTTCCGTTTTGACACTTGTAATCTTTGTGCTTTTGTATACTTCGACGGAAAAAAGTCTTGCACGCTTCGCATGAATACGTTCCATAATGACGTCTACAAAAATATTGTTATCATTGAATAGTATAAAGGAACAGTCAAAGTAAGTTGAATAAGTTACCCAGTTGATTCTATTCCACAAACCAGACACGGCGGTAATATTAAACGTTCATTCGAGTTATCTGATGGCGGTTTTAGATTGATTTCTTTATTGTTAAGGGACATTATAGTCTCAAAAGCCAAAAAACTGGTAGTTTGAATGTATATTAATTAGTTTGGCTAAGATATTCAACTTCAGGTCAGAATATAGTGTTATCTTCAGATAAGATATTTTTTAGACAGGTTTAGTGTCCAAATTGTTTATTCAATTGTTTATTACCCAAAAGAAAAATAGAAATAAAATGGCAAATTTTATTAACAATCAATTCTTAGAGAAAATGGATAAAATGATTAATAGAATTAAAAAATTTTTAACAACTAATTAACATATTACGCAACAAAGACAGTTTTTTAAAATAATAACATAAATGAACAAAAAAAATCAATTAATTGATCGATACCTTTTTGAACTTGATTCATCGTTGTTATCTGCAGATTTACGTTTTCTTTCTTTTATCACTTTTGAAGTATTACTATTCTGTCTATTTCTGTGATTAGAAAACCATCTCTTTACTTGCTCTTTAGAAGAATCGGTTAATCTTGCTAATTCCAAAACTTCATTTCGATTTGGATAAGGATATTCTGAATGACTGTTATACCATTCTTTCAATATCGTTGTACGCTTTTTAACTTTCATTCTTTTTTTCTCACTAGGTGACGAATCTTCTTCTTTCATTAGTGTTATTCCATCGAAGAATTCGCTGAAATCTGGTACGACTATTTTATCCGCTTCTTCTTTCAAATGTATTAAGACAGGTAGCACTTTGTCTAATGTCATCTGCTTTTCAACGGCAAAATAACGATTAACCGAACCTAAAAGCCAATCGTCCTTCACTAATAGATTTTGTATAGCTAATCGACGTTGATCTTCCAGAAGTTGTAATCTAAACAGGAGAGGATCCCTTATAGCCTGAATGGAAACTTCAGGATATATTTTCGATAAATGTTCAAATTCAGAAAAAACCAAATTTTCGGTTGGAGAAGACACAGTGATATCATTGAGAGTCAAGTAATCGGGAGAAGGAGAAGGAGGCGAAGAATTCTAACGAATAAAATATGAACATTTAAAATTAACAGAACTTATAAACACTATAAATCACTTACTGCCATTATCTTAATTGTTGTATAAGGTATGTGTAGACTGTATCCTTGTAATCCGTTAATAGTGGAATGACTTTAACTAATGATTCCTATCGCCAGTTATATATACTTCTATAGAAAGGAGTATTCAATCAACCACTCTCTAAACAACACTCAGAGTGGCAAATTAACTCAACAAGGAAACGAAGATTTCGGTGAAACCGGGGTTGGGGCTTTAATGTTGCGCCAACTATATAATCAGTACGAAACGAAAGTATACCTTCGGTTTATAGCTATTATATAATACGCTTGCTCTTAAGTGATTTTCAATGTAAACCTTAAGCCTAAAAGTTAGTTCGTTAATTGTAAGCGATTTTTTTTTATTTCAATTGGTAAGTTTTTACTGTGAGAGTTAAACATTGAATTCATTGAATACAGTATATTTTTAGGCTAAAACAAACAGAAAGGATATACATTTAGGATTTAAGTGAAAGGAATATATACAATAATATATCGTTATTGATTAGAGATTTTTTTAAGACTCTTGCAGTGAGAATTCAGATAATTTTTTTGGATCTATTAGAGATTTTTCCAGTGAATACTCTATATCATAGTCGCGGGCTTGATGCATATGACGTAATTTTTTACTTGACCTCGGTGGAATAGGTAATTCAGAATGATGAGCTGGTAATGGCTCAGTAAAGAAATATGGATGTAAGAGAGCCTGATAAAGAGAATAAAAAATGCTTTATGGAAAAAAAAAAGACCAAATATTATTACAAACCTCTTTTGCAGAAATTCTTCTTTTAGATGAATAGACGAGAAATTTTTTCAGTAGATCAACTGCTAAAGGAGAGGCGTCAGGTACAATTTCTTCTAATGGTATAGGAGCTTGAGGTTCAAACGAAATCTTATGATAGTCAGGTAATTCGGTAACACCCTTTGATGTCAAAATGTAAGTTTTAAAAATTCAACAATATATTTTAGGACATTACTGGCCAATTGCTTTCAGAAGGCGTTCCAAGAACCTGAGTTACTCTACATAATTGAGGAATATCAGTTTCAAGCTGCAAAGAGTGAACTTTTATAAATAGTATTAAGTTTTAACGAGCTATTTTCAAAGATCTTACTGGAAATAAAGGTGAATTATTTAATAATTCTCCAAATATACAACCAACAGCCCTACAAACGGAAAATATCATATTTAATGGACACTATATAATTTTTATAATAATTTACCATAAATCAACGCCTTCATCATAATTTTTTGCGCCATATAACAATTCAGGAGCTCTATACCACCTGTAATTTTTAAGAAATTCAACTGTAGTATCTTATCGAATAACATGATATTTATGTAATAAATTATTTATACCTCGTAGCCACTTGATGACTGTATAATCTACCATCATTTCTAAATAATCTGGCTAATCCAAAATCAGCTAATTTTAAATGTCCTGTTTCGCTTATTAGTAAATTTGCTGGTTTTAAATCCTATTGAATAGATATTAACTAGTAAACTAAGTTGTTTTATTTATATTAATTTTACCCTATGCATTATGTTGTTTTCGTGACAAAAGGCAACACCTTTTAGTAGCATCAGAATATAACTCTTTATTTGACTCTCTGTTAATGGCCTTTCTGTATTACGAATTACTTCAGATAAATCCGAAAGCATATAATCGAACACTAAGACAAGACTTGTACTATGAGGAAAGACATCTCTTAATTTAACTACCTGTAATATGTAAATATAATCGATTTAGAACTCGGAATATTTATTTTCCTATGTTTAAAAAGATGAAATTACAAACATAATCGTTTTCTTCTATTTCCTGAAGAGTTTTTATTTCTCGGAGAGCCGTATTTGGTATACCACTATCCAATTTTGGCAAGGATACTTTCTTTATTGCTACTACCTCCCCTGACTATGTAGAAAGTTATTAGCATTCATATGTATAATATTTTATATTTATACAGTAGGTACATTTAAAACTTTGGACTCTTACCTCAATATGCTTTGCTTTATAAACGAGACCATGAGCACCTTCACCAATATTCTCGAGAATTGTATATTGATCCATTTTGAAAAAAAATATCTTCCACGAAATAAACGAATTGAACGATATAACAATCTTAATCCGAGATATTAAAGGTACTAATTAATGAATCAATTATAGAAATATTGCATGAATATTATATTTTAGCAAAATATAATTAATATTTTAACAGCTTTACCGAAATTATCGTCTTTCTAGAAGATAAACTATGTAGATGCTTTAGCGTTCATAGTTACGAGTGGTATTACTAAAACTGGAAATTGGCATTCCTTAAGTGATTTATATATTATAGTTTTTAAATAGGAACAGTATAGATTATTCATCAATGTTATGTTATAAGAATGCAAAGTTTTTTTAATTTAAGCCGTAGCATAAACCTGACAAATAATCAAATAGTAGTTTTCGACAATATATATCACGGTTTATAGCCAACCTTAATTACGAAAATAAAAAAATGGCTGTCACTGCTCTTCGCGCTCTTAAAAGTTCTAATTTAGCAGCTATTAGGAACGCGTATTGTTTGACTTCTATCGTAAGTGTTTAGTTGTATATTTTTGATATTTTGATGAAAATTTTTATAAAAATTAACTACTCATGGGTTACCTATTATTGTGCAATGTGTTACAACCTCCCTAGAGGTCGACTATCACGACTACTTTTAATTCAAAATTAAATCTTTAGTAAATATACTGTCAAAGAACATCTAAGTAGGCAAAGGTCGATGGCTAGTTCAGCTGATATTGAAGCTATAAGCTCTTTAATTGACCAATTGAGAGTTGTAAAGTAAGTTTTACATTTGTGTGCCGGAAAATTGACTAACAGCCAATTTACAGGAAAACTGAATCAAAGGATCACCTAAATTTTTTAATTAAAGAGACAGACAAATGTCTTGAAAATACAGATCTTTTGTGTTCTATATTTGAAATTTTACGAAATTCATCAACCGACCCAAGCATTGTCAATTATCTTGTCAAGTCAGTATTTTATTCAGCAATAGTCATTTAAAATTAAAAATGTTCATTATTTTTCAGGCAAGGGAAACCAACAATTTATGAAATCGCTTACAAAATCTTGATAAAAGGGAATCTCAATCATGAAATACAAGACAAAGAAATGCTTTTGTACAGAAGAATTTTGCAATTTGTTGGAAATTCTTCAACATTTGATGAAGAGAGCATTTTATTAAAATTATTTCAAGAGAACTTCAATCAGATCACATTAATTGAGGATACGAAATGTATTATCTACATTCAAATGATGACGAATAACTTTATTGAAAAACTCCTCAAAATGGACAACTATCTTGAACAATTAAAACCTATTATGGACTTTATTTTTAAAACTTGGGAATGTTCAGAATGGGCGTAAATACCTTTTTCTCTTAAAGCTTTGTATAGAAAATGTAATTAAACTATTTAATATTTATACGCAGAAAGTATGTTATAGAAAAATGCTGCGCCAACGAAGATTTTCTCATGTTATATTATCCAACAATTGAAAGTCAAAATAGGTATAAAGATTTACATAATATAATATCAATTTATTAAATTCATCTCTTCTCTACAGATATATACTGCTTGATATGATGATTTGCCAATTGGAAAGTGACAATGAACCATTTATTCATTTGAAAAATGTACTATTTGTATCATCCCAATTTACTGATCTTCAAATAACTTCCGTCGATATTTTGACATATGCAATCTATTTAAGGAAGTATTTGGAAATATTATGTAAAGCATCATGTATGGATAAGTATAATATGCTGAAAGAGGAGAAAAGCTTACTTTTAAAAACTATAGGTTTGTATACAGTTTTAATAAAATATGTCAAAATTTGAATATATCATTTATATTTGACTTTCAGATTTTCTCAAGTTTATTTATGAGTGTTCAGAATCAGGAAAAGAGGAGTTTAAGACTATATCGAAATTGTCTGAATTTGACAAGGAATCAGATGATTTTCGAGTTCATGGCTTGAAAAGAGATCTAATAAGATTAATAGCGAACTTTGTGTATAAACACAAAACGAATCAGAATCTTGCTAAAGATGTTCTGCCGATTATTCTTTGTCATACGCAAGTAGATGCAAGAAATCCCTGTAATAAAATTTGTTACAACATGCTCACACATGTTTAAATATATTTTAATAAATTTTTCCTTATGTTTCAGTTTGCCAAAACTGGGCTATAGTGGCTGTTCGAAATTTACTTGAAGATAATGACGAAAACAAAAGCTTTCTATCATCTTTATCTTTGCAGCAAATATCACAAGATGTAAATGATTTTAGAAAGTATGGTATTGAAGCTGAAGTCGTTGATGGACGAATTGTCGTTAAATCTATTGATTGACATATTGCACAATATAAGAAGGGCCAAATTTATAATCTTTAGAGCAATGAATACATTCTTATTGTTTTTTTTTATAAACAAAACACAATATTGAAAATGTCTTTTCTTTTCAAAACGATTCTTTCAGAATAAACTATTTCACTCTTCTACTCCCCGTCTCGATGAATACGGAGGACGACATACGGTCACACTTATCCCAGGTGATGGGGCTGGTCCTGAGTTAACAAATTACGTCAAAACAGTGTTCGCAGCAGCCAATGCCCCAGTTGATTTTGAAACTGTAAAATTGGATCAAACAGTTACTGATCCTCGTGAAGTCGACAATGCTTTTCTTAGTATCCAAAGAAATGGTGTGGCTTTAAAAGGCAACCTTAGATCATCCAAAATACCTAGGATGAGCAATGTTGAATTAAGATCTGAATTGGAACTGTATGCTCATGTTGTGCGTTGTAAAACTATTCCTGGAGTTCCTGCCCGAATGGACAATGTAGACTGCGTAATTATCAGAGAAAATACGGAAGGGGAGTATTCACAATTGGAGCATGAAAATGCAAAAGGTGTAGTCGAATCTTTAAAAATTATCACTAAGAAAAAATCTACAAGAATTGCTAAATATGCATTTGATCATGCTAAAAAATATAACCGCAAGAAGGTTACTGCAGTTCACAAGGCTAATATAATGAAATTAGGTGATGGCTTATTTTTGGAGTGCTGCCGAGAAGTGGCTAAAGAATACCCTGATATCGAATTTAATGACATGATTGTAGACAATGCTAGTATGCAAATGGTCTCCAAACCTAATCAATTTGACGTTATAGTGTTACCAAACTTGTACGGAATGATTTTAGCAAATATTGCTTGCGGTCTAGTTGGTTAGTTGTATACAAAATATATCACAAAAACAATTGCAGAATATTACATTTTTTTTCTTATTAATTAGGTGGAGCCGGTGTAGTACCAGGATCGAATATTGGAGATAATTGTGCAGTTTTCGAAACAGGAACTCGATCAACAGGCGATAGCATAGCTGGTCTCAATATTGCAAATCCTTGTGCTATGTTGTTCGCATCTTCCTCTCTCCTTGCTCACATAGGACTGACTAAGCACTCAGATTGTATCCGTAAGGCCACAGAGGAAGCTGTCGCTACTGTTCACACACCTGATTTAGGTGGATCCGCGACCTCGGAAGAATTTGTTGATAAAGTTCTCTCACTCCTAAAAGTACCAGACTTTAATTAACTTTTCTGCTGTATATTCTTTCAAAAGAGTATGCAATATGAGTAATAAGTGAGAAAGGTAATATTTGGGTCATAGAGTTCATATATCAGTGCGTATGTGTTGAAAGTGTACATTGAATTCAAGATAAATATAGACTAAATTAATTATCAAAAGAAAATCGTATGACTTTTTCAACCCTTTTAAACGTAAAAAAATACCCTAATTTATATTTAAGCCCAACGGTATTATATTACTTTATCCAATGATTCTATAGCCAATAACAATATGCTACTTCAATAGCTTAAAAGTGCTCTTCGTTGAACTCAAGTAGACAGAGGCAAAATATAACATACGATGAGATATGATGCAGTGACAATGACATGGAATAATTTTTCCCTACCGTCATGCTAGTTTTTAATCTCACTGTCTCATATAATCCACTACTTGAACTAATCTTAATCTACACTTGGATTAGTCTAAATCGAATCTGAAAATCTAATTACATAAAAAATTCAAATTTATTGAAGATTTTGCATTTAGGCTAATGGAAATAGTCTAAAACTGATTATAACTTTTGTAAAACCATTTAGTCCGAAAAACTTTAGATATTTAATAAAAGAACGATAGAATTTTCGAAAAGAATTAAAAAATTATGATTGGTTAATTATTTAAAGCGTTAAACTGATTTGGCTTTAAAACTCACACTTATAAGTCTATTGTCTTACTGAATTGAATCTAAATCTATGCAGAACAGTACACTTTCCAGTATTGTATATTGAGCTGTATAGGCTAAATGACAGGCGGCGCTTTGGCATAAGTCCTCTTTCATTAGCCCTTGTTACGCGTCCATGGATACAAAATGGCGACAATAAAATTCCGATAAAAAATTATGGTGCTGTACGACAATATAAATATCAATCAAAAAGTGGAAGTTCTCCGAAATGGTCGTATTTATCCAGCCACCGTAAAATATAAAGGAACGTTGAATGGTGTTGGTGGAGACTGGGTCGGAGTTTCATTCGATCTGCCTATAGGAAAGCACGATGGTATGCTAGCTGGAAGGAGATACTTCCAATGTAAGGATAAGCATGGATTGTTTACTCAAGCCTTGAATATAAGATTCCTACCATCAAGAAGATGGTTAGTTTCAAACTTATTAATATAGGCCTATGATAATTTGTTTCCTTAAACCAACAGTTTATATAACAAGTATAGGACGGTTAGCAGAAACTCAGAAGTAGAAGAGGATCTATTTACAAGTATACCTAGTAAGTCAACCCTAATTACAATTCGTTAGATTGTCAGTAAAGTTATTTTAGAAGAGTACTCAATAATAAAAGTAAATCAGTGGGGTCAGGAAAATATCGTTTAGCTGGTAACAAAAATTAAAAATCGATTTACTTCGTAATTAATTGAAAAGTATAGGCTGTAGAGCGATTAGTAGAGCGAAAGATCTTATAATTCCGTCTTATAGGCCTTAACTTATAAATATCTAAGGAATAGCAGAATGGTAAAAAGTTTTTATTGAAAAGTAATAAAATATTTCGTAAAAAACTAAAATATTTTTTTAATAAAAGATTAGTTTTATTATGTTGTAAAAAATGTTTTATTCGTTTATTCATATATCTCTTTATCTTTCTTTCTCCCTCTCTCTTTCTCTCTCTCTCTCTCTCTCTCTCTCTTTTCGTTTAGAATATCCTCATCAATTCGGTAGCATATCAGAAGATTACGTATTGGATGCAGACAGGAAATTTTCAAGTCCACAACCTTTGCTCACTCAAACTTTTCCCCTACGTCATGCAATTTCCAGGACCGTTCCTCCTGCAACTACTGTTCGTAATGTTCATACCGCACGTTCTTTAACTGCAACCTATCGATCTACTCCGATACATTATGAATATGAGAACGAAGATACGAATTTTTGCCCCACACCGACTATCCCAAAGACGCACATGCCGCACGAAGCGCTCATTGATCAAGTTCGGCGTGGATGGAGTGCCAGGGATCATTACGTAAGAGAATTATCTGTTAACACGGCAAGAGACAGTATTAAATTCAATTTATGGAATGATATCTCCGTCTAAAGTTTGATTGATTATTATTTATTCATTACTTTATTTATTTACAAGTCGTTTTTTCCCCCCTTCCCTTCCGCCTTACTTTACTACCCTTCCCCTTATTTTATAAACACAGAATACAGGTTTTGAAACTTAAAATTTTACAGTTTTGCAGTCAGCATTACAATGGGCATTTCTAGATGAATATTTTGGCAAAAAACAAATACACTGTACAAACAAATATTTAAGAATTTTTTAAAAAATTAGACGACACTTCCAAAATCTTCCTGCGATTTTTTCATGATCGATGCTAAGTGTAGAGTTTCCAACTCTGATAATACATATTCCTTTCGTTGTACTGGCTCTGTTTCAGTCTTCTTCTCCGATGGTTTGTCTATTTTATTTTTTAGGTAAATATCACTCTTGTGTATACTAACATCTAAATCGTTCCATTTACAAGTAACCAGACTATAAACAGAACTCCTAAAATTATTTGATATGAGGAAGAATAGATAGAATTTAATATTGGAATTTAAAATATGAAAGAATATAGAACAAAGTTCTAAGCTAATCCATTGACCTGGATAATTAGTTATATTATTTCTCCAATGACAATATCCAAAAAATGCAGCTGGTTCCTGAACAGACCAAGTTGTAATCTTATAACAGATATAGGGAATTTCACAAATTATTCTAGCTATGCAAATAGACCAATGGAGCTTAATAGTAGGGCTATTTATCAATTTTTGTTCGATATTCTCCTTATCCTCGTATTTAAGGAAGATGATAGTTGCAGTGTTAAAGACGATAATAGTTAAAAAAGGGATTATAATGAAGAGGATTACAAAACCATATTTATCATAATTATGAAAGAATTTTTTGACGAATAAATCCGATGTACAAATAACATCTCTGCTAGATCCATCTTTAAAATCCATTGTAATTAATCTAAATTTAAAAAAAGTAATTAAATTAAAAGCCATAATTGATCCACACGTGACTGTTCCCAATTTTATAGCCATATTCGGCTTATTATAGCTAATAGATTTCACAGGTTTAAATAAGTAAATATAATAATCAAATGTCATTAATATAATAATTCCAGACATAATAACTTGGATGCAATCTAAGAGAGGTGCAAAATGTGAGTAAATACGAGGAGATACGGGTGATGAGGAGCTTGGATCCACATATTCAGTTGTAAATAAGGAAATAGCTAATAACGAATAAATTAGATCAGTTACAGAATGAAATGTCATATAAACGGACGGAGAAGATTTCATTTTCCTGATGTTAAAGATGATAATTAAAATGATATTCCCAAATAAGCCAAAACTTGATATTAGAGGTAATGATATACCAAACACAAAAAATTCCGGAGAACCAGCCTTTTCTCTTTCAAAGCTATTAGCCGCCAGAGACATATCTCAATCGACAACTAACCCTCTTTCGTTAAATAGAAATGATATAGTGATACATTTGGCCCATAAACGGAAATTATAGTTATAACAAAGAAATATTGAATAAGTCAGTGATGATTGAAAAATATTTGAAAGGCCTAAATATTCAGCATGTGTTAGGATATATATAGTTTTTTTTTCTAACAATAATACTGTTATATATGATTTTATAGTCTCTATTAAACAGTTTTCTATTTAATTTTATTTTTTAAATAGTATGATAATTAAGATAAAATACATTTATTTATAATCAATACATCAAAGAAATTCATTTATATTAAAAAATATGTAATATATATAGATATATATATATAACATAAATATGCTATGCATATTAACCTTCTGATTCGCAACTACTGTCATTCAAGTTTGACTGTCGATTTGGGTGATTAATATTTTTCACTGGTTCGTCCGTTTCGTCCTCCGAATCGGACGGTGGAAGCATATCATCCGGTATTTGTTGTGTATCTTCACTTTTTGAAGCGGTTCCAAATTTACTTGGCCACAGACCATTCTCTTTTATATATTTAATTTGGTCCTTATAGAGAATTTGTATTATTTCGGCCTTTACTTTATCACCTTCGGCAATTGGTTTAACAACTATGTAATCGCCTCTTTTTATCCAAACATTTTTACGAAATTTTGTTGGCATAGAGACCAAAAAATTAACACCTTGGTCATTTTCTACTTCATGCAGGTTATTACCCCTGCTGGCGCAGACCTGAAATATATTTATTTGTATTCATTAATATTTTCATAATATAATAAAGAGATAGTTTAATAAATCTAAATGATATAGTACCTTCACTATCATTTGATCACCCTCTGGAAGAACAAAATCTTCGGTGACTTCACGAACCACGTGCTTCCTCTTGGTAGCCTTTGACATGTTCGGTACTAATATAATTTCACAAGTTGATGAAATTTAGTATTTATATGTAAATTTTTGGACAATATGCCCGATAAGATACTCCAATAGTTTAATTACAATTGAGCCATAATGAATTAAATAAAAGAACACTAGAAAAAATATGAGAAATGTTGAGAATAAGGCGTAATTTCTAATTTATTTTTTAAAGACACACACATGCTGACCGGTAATAAGGAAATAATAATCGATAAGAATCGAGTTTTTCGATATGACTCCTCCCTTATCGAAAATAAAACCATATATCGTCTATAATATCTAAACATTCTTTTACTTATTTCCATCAAATTAAGTTGCCTTCTAACGAAATAACAGCAGAATTTAAAACATATTTTTAGCTATAATATTATAGGAGGATCTTTAAACAGTTTAAGTTTTATTTTCGATAGAAAAGACTATTTATTATTTGACAGAAAGGGATCTTATCGAAAATGACTCTAGCGTAGATCGATGTAAAATCTGCATTAGTACTGCAGCAGGAAACGAATATCCAAGGAATTTCATTAGTGCATGCTCAAGGAGAATCCTGACAGTAACCTCTTTCATATAATCGGAAAGATTTTGTGATTTATCAATAATATGGAAGAAAGATTACTGGAGAGGCTAAAATCCTCTAATTTTGCAACTGCAACAGATATTTTAGCAAAGATCAATCTTGATTTCGCGCAGTGCATGAGTTTCGCACCGGACACAAAGAGTCTAAGAACCTCTGTTGCTAAGTTTATATTGTCAAAATTGGAGAGTTTGGGTTGCAATGATCAAGTTGAATTTAGCACCACGGCTTTAAATACGTTGAGGATAACTTGCCGCGATAAAACCGTGCTATCCGGTATAGAAATTGATAATGTCATTACAACTTTATTTAGATATGGACAATTTCTTGATCAAACTGAAAAAAATCCCGAAAAATTAATTATTGAGGCCCAAAAATGTCTCTATAATATTTTGCATTTGTCACAATCAGCCAATGAATTTTGCGCAGCTCATGGCATCCTGGATGGTATCTTTTCCAGAATTAAAAATCATGAAGAATACTGCGGAGAAATACAAAAATTGGACTTTATAATCTTGTTTTTTGTTACTGCGAAATGCCCTCGTACGAGATCGTCTATTGCAGTTGAAACAGATTATTTCGCAGTTCTCGTAAAAACTCTGGAAAGGCTATCATACAAGAACAACTTTCCAAAAAAGAGGCTAACCGAAGAAGTGGACCTGATCTGCGAGATTTTAAAATTATCCTTCAATGGAATATGTAATTTGAACAAAAAATCAACTGATATTAATGATAGCACTAAACGCTTTGCAATTACACTAAGAGACTTATTATTAATAAAGAATGCTCCGGAAACACTTATTTCTAATGTTATTAATGCTTGGACTTCTATGCCAATATCAACTTATGATACACTTGTTGAATGTTGTTCAACTGATGCCGAAAAAAGAATCAGTTTTGAAGGAAAAGACCTAACAGCTATACAAGTCATTCTCGATTTCCTTCAAACTAGGTTAGATAGATGCAAACTAAATGAAAATATCAGCATCAGGGATGAAGTAAGTCCAGTTATGATGTCGCTAGTACAATTTTGCCGACATCAGAGATACGTAAGAAAGTATTGCAGATCTATTATCCTACCACCCATGACAACTGAAGTTCTCACCTTACCCGAAGAGGGAAATTCGTTTAGAAACCACCTTTGCAGACTCTTAACACACGTCTGCATGGAAGTTTGTAAATTATCTACTGAATTATTGTTTGTTATGTGCAAAGAGAGGGTAAGCAGGTTTATTAAGTATACCGGTTACGGAAATGCCGCTGGAAAATTAGCCGAGAGTGGTCTATTGATTCCAACTAATGTAAAAAGTGAAAACTACTCCTCGGAAAGCGAGGATTCCGATACAGAAGAATATGATCAGCTAAAGGCTGATATTAATCCTGTTACGGGTAGAGTGGAAGAACCTAGAGAGGAAGTTCAAATGAGTGATGAACAAAAGGAATACGAAGCTATGAAGCTTGTTGATGAGATTGATAAGTTGATGAGAAGAGGAATTATTACACCGTCAGTTATAGGCGAGGATGGTCGGCCTCAACCTGCACAACACGTTAGCCAACTCCTTGATAACATTGATGTTGGACGAAGAGCTAGAGGAGAAAATGGCAATGATTCTGATTAGGAGTGAGATTCCTGAATCATGATATTTTTGAGTGATACAAGTTGTCTTCTCTTATGAAGAGACTTTTTCACTTTTAATTGTTGTTAAAAATATAGTTTAATGTTGTCTTAAATACTGAGTTCAATTGGGATTTTTCTTATTTTTATAAAATACATCTTTTTTAAATCCCATAAATTATTAATTTAATCATATATCTACTCAATAGATGATATACAAAACATGCAAATGTCACAAAAGTAATTAGGTATGTTTCACTATAATCATATTATTAGAGACTTTGATCTTATTTTTTCCTGTTTTTCTTACAAAATATAACAACAGAAGCAACGTTTCTTTTCATATATTAATTGGTAATTAAAGTACTATCAATAGCAAAAAAGATGTAACGGAATATATTGTCTGGTTAAATTAGCAGCTTTCATAGAGAGAGAGAGAGAGAGAGAGAGAGTCAAATGGAAGACATGCTTGTAGATATAAAAATATAAGATATGAACTTATATATAAGCTGATTAGCATATAATGAGGTCGAATAGATCAATAACACACTAAATAACTTATAGTCTTGTTTAAAGGTATTTAATGAATTACCTTCTGTTGTTTTCATTTAAAAAAAAAATTAAAACTACAGCTTTTAAAGCATAGAGAAACAATCAATATCTCTAAAGAGACTCTTTATACTTGCTTTAACTTTACCTATTTATACCTACAACATTAATTTATTCTAGGATTATTTTATATATTCAAAACAATACTAGTTAGTTTAATACTAAATTCGATATGGAAAATTTAAACTAGTTTGTACATGTTGATTAATTGTTTTTAATATAATAATGTTGATATATCTCATTTCTGTTTTGAAATCATTTAACTATTAATGCCGCAGTAAACATGTTTTTTTTGCATATGATTAAATAATATACTATGTATGTTTAGATAAATACAATAATCCTTCGTATAAAATGGATATATTCTCATCAGTGAAATATACACTATCGCTCTTTGACTGGAAGAAAGGTAACATCAAAGGATTTGAAGGCTATTATTACAAAATCTAATAATTAACGAAAATAGTTGAATGAAATCGCTTACAATTATCATCAGATAGTAATAATCCATATTAGAGATATAGAATAGTTTAATTAATATTTACATAATCACGAAAAAATATTCTTTTTTATTAAATCATTAAAATAGAGAATTGTATTATTTCTGTGACAAAAAGCATTAACCACAAAAAAGTAAATTTTTTTATAGCATGTAAATTGTATAGTAATATTTTATTATTAATAATTCTTTTATAAATTCTATATAAATTCTCATAATTCTACATTTTAGATAAATTACTTTTTTTTTTATTCTTTTTTTTTAAAACAAAAAGAAGAAATAAAGATGGCAAAAACGTTTATAGCGGAATAGCCAAAAATCGGTGGCAATGTATTACATGTTACGTAATATCAGAAGGAAACTACTAAATTCTACATGAATCGAACGTCCAGTAAATGTGTACGTTCATTCGGATAGTTTGGATTATTAGACATGTTTTGTTGATAATTTCTCACTTGTTCTTGTTGAGCTAGTCTTCGGAAATATTCCTCACTCTCTTTCTGCATTTGACGTCTTTCCCTTCGAGTCATAGGAAAATCACTCCTATGACGATCCCTTGCCCAGTTAAATATTATAGCTAAAACTATGACAAGCAACCATAAACAATAGAGAATTATATCTAAAATAAAAAATAGAAATAATTCATGAATTTATCGTTATTGGAAATTCTATTAATAACCCCTATATTGTACTGGAAGATATACTATTGTGTTTATATATCCTGGAATTGCTGCTCTGTGTAGGGTAGCCATCACTACTAGAGGAAAGCCACTGTTTATCACTAAACCAATGGGAAATATTAGCATATAAGACCCAACAACAGCGCAAGTGAAGTAATTTAACTATTTTATAAGATAAAAGGAATATTTATTAACCAATTTTGTTAAAGAATATTCAATTATGCTTACCCATTTCGGAAAGTTCATTAATATTAAACTTGGCAAGAGCATTATAGCAGCAAAGGCGAAACCATAAGTTAGAGAGTTATTAAAGAATTCTAATTGTCCTATTTTTTGTTTTTGGATATGAAAAGTACTTAAGGCAATCTTTATAATTATAAATCATTATTATAGTTTACCAAAAGGTGTAACGTTAAAAATTAGACTGGAGAATAGGAAACCTTCTAATAGGGACATGAGAATAACGCTTAGAATTGGAAGTTCAATAATTTTCCATACTAAGAGTCCAGCAATGGCAAATGATAAGGAACAAGCAGCAATAACACCAGCCTGAACTGTAAAAATATAAAGATATTAGAAAATATTATGTAGGATTTATTTATTAAATAAAAAACCTCCTTCACTCCAATCTGTGTAACGAGAAATAACGATATAAAAAGATAAGAATCCTTCTAGATAACTTAGAATAAAGATTTCTGAAAAGAATAGTAAAATGATGCAATTTTGAAATATAATATTTATATATAGAAATAAAAACCAAGAAGGAATAGTGTATGCGCTCCAAACGCGATATACAATCCCAATATTGCTAATACACCAGTGATAATATAAACTCGAAGAGGATCTATATATTCAACAAGATATTATGATATTAGCAATTTAAAGATATGTTATTATTAAATAGCTTTACAAGGATAGCGACAAGATTTATCACCAGATTCAAATGAACAAGAGTACGTGACTGATGGAACGTATGTGAATTGAACAGTTTCTTCCCCGTTATAAGTTCCTCTAACAGTAAAAGCAGAACCAATTGATGGTAACATAGCAATGTAAAAAGTAGGCAGATGATTAGAGTAAACAGTTTTAAGCTATATTTAAAAAAAATAAAAGATAAAATATCAGATATAATTGTTGTTGTTGTTTATGTTGTGTTTGATTCGAGTATTTTATTTGTTTACGGACCTTATTTCCATATTTTTGTATTGAATTTATATCATTCAACTTATTGATAATCTCCATTTTATGCTTATTATTATAATTTCCTTCTCTTAAGAACATATGATAAATATCGTACTTGAATGCTTGTTGAACTTTCGCATCTTCACACGAAACTTCGGGAGTTCCACGTGACACAGCTTTATTAGCAAAAGCAAACTTAAGTTGAGTTGTTAGTTTTTCATTTCTCCAATAGATATTTGGATCGTTCTCTAAGGGTAGTTCCTGATTACAGCCACCTGGTATTGGGTCTATATGTTGTGAATGTAAAATTGTATATTAGCGAATACTAGATAGTTATAAATTAACATTAACATTACCATGGCTACTCAAATATTTCACACGACTATACAAGTCGAATGTTGAGTTTAGTTTGTTTGTAAAGTAACACTTGGCAACAGTTTCCCCACCTTTCATTGGAATTAAAATGCCAGCATCAGAAGATGTGGTGTAATCACCAACTTGAAAACTTTCGTCTTTTGAAATTGTGAATTCATCGTGCTTAGAGTGAAACTCAAACAGAACAAAGGAAACATTCAAAGGTATTTTCGAGCTATAGAATGTAATTTTACTATCTTCATAAACCTTGATTAGAAAAGTTTTTGTAGTATTCAGTTCTATTTCGGTTGACGCATAAACTATAATATAAATAAATAAATCGAATATAAATTTTAAATAAATATAGCTTGTTTTACCGTTAATATGGTAAAAGGTGAAAAAAGTTAGAACTAATCGTTCAATTTTCATTTTTAACTTTGAAACATCTCATGTGATTTGGGGGATATCCCAAAAATAAAAGGAATTCCGTAAGAATTTATTTATTTTTATAAACTCTATTCTTATTGGTTGGACTAATTATCTTCATAATCAGTGTCACGTTGTTATCTAGATAAAAATATCTACACGTACATTTGCATATGAATATATATAACTTTATGTAGGATATAATATATATTTTTGTAAAATAAACATCAGATTTCGTAAACAACCTATTCTACAAACTTTAAAATATCGATGTCATTTTACGATATGTGAATACTGAAACAATGTACGAAAATAATTATAAACATGGCGGGAATATGGAGTAAATAATTTTTATATGAAAATATTATATAACTTTATTTCACATATCATTAAAAATTTGAATTGCAATTCATTTCGTAGGAAAGAAACATTGACACTAAAATATTTATTTGAATAAAAACAAATAAAAATGTAAAAATAATCGTCGAAAATATATTTTTTGCGTTTTTTTTGTCTAATTTAAAATCATATTTTCCTTTATTTTTAGAAGTTTTTATGCAGGAATGTTGCACAAAAGGACAAATAAACAGGAAAAAAATAGGAGTTTTTACTAGTTTATCACTTTACAAGAATCATATTCTAATTTAAAATAAAATATTATTTGAATAATCTATCTATCAGTTTTTCTTGTTGTATTATCGACTGTTTTTGTTTGTTTGTTAAATTCTTTGATTTCCGTTGATCCTTTCTATATTTGATTTAAAAAAGGATACCTGGTTCCTTTTTCAAAAGTGCGGTTTTGAAGTACCAGCTAAATAGTAGAGACAATTAATAAGCTTCCGAACGGAGTGTGAGGTGGCGTCTTTCGGAATTTCTATTATGGCTTTGAATTTTCCATTAGCGAATGATGGATTCAAAACAAATAGTTTGTGCTTTGAGATATCATCGGCAAAATTTTCATGCAAAAATGCACTTAAAAACGAGAGAATTTGTTTTTTTAACTTAAGATCTGGCTTTTGATAATACTCTTTCAGTAAACAAATTTTACCTTTCCCCATATAACATACAGGCTCTGTAATAAAATTTTATAATTTTAAGTAAACAACGTGTACCTAACTAATTAAAATGAGTAGAATATTAAGACAATACCTGTAGAAAATTGAAAGTCACTCATACATAGAGAAAGTTGTGCTGGTATGTTTGTATTCGCATAATCAGTTTGAGCAAAATGCTCTATTGCAAATACTTGATTTGGCGGTTCTTCTCCAGATATGGGATCCCCAGATGTAATAGGATCACCAGATCCACCATCAACATTAAAATAGCCAACGCCCAATAGCATATCATCAATTTTCTCTGTTCTTATTGAAGTTACAATAGATGCCAGTAAAGAAAGTAAAAAATAAATCTTGCACACCATGATTTCCCTGTTTACAGATGAAAAATATGCAAAAACATCAAGCAACAAGCTTAATTTATGAAATTATTAACAAAAGCCACATACACTAAAATAAGTTCAGCTTTAAAGTAGGACGACTAACTTTTATTGAGTGATCAAGTGAGCTCAATACATACTGAGTGAGTTTTATATAATTTATCATGTGACATTTAACAAATTAGGAATAAAACCTTGTTACTTCAAAATATATCAGTATACATCTATAAAAAAATTGGAATATTGAAAACTATCTGTAATGTAAACATTAGAATAAATAATTAACAAAATGTCTTTTTTTTTACTTTTCAGCGAAAACAGATGATTAGAAAACTTTCTTATTAGTTTATTGCCTGCAAAAATTTCAATAGAAACGTTAAACTCTGTAAGATATTATATAAATACGTCCTCTTTAGCTACCAATACATATATGTATATATATATATATATATATATACAGCATATATTTAAATAATTTAGTCTATAATTCTATAATATAGAATATACAAACAAACAAACATATTTTTTTTCTCTTATAATTTTAAGAGAATCTTTTCTATTTTATATAAAACGAAAAAAACAACTTGCTTTTTTTATTAGAAAATAAAAAGAAGAAAACATGAATAATAACTATGTTAATGCATTTCCAAGTAGAAAAAAAAAACAGAAGATACTTTAAGCAGAGCTTTTTTTATTGGAAAATATCAATGCAGTTGTATTAACTATAATCATCTTCATCTTCATTGTTAGTTTCGGTGAGTTGTTGAGAAACGACTGTTTGAACACGTTCCCATTCTTGTTGTTCAAATTTTGCCAAGGATTCCTTAGCTTGAGCAAACAATGCTTGTTGTTTCCTGAGTAATTCCTCTTCTGGTATGCCTATAAAAATAAACAGATTAAGAATTTACATCTATTAATATTATATAAATTATACATTATATATAACAGACATAACATGAAATAAATAGTGTTATGTATAGTTTGTTTTGGTATTTTTATCATTTTTAAGTCTTTCGAAGAAAATGAAAGACTATACGGACGATTGTTGTCCTCCAAAGCGTAGGAAAACTGAATACTTGTATCATATTGATTTAAAAAAAAAGGAGAAAAGAAGTAGTTTAGTAAATGTATGTATGAGCACGAGATTCACATTAGAATAAAGTAGAATAGATAAAAAAAGAATTTTCTATGTATTTATATTTCTAATTTATAAAATGTTTTTTAGTCTGCTTTGTATAAATAATTATATTGAACATTGAAAACTACGTTTTATATTTCTATAAATGGAATAAAATATAGGCTACTGATAGCAATTTTACATATCATTAGCTTTTGAACATCTGCTAATCTTCAATTTCAGCGTATATAACTTTTATATAATTTTTTCTTTTCAAGTTAATGACTATATACATTTTTGCGTCTATACTAATATATATATATATTATTTTGACTCTCAAAATAGTTACCTAAATCAGCCAATTTTGTTGCCATTCGCTTTCGTTGCGCTTGTGTAGCCTTAGATTCTTCAAAAACTGCTTGGGCTTCGTCTATATATTCTGAAAAACCCAGAGATTCCAAAGCTTTTAAAACATGCTCTGGGTTGATTGTTTTCTTTTGTTGTTTAGCGCATATATCGTTTGCTTCGGAAGCTAAAAGATGAATAAATTCGGTACAGCATTGGGCTATTAGTTCTCTAGCATCATTTGCAACTCTAATATTTGGGGCCAATTCTTTTATCATTTTGTTCAGTGCAGCTCTAGGTAGTTGAAGTTCATCTTCTTCCCCTTTATCTGCCATTATTGGCGATGATTAACGGCAATCGGACTTACTTTTGAGCTCCTGAGGAAACAACAAGTTGAAAGAATTATAAGGAATGGATATGTAATCCAATAAATTAGAAATTAGTTTAAAAGCAGCAAGTAGGTATTTTAGAGCAAAATTACGAAAATTCCCAAAGATGTAAGGTCAAGGACAAAATTTGTCTTAACTATTTTCGTATTTAATACATTTTAGAGTTTATTAAAGTTCTTTTAAATTTTAATAGCAATAAAGATATTAATTAATAAAATATTTATTAGAAAAAAATATTTTCATATTCGATTTTACGAAGGTTAATATACATAATTTGAATACTGAAAGCGTATAATTGATCATAACACAGTATTAAAACGCAAATGTTCTCAACAATAAACATATAATTTATTTGTAAACGAAATGCATTCAAACTCTTAAATCAATTTCTTCAGGTGATTGTCTACGTTCTTCTTTTGAAGAAGTTTGTGGAGTTCTTTTCACTTTAGCTGACTTACAATTCTTTAGCCTGGATCTATAATTTTAAATAAGCCATTGGATGAAATTTTATTAATTTAATCTAAAACAAACCTCTTTTTATATGATATTTTCGGTTTATAACTAGCAGTAATAATGGCACGTGTTTTCATTATAACTGGCATTGTATGACCCTGTTCGAGAATAAGATAGTATATAAATAAATAAGGTATTCATTCAAACTTACCTTAAGCGTTGGACACTTTCTCATATAAGCATTCTGAACAGTTTCCATTGATTTACTCTGTAATCTCATAAACTTTGAATGCTTATCTATTTCCTTGACTAAATCTTGTTCAGAAATTTTATCAAAATTGATTGTAACACCCTGTTTTTAATCAAATTGAAAGAACAAAAATCATATATATTAATACATATTTAGATACATGAGTCACTTTATTATATTTTTATTTATATTTACCTTCCAAGGTATTTTTTCATAGCTATATTGATCATGTGTTAAAGGAGAACCAATTTTAGCTGTTTTCAATTTATGCATATTATTTTCATAGCATTTTTTGTAGTCGATAATCAATGAGCATAGAGTCTAGATTAGAAAACAGACAATAAGCAAATTCGTTAAATAAATAAATAAAGGAAAAAAAATATCAATCAAACCGGAAAAATGAAAGGTTTGTACATAAGATCCGATTTCCTACTCATTCCTAGAGCACCATATTTTCCTTGATAGCATAATCCTAATACAACATGCCTATATGTGTTTCCAGAGGAAGTACTTTTGAAACCTATAGTAAATCTTTCCAATCCGTTCAGATTATTCGTTAAATATCTTTTTAAAGTTAAGGATTATCCAAAGCATTAAAAGACTTAGCAACGTTTTTCAATAATACATATTTATGTAAAGTATATCTTCAGTTAAAATATTACAAAATAGTACCATCATTTCAAAAAAAAGGATACATTCCTAAAATAACCGCCTCTAAACATTTGATTGGTAAAGATTCCTTTATCATTTCTTTTGCTAAATTCATCAAACTGAAAATAGAAAATCATTGCATGATTATTAAAATAGACTATCTTATAAAAAGAAAATTACCCTGTAATTGGCCTATATTTTCCAACGTCGAAAGATTGCGTATCAGTAAAGTTGTAATGCAACTCTTTCATATATCGCTGAACGAGATTGACTTTATGTTGCATCTCGAGACAATTTGATATTGCTGTTTAAATAACATTTAGTACTTAGTATATGGCAATCGTCTATTCTGCTGGTAGCTTTGTTTACATTTACCTGTTCTTGCTCTTGCCAAGCCTATACTTGGTAAATTACTATTTTTTTCAGATTTTTCACCTTCTAAAGAAGATTTTGAGGCAAATCTATGCAATTTCTCCCATGCGAAGTCATCAACAGGAAACCCATTTTTCTTAACATATATTAAGACCCTTCCATCATAATATTCATCTTCAGAGGGAGTTTTGGCAGATGTCATGTTAAAAACTTGAAAATCATGCAGTATTCCCTTCAATATTGTTTATAAACGGCGTTAAGGAAGTGACGTCATTTATAGAATTTCCTACCAGAGAACACAGCGGATGTTACGTTTACAGAATTTCCCATCCTAATGCGCATGCGCAAGCCGACAGGCGTTTTCCAATCCCATATTTAGCCGATTAAATAAAAGGCTATATCATCTACAGCAACGTGTCAAGAAACTTGTCCATGGAATGCTAATATAACTATCACTTAGGTTAGTACGGAAATCTTACCCGATGACTCAAAATTGATTTTGAATATAAACTACACACCTGTGTCTAAGTGTATAGTAATCCAGCAGATGTTCTGCTCAGTTAACGTGTTTTATCGACAGTTTTGCATGCGTTTGTCATTGATCAAGGTTTAAAATTTATTAACAGAATGTCGGTAAGTCTAGATTTTCAGCTAATTATCTCATTTGTATACAACATAAATTTAAATTATTTGGATACTATTCTTTTTCTTCACTACTGTAAAATATATTACATAATCTTATAGTATTAAATATAACTAAGTAGGTGTATCAAGCCTTAGGGATGACGTATAGCTTTAAAAAAAACCGTAACCGGTAAGTAATTTTAGGTCGAGTCATTGACTCGAATTAGATAAAGGTCATCATCTTGCGATTATTTTGAACAAAGTACGATGTTAAGCATGGAGTGAAGTTCTAGTGCTCGTAAGCTTACGTATTTATATTTTTATCGTATGTAAGAAGACTTTAAGACTTTGAACCAACTAATAGGCCATATAACATGTATTATAGAACATGCAAGCTGGTAATGAACAATGTGTTTTACAGATTACAGAAGAAGGAATGGGTCGGCAAAATAAAACTGTTCGTTCAAGAACATCGACTAAACAGCGAACACTATCAATGAATGGCTCTAATCAGAATATATTGATGAATCCCTCTGAGAGGAAGAATATCGTCTTATGGCGTCATCCAATAACAACTATACAATATTCTGCACTAGAATTACGAGATCTGTTGATAGAGGGAATAAAAAAAACGAATATATACGTAGTTTTGAGTTTGCTTTTAATTGTGGCCACTTGTACGCTCTCATACATATACGTTCTACCTGAATGGCAGATTGAAATACTCTCCAGTGTATGGAAAAAAATACTATGGTATTCATGGTGGGTTGGATTAGGGATATTATCATCAGTTGGTTTTGGAACTGGTCTACACACCTTTGTCCTGTATCTAGGTCCATTTATAGTACAAGTTACCCTAGCTGCCTATGAGTGTAATTCTTTGGACTTTCCATCGCCTCCCTATCCTGAAGATGTTATCTGTCCTGAGAGTTCTAATTCAGCAGGAGGAGGAAGTACTATAAATGTATGGAGCATTATGTCTAAGGTTCGGTGGGAAGCGATATTCTGGGGATTAGGTATTTATCGTTTTATTTCTCCAATTCCTCTCACGTTAAGATAAACAACAGCTGAAAAATCTTTTAGCCGAACATAAAAAAATTGTAACATTAGTAAAGTTTCTCTCAAATCAGTCTATAAAACTAATATAAGAAAAAGATCACTGTACGCATTTTGTTTCTAGTTGTTTTTTTTTCCAAAAATATAAATTATAAATATATATATATATATATATTTTTTATAGGTACTGCTATTGGTGAACTACCTCCTTACTTCATGGCTAGAGCTGCTCGTCTATCTGGCCAAATTGATGAAGAAGAAAAAGAAATAGAAGAACTTCACGAAAAAGGTCATTTAAGCTTTATGGAAAGAGCCAAAATTGCCGTTCATGACTTTGTTCAAAAAGTTGGATTTCTCGGTATTCTCTTGTGCGCTTCTATCCCTAATCCACTTTTTGATTTGGCCGGCATAACTTGCGGACATTTTCTTATACCTTTTCCAACATTTTTTGGCGCAACTTTGATAGGAAAAGCAATAATTAAAATGCACATTCAGCAATTATTCGTCATCTTTATATTTAGCGAGCATCACGTCGAACAAGTAATTTCTCTTATCAAATTCATACCTAATGTTGGATCTAAATTGCAAGCGCCCTTCAAAGAATACTTGAATAAGCAAAAAGAAAAATTACATCAAAGTTTCGGTACTAAGCAACACAGTATAACGCCCTCTTGGATATCATGGGCTTTCGAGAAATTAGTACTTATAATGGTTATTTATTTCTTATTGTCAATTGTTAACTCTTTGGCGCAAACTTATCATAGGAAATTATGTTCATCTAAAAAGCAAAAGCAATGATCATTCCGTAGAAAAAATTTGTTGAATTATTTTTAATTTTAAATAATTAAAGAATATAAATAAATCGACTCTAGTCAGTGGATAATTTTTGCTTTTGGCTGCACTTAATTCTAACTTAAAATTAAGAAGTTTAAAAAACAAAATATGTAGACAATTCCTTTATTTAACATGTTATATAAAAGAAATTTACTCGTTTTAATCTTTTTTGAGAAAATCTTCTGTTCTCACTTTTCTCAAATTGAAATTATTTAATTGGAATATCTAATAAATATGTATTAATATACAGTATATATATTTATATATAAATTGAATATGAATTGACAAATCTGTTGTTTATTGTTGATATTCAACATTTTCACGCATTTATTCCAATCTCTTTAATAGACCTGGAATATTTTGTAAACGATCTATGCATAGTTTATATGTTTGACTGTATTACATGTATAAGGTAAAAAAAAAACTTCCTTGTTAATTAGTATATTGAATAAAACGATCGAATACGTTACCAACATAATTAACCTGTATCAAATGCATCCGAATACATAGTCAAGTATTTCCGGAGTATTCCTGTTACAAGTTAGTAATGTTTAATGATAGGATTTTTCTTTTCACAAACCTACGTTAGGCTTCCGTCCTGCTAAAGTACAAATTTGTAAAGAGACAGCCCTTGAATTGCGTATTTTCTTTTATGACACGAGCAGGAACTAGTATAAGCTAAAATGAGAATTTACATGTTTATAGCAGAAGTTTTTAGTTTTTTGTTTATTTTTCATATTAGCTTTAACTTACGTTTGAAGATACTAACATTATTCTTAAAGCTAACATAGTATGAAAGAAAATTCGTATTAAAAATATGTTTTTAATATACTTAAACACTCTATTCATATTCATTATTTTGTACATTTTAAGATTTTGACATTTTATCCTTAAAAAGCAAAAAACATATTTTGATGATATTGTAAAAATCATAACTATTTAATAAATGAGTAAACTGGGGGTATTTTCAGTCTCTCAACAGTGTTCTTTCGAATAGGGTTCGTGTTTTAAAATCGTGACGTATAGGCCTTTCTCCTTTGTTAAATCTTAGTCAGTTTAACTTAATTTTTTCCCGTCATAAATTTGAGCGCCGTTGAGGGACTATCATGTTTCGGATAGTATTATTTCTTCTAATTCCTATTGTTTCTACGGATGTTACTGAGAAATTTCTAACGAAAATACAACAAGAAAATGTTGATATTATATTTATATTTGATCGGTCGAATTTATCATCTAAAAACAAATTCTACATAAATCAAAAGCCATTAGTTAAGATATTTATAAGAAGTTTTATGAAAATCAGTGAAAAATATTCTCATGTCGGTATTATATCATATGGAAGAGACGTTACAATTGAATTTGATGGAATTTCAAAAAATACAAACACCAGCAAATGTTTTCTTGTTGATAATGAACAATTTTGGAATAATATTGAATATTCAAAATCTCCAAATTCCAACAATGGATCCGTTTTACATGAAGCTCTTCAGGCAGCTATAGATATTTTTGAGATTGCTAAAACTGATAGTTCACCTAGATCTCGTATCATCTTTCTCTTCTCCAACGGAGTCCTGAAAGAGGACGAACAATTAGTAAACAGTAAATTTAATAAACTAAAACAATCAACAATAGACGTTTTTGTAGCTGGTAAATATTTATTGTTAATTTGGATTCAAATTACATTCACCTAGAGTTATTAATTTTATAATTTCTGTTCAATAACAAAGGTAACGAAGGGGGAAGTGGTTTGGCGGTAAACGATGGTGGATACGGTCGAATTGCCTTATGGGAGAACAGGCTTGATCAAAAGCTTACAATGACAATTGGTGATAAAAACAACCATGACAAAAAATATAGTAGTGTACCATACAAAAAGGACTGCCTAAAAGACAATGAAACACCGTTGTGTAACGTTATTTCGGGATATTCGTCTTGTCTGTGCTCGGCAGGCTATTATCGCAAAGAATTCGATTGTTCAAGTAAGTACAAGAATTTAAGTTTTACCAATACTCCTGTTAACGAACTATGGCAACTATTCTTCTCCAATGAATAGAGTGCGAAGTTAACACCTTCAAGGAAACTATTGGAGACGGAAAATGTATTAGCTGTCCTCCTGGATACGGTACTAGTTCTAAAGGTTCAACGAAAGGAAGCGACTGCAAATGTTTGGAGGTCAACACGTGCAGAGGGAGTTGCGACAATAAAATATGTAAGAACGGAAAATGTAATCTAGGAAGTTGCGTTTGTAATGAAGGATATACAGGAGAGACTTGCGAAGAGAAGATAAACTACTGTTCAACTAATCCATGTAAAAATTATGGACAATGTAAAAGTCTATTTTTTGGACCATTTTGCTATTGTATTAATGATTATGAGTAAGTAGAATATTCGTATTTACTACTTTATCTATTAAAATAATATAATATTAATTATTAATTATTTCTTCAGAGGTGAATTCTGTCAAAATAGTATTAGTGAATGTGGAAATGATTTATGTGCCCCAGGTTTCAGTTGCTTAGATAAAATTTATGGATACGATTGTATTAACACATCGTTGATAATGACATCAACAAAGCGTAAGCTTTATTTGTCAATTAATCATAATATCTAGGTTAATTTATTCAATTTTTATTGTTTTTATTTCATCATTAAAGTTCCGAAAGAAGAGGACAATAATACATCAATACAATTTTTAATAATTATCATCTGTGCTCCTATTGGCGTTTTGTTCGTCATTTTGATTATAAGTATCATTGGATTTCAAATATGGAAAAGGAAGAGAAGGGTTATATTACGCTCTAGATATGCCCAAAATACACATGGACAAAAGTCTCCTCCGCAACTGCCACCACGAATGCCAGGGAATATTTTTTCGGAGGTTTCCAAAATTGCGGCTAGAACTACTACAAGTGTTAAGCGAACATACAGAAGAGTTTCTGATTCTGTTTGGAGGGTAAGAAGTAGAAAGGATGAAATGGATGATGTTTACGCAAACAATCCAACGACATCTACGAAATTAAGTCACAGAGTTCCACCTCCACCTCCTCCCCCTAAAAATAAATCAGCTGTTCCAGACTCTATCTATTCAAACTTGGTAAGCTTTTTCAATATAACTATAGATATACGAGTCGTTGTGCCATCTGTAATTTATTCTTGTTAAAACTTTATTGTTAACATTTTATCCACCAGTCGATATGACTATAACTTATTAAGTTTAAATAGCCAAATTTTTTCTCCTAGCCTTGCTTTCGAAACTTTGAAAGCTGGTTGCCGTTTTTCGAAGAAACAGTTGATTTTTCAAGAGTATCCATGCTGGGCGTTATAAAGACTTCGACAGAATATATATTAGATACTTTGCCCTGTCCAACTGAAAAGGATATAGCAAGTCTTCGAAGCGCAATGGAGCAAAAGAGAAATGGTCTTATTACAGTTCTTAAACACTCGTATATAATATCGTCAAATAACGGAACTGAAATGCACATGAACGCCAAAGGAACTAATAATAGAGCTCAAATTCTTTATATAATTAAAGCATCATCGTATTTCATCTTATCAGGAACAACACGGAATAATTTTTCAACAGAATGTCTTCAAAAAGCCAAAGAAATAGCATCTCATCTAGCAGGTTTTGAAAAATGAAATAAGATAAAAGTTCAACGAACTGAGCGATTATTTTAATATTTTTCTTACTTTATTAATGGATGTAAAACATTTTCTCGAAAAACTATTTTCAGTAGTTGTTTGTTTATTTTCGTACTTTTTTTAATACACTTTTTATGTTTTGTACACAATAAATGTTTTAATTCTCGGACGATTGTTGATAAATTTAACTATTATTCATGACTTTCTAAGTGCTATTTTTTACTTTTTAATACAGATTTTATCTACTTTTCTTTTAATTTTAACCATCTTTTACCACTTAACCTTCCTCCGCTTTTTTTCCCATTTATATTTAAAACCATCTTTGAAGGAGTATATAGATAATAATTAGATATATTTAGAAATAGATCATTTATTGATTAATACATTTAATAAAATAAGTCACCTTGTATTTTTTGTTTTGCTTTCATGAAGAGAAGAAGGTTAATTCATTTATTATATTATAGATATCCTTTATTTGTCCTTATACAATTAGCATGTGCAGAAAAACATAATTTTGACGTAAACAAAAGTGTTTTAGTTGATCATAAAGCGTTATTAGCATGTATACTGTATATATAAATATATCAATAATAGACAAAGTAGGCATGTTAACAATATTAAGTAACATCATCATATATTTCCTTGTTAAACGCTGATTTTTGATTCATAAACTGCCAAAAGAGTTAATGCGGCTATTCCAATTAGGGCTCCCATATTTACAATAACAATAAATAAAACTTTCCTTGAATACTTTTGTAAATTTCTTCCTAACTGGCCAATCATATTTACTAAAGCAATGTAAAGGAACATACCACCAGCAACCGCAAAAATCCATTGTCGAACGCTTTCGTCAACTGCCAATGCAACTCCAACAATTCCACCAACAAAACAAGATAAAGCCGACAAACCATTTAATAAAAGTGCCTTCTTCAGTGATAAACCACAATCTACCAATAAGGCTAAGTCGCCGAATTCATGAGCCAATTCGTGTATGAAAACTGCTATAGTTGTACTTATTCCACTGGTAGTTGATAAGGAAAATGCAGCACCTATTTGAACACAATTTAGATTTAAATTACTAATGTGACCAACTTTTTTATAAAAGAAACTCGCCTATAATAAGACCATCAGCAAAATTATGAACACCATCTCCTATTACAATCATAATGGACGTAGAATGACGATGATGATCGTGAGAATGTTGTTCATTCGTTTTACCCTTTTCTCTCATAGAGATATCAATGTCATTGCTGTTTTCTTTTCTTGACGATGAAATTGCTACAATGACCAATTCCAAAATGAAAAAAAAATAGATAGCTGCCAGAATTCCTAAAGCTTTTTGCGTATAAGGCTCCAAAACTACGTCACCACCTTCGTGTTCGTGATCATGCATACCAAAAGCTTCAGGCATTAAATGTAATAGGGAATCGGTAACTAAGACGCCAAATCCTGATGCAACAAGAGTAGAAAGGATCACTTCGAAATGTGAAAACTTGTAACAAGGTCGAAGAACAATTCCGAATAGAGCACATATACTAACAATAAATACTGCTAACATGGTATAGCCGTATTTTTCAGCTCTTGTAGGAGGTTCCTTAACAACTTTCTGTTCTATTGGCTTCTTGCATGAACCGAACATTTGTTGGTGAATTAAAGCTGGACAAATTTTTTCCAATTGTTCTCTATTAACTTTATCTTTGAATTGAAATATCTTTAGTAAGTCGCTGGATGAATAGCAAATAGAATTTATTTTGGGTTCTTCATGCACTGAACGCTTTCTTCTTCTTCTGTGATCGTGACCTTCGTGACCGGGTTCTTCAGTAGATTTATTTGCAGCGTTACCGATTTCAAGTTTCTCTGTTATATGTTTAAAGTTAGATAAATCAATTGATTCATGTGCCTGCTTTCCAAAGTGTTCAAAAATTGCAGAAGAAAATTCTGTAGGAAATGGAAGAGTTTTGTTTTCAATTGAACAATTTTTTGGTTTATACTGTAATTTTGATAAAAGATAAGAAGTCAAAGTTGATGATATTACGACGGGTCTGCTAGAGATGCTGCCACTATTGGCTTTATATAATAAAATATCAACATTAAAACAATCTTGTTCATGCTTATGTTCGCCTTCATGTTCATGAGCTCCTTCGTCATGCTCTTCATTATGCTCTTCATCATGCTCTTCATCATGATCGGCCCCATCCTCCTTTAATTTTTTAGCTAATTCATCAACTAGTTTATACACTTTACTATCGCTGTCAAGCTTTTCTGTAAAAATTGATTTGCTAGTATCAAATTCAGCTTTCTTTTTGTTGTTTGTTGCATTACAAAGATTAGGGAATGTCAAGGATGTTTGTAAAATAATTGCAGCAAACTTATCAAAATCTTGTTCTTCTAAGAAAGTTTTGTTGAAGTATTGAAGAATTTCCTCCTTTTTAAGGCAATTCTAAAGAATAATAACTCTTTTTAGATTTTGACAATCCATACATGCAAATACAGAAAATGCAGCAAAGACCAGAATATGATTTTGAATATTTATACGCCTAAACTTTTAACGGATATCAGCTATTTTTTATGGTTTTGCATATGTCCTGAAAGAAATTCACTATAAGGAAATAGGATAAAAAAGAAATTGGTAATTTTAAAAACCAGTATATTATTAATTTAGTAGCCTATATTTAACAACTGAAAACATTATACATTATATTTTTAAAGCATTATAAAAGAGATTGTAAGAAGGAATAAAGAGGAAATGTTAAAGTTAAACAGAGTGAAACGAAATACATGACTTGTATGTTTGGGAAAGGCATTGAAAAGCCTATAAAAAGACATATACATTTGTTAAGGTATTCAGAATGAGTCATATTATTTAGATTCACTAGCCTCGGTTAAGTTTTCATTATATAGCAAGAAATTCAAAAAAATGTCCCTCATTATCATTTTATATACTTAAAATTCTAATTTTTTACCAATGAAAAAAAAAGGATGACAATTTATGCTAATCAACTTAAAATATCGCAAATAATAGAAAAAGAACGTTTTTATTTACCTGACATATTTTTGATAAATTCTCTTCGCAGTTTAATCTATTAAAATATCTGTGAAGAATAATCTCCAACATCGAATCGGTTATAATATTTTCTTGAAAATTGGTGATATTTTCATTACGAAGTGAATTTATAACTCTATCGAAGGGATGTTCTCCTCTGATAACAGTTATAAATGAAAAACATAAAAGGGCTTTTGAAACCAAAGAAAAACACATTTTTTGCAACTGCTACGTGAAGCAAAAATGAGCTTTAAAGGGGTGAGTTGTGAATTCCTTGGCCAAGAGCGCATCCAGAGGAAAAATTCATTATGTCGTTGTTTAATGACGAAATTGAAAAGTATATCTCATTCTATCTTTAATTTTATTAAATATAAATTATATATTGTTAAATTATCTAAGTATAGGTAGATAATTCATTATATGTAAACGTTGAAACAATAATTTAATTCTATAAATCGCCCCCTCGCCCAACCTTTAAGTCGGCTAAATGACCTATTTCAAGTTTTTTTGCACACAGCTACAATAGTCATTATTGTTACTCAAATTCTTTGACCTCGTCTATCACATGAAAAGAATAATACATTTTTACTTTATAAATCGCTATTGATCCTTAAAAATTATTCTATTCAAAAAATTATTTTACACAATGTCGTGCAATACTGTTTATTCGATTTTCGATTTACTTTCATAGAAACTAAGTTTAGGATCTCAATTTTTTTTTGGTCAAAATTAGGCAGATCTACAGTTAGTCTTATATATTGACTATTGTATTTTGTATTAAATGGATAATAAATGGTAATCTTATCCCATTCCCCTTATGACAACGTTCCTTATTTCACTTAATTCTATAGTAATATTAATTGTAAAAACTGGTAAAGAAAACAAAATAAAAATAATGAAGCATTACAATATTGATCAGTGAGTAGGTATTAAAGACAATAATGAATACATTTTATACTATGACCATTTCAGTAGTGAATAACAACGTTTAACACTGTTTTAACTTGATCAAAATTTCATTATAAGAACAAAGTTTTTCAGAATGGGACAGTGGTCTAGGGGTATGATTCTCGCTTTGGGAAGGCTCAATACTTCAAATATGCGAGAGGTCCCGGGTTCGAATCCCGGCTGTCCCCTATAATTTTTTTTTTCAATGAGGTTTTTTGGTATTGTTTCTTTATACATATATAATATCATGTTACGAAAAGGTAGCTATTTAGTGATTTTTTTACTAGTTAAGTGTAATTTAGTACAGATTTCATTTTTTATATTAAAATATAATATTTCTAAATAAAATTTATAGTAATACGATAAGTGATTAAATAATAGAGATTAGTTTTGTTATATTTTTAAGCACTACTAGCATAATACACACCTGGCTCTTGAAAGAAACACACAATTGTATAATAATGCTAATTAAGTTAACTTTGACGGTTCTTACAGGTAATGAAGAATGTAATAGATTAAATATAATCTATCTAAATGGTATTACTTTCTAATTATAGTTGTCCGTATCTCGGTCACTGATGTAATACCAAAACCTTGCGATTTGAAGTGGGCTGAAGGAGTTTGGCTGGGAGCTGACAATAATAATGAACTCCAAATAAGAGACAACCATCTAACGTTATACGGTTTCGATTGGAAATGTGAAAAAGAATGGGAAGGAAAGAATCTATTCCAAAGTCGTAATGTTCATGGATCAAATACAACTACAGATTATCTTATTTGCATTCAATTAAAGAAGCTAAATAAGAATAAATTATTTTATGGAATGACCACCAAGACAAAAAGTAATACATTTCTTACAGTTGAGGCTGGTCACGAGAAACCCTTAGATTATACTTGTAACGATAAAATTGACGTAATAAACTTTTATATTTATACTAGAAAGGAGACAAAATTAGACAGATCAACTTGCCCTCTTCCATTAAGAGAGCATTGGTCTATCGAAAGTCCTTGTAAGGGTAAATTAGAAGTTTGTTTAGACATTTATACAGTTGAGATTAATCCCGATAAAAGCTGCAAAGAAGAAAATCTAAAACAAAGCTTACAACTTTACTGCCTATATAGCGTTAACTACGGAGGCTATAACTATACTATTGTGGCAAATAGCAATTACAAACCGGAAGAAGGAAAACCGCAATTCTATTGCATGGTAGGCCTAAAAAATTATTTTATATTATAATATATTGTAGTACACAACAAGTGTTATCTAAAAGAAAATGCTATAAATAGATAATAAAGAAGATGTAGGTTACTAATAAACTAGAATTTTATTAAAAGAAAGAAGAAAAAAGTTGATTAAAAAACAATGTAAGATTTCATCTATCTATTCCTATATATATATATATCTTTATAAAAGAAACTAATAAAAGGATATATAATAATTAAAGAAGAAATTATTAGAAATTTAAATATAATAAATAGGACATAAGGGGAGAATATGTATTATAAGTATAAATATAAAAATGCATATTTGTATATATACTGTAAATTTATAAATGTATATATATATATATATACAGTATGTATGTCATATTTCTATATTATTTTATTATAGCTTTTTATAATTCATAAAAGTTTCCCTTAGTCTGCAGATTTTTAGTGTCTTTATGACAGAAGAATACCTAGTTAGCGATATGTATATATTGTATCTACAATTACATAATATATATATATATATATATATATAAGTTAAAATACTAATAGTAGTAAAACTTGTAAAAAAAGATCTTTATCCATATTTTTCATAGTTTAAATGTTTATTCCTTAGCAATCGAAACGAACGAACGGGAAGAATAGTACCGAATTGAAAATTGCTAAAATTGAAAATCCAAAGAAATATTATTGCGAAATGTTTCCAGATCCGGAAAATGTGGATTATCATATAAATGCTAAGTTAGGTAAGTAAATAAATAAATATATATATATCTTGCATATGTCTATTGTCATGTATAATAGCACGTAACGTATGCATTCTATTCAGAAAAAGAATGCTACGAAGATATAACTGCACAAAAAGGGAGGACGACAGGAAATGCTGTTGTTTTAAAATCAAATTGCGGATTATTTATCTTATTAGCAATGTTTATTAATCTTTATTAATTTTATTAATTTATTTATTTATTCAGGAAAATAAACAAGACGAAATATATCCGCAATTATATCCATTTATTGTCTCTTTGCTCCACCTACACATGTATTATTATTATAATAACAATGAAAAGATCTGCAAAATTATAATTTATACTAATTAATATATAGTTTATTAATATATATATGTAAAACAATTACATATTACAATTACAATTAAGTCGTAAAACGTAGTATGCACGGCAGATAAAATAAAGCGTCATCAGTCTCGTCATGTCATTTCTAAAGAGAGAGCGTTATGTTCAAATTAAAAAGTTTTATTTTTTTATGCATTTTGAGCACTACGTTGTGCATTAGAGCTAATGAAGAACATTTTGCCAAGGATTGGAGAAAACTTTGTTTGTTGGATGGAACTTGTTTGGAAAAGAAGAACGATGTGATAAGAGGAAGAGTAGGAGGTTTCGGAAAACGGAATATTGTTGTTGGACGTTTAGGGAGGTATAATATAAAATGTTAATGTGTATAGATAATATAGTTGTATGTCAAGAAAATAAGTAAAGCTTATAAAAGTTGTCTTATTTATTCATTTGGCTGTTTCTTTTCAAAGCAAAGTGATCTTTAGACAAACTCTATGAAATCTTTTTAAGAAAACTCTTTATATTTTATACAGGAAGTGTAAATTTTGATCTAAAATGTGTTGCTGTAAAGATGAATGTTGGAAAAGACTACATAATTAGCAAGAGTACATGTCTCATATTAAATTCTAAAGAACTAAATTAATTATTAAACTGAACTGTTAAATAATCAGTGAATGTAAAATAAGAAAAAGATGATCTAAATTCAATCCTAATGAGATCTTTTAAGTTAAACTAATAATAGTATATAGACATTATGTGTACTGTATTAATATAAATCCTCCCTCTCTCATTTACCTCCTTTCTATTCCTTTCTCTTTGTCTATTTTCAGAGAACAAACTGAAAATATCTTATATCCTACAATTATTATTTAAATAGAAGTCCTTGAAATTACTTTAACATGTATAAATTATCATAGAAAGACTAAAATATTTCTAAATAAATAATAATAATGAAAGAAAAAAGGAAAGAAAGAGAATTATTATTATTATTATTATTATACTCCTTTCGTTTACAAAAAGAAAAGTATGGAAATATATATATAGGTAATAATAGAAAAAACAAACTGTTTGTATGCCTTTCCCTCCCCTTTTAGATATAGTTGTTAGTCATTTAATATATTATCCAACTTATATTTTTCATAATTAAAATACTATAGTTATACTTTATAAATTTTATAGAAATATTCATAATGCTATGATGGATTTAGTGACTGTGTTTTACATTTTTAATGATAAAAACTATATTGGTGTTACATACTATTCTTCCTCTCCTTTAGATCAATTACTCCATGAATGCAATACGAAAAAATATACTTTCTCTATTCCATCAGTGAGAAAATGTAATGCATAATTAACAAGATTAGATAATGAGTATTTCGTTTATTTATATTTTCGTATTCAATTCAATAGCATACGAGAGAGAGAGAGAGAACGTCGACCAAATAGAATAGAAATTTATCAGTAACTATCTTTTGAGGATGGAGGAAAGACTAACAACCGATACCCTCTATAAATTCGTTAAATAAAACAATTATAGTATACTTTTTTTATTGAATTAACCTTGCTTGATATTCATGCGTCCTACGCTAATCCTCTCTTTGTCCTTAAACCCTATGTCCTATCACATTTCTAATATGAAGTATATTTATTTATATATGTATACTGCAAATATTCGTTTATTGTAATTATATTACACACAAACATGTACAGTATACATCAGTTAATAAATTAATAAAACCAAGTACCATTGTACAATCTATATGTCTTCAAATACGGTCAATTCATTATTATATTATTTCAGATTTGGAAAGAGAAATGTTCAAGACAATTGGGAAGACCTACTATCCCTAATAAACAATTAAATGGGCTTATATGCTTTAAAAAATTTGAACGCTTTAGTGTATATTGTTGTCCGAAATCAAAGAGAGCAAAAATTATTTTACGAGTATTGTTTTTATAAACATTTAAGTATGGAATGCTTAATTTAGTCAAAGTAAAGATGGTGTTTCATCAGAATTATCAATTTCAAATGTTGATCCGGTAAAACAAGTTGTTACTGGTATTGATGCCAATGTTCCCGTCGACTGTGGTATTAAGGGACTTGGCAGCATACTACCGTCTGTAGGAGTTTCTGCGTCGGGAGCAATAGGTTTCTTTAATGAAATTGGAGTTTTTTCAATAACTTCTGTCAATTTCCTGCGGAAATCTTGCTCAAAATTTATCATATCTGTTTGAAGCATCTCTACTTCGTTGGCCAAACTTTTTTGGCCAACTAATAATTCTTCTAATACAGTAAAATTCAATTTCATTAATCTTAGTTGTTCGCAACCGTAAACTTTGCCCGGATCGCCAGGTATTGCTTCTCCTCTCATATAACGTTCAAATTCTTCGTAGGGCATAGATAATGAATCGGCATCTAACTGAGCGATAAACTGTAAGGCTCCACTTAGATTCGTAAAATAATATGCCTGAAATACGTTAATGATGTATTATTTAATTTACTTGGACTCGATAGCTATCCATAATTATACTATTCAACTATTGTTTACCTGCTCACCAGATCCTAGTCTCTCAGGACTCGCGAATCTCATTATATAGCTTTCATTCGATTTTAGAAGAGGAGGGTTTGCTCGTAAAACCACAAATATTAAGGCTGGTAAAAAATTATCAGCAGAGACCGGTTGATCACTCGACGCTTTTAGAGCGGTCATTATGTGTTGTGAACACAGCATTATACATTCTAGCTTGTCAGAGGGAGTTTGTTTAGAATTCAAGTCAACAATTGCGTGAATGGCAGAGTCCAGTGCCTCGCTTGCAGCCGGTTTAGTTTCATCGATTCCGGCGTCTAATAATTGAGCATTTAACCAGTGTAAACTTCTAATTCTATTCTGAAGAGTCAGATCTTCCTGTTCATCATCTGGAGGACTAAATACCTCACTATAGGTCAATTGACATACGCATTTTTCTAATTTATCTAAAATTGTACGCCTCTCCGACATATTTAATTTAATAAACGCATTCTCTGTTTCTAATTTTTCGGCCACTGAATTATACAACTCCTGAACTATATCTGAGCTATTTTCAACCGTTATTCCAGATTTAATTTTATCAACGACGTTCCTAGTTTTCTTTAGAATTTCTAGAGCACCATCCTTCTTCGATTTACCGAGACTCTCGGTTAATTGTGCGTAAGGATTTACTCTATCTTCTTGAGAATCTTTCCCGTCAATTTTCCTCTTTAGGACATCCTTTAATCGTCTTTTTCTTTCAGTTTTCGGAGACGATTTCGGTACATCAGAACTATGTTAGTCGTAATACAACAAACAGCATGAAATTTTGTTTATTTCTATATATTTAATATGTTATAGTACCTTTCATCTATACCAACAATTTGCTTTGGAATTGGTAAAGTCTTATGATTAGTTTTCTTTAAATTCTCCCTATTATATTCCCTCCAACAAGATGAACAGTATCCTTGCCATTGAACATTTCCATAGAAGCCACATTTATTTTTGCACATCTTCACAGTCTCAATATGAATTTTACTCGGCTTCTTTTTCGAGAACATAATTGCGGTTTTTATTCCCTATTTTCTATGAATATAAACAGTAAAAATTATATCAATTTTTTGAATAAAAGGTCGAACGACCAGATTAGTAATGGGCGTATGGGCTGTTTATTCTCTACGAATAAAAAGAACCTGACGAACATAGGTAAAGTATTTTTCTATTTACCCATTTAAAAGTCTTTTCAGAATCATAAGAATATATGAATACGAAAAGAGTAATTTTTAACAGAAATATTTAAATTCTTTCTAAAGGACACTTCCTTATACTTACAGAAAATAGTAAGAAAACAATCGTTCCCTATAGCTGAATAAAAAATTGATCCTTACTAAGATATGGATGACTTATAATCAGCTGTCAAGAAAATATTATTTCTTATCAAAAAAAATGATCAGAATCGTGATTGCTTATGCATTAGATAAGAAACTCTCGCTTTCACCTATTTTACAAATATCGTACTTGCTGCAAGAAATATCAACTTGGCGAAATAAATGACGTAGTTGAGTACCATATCAACAACAACACAAAGAAAATAATTCAATAAATTTTTAATATGTCTCTTACATAAATGGCAACACATTTAAATAAATTTAAGTAAAGGACTGTGATTTCTTTAAATGAATTATAGAACCTAAAAGTAAAGATGACAAATTTTATATGCAGTATACTGTCTATATATAGGACAAAAAGTATTGAAATAATGAAATAATAAGAGTTTTTTTCCCACACGTTTCACTGAATAAATGTTACAAAACAAAACAATAGAAGTTCATTGTCAAAAAGAAACGACTATTAATGAAGATATATTTGCTCTTTTATTAAAATTTTCTTTTTCAAAGTATAACAACATACTTTTTCGTTGTTATTTCCACGTTTGAGCGATAATTAAGGCCGTTCCTAATTGAACTCATTACAAACTATGTATAGGAAATGGAAGGTAGAAATGAATTCAAGGGCTGAAAATGAGGAGGAAATCTATAACGTAAAATAACTATTTCTCCCACTTTAACTATTATAAGTAATCATAAATAACCGTATCAATGTATAGCTAAAGTTTCTTGAAAAAAAATTGAATGGATCATATTCTAACATGGAAAGTGAGTTAATTAAGAATTATTCTCCTTTGTAATTATAGTATGCGATTTAAAACAAACGGGCTTAATTCTTTTGTTATAAAATTAGAACAAGGAATATATCTTTTCTTTTCAATTGACCATCATATATTCATTCATTAAGAATGTGATAATTGTCTATCAAATCATTCTATTATCTATATGTGCCAATTCTAGTGTTTATTCATCCTGAATAGATTAAATATTTTACTAAATCTGTTCTCTTATTTACAAACCTTTTTAAACCACATAAATGATCTTCGATAATTACTTTTCAGAGAGAAATAGCTCTCAAAACGAATACAAGTATTTTGCAGATGATGATATTTTCCATAAAAACAATGCTCTAACAAAAGATGAAAGCGAAAATCAAAATCAGAATTGGCAACGTACTAATATAGAGGTTCTACTATTTAACAACAAAATGAAGGTTATAAATCTACTGTTCTCTTTTTCTTTTTAATAAAAGCAACCATCAAATTTGAAAGATATTGCTAGAGGATGCCTCAAAAATCTTCCAACAGTCGTATCAAGCATTATTAAAATTTTTATTAGCTCGACATTTACTGGTAAAGTATTTGTTTTGTTTGTCTTTCTTGACCTTGTAAACACGCATAAACTCTTAGACATGAGAGAGGAGAGAAACAATCTTTACATCCGAGCTTATCCTATCTTGAGAGAATTTTGCGCAGAGAAAGGTTTAGATTTTCTAGTATCTGATATGCGTTGGGGAATAACGGATGATGCCATAAACGGACACTCGCTAGTAGATATATGTTTGAAAGAAGTTGAAAGTTGTAAATCAGTATCTGCAGGGCCTCATTTCGTGGTATATTATTATATCATATTTTGTTAATAGCATATGTTTACTGAATTTTTAAAATTATGATATATTTCGTATTTTAAAGGCAATAATAGGGAATAAATACGGCTTTATACCGTCTCCAAGTTCAATATCAAAGGAAAATTTTGAATTATTTTGTGAAATGTTAAAAGATGGACACACAGACGATTTAGAACTTTTAAAGACTTGGTATATAAAAGATGAATCATCAAAGAAAAAGCGCTACATTCTCATTGTAACAATAACAACACATACGTCTTTAGTTTCTTTCTTAAAAATTAACTTTCATAATTAACAGCCATTAAAGAAATATTTCCCAAATTACAATACCGATATCGAGCAACGTAAGGAGTGGGAGAAAATCTCGGAAAGACTACAGAATACTATGCGATTTTGTTCTTCAAGATTAAAACCGGAAGAGTACCGTTTATATTTCACATCGAGTATATAACATTTCTATTATGATGTGTTTAAATGATAGTCTGACTCATTACAATTTTTATTTAGTTACGGAAAAAGAGATTGAAAGTGGATTATTGAGAACTTTGAATTCGTCAGAAAGAAGTGCAGTATTTATAAGAAACTTTTCCAGTCCAAATATGGAAGATAAAATTATTCCTAGATTTTTCGATGTTAAGTACTCGGAAGAAAAGAGAAAAAACTTAGATAATCTTATTGAAAATAAGATACCATCAGCTCTGAAAGATGATGGAATTATTAAAAAGTATGAAATTCCATGGACAGAAGAGGGTGTTAATCCTTCTAGTGCAATTCATAAAGAATATTTGGACAATTTTATAACCGACTTTGTTGAAACGATGAAAAATCTTATTGAAAATGCAAGCAAAATTAACACTACCTATTTTTCAACTTATAGCCATTTAGAAGAAATTCTACATCATTCAAGAATAAGTTTAGATAAATGTTCCTCATTTTCTGGAAGAGAAAATGATTTGAACGAAATACATAAATATATCGAAGATACAGCCTGTACTACTCCATTAGTTATTTACGGTAAATCTGGTGTTGGTAAAACAGCATTCGTAGCAAAATCAGTGGAATTAATTTATGGTTTATATCCTGAAAGTGTTATTATTCAACGATATTTAGGAACTTCTCCAAAAAGTTCTAGCGCTGTATTACTACTTCAGAACCTTATACAGCAAATATGCATGGTCTTTGAATTGCAAGATATATGGTCGAATGCATCTAATATATTAACATCTCTCAGTAAAGATTTTATGATGATTCTTGAATATATTTCTTCAAATTTTTTGAACGAAAATCTCAAATTATTTATAATCTTAGATTCTTTGGATCAGCTGTCAAATAATCTAGATACAAGTTGGATACCAGAGTTTTTACCAAAATATTGCAAAATTATCTTTTCAACTTTACCAAATGAAACTTTAACCAAGCTAAAATTTAAAATACCAAATTTAAAGCTATTACATGTTAAACCACTTTTAAAGGCAGTTTGCTTGGATATAATTCAATCACATCTTGAAAAGAGATCAAGATTATTAACAAAGAAACAATGGGAAATTTTGGAAAATTTCTTTGAAGCAGGGGCCGATGCCTTACATATTAAGTTAATAGCGGATACAGTTATCCAATGGAAGTCTTTTTTCGTTGAAGAAGAATCGTTAGCAAAAACTGTTAAAGAAGCTATTAAAAAAGTTTTCCTGAAGTGTGAGGCTGAGTTGGGTTCAACTTTTGTTCAATACGCTTTAGGCTTTATAAGTACATCAAAGCAAGGATTAACCGAAATCGAATTATCGGATGGACTATCTACTACAAATGACGTTCTGGATTCAGTTTATGTTTATCACTCACCTCCCTCCCTCGAAACAATACAAATACCACCTCTGCTGCCTGCTAGATTGTTAAGCGTGCTTTCAGAATATCTCACAAAGAGGAAAGTGGACAAAAAAAATGTCTTATTCTGGTATCATAGACAATTTTGGGAGACTGCGTACGACATGTACGTTGAGAATTTTAGCTTGGCTCCGAAAAAAATGCTTTATTATAACATGCTAGAAATATATACCTCTTCTGATGGAATTAAAAAAGACTTAGTTCTATCTAAAAGAAAGTTGAAAATAGATACTGTGGATAGAGGTATTTTAAAAAGAAATCTAAAGAGTCAAAGAACAATTAACTGTATTCTACACTATTCAATTCAACCACTTTTTCACGACGATACTACATGTAAAAAGTTTCGGAAGCTAACTTTATTTAATTTTGAATGGCTATTACAAAAGATAATCGTCTGTTCAATATCGGATCTCTTATTAGATATTTTACACATCTTATCGTTTTGTTCAGTATGTATTAAGATTTTAATTATGGCTTGTTCGTCAACTTTAAATATTTACTTGCTTCATTTTCTAGCACGAAGAAGTTGAATTAATGAATGATTTTCTGTGCTTGATATCTTTTTCACTTCGCTTAAACCCTCTAGCTTTAGCAACGGAGGTAATAGAAAGCAATAAATAATCATAAATTCACTCTATTTTATAGCTTTATTTATCCTTTAGATTGTATCTCGATTGACTGCAAAGGTTCTATTAGAAAAAGAAGAATTTTTTGACTTAGTTTCGTCTGCTAAAGATTGGATTGAAAAATTCCATGGTCCTTTAATATATCCCATACATAAGGCCTATTATAGCCCTGGTTCGATAATACGTTCTAGAATTGTGGGACCGCAACACTTTATAGGTAAATAAGCCAAACTTTAAAACTATTGTGTTTTTAATTGATAAAAAATGTTAAAAATTTATATGTAATTATATTAGCAATTAGTTCATGTGAACAATTTTGCCTCGCGTCAAGTGGTTTCCATGGATTAGCTGTTTATAGTTTAAAATCTAATGATCTTATTCATAAATTACATAAAAAATGGAAAGCGAAAATTAATCATTTCGTTAAATTTTCGTCAAACGAGAAATTAATTATTGGTGTAGAAGATTTTAGCTTATATAATTCACAAGATAATTTTCAAGTAATATACATATGGGAATTGGAATCTGGATGCTTAAAATTTAAGTATGCTTATTTATAATTTCCTCAATTATATTACTTCGATATAATAATTTTAAACAAATTAGAGCTCGTTTACCTGGCCAACATACACCTGAGATGGTTATAACAAAGGATGATATGGTAGTTGCCGTATGTAGGCTTACATGCTTTTGTTTAAAAATAGACGAAAATAATAGTTTGAAATGGATGGAGCTTGCTACTCCTCACGGTAATTATGAAAAAAGAATTAACTTTAAATAGTGTTTTTTTTGCTCATTATAACCTTCTTTCTTAGAAACTTTACATTCTGCTTTGTTCCTTTCTAATGGAGCTTATTGCATAACATTTGGAAAATCAGGTGTGTCTGGACAAATGGTTCTTTGGAAATCCAGTTCCTTTGAGATACAATCAGTCTTCAGTAAAATTTCTTTTTATCATATAACTAATGCATTCATATTTTTCTTATCTTGATATTCTTTAGATTTACCTAAATATACAATAAGAAAAGGTTTATTCTTGGAATTTAATGACGTAGTTATATTTACATATGAAAACAATGAGGAAGTCGGATTAGCAACTTACAGTTGTTTAACTTTGAATGGTAATTATCGTTGTAATGAATATTATTGAGAGTTCAATGCAATTAATTTACATTTATAGATCCGCCAATCCTACTCGATTCGTTAGAAAAGAGTACCTACGGCACAATTAAAGATATTGCTTGTTATCAAAATATGGTTACGGCTTGTACATCTTTGGGATATATTTGTTTATGGAATATATCGATTTCAAACGATAAGAAAAGCGCTTTAATTTATTCAGTCAAAATAGATGATAATCTATCTTTAGAGAAGATTTGTATAAAGAAAGATTTTATATATTCAACTTCATCAAAGGGTAGATTATTTTCTTTCTCGATTGATAAAGCAACTGTTGTTAGGAGTATTCAAGCTCATGCCGAAGGTAAGTGAATCGTTTATCGGGCACTAACCACAGTCTATATTTTACCTTCCGTGATTTTTTAGCCAATATCAACGGTTTAATAATATCAAAGGATGAAAAAACTCTATATACAACTGCTGCTGACTTATATATCAAGCTATGGAGAATTAATATGCTGGGTGAAAGAAATAATAGCTGGGAAAGCGAAAAGCAATTACAGCTCTCAGAAGAGGAAGGTTACTTTCGCGTAGCTGTTGATCAAAAGAATGAACGGATTATTACGTTATCTAATCGTTGTATTGGAATATGGGATTTTATGGCTAATAGGATTAAAATTTTGAAAAAAATAACTCATTTTGAGACTGGTAGCGAAATATTTGTAAACGAAATGGGAGATATCTCCTACATTACAAGGTATTACGTAACAAAGGATATAAAATGAATAATTTTAACAAATTTTAAAATATCAACCTTAGAAATGAAATAGTGAAATGGAAAGCTGAAAATTTTGATGAAGTCTATAGAATATCATTCAAAAACGATATTGTAGCGTACAAAGATGGAAATCTATGGTTAATAGAGGGAAATTGTCTATTTTTATTGAAAGATGGAGAAGAGAAAGTTGAAAAATTGAGCGAAAATTTGTCTAAGAATAGTAAATGTTGCAAATTCCTTATAAATAAGGACGAAACAACGGCATTGTTAGGTATATTAATCTTGAAAGAGTAAACCGTTTTTCCATTTCTTTTAATACTTCAGCGTACGAAGAGGGTAAAGCTATACATCTTCAATCCTATAATTTAAAGTCTTTACAGATCGAAAACAAAGCTGATAAAAGTAATGTTAATGCATAGTTACTTGCATAAATATATTATTAATCAAAGAAATATCATTTGTTTTTGTAGAAATAGCAGCAGAATATTCGATCGGAGAAAAATTATCACACATAAAGGGTTATAAAGAACTTATTAGATTAATTAATACTCGTACTGCTGTTGTTAGTCTACACAGCGGCGATATGATTGTATTTGATCAATATTCATTGGAAATAATCAAGATTTTGAAATATTCGCAAAGCGGAATTAAAGCTATTGGAATATCAAATGATGAAGCATATTTAGCTGTTGGAAGAGCGAAATCTACAACCTTATTATATTCTATTAAAGATGGTTACACCCTTTGTAAAACGATCAAAGGCGAGTTTAACCAAGTGTGGAGCGTGGCATTCAATGAAAATAACACTCTTTTAGCCATTGGTTATAGAAATAACGTGATTGAAATCTATGATCTGAAGAGCGATAAATTGCTTGTTCAACATGTTTGTCATGCCGATTGCTATGAATTAATGTTCATATCTAACGATAAATTAATCGCCCAATTAGATTCTAAAGTTTATAGAAATGTTTGTTTATATAAAATGATGAACATGTAACAGTCATAACTATATATGATATTTCTTTAGATTTATGAGATAATAAACAGAAATCGAATATTTCAACTAAAATATTATGGTTTAATAAATTGCTTTATTATTTGGATATTTTTTATTAAAATTCAAATGAAATAACAGTCGTAAACTTTTTACAAAGTCACGATTCATTAGCGAAAATATAAACATCCTATTTTTTAAAAAGGTCGCATTGTTAGAGGGCGCCACTCGGTCACAACGTTAACATTCATTTTAGTCTGCTATCTTGTATAGTTGAGTCCGTGATATTCTAGAAGTGACCGAAGGTTTGACATATAGGACTTTATGACATATATATACTACATATAGATAGATTATATATATATTCATATATATATATAACATTAATTAGGCGATCGTTAGATCTTCATGAATCTCTTAGCAGAGAGAGCGCAGATTTTTATAAAAAACAAATTTAGATGTATCGGCAGGTTTATAGTAACCATAAGTAGATAAACTTGATATTATCTAATTGCAGAGGAGATAACATTAATTTCTCATTAAATTTTCAGAAAAACCATGGCTCCAACAGGGGATCCAGGAGCAGACATAAAGACTCTAGTTGAAAAAACGATAACTTCAAATGAAGTTGTAATTTTTAGTAAAACAACCTGTCCGTTTTGCACAAAGGTAATTGTTTTTTTTCAACGGCTATCGCTATTATTGAATATATTATTGATTGGAATAAATATATATCTACAGGTGAAGACTCTGTTTAGATCTCTCAGTGTAGTTTATCATTGCGTTAACTTAGACAAGCTTGGTAAATATAAACAGTTTTATTTATAAAAAAAATATATGTAAACTTTAAAATTTTCTTAAAATAGAAAATGGAGCTCAAATTCAAGAATATTTGCTGACTAAGACTGGGCAGAAAACTGTACCTAACGTTTTTATCAAAGGAGAGCATATAGGTAAATAACAATTCATTTAGATTGCTTTTTCGTTGTTGTTGTTGTTGCTGTTGTTGTTAATGTTTGACATTTTTTTAGGTGGCTACGATAATGTCTCTGCATTGCAAGAAAATTTTGAGCTAATGCCAAAATTGGTTACCCACAATACTGACTATAAATATGATCTAATTGTCATTGGCGGTGGATCTGGAGGTTTAGCCTGTTCTAAGGAAGCTGCTAATCTTGGTTTAAGAGTTGCATGTTTAGATTTTGTCAAACCTTCGCCAAGAGGAAGTGCTTGGGGTCTTGGTGGTACCTGTGTAAATGTAGGATGTATTCCAAAAAAATTAATGCACACGGCTGCAATATTGAAAGAAAGACACGATGATGCCCAAAAATTTGGATGGGAATTCCCAAGTGGAGATGCTAGTCATAATTGGGAAACTATGAAAACTAACGTGCAGAACTATATTGGTAGCTTGAACTGGGGATATAGAGTTGCACTACGTGATAAAAAAGTGGATTATATAAATGCTTATGGGGAATTCATTGATAGCCATACGTTAAAAATTACTAGAAGAAATGGAAAATCTGAAGAGATTACATCTAATTTTTTTGTAATTGCCACTGGAGGACGACCAACTTATCCAGATATTCCTGGAGCCTTAGACTATGGAATAACAAGCGATGATATTTTTTCTTTGGGATATAATCCAGGAAAAACTCTCGTCGTTGGAGCTAGTTATGTATCCTTGGAATGTGCAGGGTTTTTGGCGGGATTAGGTCTAGATGTCACTATTTATGTTAGATCCATTCTATTAAGAGGATTTGATCAGCAAATGGCCGAAATTATTGGAGAATATATGGCTAACCATAATGTTAAATTTGTCCGTCCTTGCGTTCCTACGAAAATAGAAAAAATTACAGATGGTGAACCCGGAGTGTACCGTGTTACCGCAAACGGACCCAATGGTGAGACTGTTGAAGAATTCAATACTGTTCTCTTTGCAGTTGGTAGGAAGCCTTGCACATCTGATATTGGATTAGAGAAGGTCCAAGTGGAAACGAACAAAAAGGTTAGAAGTCGCTTTATCAATTCGAAACATCTTAAGTATATTGTTTGTTGCTTAGGGAGAAATTATCGTAGATATAAATGAGCGTACCTCCGTAGAGAATATTTATGCTGTTGGAGATATCTGTCAAAATAGACCAGAATTGACACCTGTTGCTATTCAGTCGGGAAAATTGCTTGCCCGTAGAATGTGTAATAGGTCAACTGAAGTAGTTGATTATGATAATATTCCAACAACAGTTTTTACACCTTTGGAATACGGAGCAATCGGTCTTTCAGAAGAAGATGCAATAGAGAAATACGGAAAATTAAATATCGAAGTTTATCATCAAAATTTCTGGCCATTAGAATGGACAGTAGCAGAACGCGAATCCAAGGTAAAGTTAATAAAAAAGTAAATTTACCGTATAGTTTCTGGAAAGCGGTGTTTTTCAATAGGTTTGCTATATGAAACTGATATGCGTAATCTCAGAGAATGAGCGAGTAGTCGGTCTTCATGTAGCTGGACCCAATGCCGGTGAAATTACTCAAGGCTGGGCATTAGGAATGCGAATGGGAGCAACCAAAAAAGATTTCGAGATGACAATTGGAATACATCCAACTTCATCCGAAACTTTCACTACTATGAATATAACGAAGCGCTCTGGCAAAGATGCCGGAGGTACCGGCTGCTGAGGTTAAGCCCTGTTGTTCTTTGAACAACGGGGCTTAACCTTGTTAACTTTTTTTCTTAAAATTGAGTGGCGCATTTCAAATGCTTTATGACGGCTATTTCTTCAACTATACATTAGTGGAATTAGCCCGACCAGCTATTCATTTTAAGAAACTATACGCAGATGTTTGAGAGATAGTTCTCTAAGTTCTCTCGTATTAATAATACAATTAGAAAATTTGACAAAACATGATCTCCATATCTATTTATTTTCTATAAAACATAGAAGAAAAAACATTTAACTCTGTATAATTAATTTTTTATTAAAGAGGATTTCATTATTTCTACAAAGTCTATTCTACAGATTAATTTCACTTTCATGATCAATAGATTTACCTTCTCTAAGCTCTTTCATCATTTGGTTGATATTTGTTGTTGTAGTCTGAGCTGCTGGTCTAGAGATACTAACAGGGTTGACAAGTGTGTTATAAGGAGTTTGTCTCAATTGATCACTTTCTATCTTTATATTTGATAATTGATTATTCTTTTCTTGGTTCTCTACACAGATAGAAGATTGTTTTTTCCTATGACACTTTGATGTTTTCTGTTTTTTGCCATTTTCTTTTTCTTGCTTTTTTTTTGTTTTGTGGCTCTTTTGTACCACAAAACATAGAGATATTATGCCGAATCCTGATAAAATAACAAAGATCAGTGTAAAAACCGGTACGTCATATTTATCATTCGAGGCTGATTCAACTGCAAAGGCTTTCTGATATTGTAGACCTTCTGTAGTCTCTTCACATCTCGATCCTGTGTAACCTATTCGACAAACTCTTCTCCTACAATTTCCAGTATCAAGTTCGCAACCAAGAAGACAATTGATTGGACATTTAAACAAACAAAACATTCCCCACTTTTGTAATCCACTACAAGTAGCCGCCCAATTTTTTACAAAACCACTCCTCATCTTATACCAAAATTGTTCAAGATCATACAGATGTTTAGCTTCCGTCTCTGATGGTAGCATACTTCCTCCTTCATTAGTGCATCTGATACCGTACACATAACCGTTTGATCTACATCCTTGCAAACAAGTTCCATCTAAAGGATCGCAATTATTTTTAAGACAATCCCCGCATCTCTGTAGGCAAAAAGCACCCCATCGTCCCAATTTCTTACACTGAGACTTTATCTTTTCGCCATCTTTTTCTAACATCTTAGTAAAGATCTTTTGAATCGTTTTATCATATAAAACATCACCTAAAACAGATTTTATTTTGCTGGTAAAGATAAAAAAGAATAATTGGAACCTTTTAATTAATCATTTTACCGCTTTTAAGTTCCCACTGTTCAGATTCAATCAAATAGAGTTTGTTGAAAAGAGATATTAAAAAAAAAGGAAATAAGTATATTAACATATCAATTTTAAATTTAGTTTATATATAATTTTAAATTAGTTAAAGATCTTTGTTTATTTGAAATTTTACTAAATATTTTTAAAAATAATAACTTTCTTTTTACGTATGTTTATGTATTTTTTATTATTTACCATTAACTGTATAATTCTACCGTTATATCAATTAACAATATTTGTTTTACTCTTTACACGTGAATATATTAGTTAGTTAAGAAAGTAACTTTTCATTTGAAATGATAATCAAGTTTTAGTACTGTTGACAAAAAAAAGTTTTGCAAAGTTTTGCTTACGTTTTTACAGACATAAAAACGTTTTGCAAAAAACAGCATGTGCAGCCGAAATCGACGGTAATACATTTCAGAACGTGGAGATATTATTGTCTTCCTTTAATGACATCATTAGTCTAATCAATTATTAATAATTTCCCTAGTGTCTGTTAAAATATCTATATAAATATTTGTGAGTATCTATTCTAGAAAATATCTTAATTTGCCTAATGCGCATTAGCTAGATATTCTACTTAAAGATATATCTTTATATATATATTTTATTCACTTAGAAGCTTTTCTCTTTTCCACAAGTTTTCTCTTTCTCATATCTTCAAATATTTATCAGAAAAAGCATATTTATTTCTTTCGTCATTTCAAAATCAATAGAAAGAAATTTAAAATCATAGAGATGAGAATAGCATGAAACACATTGCATAAGTCTTACATTATTCATATAAAAGAATGATTCTTATTGATGTCGTAAAAGTTTCAACAGATCAATCTATAAAGAGAGCGTACTGTTGTTAAATTTAAAGAAATAGTGATGATGTACATCTTTTAAAATAACTACTAAATTGACCTTGCCCGCATTCTAACACATTTACTTTCCAGGATTGCAGTGTAAAAAGAAGACACACAGTAGAAGAACCGTTAGTCTTTTAAAATATTTTTTTCTCAGGTATATATACTAATGTTAATTAAGCAGAAGCAGTTTACTTCTTTACATTTTCACTTACAGGACTGTAACGCTACTTCAATTGACATGTCTAAATTAGAAGGATATGAGTATTATAGGAAGAGTTTAAACTCTGCCAAGTATGTTGTTGCTCCAATGGTTGATGCAAGTGAATTAGCTTTTAGAATGCAATGTCGTAAACATGGCGCACAGCTATGCTACACGCCTATGTTCAATGCTGGTTTATTTGTGAAAAGTGAACATTATAGACAAGAGAATTTTACAACATGCCCAGAAGACCGACCATTAATTGTTCAATTTTGTGCAAATGACCCTAAAATATTTTTGGAAGCCTGTAAACTAGTTCAAGATCGTTGCGACGGTGTTGATTTAAATCTAGGATGTCCTCAGCAAATAGCTCGTAGAGGTAAGTTAAAAGAAAAAGCTGTCTTTTAAGTTTAATGATGATTAACGTAACTTTTTATTAAATTGTTATCAATCTTCCTAGGTCATTATGGGGCTTTTCTACAAGATGAGTGGGAACTTTTAGAAAAAATGGTTAGTCTATGTCATAAAGAATTAAAAGTTCCAATAAGCTGCAAAATTAGGATATTTAAATCTCTTGAAAAAACCATTAAATATGCAAAAACACTTGAGAAGGCCGGATGTCAATTGTTAACTGTTCACGGTAGAACAAGAGAGCAAAAAGGAGTCTTAACAGATATTGCCAATTGGAAGTTTATAGCTGAGGTTAGAAAGAATGTGAAAATTCCTGTACTTTCTAATGGAAATATTCAATATTTCTGTGATATTGAAAGATGCATAAATTTTACGGGAGTCGACGGAGTGATGTCAGCAGAAGGGTGCTTATACAATCCTGCCCTATTTGAAGGAAAAACTTATGCAGCTTACTTTTTAGCTGAAGAATATTTAAATTTTACGAAAAAGTATCCATGTCCTCTAGGTTATATACGTGGACATGTATTTAAGATTTTAAATCCTTGTCTACAATGTGATATAGATGAAATGAGACGAGCGAGAGATCTAATAGCTGGCGCTCAAGCAGTTGACACATTTTATGAAGCTGTCGCAATAGTCAAGTCTACCTGGCTGAGTTATTACAGAGGTAAACATGGTTATACGAGATAATATTCTTTTTATTTATAATGGGTACTTTTTGCAGATTCCAATTTAAGTAATGAAGCCTTGTTTCCGCTGAAATTTGTTTGTCAGCCGTACGTTAGACCGCCTATAAGAAATAACGAAGAACAAAAAGAAGAATCGGTGAAATCTGGCAAACCAGATAGAAGAGATATTTTAAAGAGAAAACTTGAGGAAAAAATGAAAATTTCCGAAGAAGATATGAATCGTTTATCTTTGAAAAAGTTAAAAAAGTAAGTAATTTGATTTAAACCTTATGTTTTAGCAACATAAAAGTCTTAGGTGAATAACTTGATTGGAATTATGAAATTCCTACATTTTCTACTTTTATATCCCAGTATCAAACATGAAGCGAGATTGTTTATATTATCCTTTGTTAAATGTTATTGGAAATCCCTATTTAAATGTTAATCAAAATACGAAGAAATGTTAGAAATAGGAAACAAATTATAAATCTTATCTGTTTAGACTATATGAAGGCAATTATATAGCTATATTGTATAATCAATATTGTATATCTAGTAAGAAATATTTATAAACAAATCCTTTTTAAACTACAAAAAACAATTAGTATATCTCTTATTTCTTCGTCATACTTAGATATTTGTGAATTTATTAAATACCATTTAATTAACAACTCAGAATTCTGATTTGGAATATTTGTCCAATATTTTTGGTACCGTAAAAAACTCTGTGGATAATGAATTGTAAATATTATATATTATATAAAGTTAATATTATAGATATTCTTAATTCAATGAAGAACAACTAATGTTGCTTTTCGTAATGAAGATAAATCTATTTCGTATTCTTATCTTAAAAAATAATACTAATTCCATATTGAAATCTAGTCTTCTGGAAATAGAATAAAAGTATGTTTCAAGGAAGGTATTAGCTGCTTTTCTCATGAAATAGAATTTTTTTATTAGCAGAGAATGACGTTAAATCTATAATGGTTAACTTAGAACTTGTTTCGTACAAAACGACTATTATTCGAGCAAAACTTTGAGTACCTAGCATTAGTTATAATAAGAAGAAAAGTGAACTTTTTGTTTTAATAAATAGAAAAGTATTTATGCTGAAGTATTTTTTATAAAGAGGAAATTTAGTATAAATAAACATAAACGACGTAACTTATGTAATGATTTCCAATTAGTGTCTCATTTTGTGGTATTTTGCAGGAAAATTATCTCAATATAATGAATAATTTTTTGTTAGAATGAAATATTCTAATATTGTTAATTGTATCATTTTCTCTTTTTTTCCCCATAGATTATTGAAAAAGCCTAAGAGAAGAAAAATTCCAGAATACTCTAACAATCTAGACAAATGTCGAAATGACTTGTGCCCAAATCCAAAATGTTTACTTTGTGAATTCAAGATGTGTAAAAGTTGCTGTAGAGTTACTGCTAAAGAAAAATCAATAAACTGTACAAAACATCGTTCGTTGTGTGTTGAAGAAAGTTCTAAATAAATTAAAATACAATTGTGATTGTTATCTATAAAATTTAATTAAGTTTTGCTAATTCTACGAAAAATAACAACGGATAATTATTAATAAACAGGAGATTGTTTGGTCTCATTCAATAAAATATAGATTTCATTTCATTTAACCCGATTTTTATTAATATAATTAGAAAAGTTAAGATATAGGAGGAAAATCTAAAAGATTAGATCTGATTGGTGTTTATCTTTCCTTGAGGGCACTAATAGCAACTTCCGATTCAGCAACTTAAGGCTGTTTTTGCGGAAAGAAAAGTGAATCGGAACAGGAGACCCTACATATCACTTATTACCCTTATTATCGCCTGAAAATATTTATTCAATTAAGTATAATATATACGTACTTTTAAGCAAATTTAGAAATGTCAGATCAACAAGAAACAAATAATCTATCTCCTCAACCTTTCACAGCATCTACAGCTTTAGGTATAAGATATATTAGATATTTAAAAAATTATAAAGAATATCCCTATTTTTATTGTATTATTATTCCTATTCAGATGCCTTAGACGATATCATAAAAGCATTAGAAAAACCTGAAAATGATATTAAATTAAGAGAGGCTAAGGAAAGTGCCGGCAATGATATGCTTAAGATGATGCAACTTGTGTTTCCTTTGGCCACACAAATGCAAATGGAAGTTTTGCCAAAATACGGATTTACATCAGATGGAGATGGATTGATAAGATTTACACAAAGTGTTAAATTATTAGAAAAACAAAGCAATGAAATTGCTACTCTCAATTCAAAGCTAAGATCTCTTTTGATGCCACCATTGCAGTGTTCTTTGCCTAATGATCTGGAGTAAATTTAGATGAAATTTTGTTTTTTATACATATATATATATATATATATATTATATGGTGCTTCTTTAATATTCAGTATATATATTTAAAAAAATCTATGATCATTTGATATGTATATAGTTGAATATAGTAATTTTCCAATAAAATACCTCTATCCAATCTATTGAACGTTTAAATCCATCAAAATATGATGTTATTCTCATATTTGTATGGGCTGTCTTATGTTTATTTATATCTCGTTGACTATTTTTAGCTTTGAGATCTCAGCATATGCAAATTATTTTTTTGGTTGTAATCCAGGATTCATAAACAGAATTGGCCTCCTTTCCCACACCCCTCATCTTTCTTACCCGCCCTTGCCTTGCCAAGTTTTTTCGATCTATTGCCCAGAATCTTAAGTAACCGCCTAAAACTATAAATAACAAACTATTGGATCTTTTGGTATTTTTCATTTTTTTTGTTTATTTTTTACTTAAAGCTTATGCAAATAATTTTTTTATTAAGTTTATATTTGCTTATTAGAGAATTTATGCTTGAATTTTGCCAATACTCTCGGAGATCTTCTCGGAGAGGGGCACTTTGTCTTTTCATCCTCTGAACTGGAGTCTGTTACTGACAAAGTTTTACTCCTGTTTCTCATTATTATAGAATGTCTAGGTAACGGCAGTAAAGGCTCAGGACTATCTTCCCTCTCCTCGTTATCTTCGTATTCTAGGGAAAATATTAGAAATATATAAAACATAGTTTAAAATACGAAGAGCGTATACAGTATTTCTTACTTGTTATCACGAATCTTATATCCCCTCCAATAGAATGACTCTTTTTTAACAATTTCTTTGACTTCCTCTTTGAGTTGATTTGTTTCTCAAACTTTTGTTTCTCGCTATTTTCGGGTTTATCTTCAATTTTTTTCTTTTTGCTTATTTCTAATCGTATTTCCTCATCTTTAGGAGGATTTTCGGCTAATTTATGGCCGTAGAGCATGTCCTGAATAGTTGGAGCTGAATGACCCATAGAGTACAACTTTTTGATATGTTCTGAGATAGAATTAGATAAACTACTATTTTTTATACGTTCCGAGCTGGTTCTTTCGACTTTTTTCCCGCCAGATTTAGCCATACGTTCGTATTCATTTACTTTTGAAGTTACTGCAGTTTTAGTAGGTCTTTCTCTTAACTCTTTTACAACTATTGAATTTTTATCCTTTGCTGACTTGTACAAAATCAAACTCTCCGGAACGTTTGATTGCCTAACCAGACGCCTAATTGGTGGTGCTGATAAAGCTGAAGATTCAGTACTTAATTGCTTATGTGAAGATTCAATATAAATTTTGCTCTCTTTAACTGGTTTTCGTTCTTCAATCATATGTAAAGGTCTTTGTGGTTGTGTATTTACACGATTACATATAGACTGTAGATCTACTTGACCTTCCAGAGATATGCCAAATCTTTCTGCAATTTCCTTTCTCTTTTGTTGTTTGTATAATCTTATACGTTCTTCTCTCGAAAGATGGGCGAAAAGATTGGATTTAAGATAGTCGGTTGCCGATACTTCAGAGTCTGTAGACTTTTCATCATTCTTTAATACGCAAATTCTCCTTGGCCATCGAGGAGATGGTGGAACACTCGAATCAGTTGTTGAATCTGCAAATCTTATCTTATAATCTGTGCCAAATTCTCTGCTACCTCCTTCATTCTTGTCACCGCTCTCTTGTCTAATTAACTTAAAACTATAGGGAAAAATGACAATGTGTAAGGAGAATGAAAATATTTACGTTGTTTTTTCTCCTATTTAAATAAAAAATAAATAAAGAACAATTATAATAAACAATGAATGACAACATAAAGATAAATTTATTAGGAAAACTCTATTGGAAATTGTGCGAAAGAGGTCGAATTTGGGTTACAAGGAAGGAAATTTTAAAGATTAGCCCAATATTTGGCCTTCGCAAAGGTCATTTAGAGTGCATTTTTGAAAATTTAGCATCCTATAACAATCAATTTAATAAATTAGACAAAAAGCATAAATCTTTTAAAAATATATTGAGAATTCGATTGGTAAAAAACATTGAATGCAAGATAAATTACAATGAAATAGAAGAAATAGAAGAAATACGCTTGGTCTATTTCATTGCTCTGACCTATTTTAAAACGATAGGTAATTTGAAAGAAACCTTAAATTTTATCTGCAAGATTTTGACAAAAGGATCGGATAGAGAATATTGTCGAATTTCTTTTGAACTATGGTGCAATATTTATGAGATGTTAGCTTGGTTTTGCGAGATAAGAATAGAAACTGTTAAAAAGGTTATCGAGTATTTGATGCCGAAAGCCTTAGGTAGTTTATGCCCAAGATTTCTGTTTCAAGGCGGAAACTACGGTTTAGTCGGTCCCATAGATTATTTATCTGTTGACTGTCCTCCTCTAACCGACGACATAAACTCTCCAAATGACGATAATTCAACAATTTCGAGCTCTGAAAGCTCATTTGTTAATTCATTTTGGCCGAAGGAATTGGAAGGTGAGCTAATCGGCGACAAATTTAAAGAGTTAAATGGAAACGAAGGGATGATGTATGGTTTCCTTCCTAAAGAGTTGGCAGAACCTCTTTCATTCGTCTCTAATCAGCGCCAACTTGAAGGAAATTATCTATGGACAAGTGAGCAACTTTTTTCTAAAAAGCCTATCAGTATGGCGAATAATCAATTTGGCAGGGAAAAATTAGAGGACGTGAATAACGAAGATGCTGATGAATCATTCGACATCTCTTCCTTAAGTAGAGCTATTTCGAAAAGAAAACTTAACAATTCCGATTCTAAGAAATTCAAAGCAGAAATAATTATTGGACGTAAGTGTGATATCCGGTCCTCTGATTTCTCTTCTAACTTGCTTCATCGGATAACATCTTGGACCAGGGCGTCATCTAGTCACGATTTTTCATCGACAGCAGAGGCTAATCAACAGGCGGTAAAGAGCACTGAAGAAATTTTGGACATAAACAACTCATTTGACCCTTTAAGGAACCAAGTTTTGATTGAAAATACGATATTTGAAGTTCCTAAAATGTCATCATCTCTATTAAATTCTTCATCTACATCAATTTCTTCGAAATCTGAAGAATTACTATTAAATTTTAACACAATTAAGGCTGTACCATTCGTAAAAACACCAGACGGAATTTCTCCTACAGTGAGTTCTTTTTTCAAGCAAAAATATGTTAGAGGTTCCTGGAATGGAACGGTTGAACAAGGGAATATTACCAATCTCTCTTTTCGCGACGTACAGTGTCTACCTCTATGTAATGTAGAAATCCTCCACATAGGATTAATTGATATGAATTTGAAAGGGTCAGAGATATCGGGAAAGCTGCCCTTAACCTTCCGTTTCGGTCAAACAGGTCCTGATCAACAGCTTTTATGCCGAGTTGAAGGTAAACTAGAGAACAATATTGCAACTGGAACTTTTGAAAGTGATATACTACCTAGGAGGAGTCTTATTGATAGTTCACAGGATGTTCAAGATGAAAAGTACATAAGTACATATACAGAAAATCAAGAAGCTCCACCAAAATATTCTTTAATGCTCAATCAATTTGACAAAATTATCCAGGAGGAGAACGAAATACTGAATGCTGTTTCCGATTCTCAACTACTACATGACAAAAGAGAAATTAATAAGGCAAATGCCTTAAAAGTCTATTCTTCTTCTAGATACAGTCCTGATGTTTTCCAAGGGATCAAGTATCTATCTGGAGAGTGGTACTCTGATTATGATGGAAGAGAACTAGTTAACCTTGAAGTTCGAGATATTAGAGCAGTACAAACAGATCTAACGACTGCAAGTTTAACTGTAGCAAATTTAGAGGTTAAATCCGAAGTCACAGATAATATTGTGTCTGGAACGCTTCTACTAACGTTTATTTGCAAGGAGTTGGACAATAGGAGTCAAACAAAGGTATGCATCGTAAAAGGAGTAGTTGATGGGACACTAGCTAGAGGAACGTTTGAAAGCGAGCCAGATACATTTCATTCCGTTAAGCATAATGATACCATGTTTGTAAGAACTTTAAGTGAAATGAATTTATCTCCTATTAAAATGAAAAACTCCGTTAACGATTCCAGTATTGCAGAGGAAGAAAACGAACAAATTTCAAAATCTATTACAGGAGCTATCCGTAAGATATACGATGAAATGGATCTTAAAGAGGATGATGAAAAATCTGACAGAATAATGTCAAGGTAATTAATCATCTTACTTCGTTTTATTATTTAATTTTAGAGTACTAATTTCAATAAATATGTAAAACCAATAGGGACCTTACAAACTACCCAGCTCATACTAATATTGTCTAAATAGTCAATCTTGACGGTGATGGATTGATTAGACAAACTAAAGCTAGGCTTGTAGTTTGTATTGCTCATTTAATCGCTAGCATATGTTAAGTCGTTTCCGTTTATCTTTGGCTTTTCAATAGATAAAATCTTAAAAGACTATTTAAAAGTTTGCTTTTGCAGGAGAGACGTAACGACCAGACCTAAACAACAAGTTCAATTGTCCAATAAAGGGAGCAAAGGTATGTTGCAAAAAATTTTTATTGGGCAATAAGCCAGATGATTACAATCATTTTAGTATCGAAAAGTCTATCATCAAGATTTAAGCCCGACTTAAGAATGGAAGACAGCTCGGATGGGAACATTACAGTAAAATCCACCTCTTCCGCAATGTCTTTTAAGACATCTCGAGAAGATGTTCTTATAACGGGATATTGGCAATTTGAAGATCTTAATAAAGGAACTATTGAGAAATTAAGAGTAGAAAATTTAAAGGTTTTCAGATGCAGCAATCCAATAGCAAAAGTAAAACTAATAGAATATCAGCCTAACATTAAGATAGATGGAAATTGCGCTAAAGGAACAATCACTTTACAATTACTTATAGAAGACACGGAACCAATTAAAACATTCCTATGCGACATCATTGGCGTCGTGGAAAGTAATGGAAACGTTAGTGGAACTTTAACAAATGAAGATAGAATTAACGACAAACAAATGGAAGATCAATATATATCAACATATACTGAATTAAAACAAGTTCCGCCCAAATTATCAAGCGTAGATATTCATAGAAATTACATAGAAACCATAGAAGAAGAAAATGATTAAAGAAATAGTAAAACAAACCTAAACTTTTTAGTCGTCTCTTCATTTGCCTTTCTAACGAAAGGGCGCTTTAGTTGAGGCGAACTGTTGAATGTTACAGGCTTCAATTGGCCCGATACTGTTTTAAAAAAGAACATATATACTCTAATAAATCTGATAATAAAAGTTAAATGGATAAAAAAACAGAAAGAAGAAGGGGGAGGGGCGGGCGAGCGATCGAACGGGCGGGCGGGAAACGTTGATGAAGGTATTCAATTAAAATTGATTAATTTGAATAGATCCTTTTTTTTACTTTCATAAAAGACTATACAAAGTTTATATATATATATAATCTGTATCTTGGATAAGACAATGCTACTAACATCTTAATTGCAGCTGCGAAATAAGAATTTTGTGCAGGAAAAATACTGCAACGTGGTAGATACAATTACTTTTGCGTTCACTTGGATCAACTTGCAATAACTAACTTATGTTTTTTCTTTAAATTTGTCTTTAATTTAATTCCATTACCTACTTTTTATCAGGCTTAGAATATACACTATTACACAAATTGTATACAGTATTATAATCATAACCTTTTAGTTGATTATCATTGATATACTAGACTTTAAGCAGTATCAATTTTCTTTTTCCCATTACTTAAAATTCTTCTACAAACCTGGAATTAATTGGCGTCCAGAAACTGAAATAAAAGCGGATTTTGAATCTTCAACATCGTTTTTGGAATGTTCTTTAAATTCTCCAACTTTTTTATATTCTTGATAATCGGGATGGCATCCTTCACTCCAAGTTTTCCCTCTTTGGAACCGTTCTACTTTGACGGAGAGGAGAAGAAAAAAAGGTAAAAAAGAGAAATTAGTTTTCTTAGAACGCATCATTTTACATCTTTCAACGAACTCCTAGGCCTAGAGTAGTGGAGTTATTTTAGAATATTTTTTTATGGTAATAATTGCCAAAAGAGAATGAATAGCAATTAAGAAAGAAGTAAAAAATTAGATAATGTACAGATTCAAGTCTAAAGAAAACTGTTTATATTTACTAGTTGGATTGTTTATATTAGCACCAAAAAGAGGCCTAAGTAGAGAAGGGTAAGAAGGTAAAAACGGGTATTTTTAATTATTATATGATATCCTCGAAGAGTTTTCTTTTATTTACATATTTTGTTTTTATAAAAGTAAGAATATTTTACAAAATTTAATCCTGACCTCTATTCGTAAATCTTGATCGAAATTTCTCCCATCTACATGACGACATATTCCCAGATTTTCTTTTCTTTTTCTCGTTCTTTTCTCTTCCTTTGTTTTTAATTATTTCCTTTCCTATCTTCACTAAAGCCCGTAAAACGTCTGAATACTGCTGTACATCTGCGGAATGCAGTACGATCTTACGGGGCGCTACTATCGCCCTACGTAAAACTAACCTTCAAATATTCTCAGTACCTTTATATGCCATTACGATTTATTCTAATCATATTAGCTGATTAAACGGAGAAAAATCTCTCTCTTTAAAAAACTTTTGGGAAATATGTTTTCTTGGAGAAAGTTTAAGCTTCAGCGACTCCTCACCAAATACTTCTTTCCGGTAGGAAAGATTCGATAAGAATTTAGGTTGTGCGATAGGCCTAATAACTCTCTTCAACCCCCACCCGCCCTCTCTCTCTCCTCGGGATTTAGATGTTTTCTGTTAGGTGTCGGACATTTCAGCCTACATTTCTAGAGTAACAAAAAAACTGTTTTTTTTTGTTTTAATTGAATAATAGTAAAAATTACCATATAGACAAGATTGTAAAACCCCTCTACAGAGTAATTTGCATAAAGGTTATAGATGTCTTTTGGTATTAAACTTAAGTCTTTCAATTTTACATCTCTTTTTGCCTAGAAAGAGGAGCAAACTTTCTTCTAAAAAGTCAGATTGATCGAGATTATAACAGTTAGATAACAAGCATCTTTTCAATTGTTTACACTCTAGGTTGGATGCCTATGATATTGGTAGGAAGTCTACCAGCGGAAATAAGTAGGGTTCCTAGTGCTAATAATCGGGCTATAGAATAATTTAAGAGCAAAGACCAGAAGCAGTTAAGTATTATTTATAGCCAATTATAATGAAAGTATTAGTAAATCGCGTGCTTTTTTTTACAACCCGTATACGTATCTTGCACTGGATAAACCCCTTTCTTAAATAGAGCGGCATCTAGAGGTAGATCAGTTTACTCGTTCCCTCGTAATACATTTTACTATAAACTTTTTTGCTAAACCAGAGAAGATATCTGGTCTTCAAACGGGTTAGCTCTGAATATGTTGTCTTAGCGCTTTTTATTACAAAATATTAAAATATTGAATTTCACAAATGTATAATGGAGAAAAAGAAATTGATAAAGTAAACTACAAAACATAATTATTTTATTACATTAGATAATATTAAATTGATATATTTGTGACAATGATAATAAATTATATAAAAATTATTCATATATAATAAGAGAAGTTTCTCTCTTTCAATTGGAATTATAGTAAATTTGAAAATAAATACAAGATAAACTAACCTAGTTACTAGTTTCCCCTTTACTTTTATTATCATAATTATAATTTTTTTTGACTAGGTAGGTATATATACTTTTTTATATTCTTCAAGATTGCCTAGACTATTCTTAATCCTCTTCGTCCTCCGTCGATGATATAATTATAGGTTCATCTTCTAATTAGTGAAAAGAATATTTATTACTGAACCTAAAAGATCACGATCGTTTACCTGTCTCACTATCCTCTATAACTACTATTATATCTTGCAATGCTGTTTCATCTAGTTCTTCGTTGTCTTCGTTTTCGCTGACTGGTAAGGAATTTAAAGAATAAGTATCGACGGCAACAGCGTCGAGCATATCCTGTAGAGCTGTCCATGCTGCGGATATAATATCAAAACTATAATCCAAAAGACCAATTGGCAAATGTATTTCGTCGGTTTCTGAATAATTTTAATTGGAAGAAAAAGGAAAGCAGGGAGGGGATATAATAAGTATGTAAATGAAAATTAAAAAAAATAAGAGCTCATACCTTTTTTAGCTATTTTATTATGTTTTATCTTGTCTATCCCATCAAATACCTTTCGTTTCGATGGAATTCTCTTCTCAAGACCTAATACACTTAAAAAGTTAACTCGAGGTGAATCCGATCTCTGTCTACTAATCTCTGGTTCAGAAATTATATGTTTAGATTCGCCAATAATAGGAGCTCTATAAGGATAAGGGTAGGCAGTAATTCTACCGCATTTAACAAGATGAGTGCCTATTAATAAATGTTAAGAAAAATTATAATTAAACACAAATATCAAATGAATTAAATTAATATAAAATAAAGTAATATAAGAAGCTTACTTAATTGATTACCATAATTAAACTTTTCACCGCAAGCACAATATAAAGGTTGTTTTAATCTCGAACTTTCTTGTAATAAACAAGTTCCGAAAGTATTATTTTTCTTATGTTTCAGGTATAAATGATTTTCCATTGATTTACAGCAGCTTGTTGAATATGTACATAAATCGCATTTGAGAAATGTACTGAAAATAATATTAACAGCATTATTTACAGAATACTGTACATTGAAAATAAACATAATTACTATATATGTTTAATGAAATCTGGTAAAATCATCTCCTTGTTACACTCTATACAACGAATTTCATCCAACATAGATTTGTTAAATTTAATTCTTCGTAAATTCCATGTTTTCTTTGCCAAACCGGATTTTCGTACATATAAATCAATTTTGTGGGAGAAGTTTACAAGCTTTGGAAGGAAGTTTGTCATTTTTCTATGATCATTTCTAATATGAGCATTTAAATCTTCTTGTTTATAAAAGGATAGCCTGCATGATTCACACTTTAAATCAGGATTCGAATCGTGGATTGATAAATGACGATAAAAATCATTTGTGAGTAGAAACCTAGAATTGTTTCCCAGTGTACCAACATCAATTATTTTTAAGCATATTCTACATAACAAATATGAGGAATCACCATGTCTTGCCTCAAAATGTTCTATTATATCATTATATAAAGATGCTCTGAATTTGCACAGACGGCAAACATACGGCATTTCGGGAAACTTATGAAGTTCAAGAATATGCTTTCTTAATAAACAAGGATTGCCTGAATTATAGTAATTGCAAATATGACAAACTTGAGGATGATTTGAAAATTTATGAAATTTTTCTACATGTTGAAGGATTTTAAAGGGGGCTGAATATACTTTATTACAAATTCTGCAATATTGGTAATTTGTTTTTGAACTATCGCAAGTCTTTGAACGATTGTAAAAATGATTAAATATGTGATCCATAATTGCCAAATTTCCCAAAACATACTCTTCACAAAACGAACACTGATAAAAATCAAATTGATAAATAAATTTATATAATTAATTCATTTATCTATACCTTGAAAATAAATAAATCTTTTTTCTCGCTATAAGTCGGTTTTCCATATTGTAAACCATATAAGAGATTTTCTATTGGAAGTCTTGCAAGAAATTGCTCAAAGCCAACTATGAGAGATGAGAAAGAAATGAAGGAAATTACTCAAATAATTAAAAAACATTCATTAATTAATGTTTAAACTTTACCAGATTGACCATCTTCCAATGTCATATTTTTTCCCGGTGAGACATCAATTTTAAGCTTTGGAATCAAATATCCTGAAATTGTTTATGAATAATACATGTATATAACGAATCTATTGCAATTGTTGTTTTTTTATATAATTTAAAAAATAGGCATACTACAACTATTATCTTCTGCTTTAACTTTGTCTAAACTGCCTGGTTCTAATTCTGAGATGTTCTCGTCTAGCCTTAATACTGTTTCATTAAGTGATATATCTAGCTCTTTAATATGTTTAATTTCTGAAAATTACACAAATCTCAAAGTATATATGTGTTAAATAGTTTCAAAATATCGTTCATTCAATTTAATATCAAAAGTTTTTATGATAAAAAATTGATTATTAACCATTTTCTTCTTCTTCCGAGTCGGATGAAAGTACTATTACTTCAGGATCATTTTTCAAAGGTAAATGAATATCTTTCCTTTCGATTTTTAAAGCTATACCATCTTCCATCTTTATATATTGATCATTGCATCCACTGAGAGCAATCATCGGCACTTTCTTATCTTGAAAAAGTCTTTTTTGAGAAAGTGAGATTGAGTCTTGGAGGCATTCGTATCGAACAGTCGATGTAGCTTTTATATTAAATTTACTGCTTATACTAACTAATTAATTAACTTAAAAAATATAACATTATTAATTATGTTGCAAAGTCTCATCATATGGGACTAAATAATAAACACCTAACTTGTTGTTTGCGCCATGTTGAAAATAATAACCGATGTTTGACCGGTTTCACTTCTCCAAGCAACCGGTAATCCAAACATTTTTTTCAAGAAATTCGAATGTGTCTTTTTTCCAGTAATAGTAGAATATAAAGAAGGATTTCATAGAAGTTATTGTCATGACAAAATCGTAATTGTCTTTATTTTTCATGATTGCTCATTGAAATTTAAAAAATTCATTTCGTTACAGTTCAGAAAAGACTTTATGGGATATTGCCATTGAAAATGCTAAAGAAAATCAAAGTAGGTGTCATACGCGAATAAAATCACTCAAATCAATAATTTCCATGTTATTTAAACGTTATTATTTGAAAAAACTATTCAAAATTCCTACTTTTACACTTCAGAAACGCAAGGAATATCGGAAGAATTATCTGTTCTGTTTCTTGGAAGTAAAACATGCGTAAGTTGTTATGGATTTATAAATTACCATATAAAAAATATTCCAATTCGATTTTAAAATATATATTTAAATGAGAATTTCAATTTTACAATATTCCATAAATTTCAACAGGGCAAAACACAGCTCATTTTAAGATATTTGGATAAAGATGAAACTGCAAAACCAACTACAGCTCTTGAATACACATATGTTCGAAAAGGGAAAGGTCAAAGTATGGCTAAAGATGTAGGACATATCTGGGAGTTGGGAGGTGGAACTTGGTTATCTCAGTTAATTGAAGTTGTTGCAAATCCCGACACTATCAAAAGCACTCACATATATTTAATGTTAGATTTATCCAAACCCGAAGAAATGTGGTTCACTTTAGAGAAGTTATTAACAGCAATACGATCTAGAGTTGATGCTGTTGTTAGTCAAATTCCTGGTTTAAAGGATGCATTAACACAAAAGGCATTTGAAAGATACGGGGAAAATAGTTTGGATAAAGAAGTTGTAAATCCTCTGCTTGTCCCTTTGATTATAGTTGGTGGCAAATACGATCTCTTTCAAGAAATAGAACCAGAAAAGAGAAAAGTAATAAGTAAAACTTTGAGATATATCGCCCATTATAGTGGGGCCAGTCTTTTATATTTTAGTTCTAAAATTGAACCACTAATTGGGAGAATGAGACAAATAGTAACTCATTCCCTATTTTCAACCTCACCTCCTAAAGGTACTTATACAGATCATGGAAAACCTATACTCATACTAGCAGGGCAAGATAGTATGGAAAACATTGGACCTCCCCCTCTCCCAGAAGGAGATTTAGGTAGAATTACTGCAAAAACTCCTATGGATATGTGGAAAGCCGCATTCTCCTCTTATTTCCCACAAACTGACGTTACCGACCCTGCCCTTGTTGAAGATCCCGCCAAGGATTCTCAATATGCTGAGCCGTCAATTGATACTATGAGAATGCAAAAAGATGAGGTTCGTTAAAATTTTCATTTACAAATAATCATAATAAATTAATACAATTATTATTGATTTTTTATTCTTTTCTTAGGAATTAGAAAGGTATAAACGAATGGTTGAACGCCGGCAGAAAGACAAAAATCAAATTGGAGGATTTTAACTAAAACTATCACAAATGTTATATTATTTTATTTATTCGTCAATTTCAAATATATACTTTATAACATTTCCACAGTGACATCCATAAGACATTCTTTATTTAACAGTTTTTTATTAAAAAGTCATAGAATCTATACGGTGATAACATTTGACATTTATCTAAACTTATCCGAAAACCGCCAAAATTCTTATTTTTGAAACGAGACCTACTATTGGCTGAGGGCTTTCCAATAAACCAATCACCGCTACGCTTACATTACGTATCGGTAAGATCGGTTATACCTTCTTTGGTGAAGTTGGATTCTCTTATGTGAACGATCTTTGATACTCTCTCATATCGACATGCCAAACATTCTATCGTTTTGAAACGATATTTTACAATATATTATATATATATATATATTGATCGTCTAATTTCAGATTCGATTATCACGATTACGATTGCGAGATCTCTAGTTCAAACTTGTGCAGATCCTAACAAATTACGATTCTATGTGATTTTATGAATCTAACTGAATTCTACTGTGATTAGCGGATTAGCAGCCTCATTTTATCATCTCTGATCTATATATAATCTTTAGTTATGAACAACGGACGAAAATTAGAATTTCCTGTTGTAAGAACAATTCTTTGGGATCACAAGGCCGCAGGAAAGTCTATAGAGATCGGACCTTTTCCGTCAGAGTAAGTAAAAAAACGCCATAATTATCAATGTTTAAGAATCAGCTAATTCACTATCAGATATCCTTGTATTAACATAAATGAATCAACTTTATCAATCATAAAATCCATAAGAGATAAGTCAAAAATTACCAAGTTTGTTCTTATTGGCTCTTTGCAAAGGGAACTTGGTAAGTTAAAACAGTTTTTTTTATCATTTCCCATTTAATTTATATTTAATGTTCTTGTTTTAGATCATAGTTTAACAATTGAGATTGAACGGCATGAAACAGAAAATGATATGAAAAAGATGACAACTTTACATGATATGATGTATATTCCTTGTTATGTAAGATCTTTCATAATAATTCCTATGATTTATATTAAGAAAAATCTTACAAAATGTATTTAGGTTCAATCTACGAATGGACCACTTCCATTTTCCAGCGATGATTACTCCAAATCAATAGAGGTTTGTTTCTTATCAAAATTTTGGCCCAACTGATTAAATTTTTTGTAAATTTCTGCAATTATAATTCAATAAGGACTTGATACTGATTAGATTAAATTTAGCAAACAATTTCACAAAATCAAATGAACCTTTTGTTCTATTAAGATAATAATGTAAAAATAAATAAAGGATTATTTAAGGAATATATCTTTACATTTTCCTATTTTTTATATATGATATATAGGCTCTACACAAGCGATGTAAAACGAATCAGAAAATATCCTTTTGTCAATTTTTTCATCCTTTGGTAGCATTGCAAATTGGAGACGGTCTGGAGATTCGATCAGACATGGTCTATCCTGATGTTTCTTTTACAGCCATACCCATACAAAATGTGCCACTAGTTCCATCAGCATTAGCCAAGAATTTAGCCTCACCTTACTGTAGGAGTTATGTTTTGGGTGAAGCCCAGTCTGGGTTTGTTTGTTTAAAATTCACTTAAAAGGGTACAAACGATCTTTTACTTTATTATTAATAGATATTTGTCAATGGATCAGACTAGAAAGGTTTTATTAATATTGGAATCAGATCCTAAAGTATCAAGTTTACCAATTGTAGGAATGTAAGTATTTCAAGTAATTTATCCACTATCTGTTGAAACTAATTGAATGTTTTTTCCCCAGATGGATTAGCGGCGTAGCTACTATATCTGATCCTTTTGTATGGGCGTGTTGTTGCAGATACCTGTTTTCCAACATAAAGAATAGGTTAAATTCAATTTATACCTGTACAGTCTTGTTATTTAATTTTTCTCGTATGTTTTTTTAGGGTACACCCTCTATCTGAACCCTTTCTTGTCATCCTTTATTCAACTGAACATTCAGAAAGAGAAGTGTACGATATAACTCCAACTGGAAGTAAAACGTCACTTGGTTTTGATATATTAACATTAAGCGAAGATTTAAGACAAAATCAAGTTTGTTATTAAAACAGACAAAACGTATTTAAAATTAAACCATACTGATTTTATAGAAAACTTCATTTGATTCAAATGTACATATGCTACAATTTGAAAAGGAAAAAACTATGTCCAAACGAGCATTGTTCGGTTCTTGTTTGAAGAAATATGATGAAAAAATGTGATAAATACAGTATTATATATAAATAATTGATATTAAATAATGCTATAAATTATAATATATAGGAAAAATGAAATGGAGAAAAATCTCAGCGTTTCTCTTAAAAGTGCTATGTTGGATGATTTGATGCCCCAACCTGCTGTTGAAAGAGACTGGAATAAGGTTTATTTATATTTTACTATGTTTATCATAAAAAAATATTTTTATTATCTTTATTATTTAGCCAATTCAAATGAAATCTGAAGTTCCAGAAGTAACTCTGCTGCAGGAATGTACGCCTGAACCTAAAATTCAAATGAGAAAACTTCGTCAAGAATACGATATAGAAGATGAATCTGTACCAAAACCTCCACTAATGAAACATAAAACAACTAGAAAATCTTTAAGTCCATTAAACACTTCAACTAATAACAAAAGCATATCAAAAAAGCTTGAAAATGAGGAACCCGAACGGGACAATCATCATAACGAAACTAAACAACAAGTCCCTAGTGAATGGCTAGATATCTTGAAAAAACAGAATGACGAGATCAAATATTTAAGGTCTCAGGTTGAAAAATTAGTGATGGAACAATCGAGAAGGGAAAATGTGCAAGATGCGTCAGTTCAAAGTACTTTGGATAGGAGTCACATAGAAAACCGTTCAATAGGTGTAAATACCTCAATTTTAGAAAATCCAGGTGAAAAGTCAAACGTATTTAGCACACCATTAAATCAAGCTGTATTTAAAGAAGCCATTCAAAATGGACATTTAACGTCCAGTCCTCACGACCTGTTGAAAAGTAACGCAACATTTGGAGATTTAAGAATAGACAGCGGTAGCTATGAAACAACTAGGTCGGAAAGAATTATTGATATGCCCGACTTTAATAATCTGTCATCGGAAAGGTATTAATAAATATTTTCTTTATACTATTTAACACGTATTTGTCATGTTAACTTTAACAGATTTAACCAATCCGTTGCTAGTCCACTTTTAGGTGAAAGCGTTAGTATGTATCAACAAGGAGGATTACAAGCTGTTATGCCTCATTTTGAAGTAAATTCTTTGAAATATAATAACTAATCATTTGTATAATTGTTTAATATTATATGACAAACGTTTGGCATTTTCTTAGGAAAAAGAATCCCAGCCACCGTCGTCGAAACTCTTTGATGAAGATTATAGCAGTTTTTCTGAGTCGGAAGATGAAAATATTGAAAATTCCCCTCCAAAGAATAGGACAGCGTCACGTGGCTGTTCACCTATAAAATCTTTACAACAAACACCACAGAAACTGTCATCTAATAATACAACAATCGACATTGCTGCTAAAACTCGGAAAGAATTAGAAGCGCTCGGCATATGCTTTGATCCAGATAATGTAAATTTTAGTTTTAAACCAGCTCCGGATGGAACGCTTTACCTAGATACAGCTCTCTTACCAAAGGTACAATACACATCTCTCCTACTCTCTTCTTCCGAGTGTGATGATGCTGATAGTCTTGCATTAAAATATTTAAACGATGCCGAATTGACAACTTTAGCAAGAGGTGAAAACAAGATTATAGAACCAACTATCTTTCAATCAAATAATATGTCATTTGCAACAAGAAAATATATGGAAAGATACGGTTTAGTAAATGGAAAAGCAAATATAGAATCTCCAACAAAAGATGGCGGCACCTTATCCCAAAGAAATAGCTTGAAACCAAGTACATGTCCAAATACACCATTAAATAGAGATATTCCAAAACTTGAAGATCAGAGACATGATTCTAGATTATTAGATATAGAAAAATTAAAAGCACTTCCTCAATTATTATAAAAATTTCTTTTTAGGTTTTATTTTCATAATTTATTTTTTTATTAAAAACACAAAACTTTACCGTTGTCTTTGTCTTCCTCTATCTCTTCCTCTACCTTTACTTATTGTTTTTATTCTTGAACATTTTATTTTGTTGTATTTTTTTTTTTTTTTCAAAATAAATCTTTTCCACTTGCATAAAATACTCTTTGAACAAAAAAAACCATGTTTTGTCTTGTATCGTATTGAAATATATATATATATAGAGTATGAAATACTATACTAATTTGCATATACTTTATATGCTGTATCATATTTTTTTTAATTTCGAATTTTTAAATAACAATGCCTGCTTCCAATCAAGTTACCGATGAAAAAGAACCCATATATCCTACTATTTTGGTCCAAAATGATCAAGTTCATCCCATCGATTATCATAGAAGAAACTCTTCCTATTTCTGGCAAATTTTCTTTATACTGTTAGCTTGCACTGTCCTTTTGACGTTTGGTTTTTATGTATCATCGTCGGATACTCGAAATCACCTTCACCTCTCTAAACTAAAGCATAGTAGAGCAGACGGAAGTAAATCAAGGGATCTTTTAAAAGAAATTAGAAGGAAGTTTGACGATAAATCAAATGAAGAGCAAATTGGTATTTTTATCGAAGGACAGATGTTTGGCGATGAAAATATTGTTGATAAATACCAAAATTTGAATAATATCGTAAATTCTTCACATCTGACAAACCAATCTCATTCATCAAATCTTAATGGTAAAATAATAAAAAGCATAGAGGCAATAATAATCATTTAAAAAGTCTTACAAATTTCTTTTACATAGGATTCTTTGAACGTGTTTTCCGATGTTTTGAGAGGATGATTTTTGGGAGAAAAATTCAAGAGAAAGAAACGGAAAATGATATTACAAATATGAATGATAATAATAAACTATTTCCGATGTACGTCATTCGTGGAAGAAACATAAGTCGTCAACAACAAACTACAATTAATACGTCTGATGACAAGAAAAATCAGAAACTTTCAACTAATGAAACAATTAAAAAAGAGAATAAAAAAGAAATTTGATCATTTAAAAAAAATTATTGCTAATTATTTAAATTTATTCTAAACGTTGTGAATAATAATATTATTATTAACGAATAAAAATTATGAAAAATATGTTAATGTATCATTTAAACATTTAAATAATAATAATTGAATATGATTAAATATCTATTTATTTCATTATTAGCTATTTATTATGTATTTTGCTTAAATTATCAATTTTCTACTTCTGATATATCTAATAAACGTTCTAAGGTGAATAATGAACTTTTAAAGAAGAGGATGAAACGTTTTATTGCGGCGTCTAAAAAAAGTATACATCAGTTTGAGAATTATCAAGATTGTCTTCGTAGAAAAATTGATAAACTTAAAAGAAAGATTGCCGAAGGTTCAGCTATATATAAATTCACCGATCAGAATATTCGAATAAACTGCAACTTTTGGTTTGTTTTTGATTGATATTTCTACACTGTTTTAAAGAATTAATTCATGCAAACAGTTCCAGACCTGATCAGGATATTGGAAAGTTTTATATAGTATGGAAATTAAGTCCACGTAGCGGTGGAGGAGAAAGAGTTATAAATATATTAAAAACAAATAAATACGATTATAATATAACGGATTTTTCATTAAGAATCAAATCATTAACATCTTCTGATAATGGAATGTTTGTCTTACTTTTAAGTGCTCTTAATATATGTATATATATATATATATATCTTTAATCTTCACAGCTACAAATGTTATGTTAACGAAGAATGGCAAAGCTATACTTATTTGGATGTTTTCCAACAAGATTCTTTTAGATTTCGTAATGTTTATGATCCACCTCTTGAAGGTGATAGGCCTATGCCTGGGATTATCCTAGATGATAATAATATTAAAGTTTTGAATTATTATTAAATATACTTTTATATTCGTTCATATGTATCTATATATATATAAATGTATGTATATTTCTCCAATAGATATATACGCACTGGAATGAATGGTCAGATTGTAACGATTGTAATAAGGAAGGAACAAAATCTAGAAGAGGAATTTGCAAAATAATTGTAATTTATTGTATTTATTCCTTATATAAAATGATAATAATAGATGTTTTCTATGCAAAAACTTAGAGAAAGGATAAAAATATGGGATTGAAACCTGTTGATATACCTAATTTAAAAGATTTCGAAGGTGGAATACCGTGCAAATCATCACTTTTGCCTTTATATTATAAGAATTTAAGAGAGGTCTCTTGCAATCAAAATTTTACTATTCTCTTTTTTATCGAAACATTTACTTGCCTCTTTTATGATAGATAAAGGATATCATGGAAGAAAATCATATAAGAAGATGCTTTAAACCTTGTCCTATGCAAACGAATACATCTTTCATTAACGAAGATGGTCAAGTAATTAATAATACTTTAATAATTATTCATAAATTTATTCATTTATTTAAATATTAAAAAAACAAAACTAAAGGTTGTAAATATTTACGAAAGGAAGGAAAAGTGTACAAACTGTCTAGAGTTTGAATTGGAAAAACCTCCTGTACAACCTAAAAAAATTCTACGTATATCAAAATTTGCTTATGAAACTAAAGAATTATTTTTAGAATGTCCAGAGTAGGCTTATTTCTCGATAATATTAACTTATTAATATACTAATACATACCCAATTTACAATAGTTACACTTCATTTCGTTATTTTTCCCATTTATTTTTGTTTTTTGCTTTTTAGCGAAGCATCTGCTGATGAAGCTGTTAAATGGGAGAAAAAAGGCAAAATTATTGATTTTATAAGTATTAGAATTGAAACAAGGAATAGAATTTCAATCGATCATATGAATAGACTTCACTTCCTTAAATTACAAATTAAGGATATGGATAATTACGGGTTTGGTTTATTTTTATAGGTCTTACATGCTTTTATATATACTTTTATACCTTCTCTACAGGTGTTACGTAAATGATGTTCCTATTGCTGTTATTACCTTGAGAGTTCAACCATACAGATCAAAAGTTGATATTTTTTCCAATCTTATAACTTTTGGTTGGATTTCTTCTGTTTATAAATTCATACGTTCAATAATTTCTTCTATATTCAAACTTTAATAGTTTATCGATAGTTTTATAGTTTTTGTGCTAAATAAATAAATATTAGTTCGTTTTTTTCCTATCCTGACAGTGTTTAGCTATAACCGTAATAAAAAAAGGCTGTCTGCTAGATTGTCTGATTCATAAAATTTCCGAAGATAAACTGTGATAAAGTCTTTTAATTAGTATATCATTTAATCAAGGAGGATCGTAATTAATGATTCGCTAGAATATTAAAAAATGTCATTGAATGAGAATTTAAGGAGGGTCATCTTTCAAAATTTTCTGTCTACACTGATACCGAAAGAAGGAAAATTAACAGCAAATGATTTAAATTATATACTTCAGACAAATATCAATTTTCCTAATAAACTATGTAATAAAGAAGTTTATAACTTTATTAAAAAGAATTCATCTTCTAAACAAAAGTTAAAAAGTTGTTTGGAAGCATTAGACCATTTCATCTCGTATTCGAAAAACCTTTTAAAACCACCAGAATTGAGGCCGATTGGATGGAACAGTATCATGCTTGAAAATGAAATATTCCGCCACAAGATTGATTCTCTTAAAGGGTCTAGAGAAATATTAATCAAGATCGGATATAAAGTTATAGAAGAAGATGCTTTGAATTTTAATGAAGGTCAATATATCGACAATCATTTTTTGAGAGTAATAATTACAGATCTCACTATTGCCAAGTTGGAAATTTCTTCATACTTGAACGAAACACACCCCCAGCCTCACACTTTAATTGATTGTGGTATAGGTATCTATCTAAAAGAAGATGCTCTCGAAAATGACGATACTTTATTAACTAACGACGATTTAATGGGAGTGAAAGATGAACAGATGCTACCCTTAATAAAAGCTATTAATCTATGCCATTCCATGGATATAAATAGTAGGTTATCTTCTTTTGTACAATATATTATTAATCAGCCTATTAATATTCCAATTTATTTAATTACTACTTAGAATTGAAATTCTGTGGTGTATGTGAAAGCGAGTCAACGTATATATGCTCGAGTTATCAATGCCAGTTTACAAAGACTTTTTGTGATGAATGTTTAAAATTAAGACATTCAAAGAAGTGTCAGGATCACGAATATTATCCTATTCAACTTTGCGAAAAATGTAAAAAATCTGCAACTTGGATTTGTTCAGAGAAAAATTGCTATAGAACTCTCTGTGATAAGTGCAATTATCTGTAAATATTATATATTCTTCTTATATTTGGTAATGCTATAATATTTATATATTTTAGTGTACACAAGGGAACGAAGGAACATGTTGATAGGAAAAGAGTTATTTATCATTCAGCCAATGAGTTAAAAGATACATTAGTTACAAATGACTTAGTCGAGCCAATAGATAGTAATTTGGTTGTCGAAAACAAAAGAGATGTCAAGGAATCTGCTTCACCAACGCCAAATTTTGAAGAACATTCTTTGTCGAGCCTTGATGATGTCAATGTTTGGTTCTGTCAATACTGTACATTCCAGAATAACCGAGAGTCGCGAATATGTGAAATGTGTCATAAAACAACTTTACAAAATTCATCAGAAACAAAACCCAGTGCTAATCAGATTCTTCGACCAGAAGACCTTTTATACAATGAAACATCTAATGACATTTCCGGTAATGAAGTAGATGTATACTTTTCAAAACTACAATCTTTGCAAAGTGTTGAACTCTTTAAAGTTTGTATTTTAATTGTTTACAAGGAATTGAAAACAATTATAGATTTTATACATGTTTCCATAGAAATATGAAAGAGAGGAAGGAAAACTTATACTCGCATTGAAAAGTGATCGTTATCGGAATTTAACTGAATTTGAAGGTATCATTTGTAATGTTACCAATTTGAGGAGAATATCATCTACAAGACAAGATTTTTATTTTGGACTAATGTCATACGAGGAAGCGATAAAAGCAATTCAGAATACTGAAAATATCGACGAAGCTATAGAATTTTCTTTATCAATTCAAAAAGAGAAAATAGAAAGACTAGAAAATATGTTTGCAATGGATAAACAATTGATCATAGACTCTCTTAGGTATGCAGATGGCAATGTCGAAATTACGGAAAAAAATTTACTTATCAAAACGATTAATTCAATGAACGAAAACAAAACTAATAATGAATCTGATTTAAGCAATATTTTAAAATGGAAAAGCATTGATATTATGAAATTTAGAAGAGTACTACTCGCAGAATATAATTTAACGGAACTTAAAGTAGATATCGTAATTGAATTAATAGAAAGTTACCCACTTGCTGATGTACTCGATTCGATTAAACAAGAAAATGTTTATACTGTTGAAGATGCCATAAAATACTTGAAAGTAGTTTGCTCAGTTTGTTTTGTCGAATTTCCCATTTCAAAGGTATTCAGTATGTTTTAATTTAAAATCAATTTATAATGTAAACATGAATAATTTTTCAAAGACAAATCGTCTCCCTATATGCTCTTGTACAATGTGCAATTATTGCATACAAGAATGGGTTACACATTGCACCCTGACAGCTACCGTTGAGCATTGGAAGTGTCCATCCTGCAACAAACCTAATATGCTAAACGAAACGCCAGAAAATATTGATATGCATTTCTACTTTATGCAAACATATGTGAATAAGGAAGAAGGACATATTAAAGATAAATGTCACAAAAAATTAGCCCAATGGAAACTTTCGCAATTTGACAACTTCAGATGGTGTCTTAAGGTTGAAAGAAATTGTTATTAATCATTTATACGTTCTTCCTTAATTCAACTTTTTATTATAGTGCGAAAATGGTAATATACTTGAACCGAATAATAATCCAAATCAAAGAAAATTTCAATGCACCAGTTGTGGAGCGGCACAGTGTTTCTATTGTAAAAAAGAATGGAAATCAGCACATAAGAATATATCTTGTGAAAAATATCTTCAATGGTTAACTGAAAATGATAAAGAATTTCAATTGCAAAAATTGAGCCATTTCCTAGAAGAAAACGGAATAAGTATGCAATTATTTAATTGTCTTTTCTATTTATACAGTATGTATTTATTATTCAGTGTGCCCTTATTGTAAAAAGCAATATTGCCTGGCGAAAGGAGGTTGTTTACATTTTGTCTGTCCAAATTGCGGTTTTCAATTTTGCGCTGGATGTAATAGAGAAATGGCCAGAGATCGTGTAAGTTATTCTATTCAATTGGTGTATAAAGAATAAAATATTACACTCTTTTTCTAGAATTGTAAATATAAATTAGAGAGCTGTGAAAGAAAAGGCCTTCATTGTCATCATCCTAGAGATTGTTTACATTACCTGAGAGACCTCACCGTAGAACAATTGAAAGACTTATTAAAGGTTTTTAAATTCTTAAGTTTTTATAAGTTTTCAAAATTCTATTGTAAAACTTAATTATAGAGTCATAATATTGAATATAAGAAAGAGACGGAGGAGGAGCCAGTTGAACCGTATAATAAGTGTATGGTGTTGGAGCAAAAAGAATTGGGTACAGCGTATCGAGACGAAAATTGCGGTAAGGAATGCTATAAAGATGCCTCCTTATGCGAAACTCATTTAAAAGAATATCTTGTGGCGATAATCAATAAAAACCATATAGATCCAATTGATTATCAGGAAACACCAATATTGATGACTATTTTAAGGGAAAACCGTATAGATATACCCAACGGAGACCATGCATGTAATAATTATAAGACATTAATAAAAGAGGTAAGTAAAAATATTATAAATATGTTAAAGAAATAAGTATTTTAATATGCTATTCTCTTTAAATTATAGATAGTCAAAGAGAAAATACCAATTATTCAAACATGAAGGACATTTATACACTGTATCTCCATATCTGAAAAACTATATACAATTCCATCTATCACTGATATGTAAAAAAGAAACATATCAATGGCTTTCTATATTATACAATGGATTGTTGATGCAATTATTAGATTATTAAATAATGTCACTAAATTGCTGATTTATAAAAGAGTCATTATAAATACGTATAAACGGGTAAGAAATAAAGGAATTTAATATCATCTTCGTCCTATTTATTATATTATAAACATTTCTAATACCATCGTACATAATATTTCATTTTATGAAGAAAGAAATAACAACAGTCAAACTGGAAAAAAGACATTTACAATTTTAGATAATAAACAGTTGTTTACTAAAGTTTCTCTTCTAAAATTCCCCTCTGTTAGCTTAAATATAGAAAAAAGTACTTATCGTACGATCGAATAAGATAAAAATTGATAACAGTTATCAGATAATGGCTATAACAATAATAGTATTTATTTCAAATCTGTTCATAGGCTTTATTCTTTTGGTATTGGAGCTATTTTCGTTTGTTTACGTTACAAACTTCAAGTTCAATGTTAATATCTATGGTATTTTGGCAAATATTCAAACGATAAAAAAAAAGGGATCACGATGAGATCGATAGACGATTGATCGAATGATTGAAGAATAAACGAATGCATGAACACCAGATAGATAACAAATATTAGAGATTAATCTCTTTCAAAACATACTATAGACCTGCAAAATCTGTTGATCGACCTAATATAGAGACTAGATAACTGCTGATAGTTTAAATGTCATTTTTCCTTACCATTCAATAATATATCAGTGAAAAATGTAGCTAAATCTATTAAAAATGTGTCTATATTTTACTCTGAATATATAAAATTACAATAAATATTTATTAAAAAATAATGTATTATTTTTTAAAAATAACTTTCTTTTACTGGAAAAGAATCAAGCAAAAAAAGAATATAACAAAATGTCAACAATTTTAAGTTAGGTTTCCTTCACTTTTCCTTGCCTGTTATACGTAAGATATTCATATGACATTCATTTAACAATTTGGGCAGCACGTAGGGTTTTATACACAAGTATATCGAACATTTAAAAATAAATAAATTATCATTATTAAATAGTGGAAGTAGAACCAGCTCTCTTTTATTCTTCTTCTAGAATAACACAGTTTATAGCAGTACCTGAATAGCTTAATTAAGAAGAAATTGTTCAGTTTTTTTTTAACCTATATTCCTTCATCAGATCTAGCAAATGGTTGTCTTTAAATTGTCTTTCTGTATAAGAGGAACTTTTGGAGGAGTAGAATTCTCCTGGTAATATTTATGTTCTGAGCCGAGTGCCTTGGCTATATCCCCCCATCGATATGTATCATTTTTTAAATTTTTATAGTCGTGTAAAGAACCTCTTTTACCAGTTCTCCTAAATAATACTACCAACGAGGCTGCAGCACCGAAACTGGGAAGCAAGAGCAGTAGAACAACTCCAACAGCTGCCCAATAAGCGTTAAACGCGTGAATAGTATTTGTACAAGCAAAGTTTACAAATTGATCTAACGACGTGTACAGCAGCTTGCATTTCCCCATATCTTTAAATATAAAATTCTTCATTGGATCTAAATAGATCTTATAGTATTTATAGATAGCAACCATCTTATTCATTGTAAAGCTACCGATTTCCATTTTATAGTCCTTTTGAATATATGCTTTTTTCAGCGCTAGATTCTTGTATAATTCTTGCGAAAGTTTTGTCACATTTAGAAAATCTTCCTTTAAGGAGCTTATATTATTATAAATATCGTTCAAACCATTTATCAACTGTGGAAATTGCCTTCTATGTAACTTTTTTAATGTGTCAGTTACTTGACCATCTGGATTTAATACGCCATAGATTTTCTTTAAAGCTATTTGGTCCTGATCCAATTTAATTTTTATCTCTTCGTAACCATTTAATTGTAGGTTTGTTTGTAGGAAATCTCCATTTCCTAGATCCTTTATAATATTATCAAGTTCTAAAGGTAAAGTTTTATAATTTTCAATAATGGGAGAAGTAGCATTTTCAATCTTGTCGAATATTTTTGCTGCCATATCTACACGATTCTTTACATTTAAATATTGTTCCAAATGGAATTGTGATTCCAACTGCATAGCCGTATATATACCAGAATTATTTTTACAATACTTTATTGCTTCAATTATAGAAGTATTACTGAATGAAGTACCATTTAAAAATCTAGCGTTGACTGTTGCGTCTAACACTCTTCCTAAAGGTGTTCCTTCAATATCAGCTAATGATGGTTGTGTAAACCTACATACTTCTGTGTAGGCTACACCTCCGAATAAGAATATGGCCGTTATAACTATCATGAACGTGCTAAATAGCACGATACCCAAGCCAACAGCCAAGACCAAACATGAACTGGCCGCTTCGGCATCGCAACTTTGTTTTTCTCCGACCTCACCGGGACCTCTTACCCAAGCGAGAATAGTAGCAATTACGAATATAGCATAGACTGTTAGAAGTAATAAGCATATTCCGATATAAGTTCCCAATCTAAGATATTCATAATTTTGAAACGATTCAGTCCAAGGAGGTGTGGAAAGAGCAACAATAGTTCTATTCAAAGGTAATTTTTGCAGACGACTAATAATAGCATCTATGGAATCTATCTTCGCTTGACCAGACTTTGTCTCATTAATGATCGTTTCGATAGTCGAATAGATAGATCGTCTAACAACTTCTTGTTGTTCCAGCAAAAATTCTTGGGCTCTCTCCAAGGCCGAATCAAATTCAATCCTTATATCATTCTTATCAATATAACTCGAAATATTATTCGAATATTTCCTTAGTGTTTCATCTACTCTAAGTTGTAACTCGTCCAGCAGCTGAAATACAAAACAGTGGGAAAATGTAAAAAAAAAAGACTATGAATAATTTAGTACTTATTAATCTATTACGATAATACAACACCTATAACGCCCTTCAAATAAGTTAATGACTTTTAAGGGATCATTGACAGTCTAATACTTTTGAAATTAGTTTCTGGACATATATACGCATCAAGAAATCATAATATACTTTCAACCTAAACACGCCTATTGAGCGAAAGAATGATCTGTAGGCAATTGTCCAACTAGGTCAAAAATACTTCAGATTATTCACCTTTCTCGTTTTATATCTAACTAATTATAGGAATACAGGATACTTTCATATCGTTATATACATATTTCGAAGACCATTCACCGGAAGTTGATAACATAAAGAAATATTTCTTGGTTAATAATATTATCATACTAACTGCTATTAGTAATATATATCTATATATATATACATATATGAATATTCATATGTCCTAGTCTCGTTTGACTAACCTTCAAACATACGATGTATACTTGCCTATCCTATATGGCCTGACACTGGTACAATAGAATTATTGTCCATTGACAACGCCTCTCTACATTACCTCGTTATGTAATAATATTTAGCAAACAAATAGCATATTACAAACCTCTAGTTTTGAAATATTTTTCAACTGTTCCCTCAGATCCGGTCTAATTCTGTCAAATTCTTGATTAATATGATTACTAATTCTTAGAAAAGATAAACAATTGGCTTCGACAATGTCAATTTTCTTCCAAAGATTATTACTTATAGTCTTTAATAGAAGTGATTGGTTTAGAAAATTTTCACTTTCAGTTTTTTCATTGTAGAATTCAACAGATGCTACTGGAATATTCTCGAGTGCTTCCAGAACAACGCTAGATGTATTGATTGCCATATCTTTTAGTTTTAATAAATCGACAATGACACCGTCTCTATATGTTGCCATTTTTTCAACGCTAGACACAGAATGTGAAAGTAGACCACCAGATTTGGCTGGTGATAAATGTGTCGATAGTATACTATTGGATGTAAAAGCCAAGACCAAAGATATGACTGCAATACTGACCAGCACAAATAGGAAACTGGTACAACAAATTCTTTTTGACTTGTCTCTGGATCTTTCTCGAGGGTTATTATCTCTACCGCACCTACCGCTCATTCTACAACAGCATACAATGATAGAAATTACGGGAACTATAATAGTTAGAAAAATGCAAAATCCAGCCAAGCAAACAAAGCCAATGAGATAATCAACAATTGCTGACCATGTTAGACCATCAGACTGATTTGACGGAACCAAACCCAGTCTTTCATAATAATCAGTGATTATTTTTCTATGTATAAATACCAAAAATTTAGTTGTACCATTAAATAGATGTTGAACTCCTCTTTCCAATAAATTCAAGTTTCTATCAATTTTTTCATCTATTTCTGTTGAGTTTAAATTTTCCGTAGCAAATGTGAAATGACTAATGGTTATTAGTACCAATAGTATAAGAATGAGTAAAGTTTTACACATTTTATCTTCTGTTGAACTTAGTAAAAATATAATTCTTTCAACTATTACAAATAAAGTAGCATAGTAAAAATCTTCTATTATCTGTTATGAGCAACTTATTAGATTATTATGTTGAGTAAATTGAAGAATCGTAGAATAAGAGAATAGTCGGCTGTATTTGTGATTATGTAGTACAAAGATCCTGATAGGTCGCCGCGAGTGGCGTTATCGTCACATGATCACCCCAGCCTTTCAACCAATCAGAGGTCTCTGTTTCTATGCTTTTTTACAATTTTGAAAGTGTTCATGAATAGTAATTTCCTACTATCAGCCAATCAAAACCTTCTTCGTTTTTTTTTTCACTTTGAATCATCTCCAAATATTATGATTTTTTTTAAAAGAGGGTATTTCTAACATAAACATTAACTTTGGTCCTATGTCGAGTCACTTCATAAACACCCGGCTATGACAACTAAATATTTATCATAATAAACCGTTCCCTGATATGAAGTTCGAAAAGAGCCATAATGTGATTAAGCATCTAAAAATTATGGAACTAATAGCAAAAGTTTATTATATGCTAACTCCTCTGAGATATACCTTCAATTGAACTTGAAGTATATTCATTTTACGAAAACTCTATGCATAAAGATATGTTACGAGATCAAATACAATCCTTTCAACTGAAAAAAGATGTCTTATGAATATGCATCATGTGCGGTAACGGAAGTTGATTTCAACATCGTCTGCTATAAATTTCTTGTAGTGAGGTTTTATTTCCGTTTGAAAGATTTTGATAAAGGACCAATAAATAAACACTTAAACATTAACTCTCTTTAATCGCTTCAAAATGTATGATCTAAACACAATTAAATTTCGAGTGAGTCCTAGAGCTTTGTCAGGAACTCTTCACGTAAATAACAAGGGAGCCTGCGATTGGTAAGCTTACCTCTTTTTAAGCAAAACTTTAAACTCGCAATATTTGTAATTTACTATTTTTATGAAAAAAATTAAATACCTTAAACGACATCTCAATTAAATAATTCCCTTGCAAAGTAAGGTTGTATGTACACTCAGCAGAGTTAAATTGACATATCCAGCTTCTGTTTAAAGAGTAAATTGAACGATCTAAACAAAACATTTCGCAATATTATGTTTTTAAAAAAATTATTTTAAGGGGTCATCAAGGATTTATTGCATATGGATGCCAAAACTTGGTTGTTATTGTTGATCCCAATACGATGCAAGTCGTTCAAACTCTTGATAAACACAAAGGTTATGTTCAAAACGTCAAATGGGCAAGAGAAAATTTTCACCATGATACAACAAACCCGTACACACTACGATTAGCATGTTCCGATTACAATGGAAAAATATACATTTGGGAGGTTATGAAATCTATACTTCGCTCAGAATTCTCAGAAAATTCGAAACCGATTGAAGGTAAATTTATTCGTTTCTCTTAAATAAAACTATAATCCATATGTTTAATCAGATATGGAGTGGCTTGGAGAGCAAGACGCTTCTCAAGATTTGTTGTTAGTTCTTCATCCTCCAGCTCATCTAATTCTTTGGAACGCGGAATCAGGAACAAAATTGTGGAAAAAAACATACGGGGAAACACTATATAAATTTGTTATTGACCCCTTTAATAGCTGTAACATAGCATGTTAGTTTTCTACATGCATTTCTAGTGGCATATTTCTTCAATAACAATCATTTTTAAATATTTCAGTCAAAGGAGAAAATTGTATAATATTCGTCGATAACTTCTCTATTGGTAAAGCTCCTTCAAGTTCAGGCAGGAAATTTTTTGTCTCTAATACTCAAGGTTAGTTCTAAATTGTTGATTTTGATGAATTTAAAGAAAAGACGTATTTTTCTCAGGAAACGCTAAGGAATCTGATAAGAATGAGAAGAAACAACCAAGAAGCTCAAGTTTAACAAGTAGACTAAGTCATATTTTAGTTGGTGATGGAAATGCGAAACGGTTTAAATCTTTACCTTTAATTTCTTTTATTTTTATTTATATGCGAATATTGCTCTCTCTTCAGAGACGAGGAAGAACCGCAGGACACTATGGAGTGTTTACAATTAGCTTATCACAAATCTCTAAGGAATCATCTACTTCTGATATATCCCAAAGAAATTTTGATATTAGACCTAGATATTAACCAAACTGTTGGAATCATTCAGGCTGAGAGAACAAACTCAAACTTTGGTTTAGTAAGTAATATTAAGAAGAAACTGGTAATTTATTCCACGTGTAATTGTTTTTTATTTATCTTTTAGGTAATGCCACTCAGGCTTAGAGATGCCATGTTTTGTCTGCACGAGAATGCTAGCGTAACACTAAGACAAAGGCGATTAACTGATGTTACAGAAAACGATAGGGAGATGGGCGTATATGGTACACCTGGTAATTTATTGAATTTTTCATATAGGCAAAATATCAATATATATATATATATATATATATATAGTATATGTATATATATATATAGATATGTATATTTTATAACCTTAATTCATCAGCGTGTATGTCTGTATAGATATACTATAAACTGATATCTGGAATAGCGTTTATTCCTGCCATTACTCCAAAACCAATTATTGTTACAATTAAATGACTTAAAGGAGAGTTATAAGTTAGACTTCCTTGTAGAATTTCGAAAAATGTTACATAGATAAATATACCAGATGCCAATCCTTGAAGTATTCCGTTAATCAAATCAATTGTATATTGATGTCCATTAACAGACGTAACTGCAGTTCCAATAGCTATACCTATTGCTGAATCTACTGCATAGAAAACTCCAAACATAATATATTTCTGTAAATTTTTTGAGAATGATCTGTAGAGATTCACTCCCAAGCAAAAAGCCACAACTACTTCATGAATACAAATTGCTCCAGTTAATATCCAAACTTCTCTATGACTTCTTTTAAGTCCAACTGACATTCCTTCAAATATAACATGTAGAGAGAGAGCCACTTGAAAGAAAATTGACCTAAATTGAAGATTTGACAGACTGCTGTTTTCATTTTTACTGGTTGTAGTATGTTCATCAACTGCTTTTTCATCCTTTTGAGATTCATTTGGAGTATTTAAATCTTGTTGAATTTCATCTGCTGAATCTAATCTGCTTTGTGTACTGACTACAGCATACTCTATAAAAAGAACCATAAAAAATCCCAATCCTGTTATTAACTCTGGAATAGGATAGGTCATGTTATATGGAATCAACATGGATTGCTCTAATAGTTGTCTAACTTCCGGTGCCATATGTAAAAGATAAATTCCAAGGAATATGCCTCCACCAAAGCATTTCATTAAGCAAATAGCTTTTGTGCCACGATCTCCCAATTGCTTGAAATACTGAAATATTTTAATGGGTAGATGAACAAAAACTATCTGAATTAGACAAATTAATATCAGAGCCATAATTTTCGAGTACCAGAGCTCCATCCTACACTCTCCGAAGATCCGTCACTGCTAGAAATAGAATCACTGGGGCTAATGGCCTATGAAATTTTACCAATTAATACGTTTTCAAGTATTTTCAATTGAGTAGTTATAAAACTGAATTGTCTCCCTTGTGTAAATACCTCAAAATGTCTACAAATAATTCTTTTGTCTCTCATATTAAAAAATAATTTGGTTAAAAATTTTCTGCGAATTGAAAAATGGCTATATAAGCTTATTTCGATTATTCCAGAAAAACCCATCTTTATAAACATTTATAGACACTAGGTGGCGCGATTTATCCATTCGAATTATTTTCTTAAATTATATAATTTAAATAAAAAACCTTTTATCTTTCAGTGTCAGATGTGGCAGAAAGTATATCAGTTAATAATAATCAAATTGACTTGATGTACGAAGTTAGAGCAACATCAGATTCTTTCCGAGTGACCAAGAATGCAAGAATATACGCCATATCGTCGTGTCCACTAACCGAAAAGAGGATATGTTTAATTGTTAGCGATGGTCGAATTTTGATATGGCAATTGCATACAGTAGATGATATAGATGAGAAATTCTCACCGAAATTTTCTCTAAGCGACATAATTAAGCCAGAATATACTGACCAAGATAATAAACGACTCAAGTTTATTATGACTGGTATGATGAATGGCTTGGGTAATAATTTGACAATCAAGATGTGTCCCCCATTAACAACTAAGAATTTGCAAGACTATCTTCCTCTATTGGCAGTGGGAAATGGTTATGGTAATGTTCAAATATACGATCTATCTAACGGATCGCTCAAAAGAGAATTTAGCGTTCATTCGTGCCAAGTAAGAGGTATTGAATGGTTGGGCTTGAAAAAGTTTATATCGTTTGCTTATCCAAGTTTGGGATACAATGGACAAGTGAGAAATGAAATAGTTATTTGTGATATATCGAGTGGGAGGAGTCATTTCTTTCGTCCAAATCGGGATGAAGAAGCGCCCATTGAAGGACTGAGAGTGTCCCACTTCAAGTAGTCTATTTCTATATTTAGCTAAATCAATTTTCACTGAAATCTCAATTTCTAATAGGCAATATGTTACCATACTATTCAAAGAGAGACCTTTTGAGTTATGGGACTTGAAAACAGAAACGTTATTAAGGCAAATGCCCTCCTCCTTCCCAAAACTTTTTGCGGTGGTACGTTAAATTTTAGCACTACTATTATAAAATGCTTTGATAATGCGTTCATTATCTTGTAGGAATGGTCTCCTAATCCCGCTAGTAGGCTTAAGAAAAAGCATCCTTTGGAAGTAGAGCCAACAGGTGAACCTAGCATGTCAGACAGTGTCACCTCGATAAAGTAAACAATTAATTATTGTAGAAATAATATTTTTCTTTTGTATAGCTTTCCCCTATCTATTGTAGGTCCTCTGATGCAGAAATTTGTTCAAAGGAATGCCTGTTCCTTTCCGATACTGAAGGAGGTGTTTACCAACTAATAATTGAGGGGAACATATTAAAAGAAGGACCAAAAATTGCTCTCGATGTAAATACAATATTTATAAAATTAGACCTATGTACAATTTTAATACTATGCTATTCCTCATAAAAACTTAACAGAATTCTGTGAATGCCATTACAAGTATAGCTCGAAAAGGAGATATAATGCTTTTAGGTGATACCGAAGGAAATTTATGTGTCACAGATTTGAAAAATCGAGTAAATAGGTTAGCTACTTTTGCATTTGTTTCCAATATCTAAAATTATTCATTTTTCACCCTATCTAAATGTTTTCTTTATATTTCCTATTTGTAGAGTTTGTCCCACAAATAAAAACTGGGTTAAGAAAACAAAATTTGGACCTGGAAAGGGTAACATGAAATTCTTATCACTATTTAATGACTCGGTTGACATTCGAGACGCTGGACCTTTGTCTAAAGTTTGAATATACTAAAAATTATATACATAATTAATTAAGCTATTGTTTTGATAGTTGGATCCTATTAGTGTCCTAAAATGCCCAAAGGACGTTTCAAAAATAACGGACGTTGATTGGGCTGCATCTGATAGACCGGTAATAGTTTGTCAGGACGGAACTATTAAAATTTTCGACATGAACTTGAAAACATGCTCCAGTTCTTTCGATGAGTTCATATTAGCAGGTAATATTTGATATTATATAGGTCTTTTAAAAATATAAGAGTGAATAAAAAACAAGGCTTATTAATATTCCAAAATATTTTCTTTTATAGAACCAATATTTAGTCCTTATATTATATCGCCGAAGCATTCTCTTGCTGCTAAAAGCTTGTTACAGCATCAATCCTGGAGAGAAGAGTACTCTTTCAATCTTGAATGCGAAACGGAAATTCAACCTTCGGTGCTCGAGGCTCTCAAGGCTATTGATGAGTAATTAATTGTTTATTAAGCTCAAAAAGGTTACAAATTATATTATTACAAAATAATTATTTTCTATTTTTAGCGACATAAAATCATATATGATTAATTGCAAATTTGGTATTGCCGAACGAGCCTTAATAACTTCAACGTTTGTGTTAATTCATTAAATGATTGCTTGTCTTCGTTATAAACTAAACATTTATTCATAATTTAGATTATTTGGTGATGAGTTTGACTTTGCTTTTTGGACTGTTGCACTTCATTACCTTAGACGATCGGTTATCTTTGAAAAGCAAAAAACCGAATCCCCTCCGAATGATCCAGAAGATAAAGATCTTTTCGTACCGACGCCGAGTCGTGTAGTACAGACTACTGATCTTTTAAAATTAGAAGATGACAATCAGGGATCTATTCTAGTAGATGAAATCGCCGATGAAAGTCTCGAATCCTCTTTTGATATTTTAGCCGATCGACTCACTTTTAAGGTTGGTTGCATAAATATTTTCATTTCAGATAAACAGAATGTTCTCTTTTTCGCCCCAACAGAAAAGAGAGCTAGCAAGAGCATTTTTACACGATCAAAAACGGACAACTGCTGACCACACTAGAACATGCGCCGAAAGTTTGCTATTGTTGGGCCAAGCTGAGAGAGCTGTTCAATTATTCCTTGAAACTGATGCTGGAGATGACAATTACTATGTAGATTGTTTAAGGTATACTATCTTTATAATTGATAAGCAAATAGAGTTATTTTTTTTTCCGTACCCCAGGGCTTGTTTAGTAGCCAGTATCAGATCGTCTGGTGCCTCTCAAAGTACTATAAAATTAGTAGCTACCAGTTTGATAGCCAATGGAAAATTAATTGGTTTGTAAAAGTCAAATTATATTTTGTAGTTGAGAAAAGCCATAACTGTCATATAAAAAAAACAGAGGGAGTTCAACTTCTCTGCTTAATTGAAAAGGGTGTAGACGCTTGCAGATATTTACAAACATACGGACAATGGTATAAAGCCGCTTGGCTAGCTAAAGTAGGTTTTACTTTCGTTTTATTATTTAAAAAAAAAACAATAAGATTTAATCTAAATGACTTTCTAGTCTACTCTGAGCGATTCAGAATGTGATGACGTAATTAAAAGATGGACAGAGCATTTATCATCAAATACAATTAATGAGAAGGTAAAGAATTTCTTAAATAAAAAGCATCTGCCACTTAATTACTGAAAGGAATGTTAATTTTTATCTTAAATAGACCAGAGGTCTCCTGTTAATGCTATCCTTAGGCAACTTTCAAGCGGTTCTGGAATCGTTAATGACACTTCGGTATTTTGATACTGCGGCAACGTTTATTGAAGCGTGCCGACAATTTGGATTTTTGACTAGTTCATCTCGTAAGAATAATTGTTTATTATTATTCTTTTTTATTCTACAAGTTTGTTACTGTCACTTGCAGCTCTTATTACAAAAGCATTTGAAGAATACAGTAGACAACTCTATTTGTTAGGACTAAAGGCAGCTTCGAAGCATTACTCTAAAGAAGAGATAAATTGATAAAATGATTGTTATTTTTTAATTATTATATAAACTGAACATTTTAATTGATAATCTTAAATGATTCTGCAGTCCTGAATATATATTTATATATTTGTAGCTTATTACTATATTAGATGATTCATCACTCATAATTTTTTTATCACTTGTTCTTGTTTCCTTATTTCCACAAGCAGAATGTGTTCCGTTGTTCATTCCAACTAAGAGTTAAGTTATGAAATAATTTCATAAGGAAAAGTGCATGACAACTCTATATATTTATTATCAAGATTACTGTTAATATATTATATGTTCAAATATTTTTAGAATAAATATTTCTTATTGCGATAATGTACACTTGGTGAAACAGATAACAATAAAACAATCTACTTCTGTTTAGTGGGACAGAAACTTCATGGACACCGTACTTAATTCGGTATCGTTTTTGTTTTTCATTTGAAAGAATTTATCTGATTGGCTCTCAAGGTCATGCATATTAATTTATAAATATTAACGAGCACTTTCTAGCATTGCGATAAAGTTTCTATACAACAATTCTTTATCCGCCATTTTGCATCGCTCTATATTTCGTAGTTAAATTTAAAAAACTCGTTTTGTCTTACGGTAAATATGACAACTAGTAATCTCGATCGAATAATTGAAGAATTAAGAAATTGTGAAGCTGTTAAGGAAAGTGACGTTAAATTACTTTGTTCAAAAGCCCGTGAAATTTTAGCAGAAGAAAGCAACGTGCAGCGCGTCGATTCACCGGTAACAGTATGCGGTGATATTCACGGACAATTCTATGATTTAAAAGAACTATTTAAAGTGGGAGGAGATGTTCCAGACACAAACTATTTATTCCTTGGAGATTTTGTCGATAGAGGCTATTATTCAGTAGAAACATTTTTATTGTTACTGGCTTTAAAAGTTCGATATCCAGACCGAATTACACTAATTAGAGGGAATCACGAAAGTCGTCAAATCACACAGGTATATGGTTTTTATGATGAATGTGTTAGAAAATATGGTTCGATCACTGTTTGGAGGTCAGTACCAGCTTTACTTTTCAAAACTTAAAAAGTTAGTTATTTGGCGCCATCTTTGTTTTCTTTCGCAATTCCAATAAAGAGTATTAGATAGTATACTCTATTTTTAACATTAATTTATCGTCACAGTATGTTACACAATATCATTAGTCTACTTAATTATATGAAAAAAGAGTTTTATCAAATCCTGATAATGCTTAAACTAAATTCTATTTAATTTGTCTCTTGATGATAAAACGATTTATTTCCACAATTAGTTTATCATGCCAAGTATGCCATCCAATGATTAAATATCGCATGCAAAGGTTTTTAATCGCTAACCTGTTGTTACGACTTTTTTTATTTTAGGCTTACATTATTCCTTCATAAGAATTTCATGAATAGTACAAATCAAAAAAATAGGTTTTATCAAAACAATTATAATGCAAAAAACAGTTTTTTACGACTTGAATAATACACCTAAACAGTTGATTGAATAACAAAAGGCCAGCATAAGTTATTGATTAGCAATAAATGATTTACACATTTACATACTTGACTTTCTGCTAAGGAATTTCATGCTAACATATGTTTTATTATCAGGTACTGTACGGAGGTATTTGACTACCTTGCTCTGGCAGCTATAATAGATGGGAAAATATTTTGTGTGCACGGAGGATTATCACCTTCAATTCAAACAATCGATCAAATTCGCTTGCTCGACCGTAAAGTAGAAGTTCCACACGACGGACCCATGTGTGATTTACTCTGGTCTGACCCGGAAGATACTCAAGGGTGGGGAATGAGCCCCAGAGGAGCTGGTTACCTCTTCGGCTCAGATATAGTTGAGCAATTCAACAAAGCAAATTCTATTCAAATGATATGCAGAGCTCACCAATTGGTGATGGAGGGTTATCGTTATCACTTCAATCAAGCTGTTTTAACGGTTTGGTCAGCCCCAAATTATTGTTATAGATGCGGAAATGTCGCAGCCATTTTGGACTTGGACGAAAATTTGAAACAAGATTTTAACATTTTTGAAGCTGCTCCCCAAGAACATCGAGGCCCCTTACCTGCTAAAAAACCACAACCAGATTACTTTTTGTAATCAATGCTAATCATTAAATAGGAAGTTTTGAACAAACATTTTGGTTAAAGTTGTGTGATTTACAAATATTAAGTGATATTTGAGGTTACCTTCCGTATTCTGTATAATTTTTCTGTTTTATTTTCTGTTTTATATAGACATTTATCTATAAGTTTTGTTGAATTTAAATAATTATACTTGAGGTATAAAATTTTGTACGAGAATTTATGCTTAGAGATGACAATTACACTTGGTTTTTACGTTCAGGAGTCATGTTGAAAGCTAGCTCCATAATGACTAAGATAAGCATTTCAAGGCTTATTCATTCATTTGAATTATATACCACTTAGAGATCGTATCCGGTCAAATATCGCATGACACTTGCTATTTTTCTTTGAAAATACCTTAAGAAAGCAGTTTATTATGAGTTAATGCGCGTAAAAAAAATGCTTTTTATAAGAAAAGTAGCTTTATGTCAAATATAGTTGAAGAGATCCTATCTTTTCTGATATCTCTTTCTCCAGACTTTCCTGAATAAGATAGAGAAAAAAAAGACGCCTTTTAGCAATGTTTCACGTTTACTGTCACAAAACAAATCGCACTTACAACTTTCCTTTTAGTTTCCTCTACTTTGATTCGTAAAAGTGTGATATCCTGTATAGGTTATAATCAATTTAAATAATAATAAAATTACTTTATTTATAAATCTAGCTCTTACAGGAGGAAGTTCTTTATAAGCTGAGAGTTTCGACTTCAAAGGCTCTAGCTGTTTATCTAAACGCTTTACCTCTTCGGATAATTTAGCAATATTTTCATGACTATATTCATCTTTGAAACCATTTTTTTGTAAGTTTTCCTGTTTTTTTTTTAAGAAAAAGGAAGATAATAGAATGTATAAATTATCAATAAGAATCTTTCAATAATTTAATGATAATTACTTGAATTATCTTAATTTTATGATTATATTGATCAGCTTTCTGTTTTAGAATTTTACTATGATTAAGTGACGAGGCAGCATCGGTTCGTTTTTCTTCCATTCGCGATATAACTCTTGCCGTAAATTTTTCATGCATTTTTTGCTTTTTTTCTAATCGTTCCATATATTTTTCAATAAGCTTTAACTCTCTATCAACCTTCAATAATCTAACTTGAGCTGCTTTTGAATTTTTCTCCAAATGGTATGCTGAGCAGCATAAACTGAGAATTTCAGAATGAAATCTTTTAAGTAAATTTTAAGTGAATATTATGCATACCAAACCTTTCATAATCTGTATTGGAAAGATTCATGAGACAGGCGTACTCTGAAAGGAAATCTAATGTTTCCGCCCCTGAAGTTGTCAGATCGGTTGGTGATATGCCAAGTTCTTTAATAATAATTTTTAGTCGATTTGCTACATGAAAATTTTTTAGATGTTGGTTTATCTTAAAGTAATATTTGATAAATACTTTCGTCAATATATTCGCTTGTCTTCAATTCAAAATCTTTGGATTTAGCGATGCGGCAGGTTTCAATAAGCTGTTCGAATTCTTCTGGTAAAGCCTCCATATCACCAGTAATCTTGTGAAAAATTCTTCCTGATTAAGAAGTGTTAATCTAATAATTAAAATAAATAGATTGAAATCCGTTAACAAGACGTCCTTTAACTTGATTTATATAAAAAAAAACATTACCGGCTTTTGCCAAAAATCGTTCTATTGACATATGGTGTCCAGAAATGCCTGAATTATGATATAGTCCCCGTATGTAAACTAAACTTTTCGTCTTGAAAGAAATATTATAAAGCTTGTAGATTATTCAAGCAATTGTTCGATAATACTTAATTTACATAGATACAAAAACTTTATTGTCAGTTGTTCTTTGAATTTTTATGCGGGGATAATTTGCCTAAGTACAGTAATTATTTAGCATTTTAAGTGTGTAAATGGTATAGTGCGCGTGGAATATAACAATAAAAGAGCAAATAATAACAATAATAATAATAAAGGGTTTAAAAAAGAGTTTTCTCTTGGATGGTAGGTCACTAAGACACCATGTGAAAAGTTGCTTCTTTAATTTCCTCTGTAGGGAGCATGAAAAATAGTTTAGTTTTAAAAATAGCAATTTTATTGACGTCTCGTCGCTTTCGATGAGGCATAATTAGTAAAACGTAGCGGGTGTGTTAAAAAGAGAGAGCTAAAGCGGCTATCAATTTTGCATAGTAATAGGCGAGAATGTCAACTTAGGTATTTTTCTACATTGGTTGGTGATTCACGCCTCGCTAAATCGATTCACCAGTCGAATAATCATAAAAATATTTCGCCGACATTCAACAGATTGCTTCCGTCCAGTTTCTTTATTTTTTGCCTATTCTATTTATGACCCCCTCCCTTCAATAAAAACCCTAACCACTAGGGTTTCTCTATTCCTCTCTTTCACTCTTTCTCTTTCCGAAATCATTTAAATTGTCACCCCTCCTCCAAAGTTAGCATTGCTCTTTGTTTGATAGACCAAACTTCAAAGCACTATTGATGCCGGTAACTTTCTTTGACGTTTTATTGCTATTGATTCAGAAAAAATCACCAATAAACTATTTAGAATACACAGTAAAGAATATCTTAATAGGAGTAACGGACAACAATTAACTTTCATCTCTCGCATCATTAGGTACGTTTTATTGCTTAATTAATGGTTGTTATAGGAAAAGGTCAACCCTCGGTCTCAAATATTTTTACTCCCCATTCTATCAATATTGATACTTTATTTCAATTGCTCTAAGATAGTAAATTCATGTCCAAAGCGCCATATTTTTTTCTTGACGTAATCTGGACACGTATTACGATTCATTGCATATCTATCCGATAACTAGCTAATCCCACACCTGAACGGAACGCCTTGCGTTTCTTGACAGACTGGTGAAAAGATCTATGTTTATTTAGCACGAATAAGAAGTCTTAACTACATTTACAATTCCCAAACAAGGTAAATTTAATTAAATTATTTTCAAAAAAAACCTGTCATGTACAATTTTACGGAAACTCTTGAAATATCGTTAAGAGTGTTTATAGGCCTACTTGCGAATGCTGGTACTCTTAAGCTGTCTCTTTTATAGTTGTAAAATACGGCGGCTATCGCCTTTTATCTTTTATTTTTATAAGGGCTTCTTCATTTGCACAATTTTTGTGAGTGATTTATTTTCGTAGCTTTCTAATTGTCAAATCATTTTGGTCCTAAAAAAGTAAAGGGTTCACTATAGTTCAAGCTCGCTTTTCGCTTATTGTAAATAAGGAAATACCTAAGTGAAACTTATGGTAAGTCGATTAGAGAAACTTTTTTTCCTTGTTATTGTCAATAGAAAGGGTTTTTTTTCAATCTTTTCTATTACAATGCTTATTATTTATAAAGATTAATGCGTTTTGAAGATTACTCATTTTGCCTTTAATACTTGACTTACTTGCATATTTTACACTGTTCTTAAATAGTGGAAAGGAATGAAATTATATATTGATTGAGCGGTGTGATCGACGTACTCATTGTTCTCATATATTCCCCTTATAAACGACCTTAAATCGCCCTTTAGTTTACCATAATAAATTAAAAAAGAATTTTGTAAAGAGTGCCATCTTTAAATCATTTTACTTAACAATAATAAAATACTTTAACATAGGGAAAGGTGAGTGATATTGATCTTAAATTGCAATTCTTTTCTAATATCATTTTCCGAATCGCTTCTTTGGTCACCTGTCCAATTAGTAATTATACGTCCTTTATCAGAAAGAGTAGATTAGTTGTTGATTACAAATATTAATAGGCTATATTGCTTGGATTTTTTTTATCCTGAACAATGACTTTATTATAGATATTTGATATGTACGATCTGAAAAATTTACACATAGATAGTATTCAGAAGAGGTTGTAAAGTAAAAGGGGAACGGCTCATGAGATCTTGCTGATAGTATACATCTAAATTAGAATTATGTAATATCATTATCGAATGAGTTGCGGCATTTGTATGATATTAATCGTATTCCTATAGTAAATTTTGCCCAATATAGTAGTATCTTCCTTTGTCCTCTTTAATTGACATCTGATCATCAAAGTAGATTCTTTCTCGCCGCCACGCTCATTGCCATGCGCCTCTAATCAGTTTCTATTCGGATACATTGTAGCCTTTTTCACTCTATCTTTGGATTGCGTCATAAGAATTTCTTATCGACGATAACGATGTGGAAAGGTATGTTTTAGTGAAATTCAAAGAGCATTCTGACATGGTTTAATTTACGATGCTTCATTTAGGATGTTTTTTACGAATTCTAATTGCTTCATTTTCGACGACACTAATAATACCGATGGCATCCTTTGAACACAAAAAAAGGGCAAAAGATAAACAACTGTCTCTAATTTGGCTTCTCGCAACTTAATTAACTCAACTAGTCAATTTTTTTTAATCTTTCCTCTAGAGTTTACTAGGTCAACTCATAATTTAACTCGAAAATTTTTATGTCCGTTTTATTTTTACTAACAAATTCATAATAATAAAAGTAAACGATAAAACTTAAAAATATCTTACTTCAACCTGACTATCACTTTTTATTGATTTGCATTGTAACGCTGTAACCTACTGACCACGAGTAAAGCTCCCTCCGAATATGGTATTAATTAATTTCAAAATTTCCCGCGAAAATTCCGTCAGTTTACGGACTTTAGACTTGGAAAAAGATTGCCACCAATCGTTGTGTCTGGGTCACAAATTTGACTAGCCAATGAGCGTCAAGATTTCAAAAGAATAAGTAGCAGACGCCAAATTGGCGGTTCATAACGTTTTTCTACCTCGAAGTTAGAATAATGTAATTAGTTCTTATCCTCTTATTTAAAAAAGAAAAATAAAAAATAAAAAGGTTTGTCTCATTTGTATCTACAAACTTTCTTTCAGTTTTTTGTGCTATTCTTTCTAACTACGGAGATATTTGAATACCTTTACTGGCAAAGTTTTGAGTAGGTGGCTTATCGGAAGCTTGGTACAAAGAATATATATAAACCGATTAATCTAGTTTCATTGAATAATTCGTTATAGACTAGTATCATTTATTCGATATAGCATAAAGCTCAAGGTACTTAGTAAGTACGATCGATAAACTTTATACATGACTAAATTATGATTCACATTGCGCCCAAACTGTTACGCTCTCTTTTTAAATTTAGAGATTAGCCTGTTATTTATTTTTAAAGCTGAACGGTAAAGATAAAATAACTGGAATTATTTCATATCAATCTTGTGATAGATATAGAAAATAGTTATAGGTGCTAACTTATTGACCAGGAATATGCTTATACTGCGTTTTTTACCGCAATACCGGAAATTTGTTAAAGTCAAATTATAAACATATTTAGCGGTAAGTCATACTAAAAGCGTATTCAATTAAATTGTAAAACGGTCTGAGAATGCCATATCCTTTATCGGCCCGAACCCTTAGGCTATTTGCACGGGGTCAGGGTAGGAAGGCATGACAGCGAAATGTCATAAATCCCACATTCTCACGAATCCTAAGAATGTTCGTATGATTTTTATCCTCCGGGAGGATTTTTCAGGGTGTAAATTGATAAGGATCGCAGACGAGATTTTTTTGAAGGAAAAAGAATACATTCAATAGGTTGACACCAAATTAATAAACATGGTAGTTGAATCTCTTTGATATACGAGTAAGATTTGGGATAACAGCCGACCAGTATGTCATTCCTTCGGCCGAAAAACTTCGGGAAATAATAAAACTGCCACTGTCACCAGTATTGTTGAATAAATAGCAGAAAAAACTTGTTGATAGACTCTGTCACTTGCACCCCTCTTACATAAACAAGGGTTTTTTAAGTGCAAAGCCGATAAGGATCTGTCATCAAGGTATTTTAGAAGAAAATACTAGCTTATGGGCTCTCCATAAGGCGATGGGAGACTTGGGGCTTTGCAAAGTTTACAAATTTCAAGTTTCGCAAACTTTCTGAGTCTTTGAAGGAAGCATACCATACGGAAACCGGCACTTGAACAGATAAATGTTCGATAACGTTGAACTTTCTCTGACTGTTTGACTAAAACTTTTTAAATTTAAATAAAACCCCAACAAATATGTTATATAATCAATCCCTCTCATCCTTTTTGCCCATACAGATATGGATGAACAGCTGTGTTTATTAGACTTACCCGTCGAAATTCTTATACGGATTTTAAAAGGCATGCAGATGCCCGATATACTCAATTTAGCTAAGGTAAAATCCGATTAAGGAATGTTCCTCTTTCATCTTTTCTGATTGTTGTTTTTTTCAGGTTCATCCTGTATTTAGCGATTTAGTTTTATCAAATAAGTCTGTTTGGTTAAACGCGAGCTTCAATGGTGTCTGGCCCAACGATAACAATAAAGAAGCATTTCATAGGTAATTATTAAAATAGTATTCTTGGTCTATATCAAATATTCAATGTTAACAGAGCTTCCGTATGCGGCAATATTTCGGCAACGATCAAACTAAGTCTGGCCTATTTATACAACGAAGGTTTGGCTTTGGATATGTCATCCGATTACGCTGTCAACTATCTCGGACGGAAAGTGGCAACTTTATTGTACGAAGCCGAAAAGTTAACACCCGAAGTAGCACCCTTTACGTGGATTTTCATAAGGCCTCCATGGAATGTACACAAAAGTAGATGCTGCAAGGCAGAAGTTTACTATGCAATGTGTGAAAAGTATTCTGGTAAGGACATCCTAGCTGACATCAAGACCTGTCTGGCAAGAGTAGAAGATCATGTATCACCTTCTGGTGAAACCCCTGTGGAATTATTTAAGGAAGCCGCCGAATCTGGTGAGACTTATGCTCAGTACAGATTGTGGCAAATCAAGTATGGTCGACTTTTTGATTCAAAAAATACAACAAAGGATGCCGGTTTAGAGTTGGAGGCAATTCGCAGCTTGAGATCTCTTGGATCTCAATCCTTGAAGAGTCGAAAAAATCACGAGGCTTGTTTAAAGTTAATGGAGATATATGCAAGAAAAAAATTTGGTGGTGTTAATGAAAATGATGCACTCGCGTTTTGCAAGAAAAAGATAACTGATTTTAATAAGATAAGTTTTCCCGCTACAAAAAGAAATATGCATATAACACAGAGTATGAGATATATACTCGTAGACTGGCTAGTAGAGTTAACAAGCATAAAATGTCTGTCTTCCTCAATTCTTCATCAAACTGTTGCTCTGGTCGATAAAGTTCTTAGTTCGAGATATATTTCGAGAAGTCGATTGCAATTAGTAGGGATAGCAAGTATGCTTCTCGTATGTCGTTATGAAAATTCAAACATACTAACCATTCGAGAGGCTGCATGGTTAACCGATAATACTTATAAATACGGAGACGTTGTTAGAATGATTGGAGAAATTACAGCACTTACTCAAGGTCGTCTTCAGTTACCAACCGCATATGATTTTATCGAAGCTCTCGGTTACGTAGCCGAATTAAATTTTACTGGTGTCTATATGCTTTATTATATTTTGGAAGTTAGTCTGCATTATTTCGAATTTATAAGAGATTTTGGTCCTTCAACTGTTGCATGCGCAGCATGTTTGCTGGTTCTTCTCACTCTAAATAAAGGCACAACAAGTGCCGAAAATCTCTGGACGCCTTTACTCATAAAATATACCGGTTTCACGTTGAAAGACTTGAAAGAGTGTGCCCTTAGACTACATTTGTTCTATACTGATGTAAAGCCGGTATTAGATCATCGAAGGCAACCATTAACTCAAGTTCGAGAACGCTATTCCCGAGATGAATTCGGCAGAGTTAGCGAATTTGAAACGTTAACTCATCAGCAATTATGCAGCGTACTCTCTGTGGCTAGTCAGAACACTAAGAAAGAAACCGTTCAAACCTTCAACAAACAGTTAATTATGTCTCCGACGAGAGGAGGTACTGGAAATTTTCCAATGGAAGCAGAACGTCACTTAGCAGCAACACCAACAATGGAAGAGTCGGAAGAGAGGTATGAAAAGAAAAGGAATCATCCAAATGACGATTCGATTACAAAAAAGATGAAAGTTTAAAAAATGATTTTATTTTTTTTACCAAAGAGGTTGCATTTAGGAATGTTATTAAAAAACTTGAAGTAACTGTGCTGTTTTCCTTTTTACAGTTTATATTTCTTATGTACAAAAAATTTTAATACATTTACATTTATAAGAAAAATTAGCTAATATAACTATATCACTTTTGAATAGCTAAATTTTAAAACATGTTATTTTTTAACCAATAAAAGTATTTTTTTCAAAGATTTTAAATTTCATTTTCTTTATTTTGCACTTATACTTTAAAATAATTGTCCACCTATTTTAATGCCGACAACGCCATCTATATTTCATTTCTGAAAAAGTTTGGTTATACTATTTGAACTCTACAATGTCAAAGAACATGTGATGATGCCCTTTTGAGTGTTTCTCTAAATATACAGTATTGGAATTTAATAGTTTAATTTTAAAATAGTATAAAAGTACTTTTTTTAAATTTAATTTTATAAAGAAATATAATAGAAAACTCGCAAGGTTATTTTATTCAAAATAGTTTATTTGCCTAACCTTTTCAAACGTTAAATTGACGTTTCAATGATTTGAGTTTGTTTATTAAAAATAAATAACTTCATCCTTCCACTAATTCTTCCACACTAATTTGACCAGCTATTTTTTCATATACGTATTTCATTGTTCTTTTCATCCATTCGTCGATTTTAGGAGATTTTCTATTTTGTCTTACAAGAATCGACCATGCAACAATATCAGCCAAGCAGGGTTTGTCACCTAAAAGAAATTCGGAGTTACCATTTTCAATGGAAACCACACCTCGCCATTCAACATCTTCAATTAAATCATCAATTTTTGTTTGAGTAACAATATCTTTTTCTGCTGCTATGAGACTGTTCAAATATCTGGCAATGTTGCCCTCACCTTCTATTCTTGTACCAGAAACGAAAAGTGACGGTTTCTTCACGTCTTTCCATATGAATGTAAGACCCATGCTGAAACCATTTCGAGAGAAGGATGTACAACCAACGTAAGATGACAAAAGATACGCTTTCGGGACGTGTGTGATTGATGAGTGAACGTGACTGCTTACTCGGACATTATGATAAGAACTAAGGAGGTTAGCCAAAACAAAAATTGAAAAAGGAGGATCATTTGGATTCACAGATATCACGTGGTCCTCGCAATTCCCACCTAAACATGGAACTTGGGGACAGATTGTATCTAAATCGATTCTTAATTTATCAATTCTTTCAAGTAGTCTTGTTTGTCTCTTCTCTAATTCTAATAAAATATCTTTATTCTGAAAAGTAGCGAAGTAAATAGATACACGTGACTTCAAAAATGAAACTCACCTGTTCTCCGCCGTTCGAAAAGCAGACAAATGGTTTAACTTCATACATAGGCGAAGAATTGTCCTCGATTTTAATATTACTTACTATCGGCTTTGTCGAATACATATTTATGTCAAAAAATGTAGTTTAAACTAACAGGAAGTCAATAAAGGTTATTGAAAGTCTGGTATCTTAGTTTGTACATTATTAGTACATATTAAACATCATCGGAACAAGTAACCATTACGTCTAAAACTTCTCGCGAGACTGAAACTATACGATATCGCAATTCCTGATTGGTCGAATATATCGTGACGTCAACGATCTCTTGTCCTTTCACACCGCACTTGTGCTGTTGAAGTCGAGATAAGTCGATTTTCTACTAATTCTAAGTAAGTATTTTTTTATTTAACTGAACAAAACCGTTAAGTTCATATATTTATATAAAGGATGATGAAGAGTACTATTTTTGTCACTATTTGCTGTTACTGAGCTTTTAGAAACTGTTTTAAATGTTTCTCTCACTGATCGGACCGCCATTTTGATTCCGAATCGTAGAGGTCATAATTTACTATAAGTTTTAACTTTTTTTAAATGTCATCAATTGCTTTCCTTAAATTGTATATAATCGAAGAGAATCTTATGCTAAATTTGAAAAAAAAAGTGGATCTGTAAATGTAGAAACTTAGAAACAGCCACAGCAAGGACAAATAAGTCAACTGAACCTGTTTCAATACATAGGTTCAATTGAGGTGATACCTATATAATATTGATAGAGGATTATATTTTTACGTCTGTATCCTTATCCTTGTCTTTAATATAGGTTAATTTGAAAAAAATTTTTCACAGCCTTATTTGAAAGGGCATTGACATGGTCATTGACCGATACCATCTAATTTTTTTTTGTTCAAACAGATATGTCAAACAAAAAATTAGGATTTGCCGAAAACTTTGCACTCTCCGGAGTCGCAGCTGTTATCTCAAAAACTGCAGCCGCCCCAATCGAAAGAGTAAAACTCCTCGTCCAAAATCAAGATGAAATGATCAAACAAGGTCGTCTGGACAAACCATACAAGGGAGTTGCAGATTGCACAATTAGAACATATAAAACAGAAGGTCTTATCCCATTCTGGCGTGGAAACTTGGCGAACTGCCTCCGTTACTTCCCTACTCAAGCTCTTAACTTCGCTTTTAAAGATAAGATCAAGACCATCTTTAAGCAAAGCAAGAAAGACGGTTACATGATTAACTTCGGAAAGAACATCGCCTCCGGAGGAGCTGCTGGAGCCCTATCTCTCTGCTTTGTCTACTCTCTCGATTATGCCAGAACACGTTTGGCCAATGATGCCAAATCAGGAGCTAAGGGAGGCAGCAGAGAATTCAACGGTTTATTCGACGTTTACAAGAAGACCCTCAAGAGTGACGGCTTCGTTGGTCTCTACAGAGGTTTCGTTATCTCTTGCGTTGGTATTGTTGTATACAGAGGTTGCTACTTTGGTTTCTATGATACCTTGAAACCAATCATCTTGGGAGAAAACCCAGGTGTTATCTTGAGCTTCGCCCTCGGATACGTCGTAACAATAAGCGCCGGTTTGGTATCCTATCCGATTGACACCATCAGAAGACGTATGATGATGACTTCCGGACAACAAGTTAAATACAAGGGAAGCATAGATTGCACCGTACAGATCTTGAAGAACGAAGGATTCATGTCACTCATGAAGGGAGCTGGCGCAAACATCTTGCGTGGTGTTGCAGGAGCTGGTGTTTTGGCTGGCTTCGATAAATTCCAAGCTTTGTACGTTGCTTGGCGTTTGGGTTAAACTTGTTTTTTGAAAAACACCTTTAAGTTATCGTGTATGTGCATAAAAATATTCATTGGAGCTAATTTCACCAAGTTTCTGATGCATAGGGAAATACAATTTAATATGTGACAATTGATATTTTTCATCTTTGTAAAAAGTGTTCTGCATGGAGTGTATTGTAATAAGCTTTAGAAGACCTCCATACAGATCTTGGACTTTAGTAATGCTATAGGTAACTATGTTTGTTTAACGATAATATATTTTTTTGCACTATTCACGATGATTTTTGGTCTGTTCAAGTACATATTGAACAAAGTTATCTGCGATTGATAATGCCGTAATTTGAATTGTATTTGGCGCATTAGACAATAAAAGTGACAAAGTTCATTATTCTATCTGTAGTAGAAGCGTAAAGGCGGAGCTTCCTCGTCCTCTTCGGCACCTTCAAATGACACAAGAAGGTCGACATAATTCTTATCAGGTGTGACGTTGGCATATTTTACGAGCCTAAAAAAATTCGTTTTTTAAAAAGAAAACCATCGATTATCTTTCACAACTTACGGTTCTTGCAGTCTCTTCCTATGCGTAGGCATATACGGCATGTATATCATCTTTGCACCCTGAACAACCATATTGATCTCAAGTTTATATTTTGCCTGAAAAGATTATTAATTAGTCTTGAGAGAGTCTAAATTGCATATTTACCTTGAACATGTCAATAAATTGTTGCAAAGTTGTGGATTGACTTCCATTAAGTTCTAGACGGTCCCATAATGTAAATTCAAGACCAGAGCTGTTGTATAGATTTATTTAGTATAGCAAAATTAAATTGTTTTATTCCTACTTTAATTTGCGCTTAGGAGCAGCTCCTGGTTCACACAAAACAAACTGAGGTAACGCTAAATTAATGAAAGCGTTTTTGAAGTGTTCAAGCGAAGAATTCTTTACAACCTTGATTAACTCAATGGCAACCTGAAGCAAGATAAAGATATTGAAATAGTTAATTTTGTTCAAAGTGATGACTTACTAATCCTGCAACAGCAGCAGTTGTAGTAGCAATAGCAGGAACAATTCTTCCGGCAATTCTCTTAATTTTTAGCCTATCCTCCTTCTCTATGCTATACATCGCCCCTCTAAGATTCTGAAAGGAAAAACGTTTTAAAATCTTCTTTTCTATTCAAAGCTAGATAACATACCGCGGCTGCACTGATATAATCGATATGACCATTAGCGTCATCGTCTTTTTCAAAATCTAGGACATTTAAACTAGGGCGGGTAATACCCTCCATACGATCTCTGATAATTTCAGCAGTTTGAGACAAAGAATCTGCATCAAAAGTCTCAGCAGACGATGGTTTTTTGGCAGCTTCACTAGTCTCGATTTCCTTCCTAACGGGCCGAAATTCAGGTATCATTTGATTTTTCAGAATATTAGCGATATTCTCTCTTTCCATATCCTTTTTCAGATATTTTACCCTGTAGATATCCGCATATAACTTAGCTCCAGATCTAATGAATTCATAATGAACAGGATCTTCCAAATTGAATAAAACAGGTCTTGGTGGTCGTTTGGGCGACTGCCAAAACGCTGAACCGTCTTTTAATTTTGTATCTTCGGGAAAGATGTGTAAAAGTTGTTTTGCTCTATGATTGAAATATTTTTCAAATTTCAATCTCGTAAACTTTACACAATCTGCCCAATTAGACGGTTGATTTCTCAATATTTTCGCGACAACAACTGCCCCGTCTACCACAGATCCAGATAAAAGTCTTGATGTTACAATAGATATATCAGGATTTTCTTGAAAAAATTTATTCATGGCGGAGGGCTTCGAAGTGAATGACGATTGAAACTTTTCTCTGGCCCACTGAATGCAATGATCCATATTTTGAGGAAAAGATTTGAGAGTACAATAAGGAACATCATTATCAGCTGGATCTCTTTGCGATGTATAACTTTCAGTTAAGAAAGGGTATATAACTTGAACATGCCCTTTGGGTCCCATAGTACCCGATTCTAGTAATGGTCTCTGATTTGCTACACATCTTGAGTCCATATACCGTCGTGCTGTTAAATTATCTAGAGCATTCACACAAACGTTTTGGCTGGTAAAAAATCCGTCAGTATATGTGGTATTTTCAGTTTCTGGACAAACTTTCTGCTGATGAGCCTCTATATTCATTTCAGGATTGATATCTCTCGTCGATTGGGCAGCAATAACAGACTTTGGTTTGCGTATATGTCTAGGCCTAAATAGAAATTGTCTGTTCAAGTTACTTTTCTCAATTAGATCGTTATCAGTTATAGTCACACAGCCAGATGTTGTGGCCACACCTAGAAGAGCGTAATTCTTTAACATTTCACATCCAATGGCACCACAGCCAACCATAAAAAGTCTTAGCTGTTGAAGTTTATCCAATATTTTATTTCCTATACAAGTTCGCAGTAAATCATAACGGTCATTCCTGAAAAAATATATATCATGTAAAATATCAATATGAAAAAATTTCCGACCATACTTTTGTTCAAATATTTTACAGTCTCCCTCATCCACAACTTCGATAGCATCTAAGTGCAACCATTGCTTCAAAGGAGTAAACTTTCCACTTACGGCCTTCAGGGCCTCTTGAGCTACAATACCTCCTATAACAGCACACATAGGGGCTAAACATCCACCGGCAGTCATGCAGATTTTCAATAAAACTTCTTCGTTAATTTCAATCTTGTCACAGACACTTCCGTTCAAGGAGGAAGCAATCTGAAGAAATTCTTCTCCGTCTTCTCCACTCCAAGTCCTTGGCAACTTACGCTTTTCCTCTATATATTTATGAAGAGTTATAAAAGCTAAATGAAGAGTTGAAGGCATCTGAAAGGAAATAAACCACGAAGGATATTAAATTTTTATTAAATTTTAATACTTTGTTTACTTACATCAAATTTAGATAAATCGGCGTAAACAATAGACGGCTTTTGAATTTGAGTAGAAAGAGATTCCTATACAGAAAAACAGATTAGGTATATTTTACCAGAAAATTTCTAAAATAAAACTTACAAATTGAACAGTCTTAGAAACTTTTACACCTTTCATAATACCACCACCTTCATATTTACTAAAAGATGAAGTATCTCCAATACATAATGATGATGGATCACCTTCAATTGCTATTCATTTAAAAATAAAATGAATATTCGATCAGTATAATTAACGTATACAAACTTTTAACTTGAAATAATGTGTTATTCAATTCAGTCATTCCCTTAACTTCTTTAAAAGTGACATAGTCACCAGTTTCCAAACCGTGCCTTGCATGCTCAATACATTGCACAACGCCATTTTTACTTTGATTTACGCTGTCTATAAATGTTTCCTGAAGTTCTTCTCCGTCAGCATCAAATATTTCAAATGAGTCACCAAAGTCACAAAAAGTAGATGAAATAATTCCAAATACATCGCTCGAAATGAACTAATTAAAGAAATAATAGAGGATTTTTATACAGTTTTTCTTCACAGTTCACCTTATAAATTATAGATATGGTATACCTTAATCTGAGGACTCTTTGAACGACAGTATTCATTGACAGTCATTTGAACATTCAAGGGACATTCGGTCAATATTACACACTATTGAATGAGAAATTAGCAAAATTCTTATAGTTTAAGACTACTATAAAACTTTCTTTACTTACGTTATAAGTATCTAAGTATGACAAGTTTGAAGTGTCTACGTCTTTTTCGATTGTTTGAATTTTACAGTAAGGATTCAGTTCAGCAATTAGATTAGCACACGCAGACGCTCTATAAATAATTGAAATTGTGACTTTCTTAGAATTTGCAAACCCTATAATTGGAAGTATACAATAAAATATATCTAAATAATAACAACCTGTTTAATCCGTTCACAACATCTGTTTCTTTGATAAAAAATTGCGTTCCCAAGTCTTGGAGTGAACATATTTCATTGTCTTGTAGAGTCAAACTCTAGCAATAGATATAAATTTAAGATAGAATAGCTAAAAAAAAGTTATATCTAAACAAACCTTTACTCCTGCTAATGTAATGTTCTTGGCTAAAAATAATAAGAAAGTATAGATAAGTTGACATTTTAAAAAATAATATTTGATCAACACACCGATTTCAACCCCAAGACCTCCAAGTCCTATCAATAGTATATCGCTTTTGGCCATGCGCTTCATAGCCATGTCTCCTAAGACATAGCGTTGGCGGCTGAAAAATTTCAACAATTATTCTTCTATTTCTCATTAACATATTAATAAAATAATAGTGAAAAACCTATATAAGGAGTCATCGATTTCCGGTTCTATATCCATAGGTTCAGACGAAGCCATCTCTTAGTATGGAATGTCGCAGATCTACAAACAAATAACAAATTTATTTCCTAGTACATTTATTAATCGTTTTAATAATATATAATTGAAAAAATATGCATTATCATCCTACTGATTTCTAACGGTTTCGCAAGGTTCTGGGATTTTCCAACGAAACCACACTCTCCAAAAGGTTTTTTTTAGAAAAATTTCTTAATAATGTAGGTATATTGAATTAAAGTATTTGGTATACATCATAGAACATAATTCCGACTTTTATCTAACCTTGAAATTGCGAAAAAAAAAGGAGAAAAATTTGCGATGATACCAGTGGGCAACAAAGGCGACTGGGAAAGAAACTGTAAAACTGCCTATTCATTTTTATGTTTCGAATCATTTACGATTTCCATTAAAATCTCGTTTACATTAAATTTTTACCTTTTTATATATTATTAGTTTTCGTTGTGAAGGCGGAATATTTTATAAGATATTTATCAATAAGCAGTACGAATTTCGTTACAAAAAATCGGTTTAATTATAAAGAAATATTTCATAAAACGGATGTATCTTAAACGCGGGCAAAATATAACCGTGAATGTCAAGGTCAAAAGTTTGTTTACTGTAGATACGGAGATTTTCGAAGTTATCTTACTTTGTTATAAAAAAATAAATAAAATAATGCCAGCCGCCGCTCATGTAATAATTAACTATGGACCTTATAATTCCTGTGGTCTAGTTCAACATCGCGATTGTAGATTAGAAGGCTTGATAAGTAAGAATATAATAAACATATATATTTGATTCTACAAAAATGCCTTCCTCTTTTAGGTGTTCTAGAAAAATATAATCATACTGTAGAAAAAAGACAAATACCTGACTGGAATGTAGTAGAAGTATGGGTTAATGGTGAAAAGATATATTCATGTGACATAAGGGATTTAGACTATGGTGGAGACGGTGAATTAGATGAACTATGTGAAAACGCTTTAGAAAGAGTGTTTAAAGCATTCTGAAGTAATTATCCAAGTTCAAACGTCACTTCAACTTCTTTTCTCTGTCAATTAAATATATTTCTCCACTGTCCAAATATGATAAATATTTACCGTCAAATATAATAATCGTATACAGTTGTTGTGTTTCACTAACTTTAATATATATCCGTATACAAACACACAGATTCAATATAGAGAGAATGTATAAAAAAGAAACAATTTATTAGAAATTCTCTGGCCTCTCCATATTTTGATCTTTTTCTAATGTTTCTCTTATTTTACCTTTCTCCAATTAACAAAATTATTTTCTCCCTTCTCCCGATTTTAACCCTCTTTCTCTTTGTTTAAACCTTTCTGTACATCTTGAATAATTGTAATGTCTCGAGTTATTGTTACTTTTATTATGGAAACAAATACTCTACTATGATTTTTCATGTCTGTGGAATGCATATATGCATAAACAAATGATATTTAGAGAAAAATGTTAGATAACGATAAAGGGGACTTTGGACTGTGAGTCCTCTACATGTCCTGAAATCGGCTGTTTATTGTTCCTGATAATTTCTCTTTAAAAACTGTTTTTGTACAAATCTTAGTGAACCTTGACATTTATATAAGCGAAAGTAGTTCACATTGTAAACTGGTAGAAAAGTGTTAGCCTTTAGCACAACGAGAGGTTGAACACAAACACTTTGAAGATGGCTAGACTTCTACAAACCAGAGTGTTATTGAAAAAATCGCTGAACTTGATAATCCCCTGTCTCGGGTCGCAATCAAGGTCGATACACAATGATTCTCTTTTGCCTGAGACTCATAGAATGCTGAAGAACTCTCTTACAGATCTTGTTGACAATGAAATTGCACCTTTTGCAAAAAGGACCGATTCGGAGCATAGATACCCTATAGAATCGGTAAAGAAGATGGGTGAATTTGGAATTTTTGGCCTCCTTGTCCCCGAAAAATATGGTGGTGGAGGTTTAGACACACTTGCTTATGCTATAGCTATGGAGGAAATATCTAGAGGATGTGCAACATGTGGAGTTATCGTTTCCGCTCATATATCCCTCTATCTATCTCCAATCTTAGAGTTTGGAACAGAAAAGCAAATTGAGCGCTATGTTACGCCCTATTTAACAGGTGATCTTATAGGATCTTTTTGTCTTAGCGAACCTGAAAACGGTAGCGATGCTGGAGCCGCTTCCACTACATCAAATCTAGAGGGCGATAACTGGATTATTAATGGCTCGAAAATGTGGGTAACAAATGGTAGTTTAAATGGGGCGTCTGTTGTAATGGCTACAAGTGATAAAGCTAAAAAACATAAAGGTATTAGTTCATTCATTGTTCCGAAACCCTCTAAAGGCGTAACAGTTGGAAAGCCTGAGGATAAGCTAGGTATAAGAGGCTCCCCAACTGTCCAGTTAACTTTTGAAAATGTAGCCATTCCTAGCGAAAATTTACTGGGGCAGACAGGAGACGGATTTAAAATCGCTATGAAGACTCTTGACTGTGGTAGGATAGGTATTGCTGGTCAAGCTATTGGAATTGCTCAAGCATCGATTGATTGTGCAGCAAAATATGCAATGGAGCGAAAAGCTTTCGGTATTCCTATTGCACAACTTCAAGCTATACAAATTAAACTTGCCGACATGGAATGTCGCACTCAATCAGCAAGACTTTTAGCATGGCACGCATCCACTTTAAAAGATAAAGGTGAAAATTTTACAAAAGAAGCTGCTATGGCTAAATTATGTGCTTCGGAGGCTGCAACTTTCTGTTCACATCAGGCCATCCAAATTCTTGGTGGAATGGGCTTTGTAACTGATATGCCAGCTGAACGTCATTATCGAGACGCAAGAATAACTGAAATTTATGAAGGAACATCTGAGGTTCAGAGATTAGTGATTGCGTCAAATTTATTGAAAGAATATAGTTTTTTGTAGATGTTCTGTTAAATTCTCAAAGTCAGCGTACAAATGTCAATGTCTAGAGTTTATCTAGAGAAGTAGGAACAAAAAATATAGGCTAATAACTTTGCTAATATATAACCTGTAATAAACATAAAGCAGACGGTATTATTTTGCGTAGTGCTTATTTCTTCTGCCTTTCCTCCATATTACAATTGAGTCCGTGGTAGTAGATTATCGTAGCAAGCAGATGCTGTCCAAGTTGATAGAAAAAGAATTGATACTTCAAGCAAGAAGTTAATTGAGATAATTTCCGTAGTCTGCTGTACAAATAAGCTATGGAATTAAATTTCAAACACGAGAAAAATTTACAAGAACTGTATTTGTCGCGTTTTATCCAATTACACTCATGTATCTATGTAGACACGTTTTTATATACGCAAAAAAAAACTAACAGATTGTTAATATCCCACTATCTTATTATGTGTCGCTAGGTGCCTCAAAAGGATTTTAAAAAAAAAAATAGAATTCAATTTTTCTTTACAAGTCATTCACCTTATGTACTATCTTGAATGTCTTGTTTTGAAAAGAAGCTTATAACAACTTTAAAGCAGTATATTATCGGTGACTCGATAATTGGGAACTTTATCTATTAGAATTGCTAATAATTTAGTGGAAACTGTAAAGTCGTGGGAAGAAAGAGTATATGAAATACCTGGGTATACATAAAGATTGAACATGTATGCTAGGCCGGAATTATCAGATTTCTATGAAATGACCTATAAGAGGCGCGAAATCCGAATATATGGAAACAGAATTGATTGCTCCATTTCCCGCGCCTTGATATAAAAGTCTTTAAAAAAATAATTGTTTGAATAATTTAATACTTAATTAAGAATATATTTACTCTATATTTATTTTTACTTACTATATTGTTGTTGTTTATGGCCTAGTTTTAAAGTAAAGTTTATAGAAAAGGGATTCGTTAGATGGCGTTTATAGACGCATGCGCAAAAAACCACTGTCTGCGCAGGCATATTTGTTTGACACAATTCTGCATTTTATCGCTCAAGTTATTTTAAAAAAACGCCACGAGATAATAAATTTAAAATACAATTATAGCGCATCGTATAATTACGTGTAAATTATAGGCTGTATATTGGAAATTTTTAGAAATATAAAATAGTTATGCAATTTAATGTATATCGTAGACTTGTATGTAAACACGATTTGTATTGAATCAGTCGGCCATTTTGTCTGTCTGCAAGCACGGTGTTAGGATGTCAACAAATAACCTGGAAAACCGCAATTCTACTCTCCAGTCTCTGCAAAATGGACATGAGACTGAGGATGAAGATTATATAGAAGAATACAGCCTTCCTATAGCTCGACTTTACGGCCGTGACTTCGAGTATTTAATGCGGAGAAACCGCGTGATCATAGGCCGACACAATAGCAGCAACGCCGGCGAAGTGGATATAAGTATTGGAAACTCGAGTTTTGTTTCTAGGAAACATCTAGAGATAATTTTTAAAGAGGGAGACTTTTACATGATATGTGGAGGAAAAAACGGGGTTTTTGTCGACGGTGTATTTCAACGTAGAGGAGCACCTCCGTTCCAACTGCCTAAAACGTAAAAATATTCTTTTTAAAAACGAAACGCTAAATTATAATTTAAATGCGCAAATTCACTTATTCTTTATGAAAGGTAAAACATATGGGCGCTAAAGACCCTGTAAATGTACTGTTCTTATCTTTAGGAAAATTACAAATAATTCTTTAATTTTAGTTGGTAAACAAATATGTTTACAAGAACTTTTAGGTATAAGTTTCAAACAAAATCTGTTCTGATTAAACTGAAAAAAGTTATAATTAAGCAAGTTATCTCGAAATTTTGTTTTCCTTAGTTCTTTTTAAAGAAGTTAAACGTTCTGTTTTGAAACAGAAAGTATAAGGAATTCTTAGAATATTCTTAAAACATTTTTCTTAAAATCAATTGGTAAACATTGTTTATAAATTAATTTTTATTTTACAGCTGTTTCCTTCGATTTCCGAGTACAACTATAAAAATTGCCTTTGAATCACTACCTTGTAAATCAGAACAAGTTCGCCAAATACCTCGAAATGGGCATAGAAGTTCGACTAGTCCAACAGGAACAATCTCGGCAGCGAACTCTTGTCCATCGTCTCCAAGACCAGGAGTAGTTCAAAATCCATTTAACAGTGAGGAGTCCAAATTGGACGATGGAAAGCCGCCTTACTCCTATGCTCAGTTAATAGTTCAGGCAATAGCATCCTCTACGGATCGTCAATTAACGTTAGCTGGAATATACGCGTACATTTCTAAAAATTATCCCTATTATAGAAGTTCCGACAAGGGATGGCAGAATTCTATCAGGCATAATTTATCTTTGAATAGATATTTTGTTAAAGTACCTCGAGCTCAGGATGAACCAGGGAAAGGTAGCTTTTGGAGAGTTGATCCAAACTCGGAAGAAAAGCTATTCGAGCAATCATTTAAAAAACGTAGACAACGAGGAGTTCCTTGTTTTAGAACGCCATATTCGGCACCTGTATCTCCTAGTTCTCAAATGTTTGGGCAGGATGACTCATCGAATGACATGCCACCCCCTCAACATGTTTCGGTGCCATTACATAAAAATGTTGGAACTCGGTTGTTATTATCACAACCTGGCCGAATGATGGTAAATTCGGAGAACTTGAAACCAGTTACTCTGCAGTTAGATGGATCGTCGAAAGCTCCCGTGCTTCTTCATACAGTAAATACGAGTCAACAGGTTTGTTACTATATTTATATCTCTCTGCAGCAGAATTTAGATTTTATCTAAACCGTTGACAATAAACAATGACTAGATAATATCTTTAAATAATATCACTAGGAACAACGTAAATAAATGCACTTTTAATTTCATTTATTTCTAAGTTTTTATATAAAGAAAGCTTCGAAGTTCCTTATTAAGATAAATGCAATTTACAGATTTTAATTTAAATACCTTATCAACGGCCGAATTATTTCTCCTACTAGGAATTTAAAAATGTTTCTAAATCATTGACTTATATATATTATATATATATATATATCAAATTACACGATAATAATAATAATAATAATAATAACAATAATAAACAACAATAATAACGCAATATTTAATATCTTGTTCGAAATTATCAATTTAATTATCTTCTATATTACTCCATTTTCTCTTCCAGCCTCACTTAGTCATGTCCGGAAGTGTGCAGTTAAAGCGCGAAAATGAAAATCAGGATACCCACGATGCCGTTAAAAGATTGAAAGCAGAGCAAAACGGTTAGACTTTAGAAACTATTTAAGCAAAGTCCATAAGAAATATTTTTCCTCTTGTTTTTGTATACTTTTAATGTTCCGTTTGTCGTTTTAGTCAAAAAGTGATTAATAATACGACCACGAATGATTTTATTTTTAAAGTACTTCATACGTCGTATGAAAATTGTGCTTTTTTTCTTCTAATGACAGTGTCGAATCTGCATTTTTTTTTGTAAATTATTTACATCCTAATATCATTACGAAGTCTTGGAGAAGTACTTCACCCTTTCTTGTGCCGTTTGTTGTTGTTTATATTTTTCCTAATAAAGAATTCTTCGAAAACAATTGACTAGTATAATTAAAAGAGAGGGAACATTGTTATCTCTTCGTCATTAACTGGTTTCATTGATTAATTAATTACTGTATACTGTATGAATTGTTTAAAAAGTGGCTGTTGCATTCTGATAACAAGCACGGAGCTAAACGATAGGATTTGATTAATTTTTTTCTGTAGAAAAAAATCATTGTGTTAAGAGTTAATCGTAGTATCACTCTATTTAAAAAGCAATTCTATTTGAATTAATAAAATTAATTGTTGATTTTATCAGAACTATTGTCTTTTATCAAAAATAAATTCCCTTTTCAGTAAATGTCTTAAAGATATATCAAAGAGACAATTTTAGGCTTAAGAAAAAAAGCTGGCTTATATTTGAACAGTAAAAATTGGTTAGTGTAATCGATTAATGTATACAAATAGTTATTAGGATCAGGTCGCTATGGAGTCAATCAACAAATGGAAGTAGACGCATCGCCTTTTTAGAGATTATTGAACGATTTTTATACGCTTAGCAACTAGATAGAAGTTTTTCGGGATGTCTAGGCCCCCAAGTATCGTTCCACAAGCTACCAGGACAGTTGAAAATTGTGTAAAACTACCACCTTTAAAAGAATGCGATAATAGGAAAGCGGGTCGTCTAAAAGCAAGGTAAATAAAATATTTTTAACATTCTCAGAGAGTGATATTAATCTATACAAACGGAGAACGAACCAACTATTACATTTTAGTTTGGCGAATTGCACTTATTCAAAAAAAAAGAGCTCTTTCTACTGAAAAAAGATCAAAGATAGAACTGCAAAAGGCATTAGTTTTACTATGGTTAAAAACTAAGTTATTTATAACCACTCTCCTGCGATGTATGCATATATCTAAGTCAAGCTTTTTATACTCTCCTATATTTCTTCCCTGATAGAATTATCAAAGCAAACAATATTGCAGTTTTCACGCCATAATCATTTGTCGAATAAGTGAAATATTATTAATATTAATATTAATACGAAAAGCAATCCTATTCGTCCAAAGAATGATCAAGTTAACATTCAACTGCTAAATTGTTAATAAAGTCAATATTTTAAATAATATTCCATTGAAAGCTTAAAAGTGGATTTAATTATTATTTAATTGATTGTCTTTTATTTAAATAATAATAATAATTTAATTATTAATTTTTATTAGTTTAATAGTTGATGAAAACCTACCGACTATTAGTGAATATAAGAATGAATATATTAAACATGCACATCAACTTACGAAACCTATGCGTCCTGAAGAGGAGACTACGTTTAATCAAGATCGTCTAGACGACCTAACTACCAATAGGTGATTTTTTTACATTCTATTCATATATTTTAATGATCACCAAAAAATACTATAATAACAACAACAATGTCATTTTACAAATTAAGCGCCATCTATTTGGCTCTATGAAATTTATTATTACTATTAAGATTTTCCGTTCCAATTGGAATTGCTATTTATCTGGAATGGTAAAGGTCATTCTGTTCTGGCTGTTAACTCGATGATTTTAACACCATAGGGTAGATTATATTAGACATGAGATATCGAAGACTAAACCAATTAGGAAAATGGACAAGTACGTTTCCCCCGAAACTAGAATGGAGGATACTACTTGCTACAAAACGGATTTTGAAAGTACTTATATAACCAAACCGTATAGCCTTTTTAAGGAGTTAATGACACTTAATCTCATATATAGAGAAAAAGATCGATAAACGTAAGCCGATGAAGGCGAAGAGTGAGCAAAAGATCTCTGAACCGTTCAAAGGCACTCCAATTTATAGAAGTATTTTATTAGCAATTTTGTGAATAATAGCAAAAAGAAAATACTTTTTTTCTTTCTTCACTTAGCGGAATACGTCGAGTGGCCCCTTTCCAAACCAAAACAACCCGCTAAAGCTGAGTACGTTCGTCCCAACATATCATTTGAGGGAACGCCTACGTATAAAACAGATTTTATTCGCTATAATGAAAAACCTAGACGTCTACTTAAACCGAATCAAGATTCTATTCGAGCTGACGAACCTTTGGAAACGAGAACTGGTTATAGAATGGATTTTGTTAAACATCCTCTTCCGGAAAAGGCTAAGAGGAAGCGAGAAGTTTGGCAATCTAATGGATCGTCTTTTGAAGGGATTACTAATTATACAACAGATTTTATTCAGAAAGAGTATAGTAGGCGAGAGAATTTTAAACCGTCCGTTACTAGCTTTGAGAGTAATGATCCGTTAGAGAATCGAACCACTCAACGAGACGATTACATTAAGTGGGAAGTCACATCTAATAAGATACAGCCTCTTCCCGAATACGAGCCTCCCACAGAACCAATTGATTCTAGAACAACACATTCTATGGACTTTACTCAGAAGCCCTATAGCAAAGTGGAGAGTATTAAAGTTATTGGCGAGAAAAAGGTATTGGAACCATTTGAGGATAAGACAAATTACTCACAGGATTATCAAAATTGGAAAGGAGAAAAGGCCAAACCAAATCCAAGAAAGAATTATGAACCTCTTTCGGCAAAATTCGAAGGTATTCCCACATACGCATCGGATTTCGTAGAACACGAATTCGCAAAGAGGCAACCCATTAAACCAAACTCTGATGACATGAATAGGGATGCAAACAGATTCGACGAGAATACAATTTACAGAATAGATTATACAAAAAAAGCAATACCAAAACAAAGAGTATTGGAAGAAACTAGTGGTGGTTCAGTTGTTTGGTATGAACCAATCAGTCATCGACCCTTTCTATCTATGACTGAGAATGAAAATGCAGAAGGTTTGGCTTGCAAATGAATACTAAATTAAGGTCAATTGAGATTAATAAAGCTGACAGCCTGTTTTTATGTTTTTGTTTTATTTTTCATTTGTAATAACACCTTCTACGTGCCTCTATTTAAATAATTTTTCAATTTTCAATTAGTAAATAAATCTCAGCGCCACCGAGTGGTTGCTAACGATATCTTTATTTTTTTTTCTATATGTAAATGTTATCATAGTCCTCTAAAAATAAAGAAATGTGCCATTTCTGTTCGACTTGAATATAGGGACACATTTAGTTTTGTACCCTCAGAGAGCTTTCTGTTGTCTTTCATCCGTAGAAGATATCTAATAAAATACAAGCTGTTTGTCAAATTTAAAATACTTTTTTAATTATGGCACCAAAATGCGTTGTTTGCTATGTTTGCGGTAGAGAATATGGTACAAGATCGATTGGAATTCACGAAAGCCAATGTCTTACTAAGTGGAAGATTGAAAATAGAAAGCTTCCTCCTAACCAACGTAGACGACCACCTGTCAAACCACAAGTTCTTCCATCCATATCAGGCAGGACTCAACACGATATTGATAGATGGAATGAAATTGCCGCTCAAAGTGCTGCAGCCCATATGGCGTGTTGCGAAAATTGCGGTAGAACATTTAATCCGGATCGTTTAAGTATTCACCTAAAGAGTTGCAAACCTGGTAATGCCTCTAAACCAGTAAGAGGAAAAGAGGGTTTACTTAATTCAAGATCCCGTCGAAATGTGCATCCTGGATACGAAGACGAGTACGAATATCATAGTTCTGCTGATATAACAGAATACGTGGAATTCGATGACGACTATAATTCAAGTTCTAGTGAGCGAACTTTAACGAATAATTATAAAAATCATAAAATATTACAAAAAATAGATGTTAACGAGTATCCCGGACCCCATAAGTCGCCTAGAAGAAACAACGGTAATAATCAACAAGGCTATAGAACTGATCGAAAAGGTGATACCAGAAGACCAGCAGATTATAAACCTCAGTCTGACGGTTTTAAATTTGCTAATAAACCTGGCCATAGACCTGGAGGAGGACAGTTTGTACATTGTTACATTTGTAATCAAAAGTTTACTACTGCGTCTATTAAATTTCACGAACCTTCTTGTTTAAAGAAGTGGCATATTACGCAGGAACAACTTCCGCCCCATCTCCGCCAAAGACCGCCAATCAAACCTAAAGAGTTTGATATGATGTTTGGGGACGATGGAGAACGGGGTGGCGGCGGTCGTGGAGGAGGGGGAGGCGGTCATGGGTTCATGGAAAATAATTTTGGAGGCGGCGAAAGTACTAGGTTACCGGGGAAGGGCAAATATAATATTAACGCGTATAATGCAGCTATGCAAAAAGCTGCCGAAACAAACATGGCTCAATGCCCTCATTGCAAGAGAACATTCAATCCCGATCGAATTCAAAGACACGAGGCTGTCTGCAGGAAAACGAAGAGAGGCCGCACAGAAAGATCAAAACAGCTAAACAAGAAAGGACCATCAGCAAGTGGTCTTATGCCTTCGGCATCAAAAAAATCTAGAAAATACGATGTTGAAAAAGATAGAAGAAGAAGATATCATAGTGTTTTAGATACCCCGCAAGGTAGACGACATGGTTTCGTAATTTGTCCTGGATGCGGAAGACAATATACTCACGCTTCAATACAAATACATTTACCCAGATGCGGCGCTGGAGCTGGCAGGAGAATGGGAGGAAAAGGCAATGTTAGATCCACTAATTACGAAAGAGAATCCGGACCGTGAGTATGTTTGGTAGCAAATGTCATTTTTTTAAATGTGGGTATAATATTTTTAGCTCGGTCTCCTTTTCGAATCAATGTCAAGGTTGCGGAAGAACATTTGCGGGTGATCGATTAGAAGTTCACCAGCGAGTTTGTCTGAATGTAAACAAAAATTACTCTTTGAATCAATCTTCTGATTATGTTTATTTATATTAAATACATTAATTTTTCAGAATCCCAGCTTATTCCAGTCAAGAAGTCCTCGAAGAAATCCTCCCATGAATACTAACAGACCCCAACCAAGCCCAAGAAGAAGTTTGAATAAAAATCAAATAGCAGCTTGTCCTAATTGCGGTCGCCAATTTAAAGCAGAACGTTTGCCAGTTCATATGAGAGCTTGCAGAAAATAGTATCCTTATTCACAATTCTCTTTTTTCCTTTTGAAATCTATCATTAAACAAATTCCCCTTATTCTTGTACATGTATTAAACAAACGATCACTTCGTGACTATTCAACTATTCAAAGATTATAATAAACTATTATTTATTCTTAAAATTTATGAAAATATGACGTAAGAGATTAATTAACTTCTTTTCTTTATAAATTAAAAGCTTTTATTTAAAAACAAAAAATAAATAGAAAACAAGATCAAGATCAAACGAATTACGTACGATATATAGGCCTAACATTTGTTTTTTTTTGGTTTTATATATATTGTTAAGGAGTGTAAAATTTACTCTATTAGTTGACTAATAAATTATTTGATTCAAACTAGTTTTAGGATATAAATTCTTATGTTCAACAGAGTTACTTTAAAGCGGTTCCTTTCTTTTACATGAAAGATGGAGTAGTGTTTTTTTTGTTCGTTTGTGATGGATTTTTTTTCTAATAAAAAAGAAACGTTATCTATATTCTCGCTTTTTTTTGTTAACAAAATACAAAAGTATAAAAGAAAAAGAAATACAACTAAAAAATAAAATTAAAGTCTACGCAGCCGATGAAAATAATCAATCTTTAAGATTGTGCTGGTTATTTTCATTCTCTTTTCCAAATTTCTTTTTTCCTTGTACAACTTGACTTTCTAAATTTCTATTACGACTTTCTAATTTAGACATTTTCTCCCTAAGCATAAGTATCTCTTCTTTTAGTTGTTGCTTTTCCAATACTATCTTTCTTACGTGTTGAACCTTTTGTTTATGATTATGATGGCCTAACAGTTGCCCGTATAATTCGGCCATTTTAGCAGCATCGTTTTTAGCTTCTGATCTAGCTTGTTGTAATAATTTTAAGTGATCCTGAAAAGGTTCAACTTCATTTCGAAGTTGTTCGTATAATTTCCTAAAATGTTCGGCCTTCTCCCTAATTTCCTCCAGTTTTTCTAGTGCAGAATCTCTTTCGTCTATATAAGGTTGAGCCTGCTCTGTCGAACAACTCTTTAAAGTCTTCAGGTTCTCTTCGAGATCTAATACATAAGCTTCCACCCTGCTTTTTTCCGTATTTAATGCCACATATTCATCTGCTATATTCTGTCTTGATATTTTAAGCGCAAGATACTCTTCTTCCAAATTTTCTATTCTTTTTGATTTTTCATCTAATAGATAGTTATACTCTTCAATACTATTCTTATTGAAGTCAATTTTAGCTTTCATCTCCTTCAGTTGTTTGTTAGTCGATTTTAAATCAGATGATAAATGCTCATTTTCAACTTCTAATTTATCTTTCTTTTCCTTGCAATCTGAGATTATTTTTAATAGAATGGAATCAACAAATTGACCTTTTACTCCCAAAAACTCCATTGTTGAATTAACAAAGCATTCATATTTTTCACACCTAGATAACGACTCGTTAACTTGTTGCTTTAACTCCATAATTTCCTCGTCTTTTGTAGCGGTTTCTCTGTTTAATTTACTAATAGAAAAGATTTTTTCGTCAAGCTCCATTGACAGAGTTGTGCTTCTTTCAACCTCACCATTCCACTTTGTTATGGTATCGTACAATTTTCGACAAACTGTTTCCAACGTCGTTTTTTCTGCTTGAAGTTCTTGCGTAAGTTTTTCATTCTCTTCCTGTAAGTTCCGACAAAGTGATTCAGTTTCATCACTTAACACTCTAGTCTCTTCTTTAAGTGTCAAATGCTCCAAATTAATATCTTCAATGGCTGAATTTAATTTTTTAACTTTTTCCTGTAAATTTAATTTTTCAGAGGTCATATTTTGTATAATTACATCACTATCTCTCTTCAATTCCTCATAATCAGCAAGCAATTTGACTTTACTCTCATTCGCACAATCCAACAGTTGAATTGTTTCTACTTTATCTTTCTCTAATTTTTCTTTTATTATCTCCATATCTTTGAAATCTTGCTGCAATTTGCAATTTTCAATATTCTTACTTTCCAATAATTGTTTAGTTTGTAATAAATCTTTTTCCAGTGTTTGCTTTATCTTTGCCAATTCTTCATAATCTGCTTGCAATATACATCTATCCTTGTTTGTATTTTCCAATTCTTGTTTCGTTTCTATCAAATCCTTTTCCAATTGTTCGCAGTTTTCTGCCAGTTTACATTTGTCGTTGGTTATATCTTCTAATTGTTTATTCCTATCCAACAGATCTCTTTCCATTGCTTCGATATTTGTTTGTAATTTTTGATTATCTGTATCTTTTGCTGTCAATAATTGTTTTGTATTTGTCAAATCCTTTTCCATTTCGTCTCTTATGTTCTCAATATTCACTTTTTCATTTTCAATATCATCTTTTAACTTTTCTATTTCTTTCTTTTCATCTTCAGTGTTGCTCAACTTATTCTTCAACTCTAACAATTCATCGGCTTGTTCCTGTAGGCCTTTGCAAGCGTTGCTATAATTTTCTCCCAGAGATTCAAGACTGCTTTTCAAAGTATTATTCTCACTTAAGCTTTGCTGTAGGTTTTCTCCAATAATTATTTTATCTTTCTCCAATTTGTTAATGCTATCAGCTGCTTCCCCCAGCTTATCAAAGAGATCTTTATTTTCTTTAATTTTTGCTTGTAATTCCTCGTCTATAGCGAGATTAGTAGCATTTAGTTTTTCACTTTGTTTCTTAAAAGATAATAATTCGAATGATATATCTTCATTCTCTCTAACGAGATGTAAAATACTTTTTTCAAATTCTCCATTCTTTTCTTGTAAAATCTGAACAGAACGTTTTAAAATATCATTTCTTTGCTCAACTGTTTTTGTTTTTAAAATGGCTTCCGAGTGTAAATCCTCAGAAGCTTTCTTTAGGATTATAAGCTCTCCTTTTACAGATTCCAATTCGTCTGTTACACTCTTTACCTTTGATTTACGGAATGAGTCAAATTCCTTTTGAATATCTTGATAATTACATAAAAGTATGCTCTTCTCTTCTTCAGTTTTGCTCAAATCCAATTTATATTGGCTAATATTAGCTTCAAGCTCATGTTTGTATCGTTCAAAGCCTTCTTTACAGCTATCCAATTCAATTTGAACCTCTTTTAGCATTGCTTCTAATTTGCTCTTTTCCCCTTCGCAATTAGACAAATTTTTTAATAATGAGTATACTTCTTCTTTTAGTTCCATTTTACACTTTGTAAAAATTTCCTTATTTTCTTGTTCTTGTTTCTCGTAACCTATTTTACAAGACTCTAATTGTTTCCTTACTTCTTCGAGATCGGAGTTGAGCAGACAATTTTTCTCTTCTAGACAAGATTTATCTGTTTTTAGTGAGTCCATATCTTTGCCCAGTTTTTCATAACTCTCTTTCAATGCTTGTTTATCAGATTCCAGACGAGAGGTTATCTGTCTAAGATCAGAAATTTCAATTTTAAACCGCTCTCCATCTTCTTTAACTGAACTGTTTTCTTTTTGTACACTTGTGAGATCTTTTTCAAATTTATTTAATAAATTACGTGCTTCTTTTAATTCTTCTTCACAGTTTCGTTTTTCGGCTTCAAGTTTAGCTATTTTTTTTTTTAATTCTTCAACTTGGCTCTTTAATTTCTCATTTTCCTTCATTAATGATTGCTCCTTTTTGCCTCTATCGTTGACTGACTTTAGTTTCACTTGAAGATCGTTACACTCGATTTGAATTTTTGATATTTGCCGTTCTTTTTCGTCTAACTCTTTTTCCAATCGTTTAATTTTCTGCTCTTGACCACTTGACATAGCAAAGTCGCAAGGTATTTTAAAACCATCGTTGTCTTTTCTCTTTGAAGGTGTGCAATTAATCAATGCTAGGTTATTTAAAGATCCACTGGAACATGTGGAAAGTGAATGAGCACTACTGGCTCTTCGAAGAGATCCATCTTCATCAACTTTATCAACGAACCTTTTCCCACCAGTATCAATGAACGCTGACGGAATTTTAGATTTAGCCTTTGGATCATAGCTACCTGGAGCTGGATTGTCATTTGAATTATCGTTAAATCTCTTAATAGAAGCGCGAGGAAAGCTCATTTTAGTTTGATTTGGTTTTATCGTTTTAGTGCCAAAATTAAAATAAAACTAACCAATGAGAGAACATATAGTAAAAAACGGGTTCTTGTTCCGGATTGATTTTTAACGAGAACAGTGAAAACCGAAACCAGAAAATGATTCTATATGCTGAACAAGAACAAGCGGTTACCGGTCGATTTCAAGGTTATCCAAAATGGCGTCCAAAATAAGACAAGAGATGCCCCCAGAGGGAGGGTATAAAGAAGTTCAATGGAAGCGTGTGATGCCAAAAGCCCATTGGAGCGGTCTGTATAGTTTTTTAATTTTTAAATTTTGAAAAATAAAATTAGATGAAATCTTCTATCGTAATAAATTCAAATATCATTTGAGCGATAAATGAGAGAAATATCCTAGAACTTAAGTTTGATCATACCCTACATCTAGGTTATAGGACATTTCTTGCGTTTGCTGCTATAAATGGAGCAGCTTGGTTTGCTTACAAGTGGCAAATGGCATATGAGGCGTAAGTTATCAACAAGTCTATATTATGATTCTCTACATCATTCTATTTTAACTCAGTAAACGCCGATTGGACGAAAATGATGCTAGAGTAGCTCTAACTCCGCTACTTCAAGCTGAAAGAGATAGAATGTAAGTTAAACTGGTCAAAATCACCAATGAAAATTGCGACCAGAGTCTATGCATCATTACAACAGAAGTCAATGACTTAATTCTGTCAACAGGTTCCTCCGTCAAATGCGAAAGAACCGAGATGAGGAAGTTGCAGTAATGAAAGATGTTCCTGGATGGAAAGTAGGAACTTTGTGGGGAGAACCGATTTTTCACAATTTGGCAGAAAGGTTTTACTTTGAGTGATTTTTATTTTAACTGAGCTAAAAGTGTACTATTTGGACAGATTTCCCGTTGTTATGGGTGAAGAAATTTATATGCATAGCAGGAAGGCAGACTTGGAAGATCGGTTTTATGAAAGAAGACGACATTAGAAAAAAAAACAAAAAAAATGACAATTCTCCTGTGTATCTTTGTACACATGCTTAATACTGTTTAATTAAATCAGTCATAAACTGGTCTAAAGCCTGTTTTTGAACCTCCAGCAGGAAACGGTTGATCATTACCGCGTTGAGAACCTCCTGTTTGAGTATTAAAAGCACTATGAAAGTAATTATTTAAAGTTTATAATGGTTTTACTTTGACTCTGTTGCCCTGGCGCTGGTAATTGAGCTCGATCCATTTCCGATTGAACCTGACAGTTAAAATTGAATTTAAATTTTTAAGAATTATATGAATTGTTTAACTATACCTTCATCCAAGTCATATCTCCATCATCTTCTCCCGATATAACCATCTTTTTTAGGCTTGGAATTTCATGAAAAGGCATATAAGCTTCTCCTATAAGATTACAAAGACTTCGTTTAAATAAGTTAATCATTGTTAAGTTAGGAAAACCAACCAACAGGCAGTCCTCTTGCTTTTCGCTCACCCTCAACTTCAAAATAAGTTCGATGTTCTTCCCAATGTTTATCGCAAGCGGCACATAAAAAATTGGATATAAACCTCCCACAACCACAACTTTTACAATTTAAATTGTTAGGATCATGTTCTTCGTGTGTGTGCTTGCATTTACATTTGGCTCGCCAAGTTGATGGATCAAAATTTCGTCTTCTAGCAAACCAAAATTCTCCGACGTCCTCGAACCGAGAGGGTATCCACTGAAAGGCTTTACACCTACATTCCCCGCATTTAAATCTATCTGTTCTGCCTTTGAAAAAATTTTAATATACTGTTGTCTTATATTTTTTATAAGCATACTCATGGCTTTAAATTCTTCGTGATTTGCTAACATATGACCACAAAAGCATTTTGAATGTTTGCTTACTCTTTGGCAATCATGTTTGAATTCGGGGCAGCGCCATCCAATATATAATCCTGAACGGTTATCAGATAGAACATACTAGAGCTTACAATTAAAAATTAACCTGATCTAATAGCATCTTCGGCAGCCTCTCTTTCGGGATCAAAAAGTGTTTTTACTCGACCTCCAAAGTCATCGTTCATGGCTCGAGCGAACGAAACTACATCGTAGTTTTTAGCAGCTTTAACTTCCCTCTTTGTGTATCCTTTTGGAGCCAGAGTACCATCAGGTTGCTTTTCAAACTGAGCAGCAACAGCGCTTGCCCTCTGCACTAATTCAGAACTTGGTTGACCCTTTTTTTAAAAATTTATTGCCTTGCGTAATTAAAATTTTTGTTAAATCGAACGTACTCGTCCTCTTCCTCTACCTCTTCCACTCCTACCACCGGGTACTGCTACAGTCTTTTTTTGACCTCTCGAACTCATTTTCTCCTCAAATTTATTTTTGTTTAGCTTGAAATATTAAGTATTATTTGCCTACATTCGTGTTGTTTCCTCTATAAACAAGGTAAAATAATGTGACGTCACTAAAATACTTGGAATTCCCATACCGACGCCTGGCAACAAAGCAGACATGTGAAGTAATTTCCATTCAAAATTCAGATAGGCCTGCATAGCTATTGATAAGTAAGTATTAAGCTAAATTAATGAATGAACAAAAGAGATAGATGTTAAAATTTTATCACAGCTGTTTAATTTTCGAAAAACGAAGAAACAAAATTTATAGCACATTTTCAATTTATATTCATTTAATTCTATAGTCTTTTTAAGAAATCCAAATTCCAGTTGTCCGGTATCTGAATAGTTTCAAAACCTATCGAAGTCGGGCTAAATTGAAATGTAACTGCAAAATTGAACTTTTTATCCATAAGCAGTTGTTGAGTTTGTGTTGATTTAACATCGACTAATTTTAATTGCATTTTCCTTATAAATGTTACCGGAACCCTTTCTTCAAATTCATCGACAGGTGTATAAAGATTTAAAATTTTAATTATCTGTTTAAAAAAATCAGAAAAAACAGAAATATTAATAATTCTACATATATATCCAATATACTGTTTATACTCAGTATATATTAATATTATGTACCTGGGCAGCGGTCAATTTCGTGCACATTTCACATATTGCATCGACATCTTCTTCCGATTTTCTAGCTTGTAGTAATTGAGATGCTTGAATGATGGGTTCTAATGTCTCCAACGTTTGCTGCTGAGCTAATTTGTTGTCTCTTAGCCACTGTTCTAGATGAGTTACGTTGTATCTAATGAAAAAATGAACATATGTATAGAATTTATTTTATTAGGATGATTGAATAAATTCAATTACCTAATCTGCATAGCCTTACTCCAATGGCACATTTCCTTTCTTAATAGAAGGTTATTTAAAGAGTTAGCGCAGATAAAGTAGAACAACTGTTAATAAAGAAATTAATTTAAATTACATAATAAATAATATTAAACTTTGGAAATTATACTTGTCTAAAGACTTGATTAGTTATATCGGGATCGAGTGAATGTTTATTCAGTACTGATAAGAATCCATCTAAGCATCTTAGAAGCCTCTCTAAACCTGCTTCAGAATCTGTAGCGTCGGCGCTATGTATTCTTCCTCTTAAACCTCCTGGCTTTCCCGCCGATAAACCTTGAATAGCTTCGTGTTCCAGTACAGCAGATACAATCAAACTTTCTAATTTCTTTTCTAGATGTTTAATAAGACCTTGATATATCCAGACAGCGACATCCATAAGAACCGGCCTATAGGGTGACAAGTCGAAATTTCTTAGACAGTGTTCATTCTGCTTAGCGGTATTTTGCTTTTGGAAAGGTGATTCGCCGCTATACTGCTTAAGATGATTTAATAATCTACACGAATTCGATAACCATAACACCATAGATTCTAACTCTTCACCTTTCCTATTCTTTACAGCAACTTTAATTGAATTAACAGCAGTCACCATTAAAGATTTTAATTTCTCATCATCATTTAAGTAGTCAGAGTGCCTAATACACATAAATAGAATATAAGCTGGAAGTGACGGAAGTTCACTTGAGGCTAGCGTTGGTTCTAAGTCGATTATTAGATTTCGCATTAAAGTTTGCTCGTCTTCCCTTTTGTATTCTAACATTCCAAGATATTGGCGATTGCTATGATGTCGAACTTCTGGTAGATTATCGTCAATGTCAATATCAGTAATGACAACATCGGGTGTTTCATTATTCTTTAATTTTTTAGCATAGATTTTCAATGCTTTTTTCAACTTCTTGATTAATCTTGTTTGATTTTCGGCGCTTTCCTTTAAATCCAAATTTTCAACAGTTAATTTAGAGACTTCGTGTTGAAGTGTTGAGTTGATAACACTGTCAGTACTGTTTTCTAGATTCTTTGATACTTGATCTTCTAAATGATCGCACTTCTCTCTTAGTCGAGTAATCTCACCATTATTTTGTTTTTGAATTTCTTCAGCCTGTTCTATTTGAGTTTTTAATATCATGTTTGACTCTTTTTGGCTTCTATAAGCCATTTCTAATTCTCCATCGTCGTTAGGCAGTGAATTTTCATTATCTTTCATCATTGGTAATCCATGAGTTCTGGAAGTTATCATAGTTCTTAATTGTATACATTCTTCGCGTCTTCTCTCCAGTTCAGCTGACATTGCTTCGAATTGAGTTAAAAATTGAGTTAAACCTTTATCTTCATCCTCAGCAATACTTGCTCTTATCTTTGTAATCTCTGTCTTTAGCTTATTATTCTCCATTTCGACTTCTTGTAGGCGTATAGCATTTCTGATATCGGTATCCGAAGAATCTAAAACATTTAAGTCTTCCTTTAATTCGCTTAAATCCTCCTTCTGCTCCAATTGTTTCTCGAGGCGTGATTTATCACTTTCCAAATCTCGAACTCTGTTTTGCAGTCGGCTAATAATTGACAAGTCAGCTGGTGACATCTAAATAATAAGTAGAACAAAGTAGAATTAATATCCAAAAAACTAGTTTTTTCAAATTAAAAATTCGTTATAAAAGTTTTTTTTTTAAATAAAAACTGAAAGAAGAACACCGCCATAACTCGAAGGAAGAAAGAAGCTGGTAAAAGTAATTTAAAGTCTTAATTAGACTGTCCATTTATCCAGATATATAAAATACCACAACATATATATATATTAGTATATATATTGTATATATACAAAAACCGAACACCATTAATATTTTAAACATATTTTTTTGTACTTATATACTTATTAATAATTCAATCTATTCCCTTTTAATTTACTGGATAATACTAATTTGTTTACCTTTCTTTATTTTCAACCTAAAAATGATAATTAATTATAATCCTAACAACTAGATAAATGCTGGTGTTTTAAAAAAAAAGGAATTAATAACCTGTGTGCCATTTTTCTTATGGTCACTGTGAGCTCGTCTTGGCAAAGTTCCTAGAAAGAGAATTGATGTCAGGTGATATTTTGTAAATATTTAAAAGAGTTATATTAAAATCACCTTGCTCAGAGTTCCTTTCGGAGCTAATACCGGATTCTGATTCAATGCTTATATCGCTTAAATCTGATAAATTTCTTCGATGTCCGTGCTATTAAAAAAATAGATAAATAGAAAAATAGATTTTAAGTATATATATGTATATAAATTACTCTATGCTTTGATTCTTCTTGAAGGCTTGTATACTTTTGTAATAATATTTCATATTCTTTGATAACTTTTTGATGATTGACTCTTTCTATTTCAAATTCTTTATTTGATTCGTCTATTTTCTCATTAAGCAAATCTATTTGGATATTATTAATAAAATAATAATTAATAAATATTAGAATAATATAGAATATTATAGAATAATAAAAGAAATAGATATTAATAACTTCTTACCTGCTTGGTTTAACTCAATTTTGTCAACACTTTCTTTAGCAGTCGATAGTTTTAAAGTTAAAGTTAAGTTTTCAGCTTTCAATTCTTCCATTATCTATTTTTTTGATAATTAAATAAATAATTAATTAGACCACTAGAGGAATCGTTAATTAATAATTAATTTATAATTTACTTTTCTATCTTCTTCATTCCTAAGTGTTTGATCTTTAATTAACTTTTCTTTCTCTTCTCTTTCCTTATCTATTTCTGCTTTTAATTTTTCTATTATAATTTGTAACTCTTCAATTCGACTACTTTTAGTTTTGCTCTCAGTTTCAAATTCTTTAAGACGAACGCATTCTTTTTTAGCTTCATCTAATCTTTCTCTATCCTTCTTTAATAGAACCATTTCATCTTTTTGATCTTCGATTTTCATTTGAAGAGATATAACCTTATTCTCTAATCCTTTAGCAACTTTCTTGATATTTTCAACGGAACGAGCTTCGATTCTTAAACGTTTGTATTCTCTCTTTGCCAATTTTCGTCTTACATGAGCTTGAAGCTGAATAATTCCTTTTATACAACGTTTATAAGTTCTTCTAGCGTTCCACATTTTTATAGTCTGTTGTAGAAGAAGTACATTTTTGCGCATAAACTTTTCTCTGTACTGATCCCTTGCCAATTTAGCTCTACCATATGTCTGGATTAATTCAACCGATCTCTTTACAATATTAAACTTTCTCCTTGCCTTGAACATTCTAAAAGCACTTTGTAATCGTAGACAAGCCCTTATTCTTCTTAATTGTTCAGCCTTCTTCCTAGCTAACAACGATTTACCGTAGCATTGTACAAGAAGGATAGATCTTCTAATCTTTTTATATTTGATTCTTTGGAGCCATCCTTTAATAATTTTCTGTATTAATATAGAGCTGGCTTTAAGCTTATCGGTTCGTAGTTTTTCCAAGTAGGCTACTTGACCAGCACGAAAGAATATTTGAGTTTTACCAAATTGGTATTTATCCTTTTCCTTAATTAGGGATTGTAAAAGTTTCTCACTAGTTTTTTTAACATTCTTCTTATTAATATCTTTAAACTTTAATAATAATTTATATCTTTGGAAAAAGTCTTGATATTTCCATCTTGATGGATAACCAGCTGCGCTGATCCTTATAGTTTCCAGTACACCGCAAGCTCTCAGTTGTTGTACAGCTCTTTTGGGTTCAAAATTGAAAGATGCTTTTATATCATTAGGTTTTATACAACGAACATAATGCGGTGTTGTTGAGAATAAAGTTTCCATTAATTGTGTGAGCGATACTTTAAATTGCGATGCAACAGTTTGTTTATGAGATCTTGTAGAACGTTGACTTTCCCTAGCAGGTCTAATAACAGTTTGTTTTTTATTTGTATCTTCGTCTGCGAAGAGCATTCGAATGAAGTCTCTTTTACTTTCTCTCAAAGCCTTAACTTGCTCTTCGAGAATCGTATCTCTATTCTTTTCCAAAAATCCATCCGTAAAATATTCAACATCGTCGGCAAAATGATGTATAATAAAAGATTTTTGTCTCATTCTAGGTACCGTAAAATGTTTGTTCTTTCCATGTTTAGATCCCAATTTCAAACACCAATTAGAATCTGAACCTCTAGGCATCTATAATTTATTTTTATATATATAATATAGAAATTATTAAAATATATACAATATTTATTGTATAAATAAATTAAAACAAAAAAAACAAAAAATCATACCTTACATTCTTCGTCGAGCAGTTCCAAAATTCCCAACTTACCTTCAATTAAATCTATACATGGTTGATTGTCATAAAAATCTATAAACGACCACTCAATTTCTTCTTTAACATATTCCTCTTGTTCCAATTTGAAAACGTGCTAATAATATGATATTTTAATATCATCTTATAAAAATAAGAGACATACCAAACAAAATTGTTGTTGTAATTTTTCATTTGCATAGTTTATACAAAACTGTTCAAAACTATTTACTTCGAACGTTTCAAACCTATTTGAAAAAAATGTAAGGAATGTTTATAAATAGATATTATATATATATATATATTATATAACGACAAAAAAAAACTATTATTTACCCATAAATATCTAAGACACCAATAAATTTTGTGTGTTTTTTTGCAATATTCAAACGGTCGTTCACCAATTGAACAATGTAATGAAAAAATTTTGAATAAATGTACTTAGATAAAGCATCTTTGGTGAAAAAGGCCTTGATAATTAAAAGGGAAGAAAAAGATTTAATTAATAATAATAATATATAATCGATTAAACAGCGTTACCTGACTTTTTGAAAGTGGTTTTTCAAAAATTTCATTACCAGTTGTTATTTTCTTTACACATAGCCACTTGCGCATATTCTCTTCATCAACACCAAATAATCTAGACATTAAAGGTAGATGTTTATCCCTTTCAGATATTGAACAAGATTCGCTATCCTCTTCTAGAAAGACGACATTTCCTAAATGTAAAATTCCTGCTACTATTCTGTATAATTCCATTTGTGTAGCGTGACTAACTCCCAACATCAATAAAGCATCAATAGTTTCCTGAAATAACTCTTCATCATTAACACCATCAATAATTGGAGCTTGACCTTGATTTGTATAAAGAAATATATTTGGATCTCCAAGAGATAATTCCTTATAATCATCGCGATCTGATACCGCACACAATTGATAAAAAATATGATAATTCCTTTCGTTTGATGATTGAAAGACAACGCGAGATTTTTCCAAGAGATAAGTTCTCATATGAGCTCCAATGAGGGTATCTTCCTTGTCGAAACCTAATTCTATATATTTTCCAAATCTGGAACTGTTGTCATTTCTTGTAGTTTTTGCATTGCCAATAGCCTCCATTATGGGATTTGAAGATAAAACTTTTTTCTCAATTTGTGTATCAGCCTGAGCTCCTCCAATTGTAGCAAAATATCTCATAGCATATTTAGCACTGACTGTCTTACCAGCACCCGATTCACCACTGACTATAATCGACTGGCTTTCGTTGTATCTAATACAATCAAAATGTAATAATAGTAACAGCAAAAATTTAAAAAAATACCTCGATAGCCTTTTATAAGCCTCTTCAGCAACAGCAAAAATGTGAGGTTCAAGATTTCCCATATCTTGACCTCTATAAGTTAACATGGTATCGCTGTCATAAATGTGCAGTTGTTGGTAAGGGTTTATAGCAACAAGGACGATTCCTTTATTAATATTAGGAGAAAGGATAGAAAAATTTGTGAATATACAAATGTTTATAATTAATTATATTCAAATAACATACCGCAATAAGTATAAATAATGTTTCGATCCAAAAATCTGACTCTTAAATTATGCAAAACTGTCAAAAACGAAAAAAAAGTTCATTATTAACAAAACGTTTTTGTAAAAACAGGAAAAACAAAATATTTATTTACCAGCAGGTTCGTGTAAATAACTTAGCGATGTTAGATCATTTTCACCTACTAAAATCTCAGGATTGCGTAGAGGAGGAAGATCATTTTTAGACTTAACTTTTATTAAACTTTCCTAGTAATAGGTTAAATGAGAAATTAAAAAAAAAACAATAAAAATTTTATAATTTTATTGTTTTTACTTCTCCATCTTCAAATAAGATTTGTAGTTCATTTCCATTAGTATAATCCTCCTTGAGGATAGCACTCTTCCAAACCTCGTGCTCGTCGGCCACCCAAATTCGGGCATCCTGTTATGAATAAGATGACAATTAGACATTAAATAGTGTCTATTTAACCTTTTTCCAGGCATATTGTGGAATAGTTAAGAATTTGAAGTCATTTTTTAGATGAAGATGAGCTGGAATATGTGTTATTTTCTTCGCTTTAAACAATTTAATACGTTTTTGTGGATAGTTATAATTCATATGTCGCCAAAAAACAGACATATTTGTTTGAATGAAATGGTAACTTTGAGAAAACATACAAATATCCATTTAAACGGCGGGGTATATTTCAACAGAAAGGGAATTTAATATTTATGAACCGCCTATAATTGGATAGTTTGTTTTATCATGTGCATTTATGAATTGTACCTGCAACTGTGTGTTCCCAAAATAGATTTAGTCACGTTTCATGATATAACTCATGTTGCATTTACTATATACTTCTAAAAAATTTTTGTCATTTAACTAATTAACACATTTGTGGGCGAATCGATTGGTTTTATAATTTTCCTTAGTTAAAGAACGTAAATATGGGAACTAACCTTCGAATATAATTCGTTGACACTCATTTCAGAAACGTTTATTCATCTCTTTGTGTAATTCTTATAATGTTTTCTAACGTGACTAACACCTGTAAAGGTAAGTTGAAAAACTTAATTTCGGAAAAGTAATTTACTTGACAATGAATAAAACCGCATTTATAAAATAGGAAAGTTTTTCTAAAAAATATACATGCATATAACTAATCAGGATAAGTTTGAATTAGGAAATATATAGCAGTTTTTCGAAGATCTTCAATTTACCTCCCACATCTCGTAAGAACTCGCTATGAGTGTTTTGCTGTAGAAGCGTATTTTTTTTTAAATTTTTAATAAAACTCATATTTTTTAAACAATTGAAAGTAGTTTTAATTAAAAAAAATAAAAATTACTTTTTAATCTTGAAGAATAAAATTACGACTCGATAATTTTCCTTACCAGTTTTTAAAGAATACTACACACCGAAAGTTACCGGAAATCGCCATCTTAACTTCCTTTTTTTCCGAAACATCCGCCATCATGGGTCGCATGCACTCTTTCGGGTAAATTTTGACTTTTTAAAGGGTTCTAAGACTAAAATTGGATTAAAAATTATACTAGTTTATATTTAAATATGGGTTTCTTTGATTGGAGCCTTTTGTTAACGAAAATCTCCATTATATCAATAGTTGTCATTAATCACGTGTAACTGCCTATTTTCAGTAAGGGTATCTCCCAATCTGCTTTGCCGTATCGAAGAAGCGTTCCGACAGTAAGTAACTTAATAACATTTTTAATGGTATTTCATACAGTTTTTAAAAAATTCTATCGTTTTTTAGTGGCTCAAAATGAGCAGCGAAGACGTAACGGAGCAAATCTTAAAGTTCGCCAAGAAAGGTCTTACTCCTTCTCAAATCGGTACGACTGCTAAGATAATTATTTACAAAGTATTCACCAATTAATTGATTTTAGGTGTCATCTTGCGTGACTCTCACGGAGTTGCCCAAGTTAGATTTGTAACTGGCAACAAGATTTTGAGAATCTTGAAATCTAAAGGATTGGCCCCATCCATCCCTGAAGATTTGTACTATTTAATCAAGAAGGGTGTTGCCATCAGGAAGCACTTGGAAAAGAACAGAAAGGTAAAGGAAGAGTATATAAAATACATAAAATGTTCAATTTTCGATACATTTCAGGACAGAGACGCCAAGTTCCGTTTGATCTTGGTTGAAAGTAGAATTCATCGTTTGGCCAGATACTACAAGACTAAGAAGGTCTTGCCACCAACCTGGAAATACGAATCTTCCACAGCTTCAGCTTTGGTGGCCTAAATTGTTTATGTCTAATGTAAGAGAGTTGAATAAAAACACTTTGAATGAACCTCCCGATTTGTTGTTATGTTTTAGTTATATACCACATATATCATTAAAAACGGCAAAGAGCAATATGCTCACTTTGAATCTATCCTTTAGAAGAACTGAAAAACGTCTTGAAAAAAGTTTTGACATGTTAAAAATGCATTTAATGAAAGTAAAAGCATTTTCATACTAGATGTAAACACGTGTATTCCTTGTTAGAAGAAACCTTTTAAGACTACTGGGATATTCCCCAAAACAGTTAGGAAATTAGCGAGACATGTTTACCGCACAGTATGGACACTGCTAAAGTTACCGGTTTACACTACGAACAATATAGGCTGTCCACTGTTTTCCACAAGCCTCTTGTTTCCTTTTTCTGATACTCTCTTTCAATAAGAATCTTGAAGCTAAAAAACTTCTCTTTTGAATATTTACTTTATCACGATCTTAGAGTTCAGAGATCGGCTTGATTGGACTCATAATTCTATTTATGCCTTTTATCGCTCAATATGCCCATAATAATTGTCATAAACGATTTTCCCGAAGTGGAAGATGAATCCGAATACGAACAATTATGTGCTGGAGTACGCTTGGGAATAGAACAAATACTAACATTTGCAACAAAGAAATCCAACAAATTGGAGTATATTGCAGTGGTTTGTATTTATCATGTAGTATCCTATATGACACATTACTTATTAGCTGTTAAAAAGATCACAGGAAAAGATTCTAACGCACATGTTTTGTCGCACCTAACTCGAGATTATGGTTCTATTAGAGAAAATTTGGATAGGCTTACCTTACCGGAAAAAATAGATTGGAGAGAAATTATATCATGTATAAATGAATTAATTTTTGAGGAATGGATGATGGATGGAAAAACTTTTGTTTTCTGTTTAGTTGGAGAACGTCCAACCAAATGTAGGACTTTAATTTGTCTATTTATCCTTTTATTAAAGAATATTAACATAATTATTCCATATATCAGTAAGTAAATCTAGGAAACGTCCCGCTACCCCAGAGGCAGATTTCTACTTTAAATTTGAGTTTGAGTCTCATATCCAAATAATGATTATGGCTGAGGATGGTAATATGACAAAACGCTATTATGAGAAAGTCTTAGCGGGAAATAACCAGAAAGGATCAATTGAGTGTGTCAATTGGCAAAATAACGATACTATTTCTAAGAAATTTACCAGTTCTATAAGTCTTTTATCACCACCGCATATTGTTACTTTGCTTTGTGGGAAAATTTCTTGTCAAGTTCAATTATATCCCCCTGTTAAACCTTTCTTTGGGTAATTTATTAAATCAAGATATCGATCGTTAATTAATTCTTCTTGCTTTACAGTATTGTCAAACATGAGCAAGTAAACAAAAGAATCGGATCTAAATTAAAGATATATGGATTTATCAGCTTGAACGATTTAGCTAGTCCACCTTTCTTTTCAAAACATTTTTTAATTCCGACTGGAAGTAGAACCGAAGATGCACCAAAAAAAGAAGATGACCGTGGAAACGTGCCAAATGTTACTGTCTTGTTGCACGGTTCATTAAAAGTTAGGCAAATGGCCGCGGTTGTTCAACTAGCGTAAGGTTTTCGTCGATATGCTTGTTAAGTAATTTTAACTTGTTTTTTTCTCTATTAGACCAAATTGGTTTGGATTGATTTGCTCGTGTTCAGATTCAAAGAAAAAATCTAACTTAATATTATATGTATTGGAAGCAGGAAGTGAACCAGTTACTTGGCTAGGAGATTTTACTTCAATGATGATATCTAATGAATTGTCTGATAATAATCCATTTTTAAGCGAAAAGAAATCGCCTTTTCCAATAAAGACTGATGAGCGTCCAAGTTACAATCAGCCAACTATTTCTTGGATAAAATCTTCGGGAGTTCAAGTAAATATCAATTTGTTTGCTCCACGTCCGTGTTCTTTTTAAATCTAACATCAATTTCGTTTTTAGGCAGATATTCAAAAAGTTGTCAGATTTGCTAAAAAACTACCAGAGAAGGAAAATTTGTTCTATAAAGAAGTCAATAGGGTCAAGAAGGCAGCATTGAGCTATGGTTTTACATCTTTGATTCTTGGACTATCGGATATACTCGAAAGAGAAATGACATCCAACGATAGTTTATCAAGCAGTGCAAAAGACCATTTAAGCCGTACGGTTGCAGCCTTAAGATCACCAGCTGCTTGTAATGTCGATTTTATTATAAGTTCTAAATAAAAGATTTAATAATTAATTGTTTTATAACTACTTTTTTGTATTGCTGCTTTAAAAATGTGAAAGAAAAGAATATTTTCTACCAAAATACAACGTGGATAAACGCTTTAATAAAACAAAGATAGACGAAAAAAAAGACACGAAAACATTCAAAGACCATGCGTGATTCAGTTTTGCCTGCGTCACACTATCCACAAAATTATTACCACATTTATTCTTGCATTGTTAGGCATCGCTTCAGTACATGTAAATCCATAATAAAATAAAGCTTCACAAAAGACAATGCGTTTTTAGTGCAAACGTGAACAAGGATGCGATTTCCACTATTTCTGGAGGGGTAATATTATGAGGAGAGTTTTTTTTAAGTCTATTTGTTAATTACTCTTTTTCATTTAAATAAAAAAATGGTATTACAAAACTATGTGACGCAGGCAAAAAAATATTGGCCTGAGATATCTATTGTTTTAGGAGTTGTTGGTAGAGGAAACGATTAAAAAAGTAGTAATCCTTATTGATGAGGAACGTAACGTATTTCTGTAAATGCGAAACCGTTTAATTCAGGTTGGAATTCAATAAAATCGTCGAACACGTTAACACCATCCATATTGTAATCTGGTATCTATTTAAAAAAAGAAAAAGAAAGAAAAATGATTAAAAGTTAAATAAAATTCACTAAAAGAATCTAATTTTAACGTTTAAAAATTACCGAAAAGAAAATCATGCAAAAATTATAAAAATTTAGAGGTCGGAAGAGCCATTCGTGAGTCCCGTTTTCTCAAGGCCATTACTGGAAGTATTACTCTTGATTTGTGTACCCTAGAATAATTTTTTTCATGCAAAAGTTTAAAAAATAAAACACCAATGTTTACTACACTTTTACTCACAATCAACTGCAACAAATAATCCGTGATGTAGTTGACGTTGTCTTGTACTTTAACCAGACCAAGACGGGCGTTTTCTAGGGCTTTTTGAGGAACATCTTCCAGTTTGAATGTTTTCAGAATTGTAGAGCAGTGATTAACAGCAGCTTGAGAGGAACGGTGGGCATGATTACAGACATGAGAGAGGGACCAATAAAAATCATCTGTTAATTTTCTGGTTTCTGATAGGCGTCCGGAAACTGCTGGGGGTAAAACTTTGACAGTTGAGAAGGAACTTATCGTACGTTTCAACTGTATGGTTAAATGACGGGCAGTGGCGATAATTCTCTTTTCAATAGTTTCTGCGTTCGAAATGGGTTTGTTGTTCAGCTCCTCTCTATGGTCATTTTCAACTTCTTCTTCGTTCTTTTGGATTTCATTCCACACATAGCGAACTTTTCCATCAACAGCTTTCGCATACTCTATTAAATTAACGGTATGCTTGAGACGGTCAATAGCCTCAGCAGAACGTCTTTTCACATTTCTAACTTGGTTCATAGCTTGAATAAACATTCTTCTACGAACTTTTGTAGAAATAGCGACCACTTTTTCAGTTGGTCCCGAGTCTTTCTCATCTTCCTCTTTGTTTTCTTCAAATTCCTTCTTTTCATCGCCTACAGCAGGCATGTAATAGTCAACAGTGCGATCAGCATAATCTAAAATTGGGTCGACTTTGGGTAGAAACGATCCCAATTTATTTGCTCCATATTGTTTTACAGCTCCGTAAGTTTCAGAAATAAACTGTAAAGTTCAATCGATTTAATTAAAGAAAAAAAAGATCAATCGTTAAATACAATACCTCTTCAGCAGGAGCTTTTATAATTGGATACTTCTCCTCAATTACATCCAATTTCGAACAAGCGTATTCGTCCAATCTTCCAATAGGCTTTTCCAACTTTGTTACTACTGGGGCAGCAGTCTTAGCAACTACGTGCATGCCAGTTTCAGCCTTCTCCAAAGTAAACTTGACAAGAGCGGAGGACTCTTTAGAACGTTGGTAGAAGGTCGACAAGGAACCAAAGGCTGATGCAACGACCGGAAGCGTTCCAACTCGCTGGACAATGATGAAGGATTGACCTTCAGACTTCATATTTATCTAAGTTGGGGAAGAAAAGAGAAGAGTAATTTTGATGAATTGTATAAGTTTATCGTTAAAAAGCAGATCTTCACGAATAATCGAACAACAAACCCAAAAAGAATTATTTGTGTATTAAAAAAGCGTCACACAAAATAATGTTAATTAATAGTAAAAACTATCAATTTATTTCTACTCACCTATCTTTACTTTAAAACAAAGTAAAAAGAATGAGAGTTGGTAGCTTGTTTTTAATATTTATTACGAAAAGGTATCACTCAGTAAGCACGTGATTTAAAGGTTACTTATTTGGTGCCAATGTCATGGTACATCCAATGAGCGATTTTTAATGGGAAGCCTAAACCAGACTCTTATGATGGAGTCAGAGTACACGCAATGCAGACGATGTTTACTCATATTGTACTAGATCAGGGTAAAGTTCGAAAGTTCAAAGATTGATTCTTATCATTTTGATTTCTGTTACACAATTAATCAATGATAAGTAGGAGAAAAACGATTGCTTCGTCGAAATATAGACTCAAAAACTTCAAAGTACTTTATTGATTATCAAGGTCATAAACTATAACTGACGAAAAGCTCTTCTAAACCGTTTTCTCAGCTACTAAATAAACTCTTGCGCAATTTAAAAGGAAAAATGTCCAATGATGACTGTATATTTTGTAAAATATCTTCCGGAAGAGACGAAAAGACACAGCTTGTCTATGAAGATGAACAATTCGTTTCTTTTAAAGATCACAAACCGGGTTCAGATACACATTATCTAGTTGTTCCAAAAGAGCATTTGGATAGCTGTAAAGTGTTAACTGGAGAGCACGTTGACTTAATCAAAAGAATGAAGGAAATTGGGAAGGAGCTTGTAAAGGATGTGGACCAAAATCAAGTTCGATTTGGTTTTCATTGGCCACCGATAATTTTGATTAAACATCTTCACCTTCACGTGATTGCTCCTGTTACAGGAATGTCATTTATGTCAAGGTTAATATTTAGAGAGAACTCTTGGTGGTTTGTGTCACCAGAATATATGATAGAAAGGCTTACAAAGCTGAAATAGCAGTAAAACAAAATATACAAAACATATTATTGATTTTTGTAATGTTTGTAATTGTTAATGTCGTTATTTCAATCGATTGATTGAAATTTCGTTTTTTTTGTTATGTTACCTTTTTTTCTATAACACTTGTTAATCCTAAATTAATATCAGCTGAGTTTATTTACACAAATAATCAAAGCAATAGTTGAAAAGCCTTTTTTTTATACCCGTTTCCTTTAACAACTTAAGCTGTTTGCAACTAGGAAATGAAATTATACTAATGGAAGAGAACATTTCCATAGCAACAGACACTTTTGTTCTAAAAAAAATTTTAGTTTTATTCATATTAAGTTAATTTATGAACAAGTTTTAAAAAAGAATGAAACGAGGATAGAATAAAAAAGAAAAGAGTGTTTTTTAGAATAAGTTCAACAGATATACGATATAAACGAGAAGAGAAGTAATATCAAGTGAAAGCTTATATCAAATTGATTTTCCTCTTTCACTCATAAAAGATAAAAATGGTAAATAGCTTAAATTTTCTTAATACAACATTTATATACAATATATATACTGTATATATATATATTTATATATAAGAAATGGTTATTTTTGACGTAACGACACATTGCAATGAATATGCAGATTACTTTAATATCACAGGGAAAGACAAAAGTCAAACCTTTTACTCTGCTTCAATCATTCTTAGATATTGAATATTAATGATTTAGTTATTTTCGAAGAGGTAATCGGTATGTCTAAAGTATGGATGATTTCAGCAAAAGTAATAATACATAAGTATGTAGCACGTAATTTCAAAATGAAAAAATTTAATGGACTAATTTCGCCTTGTTATTGTTATTATCGTTTTTTTACATTTTAGCTAGCAATGTTGAAAATCTTCGAAACATCTACTTCTTTTGATGCTACATTGCAAAATTCATCTTTACTTATTAAACCATCTTTATCTTTGTCTAATTTTTGAAAAATTGAATCGGCTTGAACACACGCTTTTTCTTCAGCTGCTTCTTTCCCTTTCATTCGAAAAACTGCCTTAAGTACCTTAATTACCTCATCTCTTGTCAGTGCACCCGTTCCGTCTATGTCATACATATCGAATACCCAATATAGTCGTTCCTCAGTGCTTCCGCGACACGTCACACTCAAGGTAGTCATAAATTCCTTGAAATCTATGCGTCCGTTTCTGTCTTGATCATATGCATCAAAGACGTAGTCCGCTAATTCGTTGCTGTCCTGAATAGCGATTAATATAGATATTAATTAATCGAATTATCCTCTTTTTTACTGTACTTAATTAAATAGAATATATGAAAAGAATAGATCAAGTAACTCTAGTATAGGCATTTAGAAAATTAGGATGCAGAACAGATGACCTATTTTTACCTTTAACACTAATGAAATTATAAAATACCTTCCTACCTTTGCCGTAAGTTCTGAATACATTTTGCGAAATTCGTGCCTCCTTATATGTCCGGATGGGAAATCTTTTTTAAATTTCTCATGCCACTCTCTAATTTCTTTCGATTTAAAATGAGTGTTTTCTTTCAGATCGTGAACAAAGCTCTCTTCTAGGCCTAACTCGTCAGAATCTTCTCTTGAAGTACTTGATCCCATAGTTTCTTGTTAATGAAGCCTCGTCGGGAGCTCAATATTTTAATCAAATGTTACGTTGATCAATAAGCGTCTCCTAGGTGTTGAATCAATGATTTTCGAAACGAATCGCTAGAATATGCGAGTTTTTCCTGCTTGGCATTCACTCTGTAGGAATCCCTCGTAAGTCGTAGGCCTGAAGATGTGTATTGATCAAATGAAACTGAAATCCCCAAAAACTTAACTAGATGGCGCCTTTTGCAATTCTTTAATAAAATGGTGAACAAGTGCCAGTAATATAAGACTCTTTGTACTATTATTATTCCTATATGAATAAACTATAAAATAGCAGAAATAAAAATTTAATTATATAAGGGAAATGAGTTAAAACTTTTTATATAATACTAATAAATCAGAACAATTTTTTATTTTCTGAGTATGGAATAGGTTTAAACAAATTTACATAACTATTCTTATTCAAAAGATTATAATATTAAATATATTTATATCCATATATATATATATATATATATATTATTTGTTTATAATGACTAGAAAGGAAATTGTCTCTTTGTCAATCATATTAATATTAAAAAATTACCAATTTTGTAAATCGTCCAAATGCAGTAAAACTTGTGGTCATGGATATCGCATTGAATATGTTAATAATTATAAGTTATATAGGCATTGCTATAATGAAAGGTTAAGCTTAAAAACTTTTCTATTAAACTTCTACAATTACTCTAATGGTGTGTTTTACAGATGTAAAAATATTGAGGCACTATCCATTGGAAAATGGACAGTTTGGTCCTCATGGAGTGACTGCTCATCATCATGTGGATACGGTAAACAATCTAGGCAGAGAGAATGCTTGTCAGTCAATAGTCTGGACAAATTGGAAACTTGTCGTGGACTATCAAAAATGAATAGGCTATGTTTTAATCCTACATGTTCAATCCATGGTATTTAAAAAGTGATTATTTCTCCTGTTCTAAAGAGATGAATTTAAAACTTGAATTATCATTTAGGTTCATTTTCTCAGTGGTCTAAATGGTCAAAATGTAATTTAGAGATATGCAAAATAGTAAGAGAGAGAAAGTGTAACAATCCCGAACCAGCTTTTGGAGGTAATTCGTGTTTGGGACAATATAGAGAAATTAAAAATTGCACAGAAAAGTGCATTATTTCTAAGGACATTGTATTATTAAACGATGTTGAAATGTCTGATAAATTTTTCATACTTGATCCCTATCTTTTCCTGATCCAACTAATAATTGTTAATATAACGGCTTTTGGAGTTTATTTAACTTTATGCGAGTTTAATAGAAACCGCTATCCTCCTTGGAACTTGTCAGATAGAATCAAAAAATTAACTAACGAAGATAGTAACTTTGCTAAAACTGATACTCAATTTATTAAAGATTTATTTAACGAATTGCAATCAAAGGAGCTTTCATAAAAAACATAATAGAAACGTAAGAGTAATAAAATATTACTATGTCATTAATAAGTCTTTTTTATTATTATTTCTGTTAACTAATTATTTATCTTATTATCAATTGATACTTTTTATATTGATCATGCTTTTAAATACATTTTAAGGGAGGTTTTATAAAAATTTAATCGAAAGTAAAAGAATAATTGTAAAATCAGCGGCTATTGGTCGAATATTTTCAGAACGGTATCCACGCTTGTCAATAATCCTCATGAATATTTATAACACTATGCAAGTTACTGATATTTTGATTGTTAGTTAACTTGTCATAGATTTTCATTTATTGTACTTGGTGAGTGTCGGTTTAATAGATCAGTCTTGTTTAGAACTTTGACCCTTTGAAATAAACATGTGAATCAAGTACATTAAACCTGATCAACAAACATCAAACGTGTTTTTTTTTAAATCTTTAACTATTATTTGTATTATCGCTCAGGTTTTGAAACGGCACGATGCCGATTGCTATAGGATTTGAGGGAAGTGCTAATAAGATTGGAGTAGGAATTATTCGAGATGGAGAGGTTATATCTAATCCACGGATGACGTACATTACACCTCCAGGACTCGGTTTTCAACCAAGAGATACGGCAAAACACCATAGGGAGAACGTTTTAAGTATATTAAAGGAAGCTCTACGTGAAGCAAATATAACTCCAAAAGAAATTGATGTTGTTTGTTTCACAAAAGGCCCCGGTATGGCGGCCCCATTAATCTCTGTAGCGGTTGTTGCGAGAACTTTAGCGCAACTCTGGAAGAAACCACTTTTAGGTGTAAATCATTGCATTGGACATATTGAAATGGGCAGGGTTGTCACCAAAGCTGATAATCCAACTGTTTTGTATGTTAGTGGAGGAAATACGCAAGTTATAGCCTACTCCGAGAATCGTTATCGTATTTTCGGTGAAACAATAGATTTAGCTGTTGGAAACTGTCTTGATCGTTTCGCTCGACTGCTAAATCTTTCAAATGACCCTAGTCCCGGTTATAATATAGAATTATTAGCAAGAAATGGTAAAAAATTTCTCGAGTTGCCTTATTGCGTTAAAGGAATGGATGTATCATTTAGTGGTCTTTTATCTTTTATCGAGGAACGAGCTGCCTCATTGTTAAGAAAAAACGAATATACAAGAGAAGATCTATGTTTTTCTCTCCAAGAAACGATTTTTGCTATGCTTGTTGAAATAACTGAAAGGGCTATGGCTCATTGTGGCTCGAAGCAAGTTCTGGTTGTAGGCGGAGTCGGTTGTAACATAAGGTATTTGATTGTATTTAAAAACTTATTGTGCATCGAAAGATAATCCCATCTAATGTTACAGATTACAACAGATGTTACAAATAATGGCAGAGGAAAGAAATGCATCTGTATGTGCAATGGACGAAAGATACTGCATTGATAACGGTGCAATGATAGCTCAAGCTGGCTTGCAAATGTTTACGCACGGTCAAAGGATGGATTGGAATGAAACGTTTTGTACTCAAAGATATAGAACGGACGATGTGTACGTTTCTTGGAGAGATTGAAAAATTAGTGTATTCTCTCTACTGTTGCTTTTTTCATACAGTTTTTTATATTCAATTTATTATTTGTTAAATAAATCAATTTTTCATTTGTAAAGAAATCAAAAATTCAGGAAAGAAAGAATAAAATTAAAAATAATATAACTTTATCCCAGTTTTAAAAGAAAACTTCTTATTGATTAACCTATTTTACATTTTGTAAATAACCATTCTTACATCTGCTGAGATGAGGTTATTTTATGCATACAATTTCAATAGCCTAGTTTCAATAAATGTTCATTTGGTGTAATATTCTAAACTATCAATATTAGAGAATCCACGTGTCGTTCGCTTGTAGTTATTTTCGTACGATTTTTTAATCATAAATATAATAATCTTATCTGAAAGGAATATTCATTATAGATAAAAAAAAGACATATTTATGCTTTAATTGATAGCGAAAGATAATCTTCTCCCTTAAACTTCCGCAATTCAACCCTATTCTGCTTTCTTTTCATGTGCTTCAAGCGTTATAGGTTGCAACTGTGGTAAGATATTAAAAAAATAATTGTTTATTAAATTATATTTATAATTGAAATGCGTGAGCAAAATATAGGCTTATTTCTACTAAATGTTAAAATGCTTTAACTTTATTTAATTCATTCATTAAACTAAAGAAGTTTGGTCTTTTGAGAAACAAAAGCAAAAATAATATCTGTAAAGATAGACTACGTAACATATATATACCGCACTTAAGCCGCTTTAGCTGGCCTAGATACCCTATATAACTCTACTTCAATGTCTTGGTTCATTTTATATTTTGGCGAAACTTGAATGATGCAATTTCCGAAATTTAAATAAGAGGCCATTCACTTGCTGTTCGGAGTTTCAATAAAGCATTTTAAAACAATACCTTTATATCTGTATTTAAAACTATCTGGCTTTAAAGGAAAATTCAACTGATAATTAAAAAGTAAGCTTATGTTTTCTTGATATGACAGCGCAATAACATCCTATACAAAAAATGTCTTTAGATTGCTTTCTAAACGTAAGGAAAGTGATCGATGTGAGAAGAAATCCATGTGTTTCTATTTCACAATACGATATATCTAAATTTCAATCTATATAGTGAAAGTGACGTGTACAGCACAGCTGTTTATAAAGTTCTGCGATTTTGTTTCTATTACTTTTTTCTATTCTTCTTCGCAGGTCGATATGAGAATATTAACTGCCGCTCAAAAATTTTCCAAAACAACCAAACTCTGTTTGGAACGTAATTTTTCTGTAACATCCCAGTTAGCACTCTCAAATAGAAAGGTTTACATTTTTTAAATTAATATATTTATAATGCATAAACTAACTGTACATTAATTTAGCCTACAAAGGCTTCACTTATTTTGGAAAATGGAAAACGAATGCAAGGTTATACCTTCGGAAGTGAAGTTTCCAGTGCTGGAGAAGTAGTTTTCAACACAGGATTAGTAGGGTAAGAATATAATATATTATATTTCTTGTTCGATATTTAATTACAAAACTTTAACTTTAACTTTAAAGATATCCAGAAGCTTTGACAGATCCAAGCTATAGAGGTCAAATTTTAGCCTTAACATATCCTATTGTTGGCAATTATGGTGTGCCAAATACAAAAGAATTAGATGAGTTTGGACTTAGGAAATATGTCGAAAGTGATAAAATCCAGGTTTTCAACTTTTTTATTTGGCTTTTTTTGTTGAAGAACAAAAAAAACAAATTTAATTAATTAGCTAATTAATCAATCAGGTTGCTGGGCTTTTGGTTCAAGACTATAGTCATCACTATTCCCATTGGAACGCAACCAAATCCCTATCGGACTGGTTGAAAGAGGACAATGTTCCAGCCTTGTACGGAATTGATACGAGACAACTTACAAAGCATATTCGAGATAAGGTAAAAAAGATAAAATTTGGATAATTTTAGATGTACCGGAAAATAAATATTCTCGTTTATTTAGGGAACGGTTCTGGGTAAAATTGAATTTACCGACCAGCCAATTGATTTCGTTGATCCAAACTTGAGAAATTTAATGGCTGAAGTATCAGTTAAAGAACCTCAGATATTTGGAAAAGGCAACAAATATAGAATTGTCGCATTGGACTGTGGCATAAAGCATAACATGATAAGAAATCTTGTAAAGGTAAGATAACTTAAAATTTTTTACAAGACTTTTTTCTTGATTACCTAGTTTTTAAAAAAAAAAAGCTTTATCATGGAATTTTTGTTTCCTAACCGTTGCTATAAATAACTGTAGAGAGGTGCTGAGGTCAAACTTGTACCATGGAATTATGATATATCGCAAGAGGAATACGATGGACTTTTCTTATCAAATGGACCAGGCGATCCAGCTTTATCAACTGATGCTATTAAAAACTTGAAAAAAGTTTGTATTTTATTAATTATTGGTTTTAATGGAATAGTTTGCAAATTAATTTTTTCTTAATTATCAAGGTATTGGATAGTGATAGGAAAGAACCTTTATTTGGTATTTGTATGGGTAACCAATTGACGGCTCTTGCAGCTGGTGCTGAAACATATAAGCTCCCTTTGGGAAATAGAGGTCATAACCAACCAGTAATTAATATGTTAAATGGACAAGCATTCATTACATCTCAAAACCATGGATTCGCAATTAATGACAAGACTTTGCCGGATGGATGGAAACCACTTTTTGTCAACGCAAATGACCAAACAAATGAAGGAATAATGCACGAAACCAAACCAATCTATACTGCTCAATTTCATCCAGAAGCGTACGGTGGACCAACAGATACTGAGGTTTGTTTTTACATGAAATAAGCTTGTTATCTAGAAATAACTGTGTCCTTTTCAGTATTTGTTTGACAATTTTATGGATTTAGTTAAATCTCAGGGAAAGCATATTTCTAAAGTAGCTAAGCCTGTTATACCTATGCCTGAACGAATTCAAGTAAAGAAAGTTTTGGTTCTCGGAAGTGGTGGTCTATCTATTGGACAGGCTGGCGAATTTGATTATAGCGGTTCTCAAGCTATTAAGGCCCTAAAGGAGGAGAACATTGAAACAATTCTTATGAATCCTAATATTGCTTCTGTACAAACAAATGCTGAGGGTGAGAAACAAGCTGACAACGTTTATTTCTTACCAATTACACCTGATTACGTTGAGAGTGTTATCAAGGAGGAGAAACCCGACGGTATTCTATTATCTATGGGAGGTCAAACAGCCTTAAACTGCGGTGTAGAATTATACAAGAAAGGAATTTTTAAGAAATATGACGTTAAAGTACTTGGCACACAAATCGATTCAATCATATCAACAGAAGATAGGCAAATTTTTGCTGATAAACTAAAAGAAATTAATGAAAAGTTGGCTCCTTCCATAGCTGTCGAAACTGTCGAAGATGCAATTAAGGTCAAATTTCAAATGCGTAGCATTTTTAAGCATAGATATATTATATTTCTATATTATATGTTATATTTACTAATTTGGTAAATTGTTGTAGGCTGCTGAAGAAATAAAATATCCAGTCATGCTTAGAGCGGCATATGCCCTAGGAGGCTTCGGTTCTGGTGTGGCTGAGAATGAAGAAAAACTTCGAGATATTGCAACTAAAGCTTTGGCTTATTCCAGTCAAATCTTAGTAGAACAAAGTTTACTTGGGTGGAAAGAAGTAGAATACGAAGTGGTTAGAGACGCACATGATAATTGCATTACTGTATGTAACATGGAAAATTTCGATCCTCTTGGCGTTCATACAGGAGACTCTATTGTTGTTGCTCCAAGTCAGACATTATCTAATCAAGAATATCACATGTTGAGAGAAACTGCTATTAAGGTTGTTAGACACTTTGGAATTGTTGGAGAGTGCAATATTCAATACGCATTGCATCCTGAATCTTTAGAATATTGTATTATTGAAATTAACGCCCGATTGTCAAGAAGCTCGGCTTTGGCATCCAAAGCTACCGGATATCCTTTGGCTTTTATAGCAGCTAAATTGGCTTTGGGAATTACTTTACCAAAGATTCCTAATGCTACAACAATGTCCACAACTGCATGTTTTGAACCTAGTCTCGACTATATCGTGACCAAAATTCCAAGATGGGACTTGGATAGATTTCAACATACATCTAAAGAAATTGGTAGTTCAATGAAAAGTGTGGGCGAAGTAAGAACTAAATATCAATCTCTATCGAACATTCAATTTTTTTTTAATTACAGGTTATGGCTATAGGTAGAACTTTTGAAGAGAGTTTACAAAAAGCTCTTCGAATGACACATCCATCTGTGGATGGATTCACAGCAAAACTTCCGGCTGGCAAAGACTATCCTGAAGATTTCAAGTTAAACGATAATCTAAAACAGCCACAAAATTCCCGTATTCATTATATCTGCAAGGTCTACTTTTAAATTAATTAATCTAAATTCATAAAACTGACTTCAAAAATGAACAATACATAGGCCCTACAAGAAGGAAAAACTGTTAATGACATTCATCAATTAACACAAATTGATCCATGGTTCCTGCATAAACTTAATCGTATTGTAAAAATGGAAAAGAACTTTGCAAAACTTGATTGGTAAAAATATAATAATTATTTATTTATTATTTATATCATATTATAAAAAAATTATAGGTCTCAACTAGACAATGAAGATATACTACTTGCCAAACAGGCAGGTTTTTCAGATAAACAATTAGGATCTGCGTTGAAGTTGCCAGAAAGTGAAGTAAGAAAGATAAGAGAAAGTAAAAACATTAAGCCCTTCGTTAAACAAGTATGATTTTTAATGAGAATAACTCTTGTTTAAAAGTTACTATTTTATGATTAGATTGATACAATGGCTGCTGAATATCCTGCAGTAACAAACTATTTATATTGTTCATACAATGGAATGGTAGATATCTTTTATTTGATAGCTAATTTCTTCATTGATAATCTTTTCATTATTATATTTTTAAAAGGAACATGATGTGACCTTTAATGACAAGGGAACAATGGTTATGGGTTGCGGTCCCTACCATATTGGTAGTTCTGTTGAATTTGATTGGTGTGCCGTATCTTCTATTAGAACTTTAAGACAGGACGGCGAAAAGACTATTGTTGTTAATCATAATCCAGAAACAGTGTCAACTGATTTTGATGAGTGTGATAAATTATATTTTGAAGAATTATCTTTGGAAAGAGTGATGGATATCTACGAACAAGTACGTCAATATCTGTATCCACTATGGTAAAAGAAACACCATAGATTATAGGAGCAGTTTATTAATAGTTTAATATCAAATGCCATCTATTTATATATATATATATATGTTTACAGGAAAAATGCAAGGGAGTTATAGTATCCGTCGGAGGGCAAATCCCAAACAATCTTGCTTTACCGTTGTATAAGAATGGGGTAAACGTATTGGGTACTTCGCCGATAATGATTGACAAAGCCGAAGATAGATCCGTATTTTCTGCAATTTGTGATGAAATTGGAGTAGAACAAGCCTCTTGGAGAAGTTTGAGCAGTTTGGTAAGTTGTTCATATAAATTTAATTAGCTTAATAAACAATTAATAAATTATTGTCAACTCTTACAGGAAGATGCTTTGGACTTTGCTGCATCTGTTGGTTATCCGTGTTTGCTTCGACCATCCTATATCCTTTCAGGTTCTGCCATGAATGTAGCCTATGGGCCTCAAGAATTGAAAAAATTCTTGCAGCAAGCTGCTGAAGTTTCCCAGGATCATCCTGTTGTTATTACTAAATTCATTCTTGGAGCTAGAGAAGTTGAAATGGATGCTGTTGCAAAGGATGGACAGGCTCGTTTTTTCTTTATTTTCTTTTTAATTTAATTAATGCTATTGTTTTCATTTAGGTTGTGGGTCACGCAATGTCAGAGCATGTCGAGGATGCTGGAGTTCACAGTGGAGATGCTACACACATCCTTCCAACTCAAACTATAAGCGAAGAAGCCATTAACAAAGTAGATATATTATTTAAATACTCTTCTTAATTTTATATTTTCAAAAATTTCGTTTAAAGATTAAAGATGTCACTCGTAAAATTGCCAAACGATTTGAAATATCAGGACCTATGAATATGCAGTTTTTAGTAAAAGATAAGGATGTTTTCGTGATAGAAATGAACCTTAGAGCCTCAAGATCATTCCCATTTGTATCAAAGACTATCGGAACTGATTTGATAGCATTAGCAACGAAGATTATGACTAATCATCCGATTGATATTGAATCTCTTCCAACATTAGAAAACCCTCATAATCCCAAAGATTATATTGGGCTAAAAGCGCCTATGTTTTCTTGGCCTCGTTTAAGAGATGCTGACCCTCTTCTCCGATGTGAAATGTCCTCCACTGGTGAGGTAGCTTGCTTCGGAAAGGACGTTCATTCAGCCTTCTTGAAAGCTATAATGTCAACTGGGTACGAATAGAAGATTACTGTTTACCTTTTCGATTCTTTTTCCTATGTATTTAATTTTCAATTTTAGATTTAAACTGCCGCCAAAGAATGGAAAAATCTTAATTGGAATCCAACATAGCTTCCAGCCTGACTTTTTACCAACTGCAAAGGCGTTCAATGATAGAGGATATCAACTCTATGCCACACAGGCCACCGCTGAATATTTAGAACAGCATAACATACCAGCCAAAACGGTCGGATGGCAAGTAGCTAAAAATGCTGGTGATGAAGAATTTCCAACAGCAACCAAATTAATTCAAAATAAGGAAGTGGATTTGGTTGTGAATCTTCCAAATCATAACACGAAGTATGTCCAAGATAATTACTTGATAAGACGATCGGCTATAGATGCCGGTGTACCTCTACTAACAAACTTTCAGGTTTGTAATCAAAACTCTATTACCATTAATACTTATTAGACTTTCACCTACAGATTGTAAAGTTATTCGCTGAAGCTTTGGATCACGCTGAAGACTTAGATGTATCTTCATTGTTTCATTATAGATTGAAAAAAGATAAAACATCCTCTGTTTAGTTGTTTGATCTAAATAAAAGAAATGCAATTGCTTGCATAAACCAGTAGCAACGAGCGTTTTCTATTATCTTTAAAGATAATTTAAAGAGCTGTAATAGTATGTCACATATTGACATTCACCATGCACTGTAGAATTAGTCTATTTGATATTATTCATATTTTAGGAGCATGGTATAGTTAATTTTAGTAATAGTCGAAAAGAATTGATTTGAAATTTCCGCCAAAAAATATAATTTACGAATGCTGTTTTCAGCTATAGGTGGCGCTAAATAATTTTCCGAAATAGTTGAAGATCCGGTGAACAGCGATGTGGCTCTTCCTTTCCGCCATTAAACCAGCATGGACAAGCAAGGAAATCCTGTTAGACTCGCTAAAGTAAGAATTTAATTATTTCTTATGAAAGTTTTTGATTTTAACTTACTCTGTTAAAGTTAAAGAACATTTCTAACCAAGAAAATTTAAAAAAAATGCTTTTAACAATGATTTGTTCCTTTATCTGACGATAATGGGGAAGCATGTCGCTGCCATTTTGTATTAAGTTTTTTTTTCCTTTCAGGTTACTAAAATTTTAGGCCGTACTGGCTCGCAAGGGCAATGTACCCAAGTTCGCGTCGAATTTATCGATGAACAGAACCGTTCTATCATCCGTAACGTTAAAGGCCCAGTTCGTGAAGGCGACATTTTGACTCTTCTCGAATCTGAAAGAGAAGCAAGAAGACTCCGATAGGTAATTATTAAAACCTTTCACTCATAGACAAGTGTTCGATAGCACGCTGCATAAGCACGATGCATTTTAACTCAAAATTCTGACGTGTTGTCGAACCACGTGCTACGTAGAGCAACCCACTTCCAGCTCCTAAGAGATAAGAAATTCGTTTCTTAGGCGTTTTCCCTTGTGGGAGATTAGTATCTTTGATCTATATTTAGTATTGATATATAAATGCTAGATACGCTTGCAAAGTTACAACTCTAATAATTTTTTTCTCTGCAGATTTCGTGAACTGTCCAAAGAAGATCAGACAGGTAATAGTCCTTAGTTTCAACTCTGGCCTCCACCATTCTAAACGTAATTAACTATTTGTACTTAATTACCTATAACAATAAATAAGACATACTACCTACTATACGTTTTTTAAGTATTCGTTATGAAAAACACTGATGATTGTTAATTTTTACAGGTCCGTCAGATGTCTATTGTTATGGCGTTATAAATGTACATTTCACTTGCGAATAAAAAAATTACATGATCAGATATTGTTATGTTTGTTATTTATTTTCTTTAAAAAATACAATAAATTGTTCTGAAAAAACGTGAGTTATTGTAAATATAGGTGTCGCTAGTTATTAAAAAAAATCATACCGGAAACGGAAACAAGTGATTTCAATATTTTTGCTCTTTAAGACTTCTCACTTGATCACTCTTTCGGGCTTTGTAGTTTAACTACTGCCGCAACGTGGGTTATGGGCTAGCAATGATTTGATTTATGACCAACTCTAAGTGTTTGCGTCGTATTAATACATAAAGGAAGGAAGCTAGCTTAATAAAATTACCTATAAATTTATAATCGAGATGTCGTCAAAGAAGTTAAATGAAGCAAACGTCCAAAAGAAGCTCAAGGAAGTTGAGAATACCATAGACAGTATTCAAACGTTATCTTTATGGATAATTCATCATAAGGCTAATCATGAAAGAATTGTAGATCTTTGGCTGAAGTCACTTCAAGAAGGTTGTTATTTTTTAAACAGCTTTAACGATAATTGCTATATTTCTCTTTCTTTCATAGCAACTCTGGCCCACAGAGTGACATTGTTCAACTTATGTAATGATGTTGTTCAAAATTGCAAACGAAAACACGCTCCAATGTATCAAGATTCATTTAAGAGAGTTTTGACGGATGCTGCTGAATACGTTAAGTAAGATATGAAAGCAATTCTATGTAGATTATAACAGTAATGGCTGATATGATAAACAAATATTAGCATAATTCTGACATTTATGACGCTTCCACTTTTTCATTAATTTCTATTTGTTACTATTTTAGAGATGAAGCAATCCGACAGAAAATTACGCGATTAGTTAAGATTTGGGCAGATAGAAAAGTATACGACAAAGAATTTTTGGTTAATTTAGCTGGAATACTAGGTAGTATGCTAATACAATTATTCAAAGTTTGTTCGATTAACAATAATTGTAGTATAAAGCGACAGCTTTTTCAATAGTGTCGATAATTTATTCTGAAAGCTGCTGCAATAATGCACGTGTGTGTATTATAAAAAAGAAAAGCGAAATAAAGTATTTTATTTAATTCATTATTTTGTCATATAGATGGCAGAAAAGTAGATACTGATGCTTCGCACGTTGCGTCTGTGGTTGATGACTTCAAAGTAAGTAAAGTTATTATTCGCTGAATAAATAGTCTTATTTCTAAAATGTAATTATGTTTAAAAGCCTGAGAAAATTTTAAAAAGGGCAAATAGCTTAAATCCTATTAAAGCTAAGACGGAGAACTTGGACAAGGCACTACGAAATGCAAGAGTTGACGCATCGAACATTGAGGCAATTAAACAATTAAAAGGTTTATTATTAAAATATAAAGATTCAATAATTACTTAATCTGTAAATATTTACAAGAACAATTCTTAACAGATTTGAATCAAGGAAAAGAGTTTTATCAGAATTTTGAAGATTCAGTTGTGAAACTAAAGACCTACGTTGGATATTTAAAGGATGAAATAGTTCAGAGGAAAAGTCTGATTGAAGTTTTAGAAGAAGGTTCTAATTATTATTCAACACAAGAAAACGATGCTAAAATAGTAGCAAAAGCTTACAAAAACTTTGGAAAAAGAATGCAAAACTGTTCAACTTTGTTGGATCAAAAAATCAAAATCCTTCCTGAACCTGCTACTGACGACAGGGAGCAAGTTGATATGGATCTAGAAGATGATCAGGACTTAGATCTCCAACTATCACCAATAGCTCCAGAATCAATGAAACCTCTACCGAATCGTGTTCCACCCATGGTAAAAAATACAGCTGCCTCGTTCATGGGAAACTCAAATATGGGCCAGCAAATTCAAACTTTGGAACTCAATCAAAATGATCCGCGATCCAGACGACGAGAAAAGAATACAGGGATGGAATTTCTGTCTAATTTATTTGCACACAATGAACATGGCAATAAAATGCCAACATCTTTCATGCCTGAAGCTTGGAGAAATTCCGGTTCTCAGGGTGATACGCGAAAACCTGCCCATCCTTCGTCTGTCCCCTCACCATACACAAGCAACAGACCTTTGAACCCTCCTACTCCCAACTATTACCATAATCGTGCCTCCATACCTAGAACAGGGATCGAATTAGATCCAATTGCAGCCGATCAACAAAAATTTATCGAAAGACTAAAAGATAGTCGCCAGCCCAGTAGTTTTCAACGGGTAGAGGAAGAACTGCATTCAGATGGAACACCAGTTCACGATGAAAATAGTGGATTAGCACTAATATAAACTTTTCAATATTTTAAGTTTTGTTGTGCCACATCTATTTATCGTAGAGAAAAAATCTGCGACGCACGACCTATAAAATTAAAACTAGGATTACGAAGAAACGGACCATCAATAAACTGACAGAATTTAGAACAAAAGACCCTGAGGTTTTCATTTGATGTAACGCTGGCCAAAATAATATTTTATTTTTTTTGTCTGGTAAAAAATATATATAAAGATAGATAAATTGTTAACTGAAATTCTTTGAGAAAAAACAAGAAAGTGTCCTCTTTTGTTACGTAAAATGATTTTATATGCATATTTATTATATTACTCTGTTACTAGATTTATAACCTTTCCAGGAAACATTCTTTTCACTGAAGTTAGAATTAGATATAATCAAACTTATGAAAAAATACGGTGGAATGTAATAAGATATGTGATGGATATTTTACAGGAAACCTAAATAGTTCATAACTGAAACGAGAGAAAAAGATGATAATTTTTTTGATGATTTATGATGGCAGTTAATTTATAAGCTACATTAAGCGCATATTTATCATGTCGCTGATGTGTGTATTGTTTCTAGCTGGTTCTTTATATCGGGCAATTGTTCTGCGCTGAAAAATTTTTGTTTTTTTGTTAATTTTTATATGAAACTGTTGAAAAAAGATAAAAAATAATCATATTTGATACTATACAAACCTAGTGTTGATGGCGTCTATTCTGTTATAGGAGAGGAAGGGGAAACAGAATTTTATATCATTTCATTATAGAAAAGGATCACTTACTGATAATTTAAATGTTGAGATAATAACGACATCTTCTTTAAAGTCTATAAAACAATAAAAATTTAGTCGTAATTTTATAACCTAAAACTATGGATGAAGATTTGTCTTACAGTTAATGAATTTTCTATAGCACCTTCTAATAGAGTAAAGTTCTTGCTTGTTTTTTCTATAGCCTAAAAAGGTTTTTCATTTGAGAACGATCAATCATAATAAATGATGATTTTAAAATTTGATGATAAATATATACGCATAACTAACCTCTAGTGATTTGGAACCTTTCGATACTTGCTTACAAAGAGATCCAAGATCATTTATGTTATTTGCAACCTTCTCAGATAATCGAGATTTTATTTCTTGATGCCAGTTTTTTGATCCGGAACCCGCCATGTTTGTTTATAGCATAAAAAGTAAAATAGTCTTCATTTTGTGCTCTTTCCGTCTGCTGAGCTATATAAATCGAAAGTAAGAGTCATAATTCAGCAAAAATGTCAGAAGTAATAGAGGATGATAGTATTGATATGAACAAGTTAAATCAAGTATTAAAATCCTTGAATCAATAGTAAGTATGTGTATTGAGCGATAAAATAATAGTTTAATTTACAATTATTCCTAGTACTGAATATGATATTCTTGCAAGAGAAGTCTTAGGTAAAGATATTGTTGTGTTCGAAGACAAAGTTGCATTTTCCGTTGAACTATCTACTAGTATTGCTCGAAATGCTCTAAAAAAGCTATTTCATTCAAATAAAGAACTGGATAATTTTGAAGTTTGCCGGCTATCAACAATTTTACTTCTTTTCTTTCCCGATGTTAATAGTGCTTGGAATCGAAGAAGGCACTTAATTCTAACAGGATTTCTACAACCAAAGGATGAGCTAATCTTTAGTAGTCTTATTTTAGGAAAATTTCCCAAGTGCTTTTCGGCTTTTTGTTATAGGTAATTGAATCCAATTATTTCAATCACATTATTAATCATATCTATTTTAGGAGGTTTATAATTACTAGATGTGGCTTGTGTCTTGAAGATATAGTACAAAAGGAGGTTGAGGTGTGCGACAAAACAGCAAGATTATATAGTAACAATTATTATTCATGGACTCATAGAATCTGGTTTGTTCAGTTATATTGTAAATCATCAGCTAAGAAATCAGAGGTAAAAAGACTTTGTATCTTATATTCTAATTAAATAATTTCAATGTAATATCTATTTTATTTAGTTGTTAACTACTGAATTTTCAATATCGAAGAAATATGTCGAATACCATATAAGTGATTATAGTGGATTACAGTATCGTCAATTTCTTTTATCTTTAATGAATGAGTGCTTAAAAGAAGAGCTATATTTTACAGATTCCCTTATAAGAATCTATTCTGAGCACGAATCTCTGTGGTATCATAAAAGATATGTACTTAATCAAATATTAAAAGGACGAAATAATCTAGAAAGAAAAGACTTAATAGAAAATGAAAAATTGTTTATCGATGACTTAAAAAAGAGGTTGTAATCTGCTAAATATGCATTAGAAGCTGTTTATTAAATGATTTTGTTTATTAACATTTACAGGAACGGCGATAATGAAAATTTTATACAAAGAAACGTTCAGAATTATGAATCTTGGTTAAAAAGATCTTTAATGGCTTAATGGAGCAATTGTTCATATTGAAGATGTCTCCTTGAAATTTATTACTCAGCTTTAATGATATCTTCTCAAAGTCACATTGAAAGAAATCAACCTTAATCTAATTTTAGCTGTTACGAAAAGACTCGCAGGTCTAATTATAAAGAATTTAAGCCATATGATATATCTTAATGTTTTGCGTAATTGGTTTTGTCTTTCGTGGCTGTAAGCTGTGCTTAAGTAATATCAACATGTATATTGAATATTCTTAGTAATTGCAGACTTCACCTTCAAGAAAGACATTTCATTTCGTTTAAATATTATAAAAAGTTTATAAGGGTTTCCAGTAAATTGCTCAGTTTCTATATTAAATAATATTATTTGTGGGTGTATTTTTGTTATATAAATAGATCCCTATTGTCAGCAGGAATTCTGTACAAAGTAAGTTCTAAAACTCTACTACACTAAGTCATATTGTTTTTTATTAATTATTAAATATAATTATACTATTTATATGTAATGTTGCTTTGTTTATAATTAGGTTATTATATAGCTTCCGTCAACAATTCCTTTGAATAGTCACGAGCTTTGTGTTCTTTCAAATTGAGGAACAAAGCTAATTAGGAGGAATAGGTTCTATTCAAAAATTTATTATTCGGATATTTTATCAATTTTAATTGGTATATGTTCACTAAAATTTAATGAAATAAATTTGCAGCATTAGGATCGAAATAATGAAAAAAAGACATGCAGCCATGAACTAAATATAATCTCTGCAAATAAAGATCACATAAAAATTTCGCCAGTGAATCGAAAGAACAGACAAGATCTCATTGATTTTCTGATCGTGTATAACAAAAAATAAGGAAATATGTTTTATATCCTGCAAACTCTTTTATGCGGCATTTCCTTCTTTGAGGCGGATGTAACAGACAAATCGTGAATATATATTATGCCAGTAGATATTTTTTCTCCGCTCAGCTCAGTTTGATTCTATGCAACTTCGGTTTGAATCCCAATTGATCAGACAATACAGCTGATAGTGCAGATAAAATAATGACTTTCGTAATATTATAAAGGAAAGGACTAGCAGAAAATCCAGATATTTTAAACGGACTTTCTAACTCCTGAAAAGGAAAACAATTTTTTATTTATCTTGCGCATATAGATGTACCTTTTTATCATTCAATTATTAACTTACTTTTAAAAGGCTCTCAGCCAATTTTAACACATTATGAGCTAGCATCAGCTCGTCCTTCTTATGTGGTTTTTGCTCCATATGGAGGTATAGATTGATTTGTTCCGTGATTAAAAGAGAGAAATTACGGTACTAAAGGGAAAGAAACGGAATAAATAAATGTCTTACAATTATCCTTTTTTTGTAAGAAATGGTAAATAATTTGTATATAATATATATACTATTTATAAATATAAAAGTTTACTTTTTGATTAATTTTGGAAGCCAGAATAATGAAACGGAGTAGAAATATTGCTAATGCAATACACCAAGCGGCCACTTCCCAATTTCCTAGGTGAGTTAGAAATCTTTCAGTATTTTCTAATAATTTCACGCATAAAATTGAAAAGAATGCAATAGCCAAAAGAAATGCTGCAGAGACAATAGTATCAACTGAACGTTGGGGACCTCTTCTCTATAAATAGAAAACATATGCTATTTTTAATTTATGTATTTATAAGATATAAAATATTAATGAGACAGTTATACCTTTAAATAGGATCTTAAACTTAACCAACATTTAATATTTTTAACTTTATTCAATCGCATATGAGGTATGCCGTGCTGCTTTGATCTTCTAGAAGATGTCAGGTAACAAAAATATTTAGCATCTAGAAGTCTCTAAATAGAGATAATATAAATGTTAAAAGTAGATTAGAACGAAAACAACAATTTATACTATATACATACTTGTTTAAACGTTCTCTCCGCCACTGACAGTAGGAAGAAGAAAATCGAACTTAATACAAGTCTTTGCATAACACCATTTACGATAATAAGTAAAGTTCTCCAGTCAGCTCCAAATATCACGCTTAAAGATTTAAGTAGAATTTTAAAGCTGATATTCCATTCCAATTTATCCCTGTTGTAGTGTATGTGACAGAAGTGCGTAATTAGTTATCTCTTTTTTTATACATTAAATTATATATTGATTTTTTTAATCGTAAGCAATTCATATAAGCGATCTGCTTTTCTTCAGTTAAAAAAGAAAATAGAGAGAAACAGCTTGAAAAAGATCTTTAATGGCTTTTTCTTTTTGACTTGCCAAAGAACTAAAACTTTTTAAATTGTGTTTTTTTTTTTTTGGGTAACAAAAGATCCTTACTATTTTTTTTCAACATCGTCAAGCTATATGACGCGGAAAAACATCGAAAGCGAAGTTAAGTAAATTGGATCGTCAAGTCATAAGGGAATTTAGTCAGAAAATACGAAAAAAAATGTACCATAGTAGTAATCCTCTATATATAACGGGGATACAACCAACGCACACGCTAAAAAAAGTGCCGATAGCCAAATAATCAGTCGAATTTGTACTGCTAGCATTATCAACCTTTTCGATAATATGCCACCCAATATCAATTGCCGACATATCTATTTTTCTGACTTCTTCACCTTCCCAAAAGTAACAACCAACTTTATCACAGTTTGAACCAAGTGTTTTTAAAACAGAAGCAACCTATATATCATGGAAAAGAAGATAAATTGATAAATAAGTAATTTTTTAATTATTTAATTTACTATCCAATCAATTAATTATAAAATAAATTATTTAATTCAATATATTACATGTTTGCCAGGAAGGCCTTCCTGCTCAACTTCTGACGCTTCAACCTCAGATGCAGTTGGATATGACGCAGTTGTTGAGTCTGCAGCATTCATTGAGTCATTCCAATCCATGTCGGAGGTTTGGGGCTGTATGGAAGAAAAAAAACGTTCAAATAAATTCTGTAAAGCTGGTCAAATCAATCAAAGAAAATACTAAAAAAGAGTGAATAATTAATCAAGCTTTCCTGGTATAGACCAAAATCCAAGCAAAAAAAAGTACATTTAATAAGAGATATATATTTTATGCTATAAAAAAGCAGGGAATCATAGTGATTAGCATCTGAAAAACTAGAAAGCTAATCTAGTTAATAATTTTTTTTATTCATTATTTCATTATTTATAGATTACATCTGTTGTTGAGGAATCTTTCTGACATTTTTCTTCTTGTTTCTGCCAATATAAGAAATTTTCGAAAATAAATTTGTTTTTTTAGGAGAAAAACTGATAAAAAAATTGAATAAAAAAATAATAATAATAAAAAAAGAGTAAATAAAACAAAGGTGTGTAGAAATATAACAGAAATGAGCAAAAACACAAAATGATATTAATTCTTTAGTAGTTATTATATATATATATAAATTTATATATATTTTAGAAAAACGCATTAAATCAACAATTTCTTCAAAAACCAAAGGATCAAAAGAAAAGAGAAAAAAATGACAACTTCAGTAGATTTCTTTCTACTTTTCTTTTTGTTTTATTTTTGGAATTTTCAACCAAATTTCTTTTGTTTTTTTTTTTGTTTTTAGTTTGCTTAAAAGCAAATAACATCAATGCTTATGTTATAAATTATGTATATATATATATATAAAGAAGCACGCGTAGGCAATTTTTAAGTTTTTATCATTTTAAATAATTATTGGAATAACAGGGATAAGAGGGAGACAGGGAAAAGGGAGGATAGCGCAAAAGGGAGGGTAATAGATTTTAATTAGTTTATGTAAATGATATTATTTTTATGATAATATAGTGATAAACAATGAAAATGAAGTAAAGAAAAACAAACATTTGCCATTGGTTTGATCTTTGGAAAAATTTGGTTGAAATTACACAACAACTTGTTATAACATGCCTCATTATCTGTACTCGGCTCCCTAAGTAGCTTCTTTGACTGAAATGGTCGTGCAAGATAAAAATTAGATTTCTATTAGAATAATAATTAAAAAATTTAATTTTTAAAAAAAATAAAATAAAAAAGAATTTTTTTCTCTATTTTTCTTTATTTAACACTTTTTTTTATCTAAAATAACGAAAGAAAAATATTGTATAATATTTATTAATTAAGTTATTAAAAATTATAAAGGAAAAACAATTGATTCATTTAGATGATTGGCATTATTGATTTTCTTTTAATCATTAAGAAAACGTACTAAATTAATCTGTTAGCTGCTGAATTAGGATTTTAAATAATGTTACTTAAAGAAGTATGCATGTTTTTGTTTTTAAACTAACTAAAGAAACAAAATGCTTATTATTTTTTATCTATAAAAAGAGAATTAATCAATTTTGCTTATAGAGCAAATATTTTTTTCATTTTTGTCCCTATTGAGTACGGATATATGCTGCTTATTGTTTAAATGACGTATATATATAAGCTTTTCTATTCTGCATACCTGTTTCTTTAATTAAGCTGAGGTATTGCTATTCTTTTATGACAGATTTATAGCTTTTCCTTGCAATTGTAATTACATTGAATGAATAATTAAATAGACGGTGTGCATGTTAAGTATATTTTATTTCTTGGACCTAAATTATCTAACTGGCATTTATATATTTAGTAATGGCTTTCCTTTTTTTAAACTCTTTAGAATTACTTCACCTTTTCCCTTCCCATCTCCTCCCATTTCTTTAATTATTTCCTTAATCAAGAACATTTGTCCATTTTAAAGTACAGTAAGTGCTTTTGGACTATACAAATTATCAGAGAATTTTTCTAACTGCTATAAATTTTGAATGTACTTGTATTATTTTAAAAATCTATATATATATATATATATAGATTTGGATAAACGTAAAATGAATTTAATAATATAATCCATGCACTAAAATCTATATTAATCATACGAAATGAAGAAAAAAATAGAGCAGAAAAAAATTGATGTTATTTAAAAAAAGTATATCAAAATGATGATAGAGATTAAAAAATTATACAAACTGCAAAAAAAAAATTATTATTTTAATAGAGTTGAGTGAGGTAAAGAAAGAGCTATAGATACTATCAGTACCTACCAAATATGACATGCGCTGAAACATTTATAAATAAGAAAAAAAAATTGAAATAAAATATTTAAATATAGAAAAAAAACAGAAATACATATATATGTATATATATATATATATTCAAGAAAGAGGAACTATGATATAGGAGGAGGAAAGATAGAAGAAAACAATATATAGTAATACAGAAAAAAACCTCTTTTCTACTTTTATAATTAATTTAGCTATAAATATTGAATTTGTTTGCTGTATAAAGGATTCGTACCTTGGCGTACAAAGGTGTTGTACCATTTGACGCATTTGTGTCAATTTCACTTTCGCATGAGCTTTCTACGTCACTCCGATTTACAACCGGTTTGTCAAAATCACATTTTTTTCTTTTTCTAAGGCCATCACTATTGTTGTCTAGATTTAGATTCAATTTATTCTTTACACTCTTAATCTCTGGTACAACGTCCAAATTCTCATCATCCTCTACTAATACTCCAACTGGTTCCGTGATGTCTTTTTCATCAGTTAGACCGCATATTTCATCTCCTAAAATAGAAGAAAAAAAAGAAAAAGACCATCAATGATAACCTACTTTATATGCAAAAATTCTTCCAGCACAGAAAAAGATTTAGATCAAACGGATATTTAATTGTATAATATTCCACCAACCTGGAAAGTTTACATAGTCGTTTGGAACGCAAGCCTGTAAGCTTCCCGTAGTTTCTTTTACACCATCTTCGTCTGTTTCCTCTTTACCTACCAGGATCCCACTAGTTTCACTATCGGCTCCGGATCTTCTTCTTCTTCCTACACTTCCGGTAGAATCTTTGTCACTTGTATCAAAATGAGGTGATTTAAGCTCGTGATTTTGTGTAGTTTTCGGCCTCTTTTTCTTTTGCTTTCTATAGAAAACAGAAAATAATTTCTAAGCAGAAAAAAAGAGTCATTCGATCGAAAGCCGAGTACATTTACTAAGAAACCCTGTTAGAATGTTCTTAAATATATAAATAGATGTTGAAAGAGAGAAAGAAAAAAAAAGAGAAGAGAAAGAGGGAGAGAGAAAAGAGAAAACACTTCGACCATTTCTTAATAAGAAGAATTTAATATGTTTAGTCCTTGTAGATAATTAAATTAATTATAGGGTTTAAGACAAAAGAGAGAGAAAAAAGGACAAACCTTCTCATTCTTGGTCTTGAGGAATTGTTACCTCTTTCATTTCTAAAAGTTAATAAATGGGTTTGAGAACCAGTCGCAATTATGCGGGCATGAGAAATAGTCAGGATAATCATAAGAATAAAAGGCGTAAGCAAATGGGCCAGAGACAGAGACTGAAATAAAGAAAAAAAATTATATTTTATCGAGTTATTTTCATAGATAGATCAATATACAAGATAACAAATATACATCTTTTCATGTCTTTTTTACTACTATCTATGTTGTATATACATAGTCCTATAATAAATTGTTTTAATGATTAACAGTGATAAAAAATCAATACAATATAAATATATTCCTACCTCTTTATTAGTTGTACCATTCTCATCCGTAAAAAAGATGATAAATGCGCTTAATTGTAGAATATATAAGAAGACTAGTAACTTGGTAAACCAGGCAGAAGTCTGTTTCTTCCACCTAGAAAATTTTAACGCTTTTTAAAATTTATTGCTCGTATAATATCATATTATCTATAAGAAGATTACTAATTAAGTTTAAAAACAAACCAATTATAATAAAGTGGCAAGAGCATTAAATGAAGCATAGCATTTTTTGTTATAGAAAACCAACCATGTTGAGGTTTTGCTTTAGAGAACGTTGAACCTATAAAAGTGAAATAATTGAATTAATTAAAGGAGAATTCTCGATTAAAGGGTTTAAGCGGTTAAAGATTGACGTACCTCGAACTAAATCGACATCGATAAGTTCACTTTTTACCTTAGTTAATCGCTTGGGGGCATTATAGATTTCTTGAATACTCTTTTTTGAAAAACAAAGAGAGAAGTATAAATTATGGTGAATAGAATTAGTATGGCTTGACAAAGCACAATCTCTTACAACAAACAGCATAATAAACACATATTTCTATTAAGAAAAATGTATAAATAATACTAAGTATTACATAACTTACTTTAATAACACTTTGCTCAACTGATCTTTCCCAAAGTTGCTTATCATACGCCCCAATCTGTGATGGAAAAAAAAAGAACATGTAACTGACATTTATCTCAGATAGGTCTGTTAGATAATAGAAAGAACTTTGTTTTTTTTAGAAAATAAGAAATTCTCTAATATACATAAAACTATTATATTGTTTGTATACATAAATATCTATACTGTATCGTATATACTTGTAAAAAGAAGGGGAGTATAATAATTAAAGATAAGATGTAAATCAATCTATGTATATTAAAAGTGGGCATTTGTGTGTCTGGGTATACTTTTTCACGATTTGCGAAGAATAGAAGCAGATGTCAATAAAGTATATTCGATTGATAAAATCAACGTTTGAGTAAATGGTATATAACATTTTATCAATAATATTACTCAAATTTCCCTGACTGCTTATTTCCCTCGTCTTTTTTTCTCTTCTTACCTATCTATCTCACCCCGTACCCTTTTCCCTTTTTTCCTATTTAACAATTTTCTTTGGCGTTGATGATATTGATTTCATGAAAGGTCTCTGACCTAGCTCTACTTATACCAAAATTGGACCGAATGACACTAATACGCTTTCATTCAAGGTCAAAGTATATAATATATTTATTTAAAAGCTTATAATCTTTTACATTTCAATCGAAGAAAAATACAATAAATTTTATATTTTAATTGATCACGACTGCTAAGCTCTGCGTTTCTTTTGCAGAAATAAACGAAAGAGAGAGAGAGAGAGAGAGATAGAGAAAGACTGAGAAGGAGGTTTTATTAATATTGTTCAAATATTCAATAGATTATATTGAAGGTTAAACAAAAGGAAAAAAAGAAGCGCTTCTTTTTTTAAAACTTAAAAATGAAAAAACCAACAAATCTTTAATAAAAAATTATAAAAGATATATGTGTAACGAATATAATAGATTATATTATCTTTGAACTTAGATATCGTTTAAACAGGGCTTGTATTTTGTCTTTTTCTCTCTCTCTTTCTATAGGTACATACATATATCGCATGCGTAATTTTTACATACGCACTTTCTCCTACTCTCTCTTTTTACTCCTCTATCTCTACTCTACCCTCCTATGCATATCTAATTTAAATAAGCATTATGAGAATATTTGTATATCTTTACTCCTTTTTTTTAACCATAAATAGGACATATTTTACACTTAATGAGATAAATTTATTTCTTACTGGTAGCTTCTCAAGGTTGGCTCAATAAAAACGTGACTTGGTAAATGTGAGAAAAGACTTATTAATTGTTTATAAATGAGAAATCAAGCGAAATCTACAAAATGAATTAAGTTTACACAAATTTTAATAAAAAAAACCCAAGACTTTCATTTCTGTAAATGTACTATTATATCTATCTATCTTTCTATATATATATATATATATATATATATATATTTAAGAACAAATGTAAATATACTACCGTTTGGAATGTGTTACTTAAAGGATATTTAAAAGTGATCTAAGAAGTTAAAAAGCCTTATTCTATATAGTTTCTTAGAATTTTACAACTCCTATAACTTTTTATTAAATTACTTTATCATAATGTCATTATAATTTTAAAAGTTATTAAGAAATTTACCTGCTGTTGATACCAAACAATGGCTGAGTTTATTCTGTGCATATCTTTTTTATAATGATGTGTTTAAGGCTGCCAATCAAATTTGATACTGCGAAGAATTTTTTTGAAGTTAGGAGCGTCACTCGTTGGGGAAGAGTGGTAGCGACCTTTAGTCCTTCTAGAATCTAGATCAGTTCATCAACATAAGCAATTCAAGGCACTGCTCGAAAAGAGGAATATATATTGTTTATTGGCCAGAAGAGTAAAAGTTAACACTACCTTATTGTTTTGTTTAGATAACAAATTTAATATTATTAATAATAAATTTCGACCCACTGTAATTGCTCGATCTCGTGAAAAAATATATAATTTTTTCCTAAAGTTTCGTCAACAAATGCCAGGGTCTTACTAAAATCTGCTTTTTATATTAGTAACACTTGTTTCGATAGTTTTAGTAAACTCTCATTTTACAACAAATGCTATTCTTTTTCCATCAACACAAATGTTATTCGTTAGAGATTTGAAGTATCAAAAAATGTGGTACATCAATTCTATTTTTAAATAATATATTCATTCAATTAATTATTAATAATAAAATCATTTCAATAGAATTTTTGAATTAGAATCTAATTTTTATGATGATATAATAAAAAAACCTATTATTACAGTAAAATTCCCCATTTTTTTTGGAGAAAAACAAGTAAATAAGAAATAAAACATCAAGAAATATTTACAAGTATTACAGAGAAATGTGGCTTCTGTTGCTGCTTTGAAATTCTCAGTTAAAAAATTCATTCACTCTCCCTCCTTCTTATTCCTAGAAAAAACATTAGAAAGTTACTTGAAGATAAAAAAAAAGAGAAATTTGGACTTTAATCATATAAACTCGGTTCAGGAAGGAAATAAAACTATTGTTCCATAACGAAATGTATACACTAATAGATAGAAGAAAGAAGACAGTATAAATGAGTAATAGGTGGAGAGAGGTTGGTGGTTGGGACACTCGGTGCACAAAACAAAGAAGATAACAGATTGTCCAGAGGAATAGATACAGACGATTTATCCTTGCCAATAATCAAGTGGAAATGAAATTTATTTTGTCAATATATCGTCGAAGAAAATGATATATAAACTTTTTTTAAATATAGAAATACATTATCTTCATATCTAAACATATTCTATTTAATCATTTAGTTGATTAGGTATCGAATAGATTAAAGCTTTGTAATATTAGCTATATTATTATACTTATTTCTATAATTCTCTTTTTATATGAAATGCTCCCTTCTATCAGAAAGGAATAACATTTTGCTCTTTGCTATTTCCTCTCATTTTTCCCCCTTAATTTTCTTTTCATTTCTTTTTTTACAGATGTATAGACCTATAATTATGAGTGAACACTATATGATGTTTTTTTTTATCTATTGTTAAATCCTCTACAATGATTGATTCGGCGGAAAAAGCATCAAGAAGAGAAAGGAAGTGATTGATTGATGATAATTGCTTTAAAATGTTAAAATCTTAAATTTCACTCTTCTTCCTCCTCTTCTGACTCCAAGTGACAATAAGAGAAAATAGGAAAATGTTGAAAAAAGGCTGAAGTATTTATTGGAAAAGAAAAGAGGAAAAAGAGGAAGTAAATATCTTTCGAGATTAGTTTGATTATAAAACAAACTGAATTAACAAATTTAGATTAATTTATTCTCAAATAAGATAACATGATATTCCAGTAAGACCCTCTTATTAATAATATTCTATTACTATAAAATATCTACTATTTAAAGAGAAATATATAATAAACGAATAAAACAAACAAATAGAATGAACAGCGGGATATTTAATTACGCCTATCAAAACATACCTGTAAATTTTAGCAATTATCAATATACATTTCAAAAACATAAAGTATCATTATCATTAAAATCATTCATTTATCACTAATTACAAACCTCTGAATAACATTAATAAAGAAAAAGAAGAGTAACTGTAGGGGAGAATATTGCTTAAATGTTATTTTTGTGGTTTTAATAAGTTACGGTAACTCTATATATATATTATAAGTGAATGTCTTTATTGATTCTTATTCAATGTTCCTCGCATGACTGACTAGTCATACCATACATGATATCTGAAACTTCTCGCTATTCAAACATATGTCTCAATTCCCGAGTATTTATGGCACGAAAGCTGTTATACTTTCTCGTTTTAAATGTCATAGATAACTTGGTTATTTCAGCCGACTCTTGTAATAATTGTACAGAGTTTGAATATTGTGATAGAGGCGGCCAAAATGAATGCTTACCTTGTTCCAAGATTCAAACGGAGGATCAGTTCGAGAAAAGCTGTCCTTTTGTCTCAGCAATTAAAAAGTTTTGCTTAAAGGGTAAAGAAGCAAATATTCTTTTGAATAAGTTGGATTATTGCAAGAATATGAAAATTTACACTACAAAAACAGGTATGAGCAATTTAACTTCAATATTACTAGCTTTTCCCCATTTCTAAATGTCTTTTACTTAGAAGCAAACTGTACAAAATGCAATTCAATTGGCCTTCCAGTAATCTGCTCAGTTTCTGTCTTCCTAAATGTCGTAACACTAATTTATCTCATAAGCTCTTATCAATATCGAAAGAGAAACCGTCCACCCGTTCGCCGTTTTGTGGAAGAAACCGGAAATAGGATCGTTGATGTATCATGAACAAAAAAAAAATTCACAGCCCCGATTAGCTAATCAAGAAGACAACAAGAAAGTAAACTAATAATGAACAAGCCATCGAACAACTTATTAATTGAAGACATTCCGTAAAGAGTATTGTAAATAGCAAGTCAGTTTTCTCAAGTGATGAAATTGTTTCATATAAGAATAAAGCATAATATTTTCATATGTAAAACGTTTTCATGGATACGCTATTCGTCTGATAGTCAAAATATATATTCAGGAGCTATTAACATGAAATGCTACCTATTGATTGTCGGCGCTCTATTGTAGAGAGAACGAAGGGTATATTATATATTGTATACCTTTATGTGTAATATCAAGTTTAAATTTCTATAAAAGTAAAATCTTTTGCAGTTATGTTACAGTTTTTATTAAAACAAGTAAACAAAGTTTCGTATTCTGTATATATATATATATATGTATATATTAATATATTTTTCCTATTTTGTTCTGTTTTTTTTTTCTATTAAAATGAAAATGTTTCTTTTAAAAATATATTGGAAAACGCTGAATAAATTAAATAAATTTAAAGAGTTTAAGAGCACAAAAGCAGATCCTTCCAACTTGATCAAACTTAATGAATCGCAAATCATAAAAGTTTTTCCATGAAGATATAAATATATATATATATATATACTGTATATATACTGTATATTTATATATATATATATATATATATATATATATATATATATATATGTAGAAAGAGTGGTATTTTTTTATTCCTACAGCTTTTAGTTTAAACCAAAGAAAATAACGAAAAAAAGAAAAAAATAAAGAAATATATAATGAACTTTTATACAATCAACAAGACTTATCTTAAAGTATCAACAATAAAAAAATATAATATAACTTTTTATAAATTTAAAACATGTACAATAACATACAAAAGAAAAGCTAAGGTGATAAACTAACTAATCTGCTTTTGCAATCCTTTTATCTTTTGTACGAAGAATTTTTCTAGTCCATCAGCGCATTTATAATAATTTGTGTTTGAATCATTATATAGTCTGCAATTATGAAATACCCTCATGACGTCGTTAGTAAATTGATCTAGAGTTGCGTATTCCCTTCCAGTTGCTCGCTCCTGAATAGTTTTAAAGTCAATTGGATCTTTGATAACTTGATAATAATCGGGGGCGTCTTTTTTGTCGACGGGTTCTAAGAAAGGCCATGCGTATCTATGTACTTTAAGTTGTTTTAAAAGGTTTTCTAATTCTCTGTAATCGGCATCAGACAGCTGTTTGTTGCTATTGCTATCTGTCGTACAGCGAGGACAAACGTATGTAGCTAGATCGTCCGCTTCTCCTTTGGATATTCCTACACAATCTCCATGAAACCAATCTTGACATCTGTCGCATCCTATGTAGAATTCTGTCGGATCATAGGGTTTACGGCATAGACAGTACACTTCATTCTCCGTCTTATTTTGCTGGGTTTTACACTCGTCACAAACGTAAGACTCGATAGCCCTCGCTTCATCTTCTTCTATTCCCACGCAACTTCCATGAAACCAATTTGAACACATATCACAGCCTATGTAAAATTTGCTCTCATCGTACGGGGTCTTGCAAACGCAAAACAATCGATTCGTTCTCTTCGGTATCCTTTTCCCTCTCATTGATTCCATTTCCATAGGAAAAGGACGCTTTCTCGGAGGTGGTATAGATGACGGAGATAGCGTAACTGCTGTGGACGAAATTGTACCACTAGATGACAAAAGTCTCTTTTGTCTCTCCGACAATGGATTTGAAGATGGATATGACGGATCAACTTCCATTCCTTTAGATGGGTGATCTGTTTCAAGGTTACGTTGCATGGCTGCTAATTTAGCTTGTTTATCAGGATCAGATGTTTGTTCCATTGCTCTTCGAACCACTGAAGGAAGATTTGAGAGAGATAAGATGAGTTTCGAAAACAGAAAAGAATTCACGAAATTATATATAAAAAAGAACATATATATGTCTATATATATATCTAATTAATAACTTTTTTAATAATACATTGACTCTTTTATAGACAATTCTATCTAGGGACTTACTAAAGATTCTTTCCTCTAAACAAGGTACAAAACAACTACTATAATTAAACATTCTCTATATGGATAACGATAGGAAAATTGTTGATTGATTAGTAATTTCGCCTGATATTATAATTATTTTTTTTTCTCTTTTTTTACACAAATAACCGATAAAAAGAAATATTAGAGAAATATTTATTCAAATTTAAAATATCACGTAATTATTATATAAAATAAAAGAGGATAATTATTAAAGAATTTTTATATTCTTAAATAAGCTACTTTTTTAATATTTTTTTTGCACTGGATGATGAGTATTGAATAATGAACAACAGGGAGAGGAGGGAGGGTGGGGTTGTAATAGTTGACAAAGGATAAGTTACACACACACATATATATATATATATATATATATCTTTAAATTTATATATATATATATATTTAAATTTATATATATAAGCATATTAAATATCTTGCTTTCACAAAAAAAGAAAGAATATGCAATAGGTCATTAACCTTGCAAAAAAAAAAAGAAAGAAGATAAAACCACTTGTAAACTTAGTATACTGACTTTTTTTATTAAATAACTGACAAAATTAATTTTCTAAAAGAATAAACTAAATTTTTTGTAATTTTTTTAAAAAAAAACAACAAAGATTAACCATTTGTTTCTTTAAATATCAAATATT